ATAAATTTAATTTATACTAATTACATATAACTATATAATCTATTTATTAGTATTATATATGATTTTATTATTAAAAATTTATATCTATATTCATTAAAATACAGTTTTTAATATACTTTAATTATTCAATCTATTTTTAATTAAATATATATTATAAAAAAAAAAAAAAAAAACTCAATTCTTACCTAAACAATGTCTTATTTCAAATAGTAGAATTCAATTTCCAACCACAATCTTAATTAATAATCAAGCAAACCGAGTTCATAGATTCGTTCTTTTGTATTTTTTTTTTAATAATTTTTTTTGAGATAAAACTCTTATTTGTAATTGAGGTGAAAAAAAATATTCTTTAAATAAATCATTTTATTCTCTTTTTAGTAACTTCAAGTGTACTATGATCTTAAAAAACTTTGAGCTTGAATCTTCATAGAAACAAATTTGGATTATCATTAACGGGTGGACATGCATTATATTCTTATTATGTAAAATAAGAATCTCTTAAATTTGTCTAAATTTTAAACCGATGCTCTAGAAAATATATCTAGTGTTTTATAAAAGTATGTCTTGTGTTCTATTAAATATATATTGTATTTTATAAAAATATATCTGATGCTTTATAGATATATGCATAATGCTCTATCTAAGTATATATTATAGATATATGCATAATGCTCTATCTAAGTATATATTATACTCTCCAAATAACATCAATTCAATACTCTATGTTCTATAAGTATACATTATACTCTCCAAATAACATCAATTTAATACTCCATAAAACATCGATCAAGAATAAAAAAAAACTTATTTAGTAAGTGCTATCTGAATTCTTGATTGGTACTATTTGAACTATTAAACTATATTTTCTAAAAACTTAGCGATGTTGCTTGAAAAAATAACGATTTTTCAAATGAGCCCTATAAACTACTGCCATTCTTTGGATTTTAGGATTAAAAGAAGAAGGTTTCTTTACGAACTTGTAGAACTTATTTATGGACTTGAATATCGTTATATGAAGTTATTTATCTTCAAATAATTTTAATTTATAAATTTCTCGAGATTATTATATTATTCATTTCAAATTGACAACTTTTGAAGAAGCATGTTTCGAAGTACATACAGAATATACACTTACCTTCAAATGCTCTATAGGTCTTGTTATAATTCTTGTTTTCCATCAAACTTTCTTAATTAGTGCAAATTGCTGCTTGACATGATCTGTAGAAATGGATGAGTTTTGTTGCTCTTGGCATATGATTCAATTTGAAGTTATCTTTGCGTGGCTATGTTTTCGGTGATATAACAATATTATCAAGAAGATTTTTTTTTCTGCTGTTTTTTAAAAGTTGATTGTTTCTGAAATTGGAATTATAACCAAGCAAAATTACAAGACGGTTTCGAAATATGTATAGAATTAATTAAGTCCAGCACACAAGAAAAAACATAGCAATTAGTTGTGATGTATGTCTAGATCATCACAACGACTTCATAAATCTCCTAGAAGAATCTCAATATTTCTGTATTTTATATCATGCTTCAAATATTTTTCTATACTTATTTCTTTTAATTAAAAGATCTTGTTGGACGATTTCCGAGTTGGATTGCTTAAAAATCTTAATAGGTTCCAAAACAGCAGCAGACTAATTAGCTAATAATATCTTCTAGAGAGTAACAACCCATTTGAAACCATGTATATCATGTATATATATATATATGTATGTATATCCAACATTCAATGAGTTGACCGCAATGTATCAGGCAGACTGCTACAACAATTAAGGAGTGGCTTCCCTCTGAATAATGGGATGGGATGGTTTCGATTGGCTGGTAAAAGATTTAGAATTACAAGATGCATTGGTGAGTGCACTAGTATTTATGGATTCTGATTTCCTTCTTTTTCCTATATCATATACATATATATGTATGTATGTATATTGTTTGTATTATTGGATTATTAAATAATTAATATCTTCACAGTAGTCTATCAGTTTTTGTTTGAGAAGAAAATAAAGGCAGACATCAGATAGATAGATACATACATATATATATATATATAAACACAGAAACATTGTGTGTTGTGGCCTGTGGGGGAGGGTAGGGGGTGGGACTTGTGTGACGATTTGCAATAAAATATTGGGGGAGGGGCAAAAAAAGATAAGGTCACATTTATTCCGTAGGTGGATTGGCGATGCGATGGGAACCGCTAGCTACCTTGCTTTGGTTTCCTATATAAGGAGGGGCATAGGACATCAATTGTTCACACATCAAACCATCGAGAGTGGTTCCCAATATGAATGAAACAGTTCTATGTATAACAGTAGTAATAGCAGCAGCAGTAGTGGTATTAATTTTCAGATCGAGCTTTCGAAATTAGGGTTTTTGTACAGTGGTTCGAACAACCACTAGTTTCAATTCCCTTCATTCCTTGATGAGTTTTTGGGAAACCATGTGCCTTCTTGATGCTCCAGATCGATGGGAGGTAATAATGATGTTAATTGGCCTCTGATTAAGGGTAAGGGAGGTGACAGAAGAGAGTGAGCACTCATGGTATTTTCTTGCATGATTGGTTTTACATGCTCGAAGCTATGAGTGCTCACCCTCTGTCTGTCACCCCGTACTCCTCTCTCTCTATCACTCTCATTAATCTGTTTGTATTCGATCTTTGTTGCTGGGGTATTCCTCCTCTATTTTGTTATGAAATGATCCTGGAGACTGAAAAATTTTCTTTTATGTAGCCCGATATGTGAAAACTTGTTTATTTGATCTACTGTTTTTGCCGATCTGAATCTCCTGGGGTATGATGAATTCATAATCCCCAATAAAGTTATTTATAGGATTTTGCCCGTCAAGTGCCTCCCCCTACAGGTACAATAACTTTAATTACTTTTCTTTTCTATATTATTATTTGTCTATTTTTATGGAGGGTTTTGTACGAGGTGTGAGGATGATGGAGCTTTCATATGGAGGGGATACCAAGAACCTATCCATTAAAATTAGGGTTTCCAGATCTGTCGCTTGGAGGGATGTTTAATGTGTGGCAGTCGTCTCCCATAATTCCAGATTCTGAGGAAAGCCCTCAAGCGGCTCAAACCAGTTCTATTTCAGTCCTCTTCTCCATATTATCATCCATGTTATACATATTGCAGTTTGCTTCAGTTCGAGTATTTTGGCCTCACATGTATGCTGTCAAGCTTACAAGATATCATTGCAATATTTGGAAATTCTTGCAGCAGGAACATCGGATCAAGTTTCTTTTGATCCGCTATGGAGGCTGCTGAAGGCTCCCCAGATTCCATCAAGATTTCAGTTTTGGTTGATGCTGATGTGTCTTTAATTTGTTTGATTGATGTATTTCTACTGTTCAAAACAAAGTAGAAGGATTGAAATTGTGATCCTCTAATGACTTCCAGTGCTTTCTAATTAAGCAGTTTAGTTGTGGAAGTTTTCTATTTTGAACTGGCTACTCCAAACTATATAATATTAGTCATTTCATTTGATTGATCAGTGGGGATTCGTCCTACTCAACTGTAATGATGTATATAATTCTATTTTTCTTTAAAAATTGTCACAGTTCTTCCTCCACTATATACAGTGGCCATGCTTTAGAGAAAATGTTGACATTGATATTGCTTTCTCCATTAATCACTCCCTCACTTTTCCATGATTTTCTCTTGGTTTCTGGTCAGGTGTGTATACTTACAGGGAGATGGTTTTTAAATTTAACCACAGGCCCTATATAGATATATGATTTGTTTTTCATTAGATCATTCAGCTCTTCTTTGTAAACTATTTAGTGTATTAATTCAAGCAATGGTTAGTTTCGAACCAGTTAAGCATGGAGCTCAAACTTATTCGAGGCCAAAAAAAGCTGCATATCCATCATTCGTTCCGTTGATACAGCTTAAGTTATGATGTATATGTATAGATTGCTTATGTATATATAGATATGTAACAGCACTTTCACTTGGCATTTTATTCTAGGGTTTAGTTCATATCAACTTATTTCATATGTTTATGCTTTTTTTTTTCTTAATAAGTTAGAACCCCCAACCGCTCCTTGATGAGTGAGCTTTGAGTAAACCTTCGATTGAATTTAATAGCTGCAAATTAGATCCGACAAAAACAGTCAAACTAGGCGAACGACATGTTTATGTAATTTTGAGTTATATAATGGTGGTTTAATATTTCAATTTCTGATGTACAGTTTACATGATATCCATGAAGGACTCTTTGTAAATTTTGTAGATAATTCCAAGGAACAACTTCAGCTTTTTCCCACAGTATGCAATAAAGATATACATACTGATTTCAATAGATATATATCTCTAGACCCATGAGCTAGAAATTAAAGAAATGATCGTGTTCTTTAATTTGTATAGCTATATATGTAGTGTACATCCAGAAACTGAAACCACACATGGTTTCAAATTCTGTCCTCCACTGTTAAGCTTTATCTTCTGGCTGTTTCTATTTGCAAAAGATACACATGTACGAGCCTATTATTGTTAATGGCTAAACTAAAGTGAAATGCTAAAGATTAAAACCCTCCTTGTATGTGTGTTCGTGCCTGATCAGATTTATCAGTACCATCCGTTTGTTAATGAATATATAATTGGGACCGAATCAAATATGGTCAAAACGTGATCTGTTTAATTGGTTAATAAGAGTTTCGCCCAGCAATTAGAGGGTAGGGTAGTTTGCAGTGTTTGGACCACCTAGCTACCTTGCATGTATTCTTTTCAAGTATTTCTCTCTTTTCAATTGCTGTTTCATTGCTCCAGGTTTTGATTTTGCGTTCGTTTTTTCAGTCAAACTTCACTATATAATATATTAGATTATAACGTGCATAAATTACTTCTAGGAATGAGAGATTCTGAGAGGGGTTTTTATTGGAGTAGAGAGGTCCTTTAAACTTACAAGAATTGTGTTAAGATTAATCTTCAGGATAATTTATTAAGATTCTTAATTATTAAGTATTTCATAAAATATAACCAAGGAACTTTAGAATTATAATTAAATAAAAGAAAGCAAACATCAACACTGTGAGGATGTATCATTGTCTTGGCAAAATAACAATGGTTGAAATCTTAGAATGCAGAAGAAAAATATTCCAGTTGCCTATGCAATACAAAAGTACATTATGTTTAGTGCAGAATAAGAGGCGTCGTGTTGCCACTCACTAAACCAATTCTTGATGATGCCTGCAGGAGATGAGCTATTTCGGGTTTGATCTGCAGGCCACTTGTCCACCAGACTGAACCCATACTCGGATGCGGCTGATAGAATGAATGCCTCATCTACCCGACGAAAAACATGGCATAGAATCAAAGCTGATTTGGCATCACTGCCGGTTGAAATCAATTCTCTAGCAGTCGCAAACAAGGGCTTAATTGCCAGTGGAACATAGGTCACATCCGTGCCAATTATGATGTCGAAGCCTGTCCCATTCAGTTGCTTGATGGCTTCTATTTCACTTTTGCTCCCCCATTGGAGTCTCCTAATGCTTAGAGCATCAAGGGATTGTGGTGATCTGAAATTTGATACCACGTTTTCAGACAACAGCTCAAGTGCTTTGGTGTCTCCATCAGTGGCGACCACAAGTTCAGCTGAAGTGGTGGCTATCATCGAACAAATTCCTCCACATCCACACCCAAGTTCTAGGACCCTTTTCCCAGAAACAATCCCCTGATTTGCTGCAAGGATGGAAGACATTAGCCTTGCTGATTCCCACAGCATCAAGCCAGTTGCCGAGCAAGTATGCTGATACTCTTTTGAAAGTAATTTTATCTTGAAATGGTAGTCCTGTATAGAAACCTCAACAATCTGGGAGAACATGCAAAAATGACTGTTGAGATTATAATAAAACTTTAATGATATCCAAACATGCTAAAGAATTAATTAGCATATACTTGCATAAATGGAATTGAGTGAAGAAAAGGGGCATCCAGTACCTCTTCACGGGGTGATGATACACCAAACATTTCTCTAGCCATCCCCTCCGACATATCAATTTCAGACTCGGGGAGAATGTCCTTTTTACCATGATCATCTCCTTGTGAGTGTATTATTTCGTTTTCAGTTGCAATTATTGAAAGGCTATCATTGCCAGCTAACAAAAACACAGCTTGAACCCACCGTCTGTAATCCAATTGCAATTATTAATAGACACCCCCATTTTCACTCAAACCAAATTACTAGAAATGGAACCAAAAGCATGAAAGAGGATTCTGGAAACAGAATATTATAAGTATGAGAACTAAGACTACCCCTTTCGGGAATATCAAGTAAAACTAAAGACAGTTTCTTTTGTGGACAACATGTTTAGTAAAGTCTGTTGCATTTGTGGCGTGGAATACAGATATCTTGGGTAGTATTCCTGGTTGACTTATTTTAGAGCTCGGAAACAAACAGTTTTCTCTAATCGAACACTCAAAAGCATATTATAAGAACGATGAGCTAATTAGGAGCTGATAAGTAAAACAAAATAGTACCTATTCATGATAATCTCTCTCGATCTATTTTCCACTTGTTTGCAGCACAAGAAATGTTCTTTCATATTGAATCCATTTTCTTTGAAAAGATTTTCTAAGAACTCGTCGGAGAAGTAGAAAGCTCGCTGACAGAAAGGTGGATATCACCATTAGAAACTCAATTATTGTCAGTGATGAAGAATTCAAGTCGTAAACTGAAATAACAAAAGCTTACAGTGCCATCACCCCTAACATAGAAGTTTTCACTGATCTTTTGTTCCTTTCCAGTGAATCGCTCCTATTGACATGGTTATCAATGTAGTGCCAAAAAAGAAAAAAAATTAAGAACAGCAATCATTAACGTGGAAAAACAAATTTCTACTCTTGTCACTTGAGTATATATAAAACTATTGAATTTATAATCAAAAGGAGTTACTGTAAAATCAGGATCCCACCTGAGCAAGATCACCAGTTGCATAATCACGAAACAGTATACGCCCGTCTGGCTGGACATGGAAATTTTGGGTTAGATTAGTGAAAGGTTCAGGATAGATAGAGCAAAAGCACATAGTCAATGTTGCAGCATAACTACAGCACTCACTTTGAGAACTTTTCTTAAATTTTGTATCACTTTAGGCATTTTTCCAGGCGATACTGCAGATAAAACAAATATCTGCTTAAAAAAGAGTCAGCCAGGTGCAGTAACAGAAAAAGACATATTTATTACAAACGCAATAATATATGGAGATAATAAATATATCAGTTAAAACAAATGGAGCAAGATCAACCTAAAATGAATCTCAAAAGAGCGCCAGCTAAACATAATATAATATTTACCATTGTCACAATATCCACTGAGGAAGGGGCCACGTGTTGGCACAGATCATCAGCAGTAAGATCACAAGCAAATGCATTGACTCTGTCCTCTGAAAAGTCCTTGTGCATCTAGAATGAAAGTCAGGTAAGAACTATAAGCAGTAAACACACCCTTCTAAATTTTAATAGCAGAGACCATAAAGGTTAGGAACGAACAAAATTGAATCATAAACGACATAAAACATAAATATCTAACCTTAACCAAATCTACAGCACGTGGGGAGAAATCACATGCATGTATGAACACATCTGGGTATGTTTCAAGTAAAGGAAATATAGTATTTCCGGCGCCGCAACCAACCTGGAAAGATAGTTAATGCTCTAGTTTATCAATCAAGCCATCCACATAAAAGGAGGTTGCACAATTTAACAGCATTGCGTGGAACAGAAGCATGTACAAGTAAGTTCCATGTTTAACCAGGAGTGACGACATAAAGTAACAAGGCGCATAGTTACAAAACTATCTAAAAGTAACTAAAATCCAACAAGCGCATGAACCAGTTAGCAATACCTCAAGAATGACTCGTCTTCCCTGTCCCTGAAAACACAGACAGTGAGTGAATTATTCCTAAGCACGTATAAAAACAATGATATGATCAAGATATTCACTTACGGAGAAGTGGTGTCCCCATTCTTTGTGCAAATAGTGGCGATCCTTAAAAAACTTGAGCGCGAACACACAAAAAAAAGAAACGAGCATAAGCATTTTAGTGTAACAAAGTAGGTGAGGTTATCTTCATGAAAACTCTTCTCAAGCAGACACAATACAGAATGTGACTTGTTAGACTTGAATCAAGAAGATATACATTAGCAGAAACCTTTACAAATACATGAAGTAAGCTACTCTTTAGACTCTTTGCAAACCTCATACTAATCCACCCATGTATAACATTATTATATTTAAAATCCAAAACTCAAATATACTTCTTAAGCTCTTGCTCTGGAGTACGAAGAAACAAACCTTATCTTGATGGCGTTTGTAAAAAATATCCCAATACTTCTTTGCGTCCTTTTCATACTTCTCTGCCAACAGAAATTCTCATATAGCATATTAAAACTTTCTTTCAATTGTGAGGATCAAAACAAAAAGAAAAGGAAGGCTCATATAATTTAACCTCTCCAGAAAGCAGAAACTTCATCGTTGGACGGTGAGTAAATTTGTATCTTAGGTTGTTGTGACTGCTGATTTTGATGTAGACTAACTTGAGTGTCAGGAGTGGATGCCATAATTCTGCCTTCTATAACAAAACGGAAATAAAATAACAAACACAACTTAAAATTTATCATACAGAGAGAAAAGGTGTGGTACAACCTTGTCGTAGCTTTGCAAGAATTGGAAACAGTATTTTCAAAATTGTCAAGGTTCGAAAACTGGAGATCCCAAAAGAATAACTTGACCACATTTAACAGAGAAATTGTATCCGTATAGCATTAGGACATTCCATCACATTAAACTTCAAGATTGGACGAACCAAGTACCCATCGAGACAGAAATTGAAAAACCGAAAAACAAACAAAAAGTAGTGGAAAAACGTAGTCGAGAGTCATGAAATACTGACCTTTGATACCAATTAACAGAGAAGGCGTTGGTCCAACAAAACAAGGATCTTGAGATCTTTGGAGGTTTTGCTGAAGACGATATATCCTGCGGCGGTCGCGCAGGAAAAGTTGTCCTGATTTTAGATTTTATTTTATTTTTAATAGGAGGTATTTATAGTTTAAAACTTTATACGAGGAAAATAATAATTAATTAATTAAAGGGGAAAACGTGAAAATAGAGTATAAAACAGGATTAAAGGGTGGCCTTAGAAATGAAATATAATGATCAACAGCAAGCCATTCCACTCACAAATGTTCACTAAGTTTGGATACAATTATTCTGCCATCACATTTGGTTTCTAAGTGCTCAAAAAAAAAGGAAGATGAAGAAGAACCCAAAAGGAATGAATCCCAGGAGAAGAGGAAGCGGGCATGCAGCTTTCGAAGTGTAGAAATAATAGTATGGATACGTCAAGTTCTGCTGCACCATTGCTGGATCGTATCCGAGCACTGTAGGTGGTGGAGGACTTGACGGCCTAGAATGAGGTGGTGGCGGGGAGTCAGTCAGCTCTTCTGGCGGCGGTGAGTGGTGGCCATGGGGCGGTGACTTTGGAGCAGCGGGCGCTGATGGTGAGCATATCACAGGACAAGTACTGCAGTGGCTGATGCATAGCGAACCTCCCGGTGGAGGTGGAGTCGTTCCGGTTTGGCTGTCGGATGCTGAAGTTAGAAGCAAGATGCAGAGAAGAAAAATAATAATCCAATGTTTTTTGGCAATACAGGGAGAAGATTTCATCATCTTTGGCTTTACAGTTTACACTGATCACTTGAAAGTAAGATTAAATTTTGATTCCTGCTGAATTTTCGGATTGTGGGCAGCATGGATTTATAGAGCAATGGCCGGAGGCCCCTCCTTTATGATGTAACTAAAGAGTGCAGTGAAAACAAATGAAGCAAGATCAATTTTGTCTGCTTAACTGGATTAACAGTACTCGCAAACTTTGATTTAGATATGTAAACGATGGATGTCTGTCTATTTCAGGTGCAAGTTTTAGGAGCAATGAAGATATTTCTTTCTGCTTCTATATTATCATCTAGAAATAGTAATGGATAACATAATATGTTATCCATGGAGTTGGAAAGGTGAATAGAGAATCCAAAGCAGAAAGTAATTGGGCAAAGTTTGTTCCACACTTTATGCTTTCTCCTTTTGCATTTGCTTTTCTTTGGAATCACCCCTTTTCCGATACCAATTAATCCCAAGAAATAAATAAGCTGTGCAGATTCCGTCAGAGGAAGAATATCTAGAATCAATCAAGCTGCAAGAATGGCATACAAGACATTAATGATCAAAATAATGGTGAGTTTGTGTGTTTGTTTGTTTATGAGCCTCTAAGTATTCTGATCGTGAATAATTAATTTGATGGACCTAGCTAGGACTAGGACGAAACTCGGACGAAACTTGGGCAAGGACTCCCAACTATGGATTGGTATGTTTCATCCGGAATTCCTTGAGCCTGTTAAGCTCTGGTAAAATCTCGTTTGCCAGATCCGGTCGATCTTTCTTTCTTAGCTCAGCACATTTCATGGCCAGTTCGGCGAAGGCAAGCGCCTCTGGGACAGGCCAATCATGCACCTCTGGATCAAGCAAACTTGCAAATGTCCCATCCTTGATGGCGCTGTCAACAAGGTGAGTCAGGCCCATGGGAGGCCTGGCGGTGATGATTTGCAGCAAAGTCACCCCTAGCGAGTATATATCCGATTTAGTCCCCAGTTTACCCGTCTGCTGATACTCGGGATCTATGTAACAAAAGGTGCCGGCAGCTGTGGTCATGCGATACTGAGTTACAGCATCTGCAACTTTGGGTGGAACCAGCCTTGCCAAGCCGACATCACTGAGCTTGCAGGTGTAGTTATGGTCTAACAAAATGTTGGCCGGCTTCAAGTCCCTGTGCACGAGGGGCTTGGGCTTGGCCTGGTGGAGGAACAAGAGCGCCGTTGCTATATCGGACGCAACCTTGAAGCGAATTCCCCAAGGGATGGGAGGACTATTACCCTTGCGAAACAGGCGATCTTCCAGGCTTCCGTTGTCCATGAACTCGTAGACGAGGCATCCGTATTCAGGACAAGCTCCCATCAGGATGACCATGTTTGGATGTCTCATGCAGCTCAACACTTCAACCTGTGAACCCAACCTGGATGGATTACAAATCAAACACATAATTGCCTGGAGACAACAACAGCATTATGTTTGATCACCTCTTGATGGAACTGTTTTCGTCCCTGCAATGCATCGGATCGGAGTACTTTGATGGCAACCGGAGTGTGATCAAGTTTTCCTCTGTAGACAGGTCCATAACCGCCTTCCCCGATTTTCATTGAATCCGAGAGCTTTTTAGTGGCTGTGTGAATCTCTTCGATGCTGTACTTTCTGTATCGGGCATCATTGTTGGACAAATTGTCCAGGGCTCGTATCTTTTCCTCAGCTTCTCTCTTTGCTCTTTGCTCTGCCAAGATTCTTCTCTGTGCTTCCCTCTCGGCTATTTTCTTTGCTCTCTCTGCAGCTTTAATGGCAGCTCTGCACTTGGCTTTCTCCATCTCAACCAGTGCAAGTGCTGCCTCTTCATTGATCCTTGCCTGCTCGATTCGACTCTTTTCACTGGGGTTATGTTGCTCAAGCCCATCAGCCTAAGGAATACAGCAATCAATGCTTGATTAGAGAAAGCACTAGTTATTTGTTATGTGGCATAGAATAGCTTGCCAAGCATCATCAAAGAGGAGAGAGCATTTTCATCACCCTACCCTGTGTGGGGGTGGAGTTGCTGCTTGTTTGCAAGATCCGTTGTATACATTAATGGTTCTCTTCGATTCTTGCCTCATTCTCTGAACTTCATTCTGCCATGTTTTTTGCAGATGAATTTAGGACACTGGTAAAAACATACATTACATTACATACATGCATAAAAACACCACTCTGATCAGCCATTTGCCTGCCTGCCTGCCTTACAGTGTTTTCCTCAACAGTGCAATTGGCATCCACAACTGCATTGTCGATTGACATGGACTCTGTGCATTCAACGTCGAGGAAATGGGAATTGGATAACTGACGATGCGATCTACTGGAAGCACCCCATCGAGAAGAAAACTTGGGCCACCTGCTGCTATATATATACATATGTGACGATGATGATGCAAGACATTACAACTTTCTTCTAGAATACTAAGTGTCACAAGTTAAACCTGCTGCCATTTTCGAGTTCAGAATGATTGCCCCTGGTTGAGCCTTCTCGAGACAGCAACTGCTGCTGCTTTGCAGCTGCTGGGCGCATCGATTGTAGTTTGCCTTTACTAATTACGTAAACAGAACAATAATCTGGAGCAGCCTTGTTTACTATGGTTGGCAAATCTGGAGTCCAAAATTTCCTGACACATGATGATGATGATGATACTTAAATAGTAATTAATCCAATGCTATCATGAGAATGCACAAAGGTAATTAAATAACGTACGTACCTTGATAAAGCACTCCTCGATGAGGCACCAAAGACTACATTAGTGGCACGGTGCCCCCTAATGTATTCTAAAAGTTTGGCAGGCAAGTCTGTCCCCTCCAACACAATTTCATTCACTGTGATCTGTTTTACCAACCAATGATACATTATATTGCAGTATAAATATTCCTCCTATGTAGCAGATCAATGGGGGCCTTTGGAGCTTACCCCTTTGCGCGCGCAATAGGAGTGAAAGGGTGCGAAGATTTGTTCCTTTGCGGCCGAATCTGCAGCACCACCACTATCCGAACCATCTGCATGTGCGCAGTTGGTAATACAATACAGAACACAATCAATTTAGGCGATCGAACATATGTCAAAACCAAGAATGATATTTGAAATGGATACCCGAACGTGCATTCTTGATGTGGATTAAAACCAGAGTTTGGTTTTGTGTAACGAGGTGATCAATGGCCCATCTGACAGCCCCGGGACTGTGTTTGTCCTTGTGATCAACGGCCACATAAATGGGATCCTTTTCGTCCGCCATGGTGGAATGAATGATACTATAGATATATATACGTAATATGTTCGGTTGCCTGGCCTGTTAGAACGTGGTGGTGCAATGAGATGGGATGAGGTTGATTACCACTAATGCAGCAATGCCACCACCACCACCACCACCATTGCCACCAAGTTCTAACTCTCCGATCGATCAAACTGGTCAAATGAAAAACAGATATGTTTCTAGATAGGTATTCCAATCTGACATAATTAACAGCGTTAACTTCCCTCCTCGGATAGGCTATTTTTTTGTGTGTCGTCCATAAGTAAATACTAAATTTAGGATACAGGAGATGCATATATATATATATATATAATTAGTTCGATTACTGGTCAGGAAATATCAGTAAATCAATCAATCTCAGTTTAATTAATCCAATACTGTTACTTGTGGAATTTTTTATTACCCAAAACCTTTTTTTTTGTTTCTGATTTCTCTATCAAGAAACGGTAGATAGGGTGAAGTGAAGCAGCAGCCCACTAATATCAACTAATTAAGTAAACAGCATTATTAACACGCATGAGATCGATCTATCTAATGTAGAAAGGAATTAGAGCCAGAGGAGATTAAAATTACTAGTATAGCTAGAGGACACTCTGATCTTGAAGCCGATCGACAGGAATTTATTCACATGAATTATGCATGCGATGAGACCAAGCATAGGAGGGGAGGACTTGAGCAGTAATTTCGGGGAATCACATATAATGTAATGCTCAATTAATTCCTAGGAATGGAATGGGGGTGGGGGGTGGGTATGCAAGAATTGACTTTTATTTTCCTTGTAGACTGTAGTGTAGTCCCTCCGACTCCACTCCGGGTTGGACCAACATTGGCCAAAAACTGCCTTTTTTGGTGTTTTGAAAATTAGAAATAGGTATGTATCATCTTCAATCGATTGGGAGTATTAATTAATAATTATCGTGGTTGGCTAGCAGGCAGGCAGGCAGATTGATGATTGTCGATTGGATTCTTGGTGGAGACAAATGTAAGATAGATGTCGCATTGGCGACTTATGTTGTTGCTTGATAGACGGAATTGAGGTCGTTGTCAAATATACCTACATACAGAATGAGAATACGATCGATAATTGGGTTGAGGTTGAGCATGTAATGAATTGGATGGATGGGTGTGCTGTCCTCTTGGATTAGGATATGCATGCATTGTTTGTTTGCTTGCTTGCTTGCTTCAACAAATTAAATTTATCGTCAGGATTAAATTATGTAATACTAGCAATATATTTATTCATTTCCCTTACATTAATAATTTATAACCGGATTTATTATTAATCCAACAAAAAATTATATTGTTATAATCTCAAGTAATATAATTATTAGTATTTTCTTATTTTAATTTTCACCGCATATGGATACGGGGGTATTTTATTTATTTATTAAAAAAATAGAACGAGAAAGACAAAAAAAAAACGAAAACGCGTAGGCAGGAAGGACAGCACTGCTTCTCTTCTCTCCTCCCCAAAGTCACCGCCTTTTTAACGCCCCAAAGCACTGTCGCCATCGTCGCTGCCTCGAAGCTTCCTCAAATCCCGACGCGACGCTGTGTTCACACCAATCCCACACGTTTCTTTTTTCTATCTATCTAATCTTGCTGCTGCAGCAGCAGGAGATCGATGTAATCTGTGCGCGGCTGACCCGACGGGTTTCCCCATCCAATTTTTTTGTACTTTGACTTTCGCCGTGTTCACATTTTCATTCACACATTCCGTCTGTCCGTCATCTTCGCTTGCCGTATCGTATCTATAGGCATCTCTTTTTCCATTGGAAAGTAACCCTGACCTACCTGACTGCTCTCCTCCTCTTTATTGCGTGATTGTTTTTATACCAAGAGCAGACCGAGAAATGAACGAGAGCCACAATCAGCAGAGGAAGAGAGGGAGAAGGGAGAAAGCCAGCGAAAGCGTTGCTGCTGCTGCTGCTGGGGTTTTGGGTGCGGATGTTGACGAGGACAAAAAACACGTCAAAACCAAAGGGTTGAACGAGATCATAACTTCTCTGATTTTGCTTGATGATCAAGAAAAGAACGATCTTCAAGAATCGGACCAGGCCTGCCAAGAAGAAAGGCTTCAATTCGAAGAAAACCACACCCAGAAAACCCGAGCCATGATGGATTATTACTCCAAACTCCAGGATTTTCACAAAGACGCCGAGCGCGCCGAAGGCGCCAGGAAAAGAAAAGCAAAGGACAACGCTCTAGCCGCCACAAACGTCGCTGCAATGGCCATTGGTGCGGCGAGCGCCGACGATTCAGTCTCCGCCGATCGAGACTCCGCCGCCGCCGCATCCGCCGTGAACGAGAAACCCCCGGCGGCCGGGCCTCAGCGGCGCCTCTGGGTTAAGAGCCGATCAAAAGATTGGTGGGATCAATGCAACAGTCCTGATTTTCCCGAGGAGGAGTTTAAGAAGGCTTTCAGGATGGGGAAGGAAACATTCGACTTGATTTGTAGCGAGCTAAGCTCTGTGGTGGCCAAGGAGAATACTATGCTGAGGGATGCCGTCCCTGTGAGGCAGCGAGTTGCGGTCTGCATATGGCGGCTGGCCACCGGCGAGCCACTCAGACTGGTGTCTAAGAAGTTCGGATTGGGAATATCAACGTGCCATAAGCTTGTCCTGGAGGTGTGCTCCGCCATTAGGAATGTGTTGATGCCCAAATATCTGAGATGGCCCGATGAGGAGAGCGTGAGGAGGATAAAGGAGGAATTCGAGTCGATGTCGGGGATATCCAATGTTGTTGGTTCCATGTACACAACGCACATACCCATCATTGCTCCTAAGATCAGTGTCGCCGCCTATTTCAACCGGAGGCATACCGAGAGGAATCAGAAGACATCGTATTCGATTACTGTCCAGGGCGTTGTTGATCCGAGGGGAGTTTTTACGGACGTCTGCATTGGCTATCCGGGTTCAATGCCTGACGATCAAGTGCTGGAGAAGTCCACACTTTTTCAGCGGGCGAACGCAGGGTTCTATCAGGGAGCATGGATTGTAGGTGGCTCTAGTTACCCATTGATGGACTGGGTATTGGTGCCGTATACGCAGCAGCACTTGACATGGACTCAGCACGCATTCAACGAAAAGATTGGGGAGATTCAAAGGATTGCTAAAGACTCGTTCGCAAGATTGAAAGGTCGATGGGGGTGCTTGCAGAAAAGAACTGAGGTGAAACTTCAGGACTTGCCGGTGGTGCTCGGCGCTTGCTGCGTGCTGCATAACATATGCGAGCTGAGGAACGAGCGATTGGACCCGGAGCTTGAGTTTGAGCTGATCGATGATGAGATGGTTCCAGAGATCGGGTTGAGGTCGGGGAATGCAATGAAGGCTAGGGATGCAATTGCTCATAATCTCTTGCATCATAACCATGCTGGCACTTCATTCCTTTCGTAAGATTAGTTCTTCATCAAATCGATCACCATTTCAAATTGTTTCTGAAACAGACAGACAAACATTCATTTACTTCTCTAATGTTTTCCATGATAAATGCTTATTGTAGATTGATTTCATTATACACACACAAAACAGAAAAGATACATACATACATACATGTTTTTAGAGTTGGTTAACTTTTATGTAGGATGATTGTTTTATCGTACTAGTATTATATACTTCCTAAGCATTGTATTATTCAATACCATAAAAATATTTCAAAGTTTCCTCTTTTTCTGCAGTTTGTATGGAAAGAATAGATAGAAAAACGAAAACCAATCAAATCCTTAATACATCATTCGAAAAGACAGGAAGGTAGAATCGCTGTAGAAATGGTATAAAAGAAATCATTAATAAAGTTTTGCCTGGATCTTGCAGGATCGTTTAGACAAAAACACGTTGCGTTGCTTGCAAGTTTAAAATAAGTTCTGTGGGAACGGTGTTGACAATAAAGTCAAAATGGCAATGCCAAGCAGGTGATCCTTTTCACACTACCAACGTATTGTATATAGGCATGAGATGAGGATGATTGCATTTATTCAAACGAAAGGATCGATAGAGATGTAGATGCCTGTCGACTTGGTCTACTCCCAATGAGATATTGACCACAGAGCAAAGTAATAGGAGCCGAAAGTAAGAGGCATTATTCGTGTCTCGATCTTATCAACATGCTTAATCTTCTAATGAAACGATAATAAATGTCCGAAAAAGTCTTTGGGGGTATTTGAGAATTGAGAGCAGGCCTTGACCTTGCATTTATGACACATAATTTAAATATGGGTATATTGCACAAGTCCACAAGATTGACAGATGATACCATCCATCCATCCATCACTCAGTGACTCAATCCCCATGCCTAAGTCAAACATTGGTGCTACATGCGACACTCTGTCTCTACTCCAACCACTTGTCTTTCCCAGTAATTGTTTGCTTGTTTATTCCTCTTTCCATGATGCCCCACAACACAATGATCATCGTCATCGCCTCCACCCGACATGTTTCACTTTGATAATAATAAATTTGATTCATTTGACCCACCCCAGATGCAAATCCCACCTGCTGCACCTTGGTGTAGCCCTCCAACCCTTACAAAATATAGATGTAGAAAGAATGATGGAGATTTCAAGGTTTAGTAAATGTAAAATGACAACAAAGACGATGTCAATAGATCAAGCCAAGGTGAATAGAACTCCAAACATGGGGTATTGACAGAAAACTGCTACCACCAAATCATCAAACAAACCAAACAAACAGAATACACTGCTCGTAATTCTCAAAAACATCCCCCGTTAATTTGGAAAACATGTGCTTGTTTCTCAAAACAATGGAGTAAAACACAGCCAAGAACACTCACAGTCCTACTTTTCAGTAGGTTCTTACACTTTCTCATTGTCTTCTTTTTTCTCTTCGGAGGAGTCTGGAGAAGCTTCTTTGGCCTCTGTTTTCTTGTCATTCTCTTTTCCTTCAACACTCAACTTTTCAATTAGATCTGCAGCAGCAATGCCTTCCTTGCTTTCTCCACCATCCTTTGATAGGAGTTCAGTGATCTCTTCGATCTTATCTTTGAAAGATTTACAATCTGAAGCAAGAAAGTATTAAGCCATAAAAAATAGGAGCCTATACAAATCAGATAGCAAATGTTTGCTCATAGCTAAGATAAACACAATAATGTATGTACTCTGGGTAGGCTATTACATTATAAAGAAGGGATTGATAAAATAATCCGTCATCTACCTGTAACGCATCTCTTTTAAGTTTCTCAAAGTAAAACCAAACAAACATATAGTAAAGAAAGACTAAAATCTCCAATCCGATCCATATCAGCTGTGGGCCTCAGGGATAGGATTAGATTTCATAATCAAGAAAGGAACACTCAAATAAATTGTCGTTCGCCTACAACCAAAACCAATGCAAATCTGTTGCGCATTTGTTTTCATTTTCGCAAAGTGACAATCAGGCTTAAATAAGCATGTGATATCCAGAATATGTTATAATGCAAAATAAGTTCAGTTAGAGAAATTTTAGACTTCACTCACTCTCCACAGAGGCAAAACGAATGCAGAACGTTTCCTCCTTCAGCTCTCCATCTGCAAAATCAGCGGCATGCCAGACACAGGACTTCTCATTCCCATGATGCTCTTGAACCGTCATTGTGCACAGCACTAACAAAACATAAAAAAACAGATATCAGATCTAATGTTTCAAGACATGAAAAATATGTTACAGGTTATAAAATGACAATCACCGGCAGAAACAACCAACTACAGAATAATGCCAAAATCAAAAGCATGCTTTACTAACCAAGATGGTTGGCACAGATCTTAAGGGTCTTGTTCTGCCTCATGACAAGCCTAACTTTGCCACTTTCCTTGTGCTTTAGTAGTTTCACGGTCCCAACTCCCCTCTCCTTCCATTGATTTCCTTCCTTATCAAATCTATATAGCTTTGCTTTCCTACCAATGACAATCAATAATCTTTAATTGTTACACGATCAATGAATTCCAATCAAACAAATTCGACAAGCAAAAAAACACAAAAAGCTTAACGGATAACCCGTTACAGTTAATCCACGAATTTATTTTCCTATCCATCATAGACAGCAATCCAATCACCCCAATTTTCTTAACCATTAGCAACACGAACAGTTGGCCGATCCAACTCAATTCAGTTGAAGCTTAAAACCACTAACATTTCAGAATTACTAACTTCTAATATCAGTTCACAGAGTTCAATCCGACATCTATATCATCACAAGCAACTGATCTTCAGCATTCGCACCAACTGATTCCACCCCTAAATGATCGAACTTTTAATTTTATCAACTCATTCCAAATATTAACTAGATCATCTCTTCCCCTAAAAAAGTAACGATATTCATTCATTTTGGATTTAATCTAGAAAATGATCACTGACAAGTCGAGTAAAATATCTTCGTTTTCTTCGCCCGTCGTAACGGAAACTTCCTGGAGCTTGACGATCGGCGCTACTTGAGCCCCGGTATCCTCATCTTCAGCTGATGGCTTCGAATCATCCTCTTCTTCTTCTTCTCGTTTCAAAGCCATCGGCTCCTCTGTGCTCGCCATCGATTATTTGCGCAGCCTTTCTGCAAAAAAAGGTAGTGAGAGAGAGAGGGGCAGGGTGGGGAGGTAGTGCGATCCGGCGTAAGGTTTGGCCTTGAAGTAGCAGCAGCATCCAACCACTGTAGCAGAGTGTGCAAACTCTTACAGTGAACACTTAATCTCAAGGGTTTCCACAGGCCCACTTGATTTGGGCTTCTCAAATCAAGTTGGGCCAAAATACTATGGGTCCGAAACTCAATTTCTTGATTCCAATAAAGTAGTTTTGGAAAGCCCAATATGAGATCCGAAATCCGATGATAAATCTAGTCTAGATCCCTTCACATGTTCCAATCCGAATGCCTCCAACGAGATTGATTGATTGAATAAATATACACGCCACTTCCAGTCACGTTCCACGAACTAATTTAAGATTCAGCTAATTCAGCAACCCAATAAGATTAAATTATTTTAAAAACTGAATCTTTATTATTATTCTTATTGTTACAAAACAATGTCTTTTGTAAGGTTAGATGTGAAAAGAGCAATTCATGGTCCACAGCTTGCAGAATGCAGACAACGGGTTGAAATTGAAGTGCTTCCATAGCTAATGATGCAATGTCTTGAATTGACTCCGCCATTTGTCTCTTGACAGCAATTGAAAAAGCATTTTACTTTTATGGGTAAAATGTAATTATATAATAGATGATTGTTTAATTAAGAGATTCTTTTTTGTTCCCCAAACCCCATTTGCTTGGTAGGGGTGGATTCTATGTATTGGCCGCAAAAGCACTGACCATTTACATATATATATATATATATAAAACTACATAATAAATATGACTCTCCGGAAAAGGGCTTTTGTTTGACAGTTATTAGCACTCCAGCTCTTGTCGGGTTATTGAATTCATAAAATATTTATATATGTATCTTTCCTTCTTTTTGCTGTTACTCTTGTAATTACTTAAACTGGCGTTAAGCCTTCAACCAACCAACCAACCCATCATCATAATAATTGTGTAGTGATGCAAGATAGTGAAGTAACTATTGGCTGAAAGAGAGCTGGATTAACAAAAGTGGCTTGCGACGATTTGAATATAGGGTTGACATGAGTTGCCTCAGATCCAGGACACTCAAGCTGAGAGGAAAAAGTCGCCTTTTTTATTTCAGGGTTTCCCTGTGATTCTTGGAACTGTTCTAGCCTTTTCTAGCTTCCTTCCGATGAATCAACCCTTTTGCTGATGAAGGGCTGAGCTTAATTCCTCGTTCTGATTCTTCATTTAGGTTATAAATATTTATGCTTTTTCTGTTTGAGTTAGTCCTTCCTTCCTTTCCCTCTTTTTTCCTATGTGCAGTCTGCTTGATGAAGATGGACGGGTAGTGAAAGTGTCCAGAAATAAGAAAGGAGGTTCAGACAAGTTAGTATATTTACCTTTCTGTATGCGGTGACAATTTTTCACGGATGATGGCTGTTTATTTTTAGGTGACCAGATCTGACAAGTCATTCCTATTTTTAGCCACTTTAACTGAGACCGAGTAGGTTTGCTGTGATTCTGGGTGAATCAAGTGTGATGTAGTGTAGACATAATTAAGCTTCTTCTATATATGATGCGAGCAGCTGCATCAATTTTTACTTGTGCATTAAAGAAAGGCGACCTATTAATTTAATAATGACAGCTCCTGTAATTCTGGATGGGCGGCGGGGTAACTTTGGCTGCTCAGATAGTGATTTCAATGGAGGAGATGTATGGGGCGGTTGCACTACCATTTAGATTAGGTAATTTGATATTTGACGACATACTGAGTTTCCCATTTTGTATGGATGGAATGGACTACGATTCGAAGGCTGACCGAGCAAGCTTGATTCCGGACACGGGGGTTAATATCTCCGGCAAGGCTGGTGGAGATGGTGATGATGAGGATTGCAGCTGCGGCGACTCGGGAAGTGAAGTTAGTTTCAGTCTGTTGTTGGGGTCGAGAGAGTCGTCTAGGAGTGGGGTGTCATCTGTGCTAGCTATGACTTCTGAGGATGAAGGCAACTGGTTCGCTGGAGGCATAGAGCGCGCCAGTGAAGAAGATGGATCATCATCATTGGAGGGCGACACTGCTCTGGACAGCTGCTGCTCTCTGTCAGTGGCAAGCGATACTAGCAGTCTATTCGGGGATGATCTGCTGTTAGGCTTCGAGATGAATTCTGAGATTGGGGCTAATGTGTTGGATATTGGCAAGACTGTATGTGATGACGAACAAGAACTGATCGCCAAAAACCAGGAGCCCGAAGATCCAAGTGATGGTGGTGATTCTCTGTCTGTGGCGACTGGAGTTGGGGAAGAGATAGCTGTTGTTGATCAGGCCAGCTTGAAATCAACTATGATCGACCAGCAGTTGGATAAAAGAACAAGTGGAAAGATGAGCCGAAGTATATTTGAGGTGGACTGTGTGCCACTCTGGGGTTTAGTATCAGTGTGCGGAAGGAGACCTGAAATGGAGGATGCTGCTGCAGCCGTGCCTCGCTTTTTTAAAATTCCTATCCGTATGTTAATTGGCGACCGCATCATTGATGGAGTGGGTTCCCATTTGAGTCACTTGAGTGGTCATTTCTTTGGAGTTTATGATGGCCATGGAGGCTCACAGGTGTGTGTATACATATGTATATATGTGTGTGTCTGTGCATATAGTTGAGTTTTTACCTATAGAACTTGATCTCTACACATGAATTACATACAGGTTGCTCATTATTGTCGGGATCGAATTCACAATGCTTTGGTTGAGGAGTTGGATACAATCATGAGCAACGTGAGCAGCAATGGGGATAACAGTGAAGAACAATGGAGAAGGGCTTGCCACAAATGTTTCATCAAGGTTGATGGGGAGATTAGCGGGAAATCTGGTGGTGGTGAGCCCGTTGCTCCAGAGACGGTTGGCTCTACTGCTGTTGTTGCCATAGTTTGCTCGTCGCATATAATAGTGGCCAACTGTGGTGACTCACGGGCTGTGCTCTGCCGGGGCAAAGAACCAATGGCGCTATCGGTGGATCATAAGGTAATTGACTATATCCCATCTCCCGGATCTGAGTTGTTGGTGAATCTTGGTCTGATGTCACTGTCTACTGCTCTCTGTCTGGTAGCCTAACCGGGAAGATGAATATGCAAGAATTGAGGCATCGGGAGGCAAGGTGATACAGTGGAATGGACACCGTGTCTTCGGAGTCCTGGCCATGTCCCGGTCCATTGGTACGCCCATGCTTACCAGAAATCCTATTAATGTAGGCAATGCAATTATGTGTCCTGAGGGGATGTATGGTAACTGTCTTTGTCTATATATGCAACTTTGGTGAAATATTGCGGCTGCAAGTTGTACCATATCGAATGATGTGCTCATAAGTGCTGATTATTAATTTTGTTGGGGTTGACGTGAATTTGGTTAGAAATGACTGAGGCATGATTTGGTCGTTGTGAATTGCTATTTGCACTTAGTGGTTGGGTATGTGATCATCATTGTTTGAAGGTGTTTAGTTAGTTAGTTAGTTGGTTAGTGCTTGGTTTTGACTTGCGAGCTTGGGAGTCACTCTGAGTTATGAAATGGCCAGTCTTTATGGGATTTAATAAAATACAAATATTTCTTGGTATCTGCAGGGGATAGATATTTGAAGCCCTGGATAATACCAGATCCTGAAGTGATGTTTGTGCCCCGAGCAAGGGAGGATGACTGTCTCATACTTGCTAGCGATGGCTTGTGGGATGTCATGTCCAATGAAGAAGTCTGCGACATTGCGCGCAAAAGGATTCTGCTCTGGCACAAGAATAATGGAGTCGCACTGCCGGAGGTGAGGGGCGAAGGGGTCGACCCTGCAGCTCAGGCGGCTGCTGAGTACCTATCGAATCGTGCGCTTCAGAAGGGCAGTAAGGATAACATCACAGTAATTGTGGTAGACTTGAAGGCTCAAAGGAAGGTCAAGAAATCCTAGCATAAAGACATGAATCACTCTGGTACTGGAATTTGTCCGTGCCTGCAGATTCGACAAATGCCTCCCTGCTCATCAAGAGTCTCTCTCTCTCTCTCTCAACTTCTTTCATTCAACACACAGCCCGCAGCGAGCTGGAATTGATAGTAAGTATAGCCCTCCTACGTGCTACGCACTGGAACTTTGTAATATTGAATGATCCAAACAAGATTTAAGCAAGTGGTTACTATGTGGTCCTGTAATCCATCCCATGACATGTATATGTGCAGAATCAGGGTGATTGAAGGTGTAACTAATAAATCATTGGTTTATTATGGATACAATTATTCATTTGGTAACAGTTTTTAACACTTCCTGTTTGCCTCTGCAAAACAACCTGAGATATTGAGGTACAAATATAGATCTTAAACATTCAAATGGCCACAGCATCCTTTTTATAACTGACTGAATAAAAGATATCATCTATGTCACCAGCATAATAAATATCCATCTCAGAGGAGATTGCAGATCAATACACCTATACCAACATAAAAATATAAACAATATGTCGATCTGGTGCTAACTTGCGAGTTACCTCTATGGGATGAGATTCTTTAAGTGCATCCATTTGAAGTTCCCCAGTGTTTTCATCTAGAATTTGAGTCCAAACTATCCATTCTTGAAACAAGTTCTCAATAGCAAAACAGCTTACCTACATGCCAAAATGTAAAATTTATATTAAACAGAGAGTCCACGATTATTCCATGTTCAAAAAATAGCCAAACCACTTATGTGCCAGTTCATGAGCTACCCTCGGCAGTGACCTTTGTGGAAGATTGCATTCATTAAAAACATCAAGATGAAAATTACAACTTTAAAGATACTGTAATTAATTCATGCAGCTTGATTTATTTCAAGCATATCAAGTATACAGTTGTTTGAAGTTGAAGAGTACTCAGCGTTGTAAAGAAACCCTGCTTCTCTAACCGTAACAAGACAATAATTCTCCATTGCCCCAGCAGAAGATTAAGAATTTGCAATCATGTCAGATTTAGGAAGTGAATAGAGCACGGGCACCACTAAAGGGCTAACAAATTTTAATTCCATTAAGTACAATGTACCCTTTATCAACTCCAAGAGTTTTGACAGCAACATCCAGAACAAATTTTCCTTGACTGGCCCTGCCAATTTACAGTATCCATACAGCAATTCTGGGAAAAATTGATAGGAAATAACTAAGACCACAAAGATATGATCATTCAACATCAAAAAGAAATTATATGGGGGAAAAGAATTAAGTGTAATAAGTTAATATAACAATGAAAACTTTCTAAAAACATAACAGATAAACAGAGCCATGAATCAAATTGCACAAGCTACGCAGAAATATAGATGAATGCGAAAGCATCACCTCAGCATCATTGGGCTCAAACTGATCACGGCTATACTTCTCACCATTGTGCTCGTAGGTGCTGCCAAGGCATCATAATTTATAGAATTGGAACACTTCTCACCATTGTGCTCGTAGGTGCTGCCAAGGCATCATAATTTTTATAATTGGAACTTAACTCATTTGGATTCCATTAGCATAGAATTGAAATGATTATGTTCTAGAAAGAGGAAACACACAAAGCCTTTTTTGGTAATGGATTCCATTCCATAATCATTACTTTGCCAACATATAAGGCAAACATAGAGAAATACACATACAAGAGAGTAAAAAACAAACAAGTATACACGATAAAAGAACAACACTTGAAACATAAATAAACTGTGTAACTAAGGAAACCATTCCTAAAAGTATGCAGTGATAGAACAGCCAACTAAATGTTTGATTAGAAAATTTCATAAAACAATAAAATTCATAGAATCTGTTGGTCCCAAAATTCGTTTAAAACAAAACACACCAGTTTTTTCACAAAAAGAATTCGAACATCACAAACAAAGTTATGTTGTTCTTGGAATATTCAAACAACTCTCGCACATAGTAAGCGAATAATAAATCACACTCGAAATTGATAGCCCAGTTTGGTCCAACAGTGACCATCACTCTCCATGAAGAACAAAAATAGAGCTTACAATAGAGTTGTCCTAAATGCTGCCTAAAGAGCACACGCCTTCTTCCTAAGGTTGCTCAACTAGCCATCTATACACCCAATCTTACCTACTCTATTTTCCTGTCATAAAGCTGTTCATTATCCCAATTATTCTCTCAACAATCTTACCTCACTCTTTGCTTCTTCACAAAACTATATGTTCTCTATGAACAAAATTCACATCGCTGATATAATCGGCACACAAGGTAAAAATGTCAAATATGAAAATAAGTTATTCTAAATAAATCCACTCCACCATATTTTGCTAATCAAATCTCTTAAAATATACTTATTTAATTCAATCAAATCCTTTAAAATCGAGTTCCTTTCGGTATTAATCAGCTTGGGTCACAACAAATAAATCACTTGTTTCATGTTGATGGGGCCACAGCTATCCACCAGTATCCATATGTTGATTGGACCAACTGCGGACAACGTCAACCAAAATCCATTTATCAACAGAATTCATATTAGAATACAGTTCGTATAACTCATTAATAACTAAAGCAAAGAGGTGAATTCATTGCATCAAGCCAACTATTCAAAACAGAATGAAATTAAACTTAAAACAAATATCGCGCATTCTGAAGATAAAATTTAAATGGACTCATACTGTGAATTTTCGTTCTCAGACAATGAACAAAACGACGAACGAAAAAAATTTAGCCAATAGTACTGTGCTCCCAGGTGATCTTACTACTTAATGTGAAGAAGACAGAACCTGTTTTCACAGAGAGTTCGAAGGAGTCGTGTCGAGGCCTAGGAACTTATATACTGAAGCGAAGGTACATGCAGTGAGATCAGCGCTGAGATTGTCGGTGGCAGCGTTTAGGTATTGCGAAAATTGGATAAGCGTAGCTTCCCTGCCCTGCCCTACCCTACCCTACCCTGCCTCTCAATCGAATCGAGCATACTTCTGCTCCTGCTCGAGGCGCAGCCATTCGTCTCTGTCGGATTATGGAGCTCTAGCCAAGTGTGCGTCGTGCTTGCTCAAGCTTTGTCGAAACTCGCCTGGAGCACTCTTGATAGTAACTGCACGTTAACAAATGTAATAATGGGCTGAACCTCACTAATGGGCTGAAACAGATAAAAACAGTCCATGGACTTGGCCCAGCTTGACTGACTTTGCACCGGATGCGCCTCGCCGGCACCGTATGTACATACAAGCAACAAGCGAGAAGAATGAGAAAGAATTTGATTTGTGCGCTGTGTTATGTTAGTGTGATGGTTTGCCGATTTCGTTTATTTACTTGAGAATTGGTCTGAAGAACAAGGTGGGGACTGGGAGGGAATGGGGATCTTGAGAGACCAGAAGCGGCCATCGTCGTCTTCTTCTTCGGCGACTTCACCCTGTGCTCATCTCAGAACTGCCTATCACAACTGCTTCAACAGGTGAATACCCATCCGGTCCATTGGTTCTGGGTGGGTTCTTGATTTACTTGTTGCTGAGTGTCTGATTAATATTCGTAAAGAAGATGATGATGGTCTGGTCTGGTCTGTCTTGCCTTTTGTGACTAATAAATAGAGCAGCAACAGTTGCTGTTGAATGTGCAGGTGGTACTCGGAGAAGTTCTTGAAGGGTCAGTGGAATAAAGAAGAGTGTGTGTCTCAATGGGAGAAGTACAAGGAGTGTTTGTCTGTAAGCTACTGCTACTATTATTACTATTATTGCTACAACCTCCAAAGAGTGTTTGCAGTTGATTACTAATGCATTGGGTGAGATATGAGAGGGTGAGGATTTGCTTTACCCTACTCATAGATTCCTTCCTTAATACATTCGTGTTTTTGTGGTTTGGCCAGCAACATTTGGATGACAAGCATCTAAGCAGGTTCTTGGATGCTGATGGCGTTGTGGATTTGAACAACAAAGCAGACTCTCGAAGCTAACCACATCAGTTCCTTCCTATTCATGAATTTTGATCGTGTGCTGTGTGGTGTTGTTGGGATGGAACGCAGGATGAGCAATTGCTTCTGCTTTTCTGAATTATGAGGAAATCACAAACCTTGAGAGCAGCAGCTCATCATCATATATGGAGGCAAGCTTCTCCACAAATTATGATAATAAAGTGTTATAGCCTATTACACTTGCTTTGCAATGATTGATTTTAATCTAGGACCACCGAGAATATTAGGTTTTTTTCTTGAAAAGAAAATGGGCAACCATCCACTCTTCTCCATTGTTGTAGCCAAATAGTTCTGCAACTGCTATGAAAAAGGTTCTCCAATATGCTGTCCATTTTACAGCTGAATCTTTTCCGTAAGTGGACTCCATGATTGGCTTAATGGAGCTCAAGTTCTGATCCATTCTCTTAAGCCATTCCTCACTGAAATGCAAAAGACAATTCTGGCAAAAGCAAACAATCTTAGGTTTAAGTTTAAGAGATGAAGTTAGCATCCTAACCTTGTCTGTGCATAATGCTTTCCATTCACAAGCCAATGATTCACTATAGACACATCCTCCTGCCAGCAAATGATGGGAAGGTATTGGTAACATGCTTATATATAGTGTGTATTTACGAGCTGAGCCTAAAGTCACCTGAAAATAGAGTAGCAGGTTCGCCGAGGGCATTGTGCCTCCAGAAAAGAAGTACCTAGTGATCCAATCATCCTCCCCAACATCCTGCGGGGCAATGTACAAATTTGAAGTGCATTGATTGAAAAGTTTTAGTCTCTACAATTAAGATGCAGAAGATAGATTACCTCAAAGTGGTAAGCAAATGCTTTATGGCAAAAGTAATGGACAAATAGAAGGCCATCTGGTTTCATCCACTTGGATATCTTCTTCAGAAGATCATGGTAGTTCTTCATATGCTGTGTAAAGGAAATTTATGACCCTGGCATCAGTAATTAATATATGAGTGTGAGCAATAATAGGACAAATCAGCACCTCAAACATTTCAATGGAAAAAATTCTGTCATAAGAAGCTTCCATATCAAAAGTGCTGATGTCTGCAACAATGATATCCACATTCTGCAGCTTAAGATCCCTGACAAAAAAAAAATGAGTTGAGGTCAGGGTAGATACAAACTCAACGGATTTTGATCGAGGAAACAATGGCAAGCAAACCCAATTTACAGAAATCTAAATAAGAGTCGGTGAGTAGGATTAAGTCTTGTATCCTTGGCATGCATAGATTTACGGGTATACAATGCCTGGCGTATGAAAAAAATATTTCTAGAACCTGCACCGCTCCTCGATATGCGCTTTCTGGGTTATTGAATTGCAAATCCCTGTAATCGTGCAATTGGGATACTTTTGTGCTACATAGAGAGAAAGAGATCCCCAGCCACAACCAACATCAAGAACAGAATGGCCATCATTTATTTGTGACCTCTCACAATATAACTCTAGCATTGCCTTCTCAGCATCATCCAAGGTGCTCGACTTGTCTGGAAAGAAGCAGCAACTGCACAGTGATGCAAGAGCAGTTCGATTCATGGAAAATACTTGCATCGTTAGGGTTTTATTAAATGCAAAAGCCAAAGTGCTGTAGAATGGAATTTATCCCAGAAAAGATCATGTACAGCCAATTTGGTTTGTAAAGACAAAGTATTGCCTGTATTTAAGATGCTCTCCGAGGACAAGCTTGAAGAAAGACGTTTGAACTTCATAATGCTGAGATTTTGGCTTTTCCGTGTTGATTGCTATGGGCATTTCTTTCAGTGCTGCAAAAAAGAGAAATGTTTAAGTTATAAATTATAATCCAACCCGTTCGATGCGTCAATACCCGACAAAGACTCGATCAAATAGAGGAGACTTTTACAAGCATACAAGAAAATGGATATTTCGAACAAAGTAACGCATCATCAGAATCAAAAAGCAACTATCGCAATCAAACAATCGAAAGCAGCAAGTTTCCACAGAATAATAATCCAGAAATAAAAGTAAATAGCTATAAGCTATAGTTGACCAACGCACAATGCGCGAAGTGAAGAAGGTCAGATAACTGGATCTCAGCGGATGGCCGGTAGCAGGAGCGAAGGCGACCGGCGAGCAGGATTTTCGTCAGGCGGCGCAGGACGGCGTCAGGCAGCAAGTTCCGCTGAAGCATACCAACCATGAAGCGAACTGCCGTGTTGTAAGGCGAGTACAGAAGCGAATCCCAATTGCCGCCGTTAAGTGCGCCATCGCCGACGCTGGCCGACATGTCCAAGTACAGTAAGAGGTAAAAGTGGGGCGCTCCTCCGTTTTGGGTTATCTAAACCTGTCCTGCCTGGATGACAATCATGTTATAGATGACTACAAAAATTGACCGACAAGACAATCCGATACGAAATAATTTAATTTGGATCAAAGATTTCACGTCGATGATAATACGACAATCCTATTATAATATATTAATATTAATTAATATATTTATTATATATATATAATAATTATAATTTAATAATTTTCTCATAAATTAATTTAAACTAAGTTCAATTTTAAATAATTTAATCTAATTTAGGCTCAACCAATAAAAACTAATATAACAAAAAAAATATTTACTTTGAATCAAAAAATTCGACTTAATTATATATACGGGTTAACACGAGTCAATTCGAACCCGATAAGATAATAAATGGGTCAATACAAACAGTATTCAATAAGATACGAACCCGACACGAATTAACCCATTGTTAGCTCTATAGATAATACTCTTTTGTTACTCCAATCCAGTATGGTCTTATATTTTTACAATCCTATAAAAAAAATGAAAAAAAGAGCCAACAAATGTCATTTATCATCTATATATATTTTAGTAAAATTTATTAATTAAAATATAAATTTATTGAATTAATTATATAATATATAACATTATAAATTATAATTATTTTTTTAAAAATATAATTTTTATTTATATTTAAATTCTTTTTTACAAAATTAATTTATATTAATTATAAATAAATAAAATTTATGTTTTTTTAGTAATATTCATATTTTATATATTTTTATTATTATATAAATTTTAAAATATTGAAATATATTTTTTAATTATATATATTAAATTTATTAATATTCCTTCTGTTCCGTAGTATCAATTTACATTTTGTTTAATATTAAAAATATCTATTATATTTGCATAATTTTTATATAAATATTATTATATTAATATTAAGTATTTTGATTGATTTGTATTATATTTTAATATAATAATTATTATAAAGATCAACATTAAAAAAAAAAAAAAAAGTGAGTAAATTTACACCTTATTAGAAAGTATTTGTTAATTATATAAAAATAATAAAATCGTACGGTAGCTATTAAACATAATTTATACTAATACTACTAGGAATAGAAATAGATATTAGTATAATATAAAGTGGGAAAATCCCTTGCTAACGGAAGAAGGAAGTTCCTTTTCTTATGTATGTGTAGTGACGAAGTGAACATGAACGGGGGATTGCTAGCATAAATGTCAACACATAGAGGGAGAGAGCGCAATTTCTAAGGTAGAAACTCAAGAGGCAGTGAAATCTGCAATTTGACGATCTACACAAGAGTCCAAAGTTGGATGTACTGGGCATCCTTCCACTCAGCCCCAAATCCAATAATATCTTCCTCCTCCCCAGCTACACCCACACTCGCACCCGTCCATACACACATCAAGACAAAAACAGCGATGAAGCTTGTTCCACATTAACTACCTCTTGATTCAATTTGTGTAAGTTTCAAAGATATGTTTTCTTTTCACTTTCGTAGGATTTACTCGTTTCGTGGCCGGATTTTGCTCGATCTTATGCGTTAGCTTCATTTTTGGTCCGTAAACTTCTGGGTTTTTCGTTTTATTGTTGTTAAGTCAGCTGGCCGGGTATGTAGTTGGTTTTTATCGATGTATTTGTGTGTTTCATTGCTTAATTGTAGCTGCTGTATCTTGTTTCTCATGTTATACGTTGAACTGCAACGAAGGATTTCGTTAATTTTTATTTGGTTGATTTTCCCAAGCAATCGAAACGAGGAAGGAAATGAAGGCAAGAATTCACGCAAGCACACCTACTTCATTTTTTTTTTTTCCTAATTGGCTATTGATGATGGGATAACTGGACATATTTTAAATTTCTGACTTATTTCATTTCTATCCTATTTGTGGTTTACTAATTCAAAACTTGCATACTCTTTTATATAGTTTTTGCTTCGGAAGTGACAATGATGCCGTCGAAAGTTGATTCTAGGACAGGAAAAGATGAGGATTTCAATAGTGAGATTTTGTTACGCGACATTGAAGAAATTAGCAAAGCCCTTTATTTGCCGCCAAAAACATTTAATTCATCATTGGAAGATCAGCCAAGTGTGACCACTATTACTGGTAATTTAGAATCTAAATCTAAAGTCAGTATGCAAAGTTTGTCGGATAAGGATAAGAAATCATCAATCCAAAGTTCCTCACGAAAGGACAAGAAATCATCAATATGGAATTGGAAGCCTTTAAAGGCCCTTATGCATTCCCGCCAGCATCGAATCAGTTGCTGTTTCTTTCTTCATGTCCATGCTGTTGAAGGGTTGTCTTCAGATTTCAATGGCCTCAATTTATGTGTTACTTGGAAGCAAAAGGGGAACATGTTGCGGACTCGCCTTGTTCCAGTCTGTGCTGGAATAACCGAGCTTGAGGAGACCCTTACGCACCATTCTATCATCTATGCACATAGACCTGGGGCCCATAATTTAGCTAAGTATGAGCCCAAGCTTTTCCTGCTTCATACATCTGTGATTGATCCACACGGGCAAGATGTTGACATTGGGAATCACTGGATTGATCTAACTAGGTTACTCCCACTTACTTTGGAGGAATTGGGAGGAGACAACAGAAACTCGGGGAAGTGGACCACTTGTTTTAAGCTTTCTGGAAAGGGTGAAGGAGCTGTGCTCAATGTTAGTTTTGGGTTTTCTGTATTGGATGGTAATTCGTATGATCCAAAATATTTTGTGAAAGATCCTCTTCCTTTGAGAGATGATAGTTCCATAAGGATGGATCATTCTACTGATTTTCATAGTAGTAGAGTCAACCAGTTGCATAAATTTGGCAGTGTCCCGACCATATCAACTCAAGAGTCATTCCATCAGTCAAAAGGCATAAAGTTTATTGATGGGGTTATCTTAAACAAGGAATTGGAGCTTGGAAAGTCAATCAGTTTACTATATCAGAAGCTTGAGGAGGGGAAGGTGCAGAATTCTATAGAATTTGACCTCTTTCATGAGACACTAGACACTGTAAATTCGATGTCTGGTGGAAACATGATGCATGCATACAATGACACAGGCCTTAATGTAGTCGAGCATGGTGTGGAAGTATCTACGGAGGATCAGGTTTGCACAGAACAAAACAATAGTCAAAGATTTGATAGCTCTCTTGTAGAGATAATAAATATTGCAGACATCTTCAACGAAGGTGATTGTTTTGATGTGGATGTTGAAAGGACATCAAAGGTTGATGCAAGCAAGCATGGGCAGAACGACAGTGCAACAGATGCTACAGAATCCAACTTCCAAAGCAGATCTGATAAAGAACCAAATGTTGAACTGCAGTCAGATTCCTGTGACATGCTGACACCTAGATCAATTCATTCGGATCCTGTGGTAGACACTAACAAGTTTTATGAGCAAGCAAATTGCACTACAAGCAAGTGTGGTTATGATGTAATCAATTCCACTACATTTGTGAACTTGGATGATGTTGCAGAATCTATAGAGAATGATTTTCTCAAAATGTTGAACATTGAGCAGAGTCCGGTTAACTTAAGTTCTGGTGGAAGCTCTGAGTCTTCCAGTAAGTACTTATTAGAATTGTTCAGAGAGGACAATACAGATTTTGAGGACCCCATCATTGATACTTTTTTAATGGAAGAGCAGGATACTTGCTGTCTGGTTCCCCATGGCTATGACAGACTGGAAAGTTCAGATGATACGGTTTTTTCATTTAGCCTTCAAACAACTGAAAGAAAAAACCATGTTAGTCCATCCTGGAAGGTGAGAAATGGAAGAAATGCTAAAATGCTTGAATACCAGGAAACTGAATCTTTAATGGAGGAGTGGGGTCTCAATGAAAAGGCTTTCCGGAATTCTCCTCGTGCCAGTCCAGGTGGATTTGGAAGTCCAGTCTATCCTTCAGGTGAACAGCCATTGAAATTACCTTCCCTTGGAGATGGCCTGGGTTCAATAATTCGGACTAGAGATGGTGGCTTCTTGCGGTCATTGAATCCCTTACTTTTCCAAAATGCTATAAACGATGCCAAATTAATTGTGCAAGTCTCTCCTCCAATTGTGTTACCTGCTGCAATGGGATTTTCTGCCACAGATATTCTACAGCAATGGGCATCCCAGGGGGTGGAAAGGATGTCTATACAATGTAAAGAATTGATGCATTTGGAAGATATCACAGGGAAAACCATACAACAAGTATTTTCAGAAACAAAATCTGGATCAGATGCCTCCACGAGGTCTGTTAATCGACTAACTGATACTTGGGTGCAAATTTTTTAGTTCATTTTATTTTAATTCTAAGAGCATTTATTAATTTTTTCCTTTTTACTGCACAGATTATCTTTGCTGCATGCACCAGAGATTGGGCTTAAGTCAATTGGTGAGAAAAAGGCATCCGAGGATCAACCATTTATTAATGTTCGGAGTTCTGATTGCCTCGACCCATCCACTAGTTCAGAGGATATGGAATCCGAGTATGTAAGTATCAAGAATCTTGTTCCTCTGGCCATACGGAATATAGAAGGACTTCTGATCGAAGGGCTAAAGATTCAGTCTGGTATGCAATGTAAAGAATCTCCTTCAAACATTTGGATCCAGTTTTCGACAAATTCAGGCTTGCAGGCTCTGGATGATGATGATTTAGTTAACTATGCTGTGACATTAGAGGAATGGATCAGGATGGATTCTGGAGATTTTGATGGCACAATTGAAACTGATAAAAACGTTTTGAAAGTTCTGGCAGCGCATTGTGCCAAATATATGGATCTTGACAGAGGCCAGCTTGTAAAGGAAGATCACAGATTCAACTTACTGGATGGAACATGTGGTGGTATTTTTGAGAACAACTTTACTATGGTTCTGAAAGTGCAGCTTAGAGATCCTCTGCGAAATTACGAAATGGTTGGTCCTGCTATGCTTGCTTTGGTTCAAGTGCAGAGGATTTACTCACCCTCCCAACCAGGATTGCAATGTTTCTCACCAGAGAAAAGTTGCCATGCAGAACGGGTTAGTCTGGATGATAGTTTAACACAAGAAGGGAATGGATTTCAGAAAAACCAAAGTTGTGGGGCAGGAATTCCACAGTTTAAAGTCTTGAATGTCCATCTTGCTGGTCTGAAACTTTCCCCTGCGAATGAACACCTATGGGGAACCAGTAGACAGCATCAATCTGGGGCCAGATGGTTGTATTCTAGTGGCAGTGCTAGGACCAACAGGCATCCTATTTCCACTTCCAATGCAATTGTAAAACCATCCATGGCAATAATGAGAAAGGCGTCGCAAAGGGATGTTTTATGGAGTATAGCTCCCCCATCTCAAGGTGAAGCTGTCCTGTGGGATGACCTGGTTGCACTGAATGTTCACATAAGAAACCCTGATATCATTTTTCCGAGTGAGGCTTCAGTTTACCAGCAGAAGTAAGAAGATAGGTTAGTCAATCTAGTTGGGGTTGTCCTCTTTGTTCAATATATACATGACATATGATCAGTTTGGAGGTATGACTGCCGTGTTGTAGAATCTGACCCCCCTTGGGGTTTGTTGAAGGCAGTCCAAATGTAACTAAACATGGTTTTCAGCTTAAATGATAAGACTTGCTAAAGAGTGCATCCATGTACAGATATGCAGAAATGCATCAGCAAATTTAAGCAACTAGGCTGATTCAAATTTTATCAAATTCTTATTATTTTTCATGATTTTTTAGATGGTGGCTCTAGCAAGTTGCCAAGTTTCAAGGGTTGAGAGTTGCAAGTGCTTCCTAATCAGCACTGGAAAAGCATTTCATGGATGCTGGTGAATCTGTAATAGTTTTGCTTCATCTGCGTTGTGGAAAATGCCTGTTATATATATACTTTTCTTGGTTTAGTTCTAACTTCTATTTTCAGAAGCATATAATTCAACTACTTAAAGTTTGGATACATGGAGGAACAGGGATTCTTAGATGTCCTGTGGGGCACCCTAAATGTCTATATCCTAAATTCTAACACAAAAGCTTTGAACTCGTTCCCCTCCTCCTTCATCAAATTCAGGAGTCTGGGACCAAATTTCAAAAGGTAATCTCACCCTTCCGCCCTCCTTCTAGGGGAAATATTGGTTACAGAATAAGGATGCTCGTCTTATTACAATTACTGAATTGATTGATCTTAGATTAAAGGCACCTGATGGTTGTGGATTCCCTCATATGTTGTTACCACATACTGCGGATCGTCTGTGTCCCGCTCAACTCTCTTCTTCACGGGGCACCCTTCCACCGAGCATTTGTAATAGTTCCTGCAGTTACATTGGCACACAGTTTGCAACTCCATGAGTTTTGCGACATGGAATATTAGCAGTGCTAAAACAACAGATAAGCATCGGTTGAGAATGATCTGGCTGGCAGTACCTTGGATTGGGGCTGTTCTTAACCATCTTCTTGCCATACTTCCTCCACTTGAAACCGTCGTCAAGTATCTCGATCTCTGACTTGGTTTTGAAGGCAACCTTATCCGCCCTTGCTATGTTCTCCCTTGCACTCTCTCCTAGTCCTGATGATATCAGAGACATATGTTAATTGGACAGTTTCAACATGATTATAGATGCATGCATATATTTGATGGTTTGTGTATGATGTTATCGATTACTATATATTGATAGTAGAGTAGTAGTACCTTGTTGGAAGGTGGTGTCGGCAAAGATGGCTTGCTGGGGAGTGTAATTGATAGGCGGCAGAGGTGCAGAGGAGGGTGGAAGGGTGGTGTCCTCAATCCACTGGTCATAGATGTGCAAGAAATCAGCAATCTCGAATGATTCCTGGAAAGCAGAGATGTCTGTAATGGGATGATTGCCAGGGCCAGGGCCAGTGCCAGCCATGATATAGTCAGTAGAATTAGGATATGATACGACAGTTGGGGTGCATTGGCCCATGTAAGCAAGCAAGCCAGCTTATGCGTATTTATATCTATCTATCTATCTATCTATTTATGTATAAAAGGAGGGAGAGCTAGCTCAGGAAGAGAGGTGTGAGTGGCGAGGGTGAGGGTGAGGGAGCTTCGTGCAATGTATAAAGAAGGTTCGTAGTGGGTGCAGATTGCTTATCAGTGGTGATGGCTATGGAACTGAGTGGGGACCCACCCACCCATTCATTCATATTCATATGATGTGCAGAGAATCGGGGAGAGGACTCGTGCGTCGACTTTTCTCATCTGCACTCCACGAATAATAATAATAATAAGAAAGAAGGAGAAGAAGAAGAAGAAGAGTCCTCTCTTCTCTTCTCAGCTCAGCTCATCTAATCTAATCTCATTTGGGTCCGAGTCTGAGCCTCAGGATTGACTGTTTGTTAGTGCCCAACCGAGCTAGCCAGCTTATCGGATCAATCCATCACTAGCATGCAACATCTCTTCCATGATCCATCAGAGATGGTCCTGGGCCGGGCCTCGCCCCGACCCGACGACGACGACGACGACGATACCTAGTCGTTGCTTAGTGTTGACATCAAAATGTTTATTTACTTGGGCCAATAATAATAATAAGAATAATTAAGATTGACTTGCTCTTGCGCTGCGCTGCGCGGCGAAGAATTCGGGTTTGTCACGGTCGTTAAATGTAAGGCAAGCAGACTTGTATTTGTCTGGGTCATCGTCTGGTCTGGTCTGGTCTGGTCTGGTCTGGTCATAAGCAGAAACAAAGTAGAGGCAATGATGAAATTGAATTGAATTTTGAAAGAGAGCAGAGCCCTGTCCTGCACTGCACTGTGACGCCCACCCACTCAGAATGTCCCTTAATTTTGCCTCACTTCATTCACTGCTGAAATTCTGTAGAAACATCAATCACCAAAAATAACGTACCAGTGCCAAACTAACTAACCACTACTTTTACGCAGACACTTGTTATATTTTTTATTCTCCATTATTCAAACAATTTATTTTTAAAAATATCTTATTAAATATTTATTTTTTCTATTAGTTTTAAAACTTTTTAAAAATGACCAAGTTTCTGTACTTCTCTCAATACAATTCAGAAGCTAAGAGCAACTGCAACTTTAAAATGAAAAAAATCTTCATATAAAACTTTACTTTGTATAATAGTTTTATTTTACTAAAAAGAGAGAACACACTCCATCCTCAAACATCTGTATTTTCTCCAATTTCTTCTCTACCAAAATATCTATTGCGACTAATGATCGATTTCATCGTATTCATTGTGCTTTTTCCACTACAAATTTCTTTTCCAAAACTCCGGGGGAGATTAAAAAAAATAATAATAATAAAATCGGCTCAATGTCACCACGACTACATGAGGCAACAAGGACTGTACACGTCCAAAATTATGCCTCTAGACCATGGCCGATGTCAATATGCTTTTTTGATGAATTTTATAAACTGGCTTTAAAATTTAGATTTTAACCTCCAAAATAAGACTACTGCTGTTGTCTTAAACTAGTCACATTGTGGCCGGTCATAGGCGTGACCACTCGGACCTATGCTTAAGGTCCAAAATTTTTGAAACATTTTTTTTTTTTTTTATCAAAATATATATGTTAAATTTTATTTAATTGTATTTAAATTTAAATTTAAATTTTAATATGATATTTTATTTATTAAATACTTGCTCCACCAATCCCGATTCCCATTCCCGTATAATAATCCCAATTCCCATTCCCATATCATTTCTATTAATTAATTACACAGCACATGAAATTAAAAAAGGCAAGAAATTTTCTAAAAATATAAGTTAATCCGTAATATATAAATAAGCAAATGTGCATATTTTCTAAAAATTAAAATTTTTTATCATTTAACAGTTGGAAGAAATTAGCAATCCAGGAACATGCTGGAAAAATGCCGAATTATCTATCTCTGGATGTGCATCAATGTTTTCTTTTGACTGATCTGACCGTTGAACCATTCATTCTGTTAATTATAAAAATATTGTAAGAGCAGTACAAATATAGTATGAGTGAGTACCCTACATTCACCTCATCTTTAGTCAGAGAACATAATATTTCAAAAGATGAGGTGAAACAATCTTACACATAATAATAATCTCATAAGAAAGCGATAGCATTATAGAGAATGCCAGGTAACGAGAAAACAGCTAGCTCCAGTATCTCAGACAGACAGACAGACAGGGTAACTAACAATAACAAGGAGATAAAAACAATACAATCATATCATACTTGTCTATCTCAGCACATCACACATCACACATCACACAGCACAGCCTTCATTAACATTGCTTTCCTTGTAACTTTTACCAGCGAACAGTAACAGAACCCAACACCATAGACAACAAACCTGTGGAACATTATATTGATTAACTAGGAGATGAAAGAATTAATACGTAGAATAAACCATAAGCAAGGTGAAACAAATTAATTAAACTACTGTGGTGAAGGAATTCCGGAGAAATCGGACAAGAGTTGGAGAGAGGGAACGAAGCAGTCAAGTTCACTCAACTCAGGTAGTGTGAATGTGAATGTGATTGACGATGATGATGACGGCTTTATAGTTTCCCAATGGGCCTAGCCCGCGCACGTGGGTCGAACCCAAAATAATAGATCACCAATCCACATCTTACAGGCCCAAACAAGTGTCTGTCAATAATGTGTATATTAATTAACACATTATTCATCTTTACACTCTCATCTCTAATTATGTGAAAAGAATTTAAGAAAAAGTATTACTTGAGAAAAGACAGGGCATATATACCCAAATTATTTAATATAGAGGCCCAAATAAATAACTATATATACAATTTCAGGTAGCCAACACATTTCAAGGCTGCTGGACCTGGACAGGCAGAGGCAGGCCCCTACCCCAGAAAAAGGTATGTATGTATGTATGTTCTGAAGATGCGATGCATGCAGTGCCGACGTCGTCTACGCGTAGATCCGTAGAATGGATAAGGAAATGAAATGGATGGGAAATGCATGTGTTAATAATTAATTAACAGTAATTAGCAAGCCGGGCAGGGCAGGGCAGAAGGGGCAGCGTCGTTTTCGCCGGCTTGATCGATCGATGTCAGTCAAGTTTCAATATCCATGCCCATTCAATTCCGCTCCTGCCCTACCCTACCTACCTACCAAATAAATACTCGCGTTATAAGCATAAACTAGGGAGGGAGGGAGGGAGAGAGAGGGAGACGAGCCACGCACAAGAATTCAATTCAATTCAATATTATGGATGTTTTAGGGAAACACCAATAGAAATGGTAATACATACTGATATGTATGCATGCATAAGAATTAATTAAGACTGAAGGTTTTCGAGGCGGGGCCTGAGAGTGAAGGGGAGGGGAGGGGAGTTGTATCTAACACTACACTAACACGTGCACGCACGTGACGACAACATATATATATATACACATCCCAGGCCAGCTGCTGCTGCTGCTGCTGCTGCTGCATGCACGTGGGAATGCATGCATGAGCATGACACTATTAGAACTACATTTATTAGTGGAGTCTGGAGTACATACTACTACTAGGAGTCTAGGACCGATGGATCATCCATCCATCTAGCTAGTTAGATTAGATCTGGTGCTGTCAGCTTCAGCAGACATCCATTCATGGGATCGATCAGGATGGAGTCGGAGATATCGGATATATGCATGGATTATATATTACGTACATGGTCCCAGCGAGGCCGGCCTCGCCTCCTATATGTGTGTGTATACATATATATATATATATACATATATCCCTTACTACAATTTCTCATGTGTTGTTGCTGCTTTTATATATATATATATATATATATATATAATAAAATTAAATAAAACACACACACACTTGATCCTCAACCTGATCTAACCTAACAAACAGGTTTAATGAATACCATATGTCCAGTCTAGTCCATAGATACATATAATAATAACACATACAGGGAGTAACATCTTAATCTAAAATAATGAAAATATAATTAATCAAAGCCATAAACAAGAGGGGTTTAAAATATCTCAATAGTAACTAATTAATTAAAATAGAGAAGATATAATATCTATCAGATATTCATAGATGGTGAAGCAAGAAAATGAATCCCATCAAATCAGACAATAAGGACCACGCACGACATTAGTCCAATCGATCGATATAAATAAGTAGTAGTAGTTAATATCTATGTGGGAGTCCGAATGTGATATCAGCGGCAGCAAAACAAGGAGCTGAGAGACAAATAATCCATAGTAGTAGAATGTGTGTGTGATGATGATGACAAGCTGTAGCTAGGATCGCATCATATTCATATATGGGATGAAGCAAGGAGAGGCATGGGTCTGATGACTAGCTCCCTCATTTACTACACGTGTGTGTATTTTGAGTAATGTTATAAGTGAATCAAATGATTCATATTTGAGTTTTGAGTCTGTAAAGATATATGCTACTGCTTAATTAACTAATAATCATTAATTATAATATTCTAATAAATAATTCCATCAATTAATAATATATTATTACTATCGTTCATATAGCTCCCTTTCCCCGGCGTCTGGCCATGGGCATGGCAATGAATGAATGAATTAATTAATAAATATTGAGGTGGTGCATGTGCATGTGCACTGCTACCTCTAACGTTCCTGTCTCTAATTTGGTGCCAAATTATTCCGCGTTTGTTAGGGATCATAAATAGATTTGAATTTACTTATATACCCTCCAAGAGTTGCAACGTGGAATTAAGGGAACATGATATGGCATATTGGGGGAAAGGCATTGTTCCGTTGAGACCTGAGAGCACAAGGAAGGAAGCACAAGCAAGCCATTCAAACATATATTCCTTATATGCCATTTCATCTTTCTAATTAACCTTTTTTCTCCTTGGCTTGCTTCCTTCCATTCATTACTGGAACTGGACTACTCGCCTCAAAGCTAAGGAAAGCTTTTGCATTTGCTACTATATTATTAAAAATGTAGCCACCCTCCATTCTTAATATATACATACATACATACATATCATTGAAATACCAAACCAAACCGCAACTCCATCATTAGTGTGCCATAATAAACTCCTTTGTGAGTTTAAATTTGAATTTAAATCTTTCATCATTGAATAATTAATTATGCACTTCCCCCATCCCATCCCATCCTTTAATAATTATGGAAAGAATATGTAATCATCTTCTAAATGCAACGGGAATCAATTTTTTATTCCACAAAAAAAAAAAAAAAAAAAAAGAAAAGAGGAAAGTATAGAAGAAATAAACATTTAATAATAATCCCAAGAAATGCTTAAATTAAAAATGCAATGCAGTAGAGTAGACTGGCCCGGCCGCGTGATGACGAGACGAGACGAGACGAGACAGAGAGAGTGAAAGTGAGTGTGAGTGTGACTCAGTGCTTTATTTATATATGTGTATGTATATAAATCCTCCCTCCCTCCCTCCCTCTGTCTTTCCTATTCCCAATTCCTTGAAATCAAAGCACCAGTTTAATTTGCACCAATTTTCCTCTTTATCGCTGTCCGAAATTCCCCCTACCTTAACGACATTACTTCTTTCCTTTTTGTTCCTCTCCCTCTCTCTCTCTCTCTCTCTCTCTCTTCCTACTTCACTTCCTCGGTCTATCGCCTCCCATTCTCTCTTCTACTACAACTTCATAAGAAATGATGAAGCCACGCCAAGATCCAGTTTATAAATCGAGACCAGAAACCCACAAGGACATGCCGTCATTTTCCTCCATTCTTCTCGATGAAATCTACCGCTCCATTGACGGGAACCCGGAAGAGGAAGAGCAGCATTTCCAACAGACAAGGCAGGGCGGCGGATTCAGGGCCAAGTGCAGCACCGGCGATCGTAAGGACATTGCCGACTATTTCAGAAGGGCGTGTCTGGTTGAGAGTTGGATGACAAAAGAAGAGGATGATCGGAAAGTAGCTTCCAGTAAAACCTTGTTTCCGGACCTGGAACCCAAGCACGACAATGATCTGCTCTTCTTCAGCTCTACGTCGAGTTCCTCCGACAGTTCCGGCACACTCTCCTCCTCCTCCGACACGGAATTCTTCGGCCCGACAACCAAGACCAAGGTTTCGTGCTTCACAACAAGGCCCAGGCCTAAGCCTGTTCGCACCGCTACTGCCCGGAAGCCTGTTCAAGATGATTGTTCCTTTTTTGATGATTACAAAACACATCAAAAGGACGACAGTGTGGAAGATGGCTTGATCAAGTCCAAATCCAGGGCACTCAAGATTTACGCCAACCTGAAGAAAATGAAGCAGCCTATTTCGCCCGGGGGGAGGCTCACGACCTTTATCAATTCACTCTTCAGCAGCAATGCAAACGGGAACAAGTCCAAGGCCAAGCATGGAGAATCCGACAAAAGCTTTCATAATTCGAAATCCTCCAACCCCAGGCCCCCCTCCTCATCCACCTGCTCATCAGCCTCGTCCTTCTCCAGGTCCTGTTTGAGCAAATACTCCCCCAAATCCAGGGAGAAGATGCGGGAAGGGGTTCAGAGGACGGTCCGATTTCATCCGGTGAGTGTGATCGTGGACGAAGATTCGAGGCCCTGTGGGCACAAGTGCATATACGATGAAGAAGATGACTGCGGCGACGACGACGACGACAAGTACGGAAATGGGAGGCCTCCCTTGCCGCCGAATGAACCGACCAGCAAAAGGGGGAAAAGCAGGAAACTTGAAGAGGCCTCCATAGATGCTTTGAGGAGCTATTACAGGAAAAGGGGTAGTGATGATTCGAAGAAAATTATTCTGGATGAAGATGATGATGAGGACGACGATGATGATGATTATGACATTGACGAGGATGGAGGGAGCGACTCGAGTTCGGATCTATTCGAGTTGGATCACTTGTCGTTGTTCGGGGAGGGTAGATTTTGCGAAGAACTTCCAGTGTATGAAACGACCCGTTTCGACAAGAATCGTGGTTTGATTTGTTAATTAACAACAACAACAACTACTACTACTACTACATTGGGATGAATAACATTTGTTTACTATCTGTCGTCGTCTTTGTTGAATTTAGCAAGTTGTGCTGTCTGTCTGTCCTTCCTTCCTGAGTAGAGACAGTCTGCTCTGTTTTCCACACAGTGCTTTTGAATTTGGATCGGATTGGATTGGATTGATTACGCACACTTTATATCTCCGATTGCATTTTTACTATATCTGTGGGACACTTTCCAACTCGACGTGGAAAAAGCGTTCCTGGGAATGGCGACAAACCCTGAAAAAGGAGGGAATTGGAGGGTATGAGAAGGTGGGCAGCAGCAGGCCGGGCCCTGGTTGGTTTACTGTGACCATGACACATTCTGACTTCTCAACAAAGAATATATAGATATATGTCTGTATACATGTAGAAACCAAAAGAAAACCAATGTTGCACAAGTGAAGATTCGAGATCGAAAGAAGTAAGAATCATCGATTGCGAAAAAAATTAAAGGAAAAAGGAGATAATATCTTGGCCATGGGAATAGGGAAAGTGAAGAGATCTGGCTCTTTAGCTTTCTTGATTTCAATGAAGGAAAGGGAAGGGAAGGGAATTTATTTGTTGCTTGAGAATAGAGAATAAAAAATAGTGCTCCACAGATCCCCAGGCCAACACTCCAATTAAAGTTAAGTGCCCTCTTCCCTCCCTCATTTGATTCTGTCCTCTTCGACATTGGTTTGTTTTTCCTTTTTCCTCCCTCTTTATTTTACACCAATCATTTTCTCTTCCTAGTCTTGGTCAAGGACCAAATGAATGCTTTTTGTTTTTCTTTTAAAAAAAAATAATAATAATTTGTTTTTCCCACTATTGAACTGGTTTGAATTTCATTTCCCTTAAAGACCTTGGCTGGATAGTGAAATTACTACAACTACAAGAAAGATAAGAGGGGTGGAAACGGGAAATGGCATCATCACCATCATAGCACACTGACTTTATGGCCACTGTTGAATGCTGGGACATGAATAATAAGTGTAACTAAACTGCAACCGGTAGAGATAGTAACGAGGATTTAAGATTGGGACATTTATAGCAGTACTGCGGTAGTGGTACCAAAATAAAACAGTGATCCTTAATTAGGAAAACTGAAGACGAGTGCGAAATTGCAACAAACAGGTAGACGCAGACCTACACTAATCACCAGTTAAGCTGCAATGCAAAGGAATTAGGTGTAAGTAACGACGAGTAATCAGTCAGTCAGTCACACGGACTGTTTTATCATTAAAGGAACGTATTTGCGTATGTGTTTATAGTCAGTCTCATGGACACTAACGCGTTACCATTTTGATGGGCTTGCCTGTCCTATCTTGTCAAATGAGCCCGTTAGGCCCAATTAATATTGGGCCGGCTTGGATCAGAAAGTGGACAAGAGTCAAGAGTAAGGATTGAAGTGAACTACTTGAGGCTGCTGAGGTGGTTTACCACTTTGCTACCTACCTACCCACGCATCCACCCACTTCTTTGAATTATCTGCCTAATCATTTGTACAGTGCGTGTGTGTGACTGTCTTTTGTCGCACAAAGGCCTGGGCTAGGATGATTAAAAACATTTATGAGGGCAAAACTTCAATTTATTTTTCTAATATAATATTGTTATTTTTTATTCTTCTTCAACGTCACTGAAGTGAAAGAAAAAAAAAAAAAAAATGTACATAAATAATAGCTTTAAGTTGAAGAGGGTATTTTAACAAAAATGTATAATTTTTTTTTTTTTTTTATATTAAAAAAAATATTTCATTCCTTTCGATTTAAAGTAGTTTTTTTTAACATATAAAAAGTGGGTGACAATTTTAAACATACGACCCTACTGTAGGGATGAGATCATCTGCCCTTCTTCCTAGTCCTCTTGATGAATTTATTGTAGGAATTCTCGTTTTATAAATTAAAAAATCAAATAATAATTAAATATTTAATTTATTTTTAAAAATGAATTACAATGAATGTGAAATCAATGAGATAATATGAATAACCCAGGTCGAGTAGGAAGCTCACAGGTCAGATAAAGAAATTAAAAAAAATTTATATCCATAACTAATGAATAAGCCATAGAACCTCCAAAAATTTGTTATGTTGATACATAGTGTATATATACAATATCTAAATTATATTAATATATACATGTACATGTATAATATATATATATATATATATATACATTACTTGATGTGGGTGAGTGACGTCGGCGAACAGGGGGCGATCCCATGCCCTTACAGTGATAGTCATCCACCAAGTAAATTCGATGGCAACGGCTAGGGCGGATTGGGGCGGGGCGGCATCATACGGATAGTCTATAAATTATTGGGAGCTACAAAGATGGATAGAGATGCTCGATACTCGTCTGCGCTTCACAAGGACGACGACGGAACCAGTTCAGTTGTGTAGTGCACAGACGACACGGCTACCCATCCCATGTACATCCATCCATCCCATCCATCCATCCTTCGGCAGACAGACTCCTTAATCTACCCACCCCCACACTACTACTACCACTCTCTCACAAGCTTGCTTTCATCTCTGCTCTTCAACTCATTAGTCCTGTGAATGCAATGTCATTGTCTATCAATACAAAAACTTTGGGATGAGCACTGCAGGCTGAAGCATCGATCGGGCATTTCTCCTCAGGCATGTTTGGTTTTCGGCCATCACCGCCTCTTTGAACGATAACGACGCGAACAACCCTTTTCAATTATATTAGCTAATTGTTTTGACCAACATAGCTCTATGGTTTTTCATCTTTTTCCTTTTTGGCAATTCGTAGCTTTTTTAAATTCGTGATATACATTTTGGGTTTTGTTCATTTGCGTTTGTCCTTGTGGTAGGATGCAACGCTCGGACTCTTCGGAAGAGACAATTTATCAGGCGCCACCGCCTCGTTCTATTATTTTATTTTAATTTTTAAAAAGCTGTTTGAGTTTGTATTACTTCCCTAGCCTAGAAAGGTTGAGATTTTTCTGCTATTCACATGGTTTTAGGTGCAACTCCAGTCCTGTCTCGCTTTGAATGGATTCATCTTGTCAACTTCCAAAGACGAGCGGAGAAATAAGCATGGCCGAAAAGCAGGGACCGGCGAACGATGTTATAATCAGCATCCCTGGAGATGAAAAACGTTCAAGATTTTCTTCGCCGGATGCTTCCAAGGAACAAATGCATAAATGCTCGGCTGATTCACCGCGCAGATCATCTAACGATTCAAGTCTCGGTGGTGCCCCAAAGTCAGTGTCACCCAGAAGCCCTTCAATTGAAACATCAAGGGCTGTCAATAAACCACCCAAAATCCCCAAAGATGATAGTCTCACTCGTCTAAAGTCCCTATCAAGGTCAGTTTACTCAAAGCCCAAATCAAGGTTTGGCGAGCAGTCTGTCCCTATTGACAGTAGAATGCTTGAAAATGAAGCCTTAGCTGAAGAATGTGTAGTAGTCTCTACCCGAGGTTCGCCGAGTATTAAGGGTGGGGCTGTTGGAACTAGTAATAGATCAGTGCCAGAAAGTCCCAAAACGCCATCCCCTGGCGGCAGCGGCGTTGGAGGAGGGGATGACGATGAAGAAATATATAAGAAAGTTAGAAGTAGAAACAAGCTCAAGTATAGGAAAGTGAAGGTCAAGGTTTTGTGTGAGTGGTTACTGTTTCTTTTCATGTTGGGGTGTTTGGTTGTCAGCTTGACTGTTGATATGGTGCGAAATTGGACAGTTTGGGACTTGCAATTTTGGAGGTGGTGTCTGCTGATTTTGGTGACATTTAGTGGCTTGTTGGTTACAAAATGGTTGATGCATTTTGTTGTTTTGGTGATCGAGTTGAACTATCTGCTCAAAAAGAAGGTTCTGTATTTTGTTTATGCCTTGAAGAAGAGTGTGCAGGTCTTTATATGGCTGACTGTGGTGCTCGTCACTTGGGTTCTGCTATTTCAGCAGGGGGTAGGACGATCACTCGCGGCCTCTCGGGTATTAGATTTCATCACATGGACGATTTCTTCGTTGCTAATTGGTGCTTTCTTGTGGTTGTTGAAAACTCTGCTGCTAAAACTATTGGCATCTTCATTCCACGTGAATGCATTCTTCGACAGAATTCAGGAATCAATCTTTCATCAATATGTCATGCTGTCGCTATCCGGGCCACCAGTGATGGAGTCGGCAAATGTCTATGCAAAAACGGGCAGCAATGTGAGTAGGCTCAGTGTCCCCATTGCCAACAAGGAGAAAGGTGGGAAGGAAAAGAAGGAGGAGGTTATTGACATGAATAAACTTCATCGGATGAAACAAGATAAAGTGTCGGCTTGGACCATGAAGATGTTAGTTGATGCTATATCTAATTCGGGTTTGACGACCCTTTCCAACGTCATAGATGAGAGTGCCTACGATAGAGGTAATGAACAAAAGGACAAAGAGATTACCAATGAGGAGGAAGCAATTGCTGCTGCGTATCACATTTTCAGAAACGTATCCCAACCTGGTTGCAGGTGAGCTATATGTATATATATACACTAAGAACTTCTCTTAATTGCATCTTCATTTACGGGTAATCTATACTGTTATGTTTTCAGGTACATTGACGCCATGGACCTTAGCAGATTCATGATCAAAGAAGAGGTGGAGGTTGTGCTTCCAATGATTGATGTGGCTGAGAGTGGAAAGATTGATAGAAAAGCTTTGACTGAGTGGGTGGTATGCAACCAAGCCTTGTTATGCTTAATTTGGAAGTGTGGATCATGTTACCTAACCTAAGACTGGGTTTAATATCTCATCGGATTGCTAACACTTCAGATGCGAAAGTTTTTGGTGACTCAATTTTTGTGGAATTGATTTATTATGAATCTTGGTGGTGCAGGTGAAGGTTTACAAAGGGCGGAAAGCGCTAGCTCATGCCCTGAACGACACTAAAACAGCTGTGAACCAATTGAACAAGCTCGTTACAGTGATTCTGATCATGATCATGATTATAGTGTGGCTTCTGTTGACAAGAATAGCGACCACCAAAGTGCTTGTATTTATGTCGTCGCAGATTGTTCTTGCAGTGTTTGTGTTTGGGAACACCTGCAAAACTATATTTGAGGCTATTGTGTTTGTGTTTGTAATGCATCCCTTTGATGTTGGTGATCGGTGTGTTATTGATGGAGTCCAGGTGAGTGACTTTGATAAGCTGCTGCTACATCATGCCGCCTGTCTGGATGCTAAAATCATGCTTTGGTTTGCACAGATGATCGTGGAGGAGATGAATATTTTGACAACCGTCTTCCTGAAGTTTGATAATGAGAAGATATACTATCCGAATTCAGTATTGGCTACCAAACCCATTAGCAATTTCTACAGAAGCCCAGACATGAGTGATGCACTGGAGTTCTCTATTGATTTCAAGACTCCCGTTGAGAAAATCGGCGCTTTGAAGGAGAAGATTAAAAAGTGAGTCATGTTTTTGTTTCTGATCATCTATCTATCTATCTATCTATCTGGTTCCAGAGCAGCTTCATCAAGTTTGAAGAAATGCATAAATTATTGAATTAATTTTTCTGTTGTTGTATTGATGGGGATGGGATGGCATGGCAGGTACTTGGAGAAGAATCCCCAACACTGGCATCCCAATCACAATGTGGTGGTGAAAGAGATTGAGAATGTGAACAAGATCAAGATGGCTGTGTACTTCAATCACACAATGAACTTCCAAGACTTTGCAGAGAGGAACAGAAGACGAAGTGGATTGGTGCTGGAAGTGAAGCAAATCTTTGAAGACCTCAATATTGGATATGATCTCCTTCCTCAACAAGTCAACCTTCTCCGCTGCTAATTAACCGTCGCTAGAGTCTAGACTAATTTTGTTTTAGTATGGCTCTTTAATGTCAAGCATTCCAACTTATGGAAAAATTCTTGCGGGAAGGAAGCAAATTGCTATTTCATTCATACAAAGGCACAAGGCACAGACAGGCCAGCAGCAGCAACGGTCACTCATACATACATACATATCTATATATATATATATATAATATAATATAATATAATATAAATATATAGTCACCCAACCCAAAGCATGCATAAACACCTTAATTGGTTTCTTCTAAAGTTTTCTCCTAATACTGTATATAATAATAATAATTAATCACTAATTCCATCCCCAATCCATAATTCCTTCAAATCAATCTCCGCCTCTCTCTTTTTCTTTGTCTGTTTGTTTTGTTTTGTTTTTACTGTACAGTGAGCTCAATTCCGAAGTGCTAGCCCCTGGCCATGAATGAACCTAGCATTATCCTCGGAGTAGACATGAGTCTCATTCTTCAACCTGAAGGAACAGAACAGACAGCACCGACAACCAGTTACGTTATTGAAGGACAATATGGTAGAGTATCATAGAGAGAGAGAATTGAGGATTCATTGATTGATTGAATGGCTGGCTGGCATGCAGATGGATGGAGGGGGTGGGGTGAGGTGGGTTGATAAGAAGATAATCAATGACGACGTACGTTTTAGCCACAGTCTTGTTTAAGATGGTGGAGGAAACAAAGGAGGCACCATTCAAGTAGAGGAGCTCCCCATCAATTCTTTCTGCAATCTTCTTGTCCATCTTCCCAGCTTCTATGCCCAGTGGCTGATCAGATGCCTGTGTGAATGAAAGAATGAATTAATAATTGGATGAATGAATGAATTAATAATTGAATGAATGATGAACAGATAAATAGATAGATAGATGTACTTACAATTACCCAGCCCCATGTATCAGCAAAGGAGGGCACATGAGCTGTGTAAGCGCGAACATCTGTGTTTTGAGCGAGAGGTGAAGTCAGAGTGAGTAACAGAAATACAGAAATGAAATGGTGCAGGGCAGAGTGAGAGAGGATTGGATTGGGTTACGTACACTTGAAAACCTGTTTGATGGTGTTGTATATTGAAGAGAAGACTTCCTTATGAGTGAACACTCCAGCTGGTCCGGCCTATATATATATTTATATATATATATATATATTTTGAAAGTCAGATACTACTAGTATAATAGTAGTAGTAATAATAGCTGCTTCACAAACAAGACAGACAGACAGACAGACAGAGAGAGAGAGAGAGAGAGAGAGTTGACCTGGGTAACAAAGATGCCATTGTAGGCGAGCTTAGGCTTGAGGATGTTTTGATAGAACGATTTGGTGTAGAGTTGGTAGCATGGCCCTCCTTCCACTGGATCCGCTAAATCTCCCACTATCACATCGAATTTCTCCCTCCTCTCCTCCAGTTCAGCTCTGCAGCATTCATATTTCAAAAGATTAGATTAGATATATCATCGGTTATCAACTCAACTCATCTGATCATCAGCACTCTGCAGCTTGCAGCTGACTACTTGAAGTGTTTGTTTGACTTTGACTTTGACAGTACATACATACGTATATTCTGGTGGTATTAATTAATTAATTAATTGTGGCAGGGACGACTTACTTGGCGTCGTTTATCACCAACTCAAGCTTCATGTTTCGGAAAGCCTCGTGATTTGCTGAGAGATGCTTCCTGCAGAAGTCGACCACCTCCTGCAGCCATACATTTCCAATTTTGTTGGTGGTTTAATTATATCATATTGTGAATCAGTACAGCACTGCTGCAGATATCAAATTCAAATAATTGAGAGGATAATCGCTCGCTCATACGGCATATCATCGATCACTTCACTACCAAACTAGGATCAGTATCTTCTCTAGCTACCCAGGCAGGCGTGCCTATTAATTAATTAATTAATTAACTAATATCGACCCCCATGGACAGGAAAGGCATAGATATGAAGATATTAGTTAAGGTGGGTCAAACAAAGCATGCACAGTAGTAACAGGACAGGACAAAAAAGGGTGTGGGTGTCCCTTAATGCCTTGCCTGCCTGCCACCTTAATCATCAACAGCTTTAATTAATTAATTATTGATTAGAAGGACAGAGGAGAGACCTGATCGATATCGCACATCACCACTTTGTGGATTGATGTATGCCTCAACGCTTCTCTTGCTGCGGAGCCTTCGCCCCCTCCCATTATGAACACACTTTTGGGGCTGCAACCACAATTACAATTACAATTACATCAATCCATCCATCCATCCAGTTAATATATATGTATATATACTCACTTGGGGTGGCATAAAAGTGGCGGATGGATCAAGCATTCGTGATATATGAACTCATCAATCTCAGCACTCTGCATCTTCCCATCAATCACCAGCACCTTGCCGAAGCGCTTTGTGTCCAAGAGGGCAATGTCCTGGTACTCACTCGTTCCTCTGTGCAGCACTCTGTGATCATCCATGACGACGATACAAATATAAATGGAACATGCATGGCGAGAGAGAGAGATAGCATATGTGGTAATAGAGGTGAGAGGTGAAATGGATGGATGGAATCGAACCTGTTGAGAGCGAAGGACCACTTGAGATCAACATCTATTTCCTCCTCAAACCAATCACAAGCAGCCTCTTGCTCTGGCTCTTGCTGTTGATCTTGATCCATATTAATGGTGGATTTGGTTTTGGTTTCATAGTGGATCCTTGTGAAACCATTGGCGTACGGGAAGAAGTTGATTGCTTCGCCCTGCATACTTACTTAATTAAGCTGCTGTCGCGGATGAAGAAGTATTATTATGATTATTGTTGTTATTCAGAAAAGAAAGAAAGAAAGAAAGATTGGAATTTAGATTTCAAGTGATGAGTGTATGTAAGTAGCAACTCGGGGAAATGAAATGTGTTGGGGTGGGGTGGGGTGGGGTGGGGGGGCATGCAGCAACTGCGACGCCAGCCCTGCCTTTTTATAGCCATCCAACCCCCCCCCCCTCTCTCTCTCTCTCTCTCTCTCTCTCTCTCTCTCTCTCTCTCTCTCCCTCGTCCACACCTAGCGAGGGAGGGGGGCTAGTTAGTAGTTGCTGCATGCATGCATACATACATACATACAAACACGCGCATCCTTTTTAAAACTATATGATCTTGTCTTGTCTTTGTCGAGTTGTGTTGACCCGCCCCATGCATCGATCTCATACATATATATATATATATATATATTAATTGGTAGTTATTGATGATGGTGTCCTCGTATCGTATCATATCATCAACTAGTATAATAATATATCATGCATGCGCCACTTAATATTACTTGATTAATAATATATATAATTAATTAATTAAGAGTAATTAATCTAATCTCTAATCTAAATACCAACGTTTAAAATCAATGGAATTGCATGCCAATATATATTATCTATATAGGTAATTAGCCAGGACGGCTTAATTAGTTAGGCCTGCGCTACCCCTGCCCTGCCCTGCCCTGCCCTGCCCGCAGTTGCACTTACACGTAACATATATATATATTTGCTAGGTAGGAATTGGCATTTGCGAAATCAAGAAATCATTCATATCTTAATTAGGAATGGAAATGGAAACGGAACGCGTGACTTATGTGGGCCCATTTTGCCCACGCTAGGCTAGGCAAGGCTAGGCTACCTTATCTTACCTACTACTCATTGCCCAATATTTCCTTTCCTATCTCTATTTATTTATTTATTTTTGATCGGATCCCTATCTCTATTTATTTTTATTATTGTATCGTAATGTATTGTTTATATATAACGGATCGATACTCAAGACATCACCCATCCGGCTTTGATTTTAATTTGGATCAAAATCATATTAAATATATATACCATATATTTATCTTAAATCTACTAATTTTGTAATTATTTTATTTTTCAATCTTTTCTATATATAATAATAATTTATAAATATATTTGAAATAAACAAAAAAATGATTACATATAATATATACAGGTATAGATATAAAGAAGGAACGTATACATATATAAGCAAGAAATATATGATTATACATTCATATAATAGTAGTAGTAGTAGGTGCATTTTGTAGCTTAGGTGGAGAGAGAGAGAATGGCGTGAGTTGTGAGTGGGTGGGGGGTACAGGGGGGCTGTAGGCCCTCCCTCCCTCCCTCTTTCACTCTCGCTCAAGCGTGCGCTTTTTCCACTAACTTTTTATTATTATTATTTTTTTTTATCCATATCTATATCTATTATTATTATTATTGTATAATATTTACATACATCGTCGTCGAGGTGGAAACTGCACTCCAATTAAGGCCAACATTAATAATAATAATAATAATTTTCCATGGCTAAGTTGGCTTGTAATAGCAAGTAATTAGGAGCTGGTGCTGTATCACTGTATGCAGTGTGATGTTGTGTGAGTGGGGGGACACAACACAACCCAGAAAGTGCTCCTTTCCGTATTCATTCATATGTTAAAAACACTCACTTTCTCGGGTGCAGATGCATGGATCCAGATTTGCATATAATATATATCTATATTGTCTTCGGGTTGGGTTGGGTTGGGTTGGGTTGGGTGCAGTGCAGGCTTTGGCAATCATTTTCAGGGACTTTTGGCAATATATATATATATATATATAAAGTTGTTGTCAGTATTTTTCTTAGAATGTCACATCTCCACTAAGTCAATGGAGTATGTTGTTATTATTATTTCCATCCCACCCATCTCATTTAGACTAGCTATATAATATAATATAATATAATATAATAATAGTATGTGTGTGTGGGTCAAAGCTTTTCATCAACAAATTAATTAATACATGCGTGCCATATAATAGTACTACTACTACTACTAGTCGTCGCAGGGTGGGTGGGTCACTAGTGACTGAATATTAATATTATTAATTCCATAGATTAATTAAAGTGAAAGAAGTTGTTCTGATCTATAAATTATAAGTATCTATCATCCATTTGTGAATGGACAACAGCCAAAATCATCACGAAGAAGAAAGAGTACTGGGCTGGGCTGGGCTGGGTGGCCGAACATACAGACAGGTCGCTACTCGATCAATCCACTCATCAGAGCCGGATCTGATCAGTTAATTGGTTTAATTAATTTGACTTTGGGGGAGAAGAAGAAGAAGAAGAAGAAGTAGTTGAAATTGTTTTAATCAGCAGTGACTCTCCAAGGCCTGCCCAGGAATCCATCACCTACTTCACCATGCTGCCCCCCTCGATAATAATAATATTATTATTATTATTATTACTGTTATTAGAGAATAGAGAGACAGAGAGACAGAGAGACAGACACACATCATCAATATTATTATTATTATTATTATTGTCATTATATTAGTAAATATGATGAGGATGGAGCATATGCCGCCACATATCATCATTAGGGCTCTCTCTCTCTCTCTCTCTCTCTCTCTCTCTCTTCCTTCTCTCTCATAGTCATATAACTATAATGCAGTGAATGGGGAGGGGTAAATATATCCTTTACTTTTAATTAATAATTAGTTATGGGTATATTCCATTCCATTCCATTCTTTCAAACACGACACACACAACACATCACGCCTCCTGTGAATGTGACGACATGCATGCGTTTGTGTGCCTGTGCCTGTGCCTGTGCCTGTGCCCGTGCCCACACCACTCCACTCCACTCCATCTATAATACTAGTAATTAATATTAATAATAATAACCATGCATGCCAGAATGCCACAAACAAACAAACAAACAAACAATTACATGTATTGTAAGTAGTAGCAACAGCATCATAATATAAATGATTCACTTTGTGTGCGTACGTACGTACTGCTTGTTGCTTGCTTATATATATATACATATACAATCACCGGTAGAGGGAGGGGGTGTGGTGTGGGGGAGCGAGAGAGCAATGAGCATTAATTAATTAATATATTCTAATAGTATATGGCTGGGGGGTTAAAGTAAAAGCTTTCAAATTAGCGCGCACACACACACAGATGCACGCACGTGTAACAGTGGTCTGCCCCAGCCACTACAGACATACATACTCAGATACATAAGAGATCGATCTCGATCGAGTTGGAAACCTTGAAATCATCCTACTACTGCGTTGCTTAATTAATGACTCATCAATTCCCACACACATAGATAGATAGATATGGTTCAACTGCATCCAAGATTAATCAAATCAATACACCCCACCCCTAAATTTAATTATTGGAATTTCACTTGGAAGAGGAAGAGGAAGAAGAAGAGGTAGGCTAGGCTAGCCAGGGTTTTCCATATATAGATTGTTTGTTTCTCTCTCTCTCTCGATCATTCATGAATTCATGCATAGGTAGGCTAGGCTAGGCTAGGCTAGCAACGGCTTTCCATACGTTGCACGTGTTTGCGTCTGCACGAGATTAGAGCATTTGTATCAGCTACAAATAAATATAATAATTGGAATATTTTTAAATTTTAGTTAGAATTAAAAAAAAATTAATGATAAAGATAGTGAGATAAGTGTGAAAAATAATAGTTAAAATTCATTTGTTGACTTCATTAAAATCAGTAATAAAATAAATTTAACATTAGGAAAGGAAAAGTAAATTTAGAAAAGAATACAAGATATTGTAATACACGCGGGTATGTGTAGGGGAGGGGGATATTGCAATAGAATACAATTCATTGTGCGCCACTCCACTTACCCACCACTTATCTTGTCACTTCACTCGTAAAAGGACACTACAAAAAAAAAAAAAGACACATTTTGCACGAGTGAGCGAGTACTCGATTGTGTTCACAAGGTACGAACTACTTCCAAATAATTATAACTTTGACACTCTTGTACTCTAACATAACAAGCGATGGAAGCTGGGAAATTAAAGTAGAATGAAACATCCAACCCAACCCAAGGGTTCGACTACTGGCTGGTTAGCAAGCTAATTTAGGGTCTGACAGATCGGTGGTTGGCCACGTAACGTGTGCGATGGGATGGGATGTAATGTTAGGTTCCAGGTTCATTCTATCTTAATTTTTGTAGCCAGCCACCAATAAAATTAGGCTCAACTGTAGTGGAGACGGACAGATAGATACGATCATAATGTTCAAGTCATATAAAAGACTGGTTATGTTAGGTTAGGTTAGGTTCAGCGGGCCAACCTTCCTGTACGTGTTTGAGGGCGTCCTTCCGTCTGTCTCTGTCCCACAGCATGCACGCATGGTTTTTAACTTTAATCAATTCAACCAGGCCCAAGGCAGATCACATATATTCCGCATTCATTCTGAGATCGCCTCTTCGTTTCTGCTTAGAAATCAGAATGGTATAGGCAAACCAGACTTGAATGAGACACAGGAGATCGACAGAGCGGGCACTCGGGCTTTTCATTACACCATTCCATTATGCAATTCCTATTACCAGAATTTACATTACATACATACCTATGAGAAAGGAGGAGGGCATGAATGAATTGGCTATATGAGACAGAGCAGCACCAGAAGAATCATACCAGCAAAATACATGACCACAAGGAGTGGCTGTTGGATGTTGGCGGTTGCTAAGGCAAAGCGTGCACTTGCTCACTCCACCAACCTGAGACTGGCCACCAATCAATCATTTTTAGATGCTCATAATAATATTAGCTGTGGGAACCAGTTTCATTCAATTTAAGTTACTTCAACAACAACAAAAATCAGCAACCACACAAATGACAAGCCTTGTAACTTTTGCAGATGAGTGAAACCAGGAACTAGCATTCCTACTATACTGGCTGGGATAAGTTCTAACAATATAATATTAATAATAATAATAATAATAATATTAACAAAAATAGGCATACACTCAAATTACTAGACATCATGACTAAGAAAACATCGGATACAAGCACAACTCCATTAAATTCACAGAAAGCAGTGGCTGGCTGGTGGCTGCCCCAGCTTTCATATTAATTTCATAGGTGGATGTGGATGCAGTTCCTCAATGTTGTGCATAAACAATCCAGAACAGGACACAGATGCTCCTTTATAACAATTTTCTGTGGATTAAAGCGTACCTCAGAAGTCGATGTGGATTCTGAAGCACCACTGCTCTTTCCAGAGTCCTCGGTTATAATATTACCTTCCTCATTTAAGACAGGTAGACCTCTTCCTGGAAACTATTATATTTAGAATCTAAGGCTTCATTTATACAAGCATTAACATAAGAAAGCATTGATGCAAAACATCTCCACAATTATTCATAAAATTTATACAGTGATTACTAAATCATGCGTCAGAACAATTAAACACCCAACAAAAGGCCAAACCAATTGTGTTCCTACAGTTTCAGAGATATGCTAAAACTTCCAAGGGTACAAAAAATCTATGATGAATCTCTCTTCTTATCAACCCATGTACTCATTAGTTCTTAAGCTTAAAAAAATAAGAAGTGCAAAACTAATGAAAACACAAAAACTGGAAGTAAATAATAGTAATGCTTAGCACTTTCAATGCAGCCAAGGAATAACCTGCTGACATTTGATAAGCACCAAGAGACACTTGTTGAAATGGAGTAGCAAAAGACGATAAGCTACTTCTCCTCAATCCTTCAGCAGCGATTATACACAACTGAACTAGTAGGAAAACACCCAATATTTGATATCTGTAATAGAGGAAATTATCAGGGAACAAACCTGACATAGTAATCTGAGAAATAAGATGAAACAAATTGTGCCAACACTTTCCTGTCTGCAGAACATATGCTCTCAATGAACTTAGTAGCACTCAAGATCATCAATGTTACAATTAAGAGTGTAATAAGCAATAGCAAACAAAAAATATCTAAAAGACTCTTGCAAGGACAAATTCCAAATCCTTTTTATGAGCATAATGAAAATAGTTAGACCCTTTGAACACCAAAATACTTAGACCCTTTTGAACATCAACCAAATATAAGATATCGGTAAGTAAATTTCAGAAAACGAATGCTGATACATCAATAAGACAAGGTCCTCCCGCAAAATGGGCTCGACTGTTAATGCAAATTGTAAGTTTACCTAGGCCGTTGATTGGTTGGTTTTCCAATAAATACATAACGGATCCCCGAAGCTCGTTTTGATAAATGATAATAAATGCCTGCCAAAGAAACCTGAGATGAGAATTACAAAGAATAACTTTCTATTGGAATTCCTACTTGATCCTTTATAATCAAAGATCTTGTGGGCCCACATCACCTTCAAAATAAAAGAACATGAGGTTTGTACGGAGAGCCAACATGAGAAATTCACGGGCTATAGGTAGCACCTGGACAAACATTACGAAGGTTAAATCAGCTGAGGAATATAACAAGGTTAAGAGATGGTGAGAGTGGATTCTTGCTGTTGAATCTATAAACATCTCAATGCCGACACAAATCATTCAAAACCCAGATAATGATATCTTGGCCTGATGGAAATTTTGACAGTACACATGCAGTTGAAATCTGGTGGAAGAATGCATATACCGAGGGCCATCTCCAAACAGCACTGAACCATAACCTAGTGATTCTGGTTTGTAATCTAGACAAAGCTGAAACAGCAACCCCTGAATTGGATGAAGATGGCATTTCAACACTAGATGTAGGCTGAATTTGACTGCTTGACATGGTTTCACTGTCAGTGATATCATCAGACAGTGATTCAGCCATGGTGATGCCTTGAGAATTAACACGTGAGCTGCAGAGAAAACAAATGCAAAAGCCAGACGTATGACTTTAAATAACCTGAAACTCAAGAGCAGCAAAGAGGGATGAGCCATATAGCAGAACCTGATTCTTTCAGCAATGTAAGGCAAAGCTGTCTGATAAAAAATAAAAAGAGAACGTCTTGCTGGAGTTGGAGGAAGCCCATAAGGTCCTGCAACCTGTAAAAGGCATTTATAGATCGATTGCCAATCATATCTATTATGTGGCATAAAAAAAGTCTACTCATTCTTTTGAAATTTAAAGTTGAAGCATCAGAGTACAATGGCACATAAAAAGGCAATAATTTGGATAGAGAAGATTTCATATGATCAAAGTTCAAACAAAGCATTTTGCTGCTCAAACTTCAATCAACTTCAAATAGACATGCATCAAGTTGCCCGGAAACATTAGAATAGAGGTACTTGCATTCTGTAAAGACATGGATAAGACTTGAAGACTTAGATATACATGTGTATGTCTGTATGTATGTATTACCAAACAGAAGGAACTCAAGCACTTCCACATGCACAAAAGAACACGAATGAGGATGCATACCTGAGTTATATCACAATATTCCTCTCCAAGGGTTTGTTTCCCAGCACCAGTTGTCAATACATAATAGAGCATCTGTCCCAAAAGTTTAGCCTGACAATAACCATGTCCGCTTTAATTAGAACACTGGTTATTTATCTTACAATATTACTTTATTGTAATAAATCAAAGTAGAAATTATCAAAAACACCAACCTTTGAAAAATTTGAGTCATACAATCAAATGACAGGCAGTGCTCATAATTCTAACAAATGCGAAAACACAGCGCAATAGATGTGTAAGGAATTTCATGCAACTTCTTTCAGCATTTCGATTAAATATAAATACTGCGGGCTAGAACGTCACATCGTTCTCTACACTCCAGATGGTAAAATATGGCATTGAGACTATTACGAAACATTGAAATAGTGCAGATTCTTGATATATTAAATCAAAAAAAATTATATAGCAGTAGTTTTATAGATAGCATAATTAAAACAGGGCAACGAAGTGGAAGAAATGCACAGAGGAGCATACCTCGCTCTGATACGCGACAGCAATTCTCGTACCTGAGATTACAAGGAAAAAAACGCTGAAAATTACACGAAATTCACGCCCCAAACTTCAAATTTTAATGAGATATTATCAGAGAGAGCATTTGAAAACAACTTCCGCCATCCAGTTTATGAGTAATTACTAAGGAATTGAATAGAATTGATATGAATTTTCAAATTCTGGTTCAACCAAATAGAGAATATTTCAATTTCAGTAGTGGGCAGGAAGAGAAAGGGAATAGGAAGTGTTGACAAGAGCACGCACCAAAAAGGTGTCGGAAGGCGTCGCGGCAGGCGTCGTAGACGAAGGAAGCGTACTGGTCGTCCTTCTCGGCTGCTCTCATAACTTCGGGTTGCGCCGCAACCGGAAACCTGCGCATACCGACGGTGTGGCTGGGGCCTGCATCGGTGTTGTTATTGGTTGTAGCATCTCCGGCAGTGACGGTTGCCTCACTCATCCCCGTCTTCCGTCTTGTCTGCCTCGCCTCAGAAACGAAATTCAGATGGGTGTGTGGGTGCCGTGAAGCTTGCAACGACGTCGTCGCGGATTATCTATCAAAAAATAAAATAAAAATAAAAAGTAAAAACGCCGTTGCCGGGGATCGAACCCGGGTCGCCCGCGTGACAGGCGGGAATACTCACCACTATACTACAACGACCGATGTGTACATTCAATTATGATTTTCTTATTTGTCCTTAATATTTACCTTTGTCCCGCCTAGTACTCTAGTCCAAATCCACTTTTAAGATAAAGAAATCTGGATTTTATATGGGATGATGACGCGTTATTGGATTCCTAGGGAGGGAGGGATGTTATTTAATATTTACTCAATTCAATTCAGTTCCATTTATTATTTATATATAAATTATAATACATGTTTTTTTTTTAAATAAAATGTAATTATTATTCCTAGAGATGAAAAAGAGAAACATTTGAAATAGACATATTAATAAATATCATCATATCATATGAAGGTGCATAGCATCAACGATCAACAACGAAACGAAGAATGAACGGTTTATGAGTATGAAATGTAAATTTGTAGTCCAAACCAAACGTGGTGCCAGCATGAACGCATTTTTATTAGAAAATGTTTCTACCTTTCACAAAGTGAATACAAATTGATGAAACAAAATTATATTAAAATAGAAGCCAAAAGTCTCTTCTAAAAATTCATTCAATCGGAGCCTAGACACGACACGATAAGACAAGAGAACAAATCTGTACATACAAATCACATCACAGTTCAAATGAATGAAGCAAAGCAAGCAAATTCACCTACCCCTACCTCCCGGAATAGGATCCTGGACCTCTCTCCCCTTGACCACGATGCATGATATATGGGTTTTTTTTTTTCAGGATTAAACAAATATTATTATTATTATTATTATTATAGTAAATATTAAAAAGAAATTAAAAATATTAATAGAAGAAAATTGTATAAATATACAAATATTTTTAATATTAAATACAATGACACAAAAAATAAATATGATCATATACACTATATGATTGTATATATATTAAATACTTGCGTAGCCAATGAGAGGTCGGGTGTTGAATCCTCCTAACTATATTTTGGTTATGTGCAGATTTTTATTGTTCAGATATTTTTTACAAGTATTTAATTTAATTGTTCAAATATGTTTATTTTAAGCCCATGAGGCTAAAAAATTAAATATTTGTAAATTTTTATAATTTTAATAGTATTATATATTAAAAACATAAAGAACCACTGCTAACTCATATTTCTGAGTCCGCCACCGGTGATATATAAATATATATACACACACAAGGAGCGTGGAAGGGCTGGGACGTGAGGGGGAGCCGGACCGATGATCCCATCCCCTCCCTTCCCTTCCCTTCCCTCTTAGTGTACCAAACGCAATGAACACACTCGTAAGCGATCCACACACTTACCTTACCTACTATTAGCCTCTTCTCTTCTCTTCTCATTTCGTAAGAGAATGAAGAACAATGAATGACTGAGTCACCTCAATCAAATCTGGAAAGCCATTCCTTCATCAGCGGCAGCAACCAACACCTCTCCCTCTCTCTCTGCAAAATAATAATACCAACTTACCTCTTGGTGCGTGCTTGCATCCGAACCTCACATTGAACAAGGGAATAAGGTTAGTAAAAGTACCATAAAACAAAACAAAGCGAAACAAAACCAAAAATCCAACCATATAATAATAGAGTATAGTATTAGCATATTATCACCCTATCTTTTTGTCTGGTTCTCTAACGAAGAAAATTGTAGAACCATCTAAACTTTCTCCAGGAATTTCTCTATGTTGTTAGATCAGCCTATGACCTAAATCTATTATTAACAACATAACAAACGACTTGTCAATTCTAAAGGTAGAAGGAGGAGTTTTCACAAACCCATACAAAATATCTTCTCTCCATTTGATTTGATGGAAGCATGCATGCCCCTACCAGTTACTACTCTCCCGCACGCACCACCACACAACTTCGACAGGCTTGTTTTAATGTGCTCTTCGCCTATGATAACGATGCTCATCCCTGCGCTCATCTTCATGCCCACCACTTATTCTCCACTTGTCATCATGCTGCTCTTCCCTCCCATGCTTCAAACCATGCCTGGAGTGTCTAGAATCATGGCTGCTGTCCCTCTCCTTGTGTCCTCCACCCCTTCGCTCAGTAGGTGACCGAGCCTCTGGACCCGACTCCCGAAAGCTGTGATGTTTTTGGTGAGAGCTTCTGACATCTGACTCAACTCTTCTTCTGACCTCTTTTTGGGTCGAGTAATGACCCAGACTCAACTCACTGCCAGAGTGTCCCCTTTTCTCATTGCTTTTCTTTTGTTCTCCATGGTAGTGCTGCTGCTTGTGCCTCCCATCGCTATGCCGGTCAGAGCTTCTAACCAAATCATCTTTGCCCGAACTTGACCGCTCTGCATGACTTGGTCTCTTGTCTTTTCCAGCAAAGGATGAATGGGAGCCCTTGTCATGTCTTCCATCAACATAGTGATCATCAGAATGCATATGTTTGTCATGCTGGCCTTTCCTCCCAAATACCTCCCCAGAATAACTCAAACTTGATTCTCTGTCTTTCCATAATTTATGGTCAACAGATTTTTCTGGGCCATTACGGTGACCGCATTCTGGAGAACCCTCATTGTTGGCAGAAAGTTGTTCTCTTTGATCTCTGATGCACCAACACACACAAAGTTGAAATACAATAGTACAAGTTGTAGATAGATATATATAGATAGATACAGATATATTTACATTTCATTTGAATCATGACATCTTAAAAATTAAGATACCTTCCTAGATCCTCATTGGGAGGCTTCCTTATATTTTCACATGGTTCAAGACCAAACAGCTCTGATGCCCGAGGAGGACCCATGTTTCCCATCCTCATATTTCCACTGCAAAATGTAACTGCTTCAGAATCTGGCTGTGCAGGTATACATGTTTTTAAGACGGGTAAAACCCTTATATAAAACCTACCCAACACCAGGCAGGCCACCAGGCATTGATGGAATATAAGGAGCGGCAGCAAAAGGTGAAACTGGAACCATGGATGCATTAAATGGCACCATTCCAGAGTTATTATACATATTGGCATATGGTCTGAAGGGAGGCATTGAAGAGCCATTCCAGTAGGGTGGTGCATACCCAGGCATGCCTCCATGAAACGCTCCATTGTCTACATCAATTAACAAAATGAGCATTTGGAATGTCAATAAAACAGAAAACATTGAATAATACCTGGCCGAAACATGGTATTTTGGTTGGCAAGAGGGCAATCCCGCATGAGATGATCAGGAGAACCACATGTGTAGCAATTGCGAGTCCCCTAATTTCAGGGAAGAAAGCTAACATTATACGAGCTTCATAAGCATGAAAACCACTTATATCAATGTCTAAAATTTTAGTATAAAGAAACTTCCACAAAAACTATGCAAAATAATGCTGATAGTTTCCTATTGCAAGAATGTTCCCCACAAAATCCAGGAATAGCTGAAATAAGACGGGGGCAGGAAACTTCTGATTTATATTTCAATTATATGTGCCTTTTACCCATTCAGTAACTCCAAAAAAATAGAATTAAAATCACACACAGTAGCCATTAAGCCGTGGAACTTTATCTATGTATAAAGATTTAGCACGAGAACCTTATACATTCTTTACTAGATAAGGCAGCTGAGTTACCTTTCTATATCCTCCACCAAAACCTGAGAAGTTTCTATCCCCACCTAAAAATAAGAGCAGCACATGACAAGTTAGAAAAAAAATACAACCAACTATTATTACAAATATTGATGCATTTAAGTAAATTTATTCACCAGAAGAATCATTCCGGATTCCTCCTCTTCTCCTCGTGTTAGAATCAGCTGTAGCACAAATGAGAAAGGATGGAAATTAAGGGATGGGCTAGACACTCATTAGAAGATTATAACACTAATCATTTGATTTCCCAGTTTAACCTTTTGATTCATCAGATTATTCATTAAAACACCAATCATAAACAATTCCATTTACGCTTATGGACTCATTTCTTTTTATATCTACTTAACAGTATAAAGGAACATCAGGCAAACTAAATACTATGGAGGTTTCACAAATGATGAATTAGCTGAAAACCTTACACAAGTTACATGTGAAAATTAAAGACAGTGCACAGGTTATCCCATCTAATCATCTCCATTAACAACTAGCTCAAAATTAAAAATATTTCTTCATCAAAAGGTATATGTTGACCATTAAAAAAATAAAGAACAAGTATATTAGACAAAGCAGCCTAACAAGGTGAATTTGTAGTATATTTACCCTTTGTTATGTGATCGAAAATTAAAGCATTGGGAGGAGATTATACCTTCATCGGGAACATTAGCTTGAGAAAAAGTGTTCTGATTTTCAGCTTGAATATCTGCCAAACGTTAAAAATGTTAAGATCCTTTAAGCATATCAATGTTGACTACTTGACTGACTTGAAAGTGATGAAAGAGCATATTTTATATCTATATTACCAAAATTTGCATATGGCACATTTCTTCCATGCTGATGCCCATATAAACCTTCCATAAACACTTGATTTGATCCTCTTCCTGTTGCACAAGATGACTGAGGCAACTCTAGTTCCCTCTGCACAACAGTTATAGCACAAGAAACATCCTGCACTTGAATTCCAGATTCTCCATCTGCAAATAAATAAAAGAGGCATGAAGTATATAAAAATCCCAAATTTGCCAAAAAGTCATCTCAACCATTTCATCTACCTGGTACATATTTTTGCATGGCATTTTCCGAATTGTTATTGACCATCTGAGATTCAAGGAAATGTTCAATTGCTTGACGGAGTGACAAATTGGGTAGCAGATTTTCTACAGTGCATTTGTTTGAAGAGCACTTTGGACATATCCTCCGGTCAATAAGCACTTGACGAATACCTGCAGTCCCACCATCAACAATTTAATAGGTGGTGCATACAGATCCTATGGAACTCAATCCAAAGGCTATTGTTAATTTTTTTTAAAAAAAAATAATAAATAAAAAGATGAAGAAGAAGATTAACAGTAAAGATTCATAAAGAGTTGAGTTTAAAGTATTGTTGTTAAACTACTCAGCACAGCACAAAAAAAAAAAAAAAAAAAAAAAAAAAAGCCTTACACTTTTCACAGAAACTATGCTGGCAACAAGGTATCATCACAGCATCCTTGAAGAATGTGTTGCATAGTGTACATTTCAGCTCTAATGGAAGATTATTATTTTGGGCATCCAGTGCATTGGGTGGAGACAGCCTTTAAACAACCAACAAAAATAGGTAAGATGAGCAAGAATAAACACTTGAAGAAGAATACAAATGCGGGGGGGAATATATATATACTTTTTCAACTCCTTCTGTTCATCAACTTTCGGTAACACATTCCTCACATTTTGACATTGATTAGAACCTGAAATTTAATTGAACCATTGAATAAATTTTCAATGGGGAAAGCTTCAAAAGAAATGACTGAAACAGAACATACCTTGCAGAATTTCTTGATTGGATTTACATGAATTTAGCTTCTGACATCCTAACCTGAATAGAACAAGCAACCAAAGTGAAATTTTTTAAAATCAGACAAATTACTAGAACGAAACAATAGTCAACACCAAATTCATTTCGTATCCTAAAAGAAAAAGGCACTACCGTTCAAAATAAACTACCAGAGCAGTCATAATGCATTTTCCTTGTGACTCAAGAAACAAAATGAGATCCACGACCAAAATGGACAATGAAGTAGAGTGGTGATTCAACAATATAAAGATTTTACGTAGTCATAAACCCATGAAATAGAAACAGTATGAATTTTGAACATGTAAGATCCTTGTGATTCAAGAAACAAAATGCAATCCACAACCCAGATTGACAATGAAGTAGAGTGGTGAATCAATAACATAAAGATTGCGTACTATAGACGCTGCAATTATAGACCAATCATTTAATTCATCGTATTTATTGAAACTATACAAAGCAGCAACGATATGTATCATCCCCTGTTTTGTTAATGATGACATTTACTCATCCATTCCACGTAGAAAATGAGTGTAGGCTTAGAAAGGGACATTTCATGAACGCATCTATGTATTGTATGGCGTGCTCATTCATAAAAAGAATTTAAAGATACAACTATATATAAGAAAATCACTACAAGTTAATAGTAATTCCATTAGATTTCTTTCATATTTCTTTGTGAATTCAAACAGATTGATCATAAAATTCATAACGTGAATATTCATAATAGATGGATAGCCATATAATCACTTCTTAGAATTGTATAAGCTTATATTCTTCATGCAAAAATATGAAATTCATCTCATACTCAAAAATATTATATTGTAAAAGTATGTATCCCAAAACAAGTTTAGATGAGTCGGTTATTCCAACAAGATATCAGCAATGCTGCTTGCTGCAACTGTTTGGGAGAGCAAATACAAGAAAAAAACTTTTTTTATTTGTAAACAGCAGACGTGTGTCTTCAAGGAAGGTCAAGACACACAAAGATCTTGGAATAAGACAATAATTTGCAATCAAGAAAAACCATCAGCCTTTAGACAGTAATTCTTCATAGATAGATTGCTGATTCAAATATGGCTTCAATTTAACATAGAAAAACAAGAAAAATGGAGCAGATAAAGATGCACACACAGTAAATGTGTCCGTGTGAAGAGAAGGGGGTATACTCATGAAACCTTCATAGCCATTACAAGTAATTATACCTCGAACCACAAATACCATCATTCTCATTGCCCTCAAAATTATCTTTGTCGGATGCAAAATTGAAATCAAGGAAGTTTGATTCTGGCATGGGATCAACACCCAAGATATCCAATTCGTCCTTTGGCCCACTCTGAAGAAAACAAGTTGATCGAATTATAAGAAAAGTAATCAACAAGTCGGTAAATAGGCATGAACATGAAGCTAGAAAATACCATGGTGTACAATATTAAAAACCCATGTACATGATAGATATAAATGTCAGCAAAAACGCATACAATTTTAAAAACAAGCAAATTGCTCCTACAGTAGAGATATGTACATGATAGAATATAAGGGTCTCATATCGATGACAACCTACTAGAAACTTATGAAATATTGCCAATTTCAAAAGGACATGGGACATGAGAAATTTAAGGCCATACATAACAAAACCATTATAAAAGGCTTACTGGAGTACACAGATTGCCGAACTCTTTCCTCTCTACATCCTTTACAGCTTGAATAGATGGTCTGCATCAAAGAAACATACATGCAGATTAAAGGTATTACATATAGCCCCAATCAATAACATCAAATTTTAACTGCCACATAAGCCAACTGAAAATGAGGGAAGGACAATCTAATCAAATTAATGGAAAATGGACCCTCGCAAATTAGAAGATAATCGCATTTAATGCAGAACCTCCAGGTGGTACAATAGGAGGAATTCCACAAGGATACACACACAGAATAAGTAATCAAATTACAAAAACAAACAAAATAAGTTAATAAAACGCCACGTGGTTAATCTGGGGAACAACTTTAGAAAGAAATTGATTTAGACTTAAAACCGCATAACTCCAAAAAAGACAGATTGTATACAACAGAAAGTCAATGTTCTTGGCCAACACTGTGAAGGAAATTATTTTTGGACACCAACAAAATAGATCTTTTTAAATTTAAATGGCTGATTTGTGAAAAATCAAGCTAAAGGCTGACAGATTCATTGTGCTGGCTTCAACATTATTCTTTTACTGATGAACTTCCAAGTATCATTAAATATCACTCATTTATTAAAAGCAGCTCAGAAAAGCCTCGAACCACATTTGACACGTCGTCTCATCCCGTTGGTCAATGGATCAATTAAAGCAGGCTAGTTTCTGTATATGGAAAAAGGTAAATTAATTTCATTTAACAATTTCAGGCCACGAGATGGAAAACAATTGGATATCAACACCTGTTAAGTTTGTATGGTAAACAACTCATTTAGGAAAATTCCATAATGGCCACAACACACTTAAGGAATAATAAGGTTGCTCATAATGACTTTCTTAATAAAATAAAACACTAGAACAAATGAGGCTTTAAGCATATGAGCATCTACAAACATAGGACTTATCCAGACAACACAAAAAATTTAGGCAATGAACTACAAGCAACACCATGTATTCTACTCATCAGAGAATATAAACCAATTACTGTTTTGATCAATTCTATCACTTGCCAACAAATCCTGCTACATATATGAAGGAATCCTCAAAACTTCAAGGAACAAGTGAATTCTCATAAAAGGTGTGTGTGGGTTGTTTAACTAATGCATGGGCGGGGCGGGGCGGAGCGGGGTGGAGCGGAGCAGCCCAAGAGAAGTGAAGTCAGTCAAACACCGATTGTAAATTAATCAGACAGAAACTTACACAGCCGATGGGGGCAATGGCTGAGTTCCGCCGGGAACTCTCTTAACAATCACGCTGGATCCTCTCGGAATCAGGGAATCATCCCCCTTGTACTCTGGCGGGTCCGGGTTTTCCCCAAGGAAAAACAAATAGGAACAAAGATAGGTTATTCAGGAGTTCAACCATAGCGTAGACTTGTATGAATAAAGACATCACCGGAAGACAGCGAAAGCATAGAAACCAAGAACACAATAGAAATGGCAATGAATGAAAGAGAAATCGATAATCTAAAGCAGACCTATCCCGGAAAGCGCATCGGAAAAGACGAGATCGAACCCTTGCTGTTGTTGAGAGAATTTTCCGCGCAAAATTCTAGCCCGCAACTCCCCGACAGAAATCGAGGGGCGATTCTCAATGTCCAACGTCTCAAAATTGACCGAACTCCTGAACTTGAACTGAATAGACATGGCTGGGAAGCTTGCCCTCAGATCATCGGTGAGGTGGGAAGGGGTGAGAGGGTTTTCAGCCGGCTGCGCTTCGGCGTTGGGGCTTTCGGGTTTAGTTTAGTGTTGTGTTGTTGGCGTGGCGTGCAATTGCAAAGAGACGAGAAGAATAGAAGAAAACGGCTGTGGACGGGGTCGGGGGCTGGGCTGCCTATTTATAGGAAGGCGGTATCACGTGATGTGTGCGTGCATGGCAAAAGTCCTCGCCAAGACAAGAGCACAGCGTGGACCTCAACCTCAATTAACCATATACCACCAGGCCCCATAGACATACACACACACACTCATATCACATCTCTCCTCCACTCTTGCTTCTTATTAATGCGCTCGCTCTCTCTCTCTCTCTCTCTTTCTCACCTTGTAACTTTTTTGGCATAATGTATTGTTACCCATTTTTTTTTATTATTATAAAATGAACTTCCGAGTATTTCTTAAGTTATAAATAGAATGAAAATAAGAAAAAAAATCATTTTTTTGTTTGTAAAAAAAATAATAATAATAAATAAATTCATATAAAATAAACATTTTGAATTAATATTTTGAAAATGTTGAACAAAATCTTCTAGAAGAACACACTTTTTTTTATTTTTTTTGACAAAGATAGTATTTCTTATATATAAAGTGTTGATATATGAGATATGATTCTTTATAAAATATTATATCAAATTTTTATTTAATTATTATATATATCCTACGAATAATCCCAAAAATTAAATTAATTTTCCTTAGTACCTACCTTAAACAAACAAGCAAACAACAAATTTTATTTATATATTTATTAAAGTAAGTTGGTATCCATTTGACCTTATAGAAACTGCTAATGAGCTGAATAGTGATAGTAATTTGTAGGCCCAATAAAAGGGCGTGAGTGAGTAAGGAAGAAGTGCGAGTTAGGTCTGCCACAAACATCCGCTAGGGTATACGAAGAAACCCAGGAAATTATTAATGGGCCGAATAGTGATGGTGAACTAAAGACAATGATAAATAGCAACTTGACTTGAGAACCTGGGATTTTACTATTTAATTTAGTCTAAGCAACACACAGATTCTATATTTCCATGCTATTTTGAAATGAGATGACAAAATAAATAATTTTAAAAATAATATGATATTAGGTTAACAGTAGGAGATTTAACCAGCGCACTCATCTAGCAGCGGCGGCGGCATTAACAAGATAAGATACATTTGCACTCATCTAGTAGCAGCAGCAGCGGCGGCATTAATAAGATACGATACATTGCAATTAGCTAGCACAGCACGCACACGCTTATTATTTATACTGGCAGTGGTAGGCAGGGGGTGTGGGTGCAGGTGCAGCCATTGATGGTGGATGCCTAACTGTGTCTGTACCCCATGGCCATAGGTGTCTACTGCTGCAGAAACGAAATAAGAAATCACATAATAAGGGCATGCAACAAGCATAAGCATAGGGATTGGAATTAATAAGAAGGCCTCGCCCTACGAATTTTTCAAACGAGTTTTTGTACAATGATAAATTGTATGTTCCATTTAAAGCCTTAGATTAAAATTTTTTTTTTAAAAAAAAAAGCCTCTACATAAAATGAGATGGCCTTTAAAAGAGCCCGCATGCACTGACCCTTTTTGAAACGCTTTCTCAGGCAGTGTCGATGGCCTTCAGGTGACCTAAGGTGTCTGGAGTTTGAACCCATGATCTCACGGTCGCAAGTTCAACCCCTACACCACCGGATCATCCCTTACGGAACTGGTACTATTATATTTTATGAATACGGCCTAGGTACTTACAAATTAATTTGTCCGCTTCTCAACCTCAACCTCAACCCCATCCCCATCTATTATTATAATATATTATTATTGTTATAATTATTATTATTATTATAGCTGAAAGTCATAATTAATCAAAGCGGCTACCCTACAGCAGGAACCAATTATATATATATATATATATATGTTTCAGTAATGAACTCAGTGCATTGGGTTTTATGAGAAGAAAAGGGAACAAATAAGTTAAATGATTAGCTACTAATATTCAGCCTAGTCCGGAAATAAGATGGGAGAAAGCAAAACCTCACTCGTTCATTATTCATTTAATTAGTTAATTAATAATAAGATAAATTAAACCAGATGGACTCATAAACCCTAATTCAGTCTGATATAATTATATATAACAATGCCATGCTATATATATAGAGATCTATCTTGCTCTCCCATCTGATCGATCTGATGACATCCAGAATCCAAAGCGATGTGATCTGCTCATGGGCGCCACTACAGTAATTAGTATATATGCATTTTAAGCTTAGCTAGCAATAATATATAATCTATATGTATGCCTTGATCTTGCTAGCTAGGGAGGGTCCATCCGCAGGCTGCAGTCCCCACCCACACGCACATCCTTTGGAAAATTTCCCCACGGATCGGAGGCTTTTAATTTGGAGTCTTCTGTATGGATGGGATCGGAGCATCCATATGTTATCGTAGCTAGCTAGCTAGCTACGCTTCAAAACTCTAGTTTAATTCCAGGCCTTACGTACGTACGTACCTTCAATCTGCAGCATATCAATTGGAGGCCCTCGCCCTCTCGAGTCGACCTTCATCGTGTTCGACCCTACTGCTTGGAAAATCATCATCGCCTGCACTACTTGCGGCGGCGGCGGAAGGACGACGATTCCCTGCGGCATTAAGATTTATGTTTTGACCTGAGATTTTCTCCAAGCACGAGACAATCATGGCTTCCCTACTTTGTGCCAGCGCCCTTTCACGAGCTCTCGCAGAAGCTTCTTGTTCAAAATGAGCCAACTCCTTGTTCCTCCATGCTTCCTCTCTTGCCCTTCTTTCTTCATCCAATCTCTCAATCACCTCCGCAAACTTCTTATGCAGATTCTCTTGGTGATCCATAACTTTCTTCACAAGGTCTCCAAAAAAGTCCATCATCGGATTGATCATACGATTATTATGACCAACTTCCTCCTCCTCCTCCTCCTCCTCCTTCTTCTTCTTCTTCATTTTCTTCTTCTTTCTTTTCTTTCTTGCATTCTCTATGGTTTCTGAGGCTTCCTCCCCAATGGAACCCTCAGATCCATGATCCAACGCTACGGGCAGCAATGGATCGCCTAAAGGATGAACAACTTCATGGGTGAGAGGGCTTGGTAATTGGTTAGCCTCGGCCGCAGCACCCAAGCGTTTGTAAATGGCTTCCAGCTCGCCAAAGTGTACTCGACGCTTGCTGTCCAGACAGTTTGCTACCGGGGCCGAAGCTTCTTTCTGGTTCAACTCCAAGTGTTCGTGTCGATCTACTATCTCACTGTTCTCATTGGATACTTCGGATGGGAGGGGTTCCCTACAAACATTAATTAACGAGCGTATAATATATATATATAGTACAAGAAATTGAATTAAAAAATATAGAGAGATATGAAGCTCCGATCCATTAATGAATGTGGTTTCATTCATTCACTCACTCACTCACTCAGTTTTCAAGAAATGACTAACTTAATTCTCTGTCTGTAAAGAAAAAAGTGAATAACGCTAGCTCGTAACAAAGAGGACTACTGCAGGCTTTTACACATTAAAAATCGCCCCTTTATTTCAGTGCACGTACGGAAGAAATTTTTGTGCAGTGGGAGAAAATAAATTGGTGAATACTACTGCTACTATACTATAATTAATCGAGGGCTTTTGAGCTCGTAACAAAGAGGACTACTGCAGGCTTTTACACATTAAAAATCGCCCCTTTATTTCAGTGCACGTACGGAAGAAATTTTTGTGCAGTGGGAGAAAATAAATTGGTGAATACTACTGCTACTATACTATAATTAATCGAGGGCTTTTGTGCAGGAAGATTGAAATTAACTTTACCAGAAAGCTGGCGGTTGTTTAATTGCAGAATCTTCTTGGTTTTGCCAACAATGAAGCATTCCCAGAGAAGAGTGTGGGGCCTCCTCCTCGGGGACATGGTATTGCTCACTCCCACGAAGCAAACCATCTCCTCCGCCTCCGCCTCCGCCTCCGCCGCCTCCTCCTCCTTCTCCCCCCTTTACATTAACAGCGCTGCTAACATTAATTGCAGCGTCGGCTTTAAAATCATTTCCCGAGCAGACTTCATTCAGCCCAAGCTTGAAGTTCACCGGGAAATTATAAGCCGTGGAAGAGGGGGAGCCGCCGCTCAAGTAGTGGTGGTGGTGGTGCGGTGGCAGAAAGTGGTGCTGGTCGAGGAACAGCTGCTGGGTTGCGGGTAGGGTGTGGATTTGGTCGAGAATATGGGTTTGATTGACGGATAGCAACACCGGGGCGCAAGTATTATCCGATGCTTGGTGGTGCTGAGGGATTTCATAACCGGAGTGCATACTTGTAAAATTAGTCAGTCAGTCGTCGTCTTACAAGCACTAGCAGGGTAGATCGATCGGCCTTGGAGATGGTTTTACACGGCACCGTACCGGGGGAGGGAGGGTGGGTTAATTGCAGGAAAACCTGAGCTGACGAGCGACGAGCGGGAAGAAAAGAGATCTGAAGAAGAGGAGGAAGAAGAAGAAGGAGAAGAAGAAGAGAATGAAGCACCCTGACCCCGCCTGCCGGCCTGCCTGGCCTGGTAGATTGCAGACGGTACGAGCTACTGCTCGCTAGAGTGGTGTGTGCAGTGCAGGACCAGGATAGATAGCTACGGAGGAGGTGAAGAGACGACGACAGTGTGGTTTGTGCGTGTGTATTTTATCTTAATTAGTAGTAGTAGACGACCGGTGTGGTACTCCAACATTTTGAATTTTGAGTTAGGATTTTAACAGTGAAGATTTTAAATTTAAATATTTATATAATATGATATAAATAGGTGTTTATATAAAAATATAAAATTAATTTTTAATATAATATAAAAAAATTAAAAATAGTATTTGATTTAATTTTTTTGAAAAAAATAGAAAAAAAATAAAATGAATAATGCATTTAAAATCTAATCCCCAAATAGACACACCCGTGAGAAGATAAAAGGGGTCGGTTCGGTTCGGGTGAACCTATCGGCTAATTCAATAGGTCGGGATAGGATCTAGTAACTCGATGAACCAAAGAGCATGTGAGAATATATTATTTTATTAGCAATATATATGTGCTGCTATGCTAGCTACTTGTGTTGTGAATATTTAAACAATTTTGCTAATATTAATTAACTGGGGCCCCTCCAGCTCCGATGTCATTTTGATGTAATAATAACAATAATACAAATAATATAGGACGAGTTGGTTTAGGGTATGTTCTTTTTATTTTTATTTTTTATATATTGTTTAAAAATATATATATATTATTTTTATATAATTTTTTATATTTTATATTAGAAAATATCATTTTAAACTTTATTTACAAAACAAACACATTGTTAAGGTGTGTGGTTTTTGTTTAGCGTGGGATAATTATTTAGATTTTATATTAAAATAATATTTCATAAAATATTTTATATGAAAAAAAAAGTATATAAATAAGATAAGATATTAATAATTGGTATTATCTTCAAAATTTAAATAACATACTGTATAGATAGAGATTATTATTATTATTATTATTTTTTTGTATAAAGCAGCTATGAGTAGAAGAGGTATATATTATGTTAATATTATCTAGTTTATGTGAAGCAGTGGCTATGCTAAAAGTTTTCACTGTTCCACTAACCTCACTATTTGGCTATCGATCTCTACTATTCTATCCATTCTCCATGTTGGGTTACTTCTTTGATGTAATGAACTAATTGAGATATAAATTTTAGAGTTTTTTTATCCCCTAAGCGTCATTATAAAAAAGTTTCTAGAAAAATAATACAGTACAAGCACTTAGAAGAACAAGCATGAAAGATTAGATTCAAATTTGACGCGAATGGCCAGAGTATGTTCTGGGAATTCAATTTTGATTCTTGTATTCTATTCTGCATCGAATCTTACAGATTGTGTTAGTGTTTGTGTTTGGGGTTGTTGTGTAATGAAAGGATAAAAAGGAGAGGAGAAAGGAGATAAAGAAAGAAGACAAGGAACACGTGTGGAGCCAGATTTGAGAGAAGAGATAAATGATGAGCGAGTGGGGAGTGGGAAGAAGAGAAGAAGAGGATTGATGGTTGATAGATAGTATTGGCTCTGAGAATTGATAATTGATTTAATTAGTTATTTATGATATTTGATAGTAGTAGATCGGAAATACTGGTAATAGATAGCAGTAGTATTTGATACTCCAAAGACAGGGACAGAGGCAGAGACATAGACATAGACATGGACATAGAGACATAGGGGTGGAGGAGCGGTGTGTGTCCGTCATGTCATGGTGGCGCACGTGAATGTGTCACTGTGCTGCCCGTCCTTTGCTGTCCCCTTCCCTCTTCTCTTCTCTGCATTAATTTCTGTGTCCGGTGTGAAACGCGAGGCATCCCTCCTGCCCCCTGCCCTGCCCTGCCCTGCTGCATCCTATCTCCATCCCCATCCCCATATGATATATCCAACGGTCACCCTTTACTCATCTTTTGTCATCTCATCTCCTCCTCGTCTGCTCTGCCTCTCTCTGCCCCACCACTTGTTCCTCCTCTTCTTCTTCTTTTTTTTTTTTTTTTTTTTTTCTTCCCCCTCTTCACAATACATCATCATCTTTTCATATTCTCACCTCAAATCAAATCTTTGATTATTTTCATTTTATTATAGTTGCACACGCGCGCTCTCTCTCTCTCTCTCTCTATATATATATATATGCGTATGTATGTATGTATGTATATTTTAATAATACTGCTACGTGTGTACTGTGTAAGGAAAGTGACAGGACCTTGGAGTTTTATGTGAATCAGAGGAGGGGCCTATTAATGCCCACGAGCCCATCATTCTGGAAATTATTTATTTATGAATACTACAATATGGAATAGATTCAGTGTGTAATGTAAGGGACACCGCAGCATAGCATGCAAACTGGAAGAGTGAGTGAGTGCGTCTGAGGGGAGGGGGTAGGGGTAACTTTTACAACAGCAACTGCATCCTATATCTAAAATCTAAACTGTTGGGCTGGGCCCATCCATGCATCTTTTTTCGTGTAGTAAGTACTATTGGACTGGACTGGATTTGATACCCAAACACACACCCAGCTGGCCTGCCCTGCCCTATCCTAAATCAATACGCTCTGCCCAGGCACTGCACACCCAAATAACTTGTCTTCACTCTTCATTACACTATCAATCAGATTCAGATTCAGATTCAGAGTTTGATGGATGGATCCATAGAGGGGATGGGATGCAGGAAATAGATTGACTCAATCAATCAATCAATCTTGGGACTGACTGACTGACTGACTATCACACTTGTTCGCGCACGCACTATACGGAAATTTCCTTACTCTCAGAAGATATGAGGTTTTCTGTGATACTGATATACATTACATACAGATACAATCAGTGTCTTGCCATTGCCATCTACTGCTGCTGCTGCTGAATCTACGCCTTAGCTCCATCACTAGCTACTTCAAACTACATCTCCACCAAAACGACAGGGAATAACCAAGACAGATCCTATATACTGCTGCATCTGCACATTTCGTAAGCCTGTTCAATGTCACCCTCACCCCCCTTCCTCTCTACTTTTATATATATATTATTAATTTAGGAACAAACAAGCAGGAAAGCAATGAGGGACTACGTTGATGATGATCCTGTTCTGTCCAATTAATTATATAGCTAGTCTTCAATGATTATGTTACTAGCAGGTATGTCTAATGATTGTGTCTCAAGTGAGTTGCAAAAAGGATAAGCATTTCCATTTCACTTTGGAGATGATATATATATATATATATCTATATGTGTGTTTGTGTGTATGTTAAGTTGCAACTAAATATAAAACACAGATTAATGACACAATGAGCCATCCATCCATCCATCCATCCAAGAATTTGTTGTGATCAAATCTGGACTTGATGAATAAAATGATTTTCTAGCAAGGGGAAATCTTTCAGGGACCACTTTTCTTGGATTAGTTAAACCAATTTTCCTATTGCAGGAACATCCGAGAAGGTTTAAAGATGAAGCCAAACTCTCAAGTTCAACTACGTAAGATGGATATCTGTTGCATATCGATCATATCTTGATGACTACTGCCCGGCTGCTTAATTAATATTTTTTTAAAAAAAATTATAATAACAATAATAATTAAAATCAAAATTCACCAATTTGTCAGATGAGCTGACAAAATAAGAGATTTCCTCGATTGGTCACACTTGCTCAATGCTGGCCAGCTATTTTATATTTCCAGTGATGTAAGTTGTGGATTTAAGGATCTTCCTTACTGTTTGTTTCTCCATATATATTTGATCCACCACTGTCACGCGCAGCTTCTTTTCATTTTACACACCCATTGATAAAAAAACGTAAAATATATCAATATATCGTGTTCGTGTAATAAATTGAGAGTTGAATAATAATAATAGTAATAATAATAATATATTAAAACTGTTCCATCCCACTCCAGCTCCAGCACCAGCTCTCCACTTGACTATATATTTTATTTTAATTATATTTGTCTCACTGTGGTGGCCGTGGCCTAGGCCTAGGCCTATAATAAGTATTATTGGTTTTTTCTGTGTTGTTATTTATGGGGAATCAAATTCACACATATTAAAACTGCTTAATTAATGCAACAAGTGTTCACTGCTAGCAGTGAGCAATATATCATCACTTGAAGAAGATTTGGGACATGGAACCTGTTCTGCTGCAATTAATTTTGAATTTTGACTTGATTAGTATTATTTAAATCTCGGAAAATGGTGTCAACACAACAGACATCACCAGCATAGCATGCTAATTAATTAATACGTACCGGTACACCTTATTAATAATATTCAAACAAACATTATTATAAAATATACATATCTGTATTGTTGGAGTCAGTACGTACACAGTGAGCTGGGTGTGTTGTTTGAACCAAGGATATGATTAGATTAGATTATAATATAACCATGATAAGTATTTTTTACTCAAGTTAGTCAACCAATAGCCAGCCACTGGAATATTTTCATTTTTATAATGAGTTGAACTTCAAAAGAGTGAGCTAGTAGGGTCAGCCATCAAAAGCATGGCCACATACAATTGATATGACCTTGATGGCAATAAAAATATTACTAAGCATATATATATATATATAACAAGAACAATAATTAATGGTGCAATCTCTGTATTAAGTCAGTAGAAGAAAACCAATATTAATCAAATATGTAGATATACTAAACTACAATTAATTAATTAATTAATTATTACTACTTCAAAGTAAGCTCCGATTCATGTATCAGTGAATAAGATAGATAATAACATTAATTAATTCATTGAGGAAGCGAGCGGGCGAGTGCGTCTGCATCAAACATTTTAATTAGTTAATTAATTACATAAAACAAAAGAAACGAAACGAATTACTATAATTATTGTAAAAGGAGAATTCACAATGAAATAGAGTACTATACATACATACTACTGGTTCATGCGAAAGCTAGCCAGCTAGCTGGAGAGGGATGAGTAGCAAGTTTAGTTGTGTAGGAAGAATAATCGGAGAGATTCACGCATCAATGACATATTTGAAAGATAGAAAAGAGAAGAGTTGCAACTACTTGTTTAGTGAAGAAATCACCACGCCCAATTCCCATTCAACAGCTAGCTAGCTAGCTAGCTTAACGACGCGTATCATCTCATCTCATATCCCTTTGTTTCTTTATGATCGAGATGATAATTGATATCTGGGGTGGAGTGGGTCAAATTTCCAATGATAGTCACATCCAAACAAATAGATTATATTAGATTCATTTTAATAATCTTAACAAATTCACGGTCTTTTATTTCAAGGCTTTTCAATTACCTCTGTAACACAAATACACATATGCGTGCGAGTGCGTGATGTATGATGTCAAAAATATTTCACACGCACGCACGGACGAATGATAGGAGCTACTGCATTATATTTATATATATATGTACTGAGAGAGAGCTTCGCATAACAATTACTACTAATTTGCACTGAGACTGGGGCTGAATCTAATCTAATTTAAATTAAATTAAATGGATTTGTTGTGTCCACGACCACGACAATGACAAATCATATTAAAAATATAATAATTAATTGGGTGTGGTGTGGTGTGTTGAATTACGAGCTGTATAAATTTCTGAAAGTGACTCGTCCGTCCTGCTGTGCTGTGTGTGTCTGTTCTTGTAGATCTCTATTACTATATGCGTACTACTCTGGTGCGCGCGCGCGCTGATTACTAATCTCGCTAACTGCATTATTACTACTATTACTATTGAATTGTACAAATAGATATACATGTACATGACATATAAAATATACTTGTATTAAAAAACATATTTTAAATAGATAGTACCAATATGTAATTTTGATTCATATTATTTGAAAAAAATCAATACAATAATCACACTATAATCGAAGTGATGTATGTATGAGTGTCTATATTTACATGACTACGTTTTTTGGATTGAAAAAACAGGGTATTATTATAAGAAAGAACACAAGGGAAATGCGGGTAGGCGGGCGGCCATTTTTCCCCCAAGCCCCGGCCTTATGTTTCCTCTTTCCCCAAATTAAAATTAAAATTAAAATTTCTGACTCTCCCTCCCCCTCCTGACTGACCCACCACCCAACCCAAGCTTCTTTGCTTTGCTTTGCTACTTCCCATATTAATTAAGTAATTAATTAAATTGTTTTTAATTCCTGGCACCTCCTCCTTCTTCTTCCTGTTTATTAATTAATTAATTCCGATCCTTACTCGTAGTACAGGTACATATCTTCCACCATTTATACCCCAAGAAGATTTCCCCTCATTCCGTTAAAGAAACCAACCGCAGCCGCTGTATGTATTTAATATGATAGCCTACATAGAGCGGTTTGTCCACGACAACGACGTCGATTCCATGCCGGAGCCGGAGCAAGATGGGGATATCTCGCCCCTCTTTAATGGCCTCGACCTCCACGGCGCAGTCGAATTCGCCGGAAAAGATTTTGGCGGCGTTCAGTTCTCGAAGCCGTTAGCCGTGGTAAAACCATACGACCGGGACGACGTGGCCAAGGTAGTGAGGCTGGCGTCGCGGACGCCGCACCTGACTGTTGCCGCCCGCGGCAACGGGCACTCGGTCAACGGGCAGGCCATGGCCCACCGGGGGCTGGTCCTGGACATGAAAGCAATCGAATTCGAGACCGAGGTGGACACGGAGACGGCGCAGGCGGACGTGAGCGGCGGCGCATTGTGGGAGGATGTCCTGAAGCACTGCGTGTTGCGCTACGGGCTTGCCCCCCGGTCCTGGGCGGATTACTTGGGGCTGACGGTGGGCGGCACGCTCTCCAACGCCGGTGTAAGCGGGCAGGCCTTCCTATACGGGCCCCAGACCGAAAACGTAACAGAGCTCGAAGTGGTTACCGGAAACGGCGACATATTGGTCTGTTCAAAGAATCAGAATTCCCAACTGTTCTTCAGCGTTCTTGGCGGGCTCGGACAGTTCGGGATCATCACCCGGGCCAGGCTTCTGCTCCAGCCCGCACCCGACATGGTATGGGAATAATATGGTATGCTATGCTATGCTATTGTGTGCTAATTTGATAGTTGTAGTGTTAATTGAAATGGAAATGGAAATGTAGGACTGGAGGAGGAGGAGTATATCATATCGTATTGCATTGCACATGCACCAAAAGAAAGAAATGTGGCTAACAAATAATGAATTAGTTGCATATAATTTGGATTGCTTGATTAAGTAATTAAATTTTATGTGGCGGGGGGATTACTGATTAGGTGAGGTGGATAAGGGTGGTGTACAGCGAGTTCAGCGAGTTCACTCGGGACGCTGAGTGGCTGGTGACCCGGCCCATGGGGGAGGACTCGTTCGATTACGTGGAAGGTTTCGCATTCGTCAACAGCGACGACCCCGTGAATGGATGGCCGTCCGTGCTCTTGGATCCAGATCGGCCGTTCGACCCTGCCTGCATTCCAACCGGGTCGGGGCCCCTGCTCTACTGCCTAGAACTGGCCTTGCATTACAAGAACGGGGATCTGCCGTCCACTCTTGACAAGGTACTGCTATTATTTTAATCTCCACTAGAATCTAATCTAATCTAATCTGCCTCTTAATTAATCCTTGGATGGATGGATGGATGATTCTCGTATCAATCAGCCAGCAGCCTTTTGGATACCCATAGGTTAATTGCTGATTGATGATCACCTAGGAATCGTATTCCTACTTAATTAGGAAGATAACTATATAGATATAGTTGGTTACATATATGCTTATATTTTATATACATATGATTATATATGCCCCTCTGGTCCTGGATTTGCTAGCACGCACGCACTCTGATTGATCCAAATGTTTGTGCCATAGGAAGGAATATATGATTTCGCATATTCCGACAAAATTTATAACAAACAATACGAAATTTTTTTGCTGATAACTCTTTTCTCACAACAATTAATCAAATTGGTTTGGAAGCTGTCATTGTTAATAAAAGTGGAACTAGCTATTTACGAAAATGAAATACTATGAAAAATGCAGCAACAGTATCCCTTGCTATTATTATTATTATTATTTTTTCTCTTCTTTTTAATGTTGGAATGTTGGACGCCTTTTCTTTTTGTTGGATTGGCTTTCGAAAGAGCAAAACGTGGAAAATAGGCCAAAAGCTGCTGTAGCATTTAGTAAAAAAGCCCAGGTTTATAAGAATGAATACAAAGAAGAATTATAATAAGAATCTATATCTTACTTGTCTAGCTAGAATTGATAGATAAATTAGCTGTGGTCTGTGGCGATTAAGATTAAGACTGGGGGAGGTGATGGTGTGATTAGTGAGCGTGTAAACCGTAAGGGGAGGATGGATGGATGGAGGGATTGACTTAGTCTTGACCCAGGTGGGTGTCTGTTACCGGTAATCAATCAATCATACATGGATGGATGGATATAGACAAGGACGGGGAGTGGAGTGAAGGGGTCCCAGTCCAGTCCCCAGCGAGCGAGCTGTGAAAAAAGTCAAAAGGCCGCAGGCTCAGAGAGTAGTAGAGAAAACTGACCGCACGATGCCTGCCTGCGCGCCTTTTATGTATCTTCCCTTGGATTTTCTGTTCTGACACTTGTTCTGTTGTGTGCGTGTGAATCGGGTCCTCGGCTCCTCCTTATTACAGGACGGACACCGTACTTGTTGCCCGCCCTTCCCCTTCCCCTTCCCCTTCCCCTTCCCCTGCTTCTCCGTCTCTGTGTCTCTCTGACGCCATATAATATAATAGTAGTATAGTATAGCATTGTACATATCCGCTTACCAATGACGACAAATTCAGTCAGGACTAAAATGGTAATTTCAGCGTCGTCTTCACTGGTCAGTGGTCCCCCCAATCCCCAGAAAACACCCGCCCGCTGGCCTGGCCTGGCTGGCATCCCTCATGGCTTGCCTGCAGATTAGCTTTAACCCCTATCTAATTAAGCTTATGTCTACCAACGATCAAAGAATGAAATTGCTAGTTCAGTTCAGTTCAATTCAATTCATACTAGTATTATATAATGTATTGCCAGTTGTTGTTGTATGAATGGTAATGTTGTAATTCTGCGCTGCAGAGGGTTGATAGATTGATTCGGAGGCTGGGATTCGTGGAGGGACTGAGGTTGGAGGTGGAGGTGGGGTACATGGAATTCCTGCTCCGTGTGAAGCGTGCCGAGGAAGAGGCCAAGGCCAGCGGTGTCTGGGACGCCCCACACCCATGGCTCAATCTCTTCGTGTCCAAGACCCACATTGCTGATTTCGATCGTCTTGTTTTCAAGAATATTTTGAAGCATGGCGTTGGTGGCCCTATGCTTGTCTACCCTCTGCTACGTTCCAAGTAATTGCCTTGACTTAACTTTACTTACAGCCTAGATCTAGCCTCTAGGTACGTTTATATAACTGGTTATCTGATCCTATATCCCCTGTGTCTTGATCTACTGGATTCGAAGATCTGATATACTAATGTGAATGCGAATATGAATTTTTGTTTGTTTGTGTGCTTTAGGTGGGATGATCGGAAATCTGTGGTGCTTCCCCAAGGTGACATCTTCTACCTGGTGGGACTGCTGCGAGTGTGCTTCCCTGCGGACGCACATCCGAATGGGCTATCGGTGGAAGAAATGGTTGCGCAGAATCAGGAGATTGTTGAATGCTGTATTCAGAATGGTTTTGACTACAAGCTGTACCTTCCCCACTACACCTCCCTCGAGGGCTGGAAGACCCACTTTGGGAATCAATGGCCCAGATTTCAGGATCGGAAAACAGCCTTCGATCCCATGGCCATCCTTGCTCCCGGCCACAAAATCTTTCCAAGAAACTGGCACCAACACCAGCAGACCTCATGATATATAGATGCGATATGATATGATATGATCAATCAATCATTCTTTTAAATGCTAGCATCCTCGCCGTATTGTTTGTTTCTTTTAATTTTCTGTTTCTTTTTATTCTTCTGCATCAAGAAATGTTGTATATGACTGAATTTGGTCGGTTCTTCACTCTAATTTCTACAAATTTTTTGATATACTTTTCCCCCCTCCATTTCTCATTACTAGTGGAGTAATATTACGAAGCCGGCCGTCGCTGTCGCAAGCTGCCACCAATAAGATTGTGATATATATCATCATCATCATTAGCTTTTCAGAAACTCCAAAACTGGGGCTTTGTCGTCGTCTTAACGGGAAAATGACAATTGTGCCATCGGCCATGTCGCAATCGATACAGTTCAAGTTCCCAATAATTATTTGTTGGGCTATAAAGTGAGTATATATCAATGGCATATATGCATCTATAGCTAGCAAGCAAATCCCCTAAATTCGACACTTGGAAAATGATTTTTCTGTTTCTCCATATGTTGATGTTGATGTTTCCTAGATTCGCTCTGATTCGAAATTTGGTGTGATCTCGCACTATTTAATCTTGTGCCATTTAATATTAAAACATTAACGTAACAATGACAATATGCATATATGAAAAACAAAGGAAGCTGGTAAAATGACAGTAAAAACGGTCAAAGATTTCAGCAAATCCTCCTCTCGATCCTCTAGTCTCCTCGTGTATGTGTATGTGTGTAGATATCAATCAACTAAATTAGATGCACAAGATCAAAATGTAAATGTAAATGTAAAGGCTAGGTAGGTAGGTAAGTACGTAAGTATGCATACCATATCAAATCACATGTTATGGGTATCAGATTCTGCTTTCTGAGGCCCTAAAGGAGGAAGAAGAAAAAAGTTAGCTCGTATACAAAAAAAAACACACAGAGACAGAGGAGAGAAGCTACTCTGAAAGAAATATAATTTACACTAGCTTTTCATGAATGTATATATATATATATATATATTTGTCCTAGCTCACCCTCGTTTCACCCAATTGCATGCAAACATATAGTATCATACTCATTTATCAATCACCCCACCCCACCCCACCCCACCCCCACCAAGAGGGAATTAAGGCCACTTTCTAATTCTATATCTTTATTTTTACTTTTGCTTTATTGTTAAAAGTAGAGAAAAAGTTAGCTTGAACAACATTAATATATATAATTTCGATCATGCACACCGACCGACCGGCTGAGTGGATAGATAATCATATTAATTAATTAATTAATTAATGCCAGGCCAATCTCTGCATTCATTCCATCCATCTATCTATCTATCTATCTATCCATCTATCTATCTATCCATCCATCCATCCAACGGGGTTAGTGGAAGAATTAAGAGAGTGAATGATTATAAGTAATGATAAGATTATGATGACGGGATGATTTTGTCTGTGTCTATCTGATTTTCTTGTGATATGAGACTTAGCTTGCTTTTACATTGTCCAATGCTGCTGCTGCGCGCAAATATTGCAGACTAAAAGTGCATCGTATCAGATACGTATCTATATATATGTCCGTTGTAATTAATAATTAATCAATTAGTTAGTAATTAACTACTCTCATTAATGTGGATAAGTGTGCCAAGCCATGCATGCATGCAAACGATACATACGTCTTTAAATTCTTCGACATCTGTGCCATGCATCTACGTCCTCCTTTTGCTTTCTTTAATCTAATTTGTTCGACCAGTCCACATGACATGAGACTAATATTTCAAACATGGATCACATTATCAAGAATTCAAACCTACCTACCTACCTACATATTCTCCCGCTACTATATAGTTTTATAATTTAGGGTTTATTTAATTATATATAATTTCCCATCCAGCTCGAATTGTGTACCCATTGATCAATCGAACTGCTCTTTATTTTAGTACCCAGGTAGGAGTATTTGTTTGTATTTTTATAATTAAAACGATTTGCAATATTTAAGTAGAGAAAAGATATCCAAAATTATTCAAGATATTATCTTCTTCTTTAATTAATTGTCGAAAGAACCTCTTGCATTGCTCGCTCTTTATCAAATCATTCATTCATAGGTATTGCACTTTGGATGCAACTTTTTCAGTACGTAAAGCACCACACACACAAGCTGCTTTTTAAGACATGCTCGTGCACTACACCTACATCCATGCTTCAATAAATAAAAACATGTCATTATGATATCATGTTAATTAGTTGATGTATGTTCAATCAATATATTCCTTTCATCTCCACTCGTCATAATACGCATTTGCTTCTTTTTTCCTTTTTAATAGATTAAAATAAATGTTGATTTTTATTAGTTAGTGAAAAATGTATAAAATGATATTTTTATTTTTGCAAAAAAAATTTGAATACTTTTGAATAAACGTAAATAGTAAAATAAATATATATTGAATTAAGATAAAGAAAGTATATTTTATGTTAAATCAATATTATCATATACTATTATGTAAAATTATGTCATGTATTTTGCCTATCACCACCCACAATGTCCTATCACTACACTAACAATAGCCAAATATATTCACCTCACCTTTGGTTAGTGTCCCAACTAGAGATAATAATTTTATTATTTTCGTCTATTTAATTTAAAAATATTCTCTTCTTATCATGTTAATAATAAATATTTTTATAACTTTTAAATAAATTATAAATACCTCGTTACAAAATATCAAAATCATCTTACATGCACATTTTTATTAACTAATAAAATACTATAATTTTTTAATCTACTATAAAAATCTAAAAGATTAGAAGGATGGATGAAATATATAATACAAATGTATAAAATATAAATTTATTATTAGCATCAACTAATTTTATTAAAAAAAATTGAAAAAATTGAATTGTAAATAGAAATATCTTTTATTAAAAAATATAAAAATAAAAGGATTTTAAAAAAATCCCACATAATGTATTATAATACTATTGAGTTGATGAATTTTTTATATTTGTTAAATATATTTTTAAAACGTATAATTTATTAAAAATACAAATATATTAAGTAAGACATAACATACTAAAATAAATAAATATATATATATATACATACCAATCAATTTGACACAGAAATTATATTTGTAGACACTAAAAATATATATTTAAAATCAATTAAATATTATGTATTTTGGAAGAAAATAAAATTCTAATAAAATAAATATATGGTATTTAATTATGCACATATGTTATTTTTGTACAATAAATATCAACCATTAATACAAAAATCGGCTTAAAATGAAAAATATCGTACAAATATTACGTGCATAAATAGAACCATAATAAATTTGGCAGCAAAATAAATTAATCTTGTCAATAAAAGAAGTATATAAATTAATATCTTCTGAAAAAGGGCAATGATATAAAGATCTTGGTTAGAAAAGAAAGTGCACAATCAAATCCGTCAAGAATGGAAAAGAGCATCTGATAGAAAATAAAAGATTATAAAATCTTCCTATTGGCCAATCAAAACGCGCCACGTGGCACCGTTAAAAAAGGAAGCCGAAGCTACCCATCCCTATAAATAGGAGTCATGGTTAGTTCATTCGACACATCTAAGTTACATCGAGGTCGTATGTCCGAGCCGGAGGAAGGATAAAAGCTCTAAAAGTCGTTGAGGAATTCATCAAAGCTAAGGGAAGGTCTCCAAAGTTCTTCACGAAAGGAACAACTTGACCCTAGCTGCGGATCGTCCAAAGAAGACATCAAATCCAAAGTCAATGATCAAATCGTCCACACGGAGACCAAAGCCCTTTAAACGGCGGTAAAGCCAAACTAAAGATCAAAGCCGCGGATCGTCCAAAGAAGATATCAAATCTAAAGCCGATGATCAAATTGCCTACGCGGAGACCAAAGTCCTCCAAAAGCGGCAAAGCTAAAGCAAAGGTCAAAGCCTCGGATCGTCCATAAAAGACATCAAATCCAAAGCCAATAATCAAATCGCCCATACGGAGACCAAAGCCCTCCAAAAGCGGCAAAGCCAAAACAAAGATCAAAGCCTTGGATCGTCCAAAAAAGACATCAAATTTAAAGCCAACAATCAAATCGCTTACACGGAGACCAAAGCCCTCCAAAAGCAGCAAAACCAAAACAAATATCAAAGCCTCGGATCGTTTAAGGAAGACATAAATCCAAAGTCGATGATCAAATTGCCTACACGGAGACCAAAGCCCTCCAAAAGGCGACAAAGCCAAATCAAATATTAAAGTTTCGGATCGTCCAAATAAGACATCAAATCCAAAGCCGATGATCAAATCCCCTGCAAGGAGACCAAAGCTCTCCAAAGTTCGGAAAAATCAAACCGAAGACCAAATCTCTTCAAATCAAAGAAGTCATAGAAAACCAAGTTGGAAAACAAATCGACCCGAAAGGAGAATCAAAAGATATGACCCACTTTAAATTCAAATCAAATATAATTTGTACAAATTTTATGTTAAATGATCATTGGATTTGTTTGATTTTGATTTAAGAATCTTTTAAGAGAGAAAAAAAAAAGAAATTAATAGTGAAATTGTTTTGAAAGATCACAAGATAACACAACCAAAATTAATTTCGATGCGTTATGTACGTCCGTTTTAGAAACGGGGGGTTTGGGCATTAGGCTGGTGAATGGTGAATGGTGATGGTGTGTCAAGTGTAGCTATCTTCAACCCCAACATTCATCATCATCGTCGCATCATCCTGCAGTCCAGTCCAGGTTTCCTTAATGGGCCCGTCGGTCATACCTTCAACCTTCGGTGGGCCTAATCTAGTCCAGAAAGTTTGTTCTAAGTTGGGCCTCATTGGATTTGTGACTGACTACAAAAATGAACAATTGCGTTTTTTAAAAAGAACATTGCATGCATAGCAGCTTATTATAATAGTAATACTACCAATTAATTAATTGATTGGATTGATATTATTATATATTTTTATTGCAAAAGCACAAGAAGCAAATCACAACGCTTGCCTTCCTCAATGATTTTGTTGCGGTTGGGACTGTTGTACGAGGAGCATATTATGTATGATATTTTTATGTATATGTATACACAGTATATATATATATATATATATAACAAAAATGGACGCAGATGTTGGGAAAAGTAATGTGTATTTATTTATATGATGGATAATAATAATAATAACAACAATAATAATAATAATAATAATAATAATAGATGGTTGTCCAGGATTTGGTGGACCGGAGGATCTTATTTTACCATGTTTTCACAGCCATTGATTGCCTTTCGGGGGACCACATGTTTCCTTTCTCCCCCAACTAGTTAGTTATTATAATAGTACCATGTAAAGAGTTTCGCATGGAATTATTTTATGGGGGATTTTTTTTTTTTTTTTTCTTTTTGCGATCTTTTAATTAAGATTTAATTTGCAATCCCAACATTAAATAATAATTTGTATTAGCTTTAAAATTTTCTAAAAAAAAAAAATCAATTTGGAATTGGAGGCATAATCTAAACGTTGATTTCCTATGAGCAATACGCGTTATATGGACTGGAGCAGAATGTAGTAGCATTAAGTTTGTAAATAAAAATTATAAAATAGTAGAAATAATAATGTGAAGTGGATCGTGGCTTGCTGGCCAGGCGGCCCAGTGTAGTGTGGGCCGGAGTGAACGACGGACGGTGTCACCCTCCGGCCTGTTACAGTCAGGTGAGGTGAGGTGAGGTGGAATGGAAATGGATTGGATTGGATGCTACGCTACGCTGCGATTACGCTCTCGCTCGGACAGGACAGGACTGGCCACGCGCGATCGAGCGAGCATCATCAATTGGCAATCAACGCAAATTCCATTCTCTCTCGTTCTCGTTCTCGTTCTCCGCTTCTACTCACTCGTCCCTCCACACAAACCCCACTCGCTCGCTCGCTCGCTCACAATTCATTTCCTCAACCGCAGACGACGACGACGACGACGACCCAGTGACGACACAACAGCACACCGCCAGATTCTACGTTGCCCGCCAGAAAAAGAAAAAAAATATATATTATTTTTTTGCCAAGTCTGCCTCTCCCATTTCACGATCTCATCTTTTACAACCTATGTTTCTTGGTTTTCTTTACTTAGATTTTCGCTTCTTCATTTTTCCTCTTCTTTCCCAGATTTTACGCTATTCCACGCCCACTTTAACCACTGCTCTCTGCAATTCTGGTTTCCTCTCTTTTGCTCTTTTATTTTTGTTTTCATTTTTATTTTAGGGTTTTGTCGCTGAATTAGGGCTTCTGAGGGAGAAATCTTTCGGATCGTTGATTAGGGTTGCTCAAGGTCGAGCTTCTCTACTTGTATGAAGATTTGGTGCTTTCCTTGTTTATGCTTTGGAGAAAAAGAGGAAGATCACGTTGTTAATACTACTAGCAATTCACAATACTTTCAATCTAGTTCGAAACGGAAAGAGCAAATGAGGGGGTTCGGTTTGGAAAGAGAGAGGGGGGAAATGGGGAATGATGATTCTGAATTGTTCTGGGCTACCCTTCCCGATGGTCGTGGAGGCGATGAGGAGGAGGGAACAGGACTACAGTTGAGTGACGACCAAAGTGAGGATTTCTTGAGTCTGGTGGAAGATGCCGAGCCAAGATTGACTGCCACTGGTGCTAGTGGAAGCCAGGGGCTGAAAGTGGATGTAAATTTAAACCTGGGTTTGGGTGCTGGGCCTTCCACTTCATCATCTGCTACTGGAAGAGAGCCTCGTTGTCTAGACACACAGAACAAAAGGCCCAAAGTTCATTCCTTATCTCTGTGAGCTCTCTCTCTCTCTATCTCTCTCTCTCTCTCATCTGCATGTGTATCTGATTTTTATGCCCGCCTGGGTGGGTGTGGAAGAATCTGGTTGTACTATATGGAACTTATGTGATAATCTTGGCTGAACCTTCACTTGTTATTTTTAAGTTGGAGACTGTCGCGAGGTACTTCTAGTAAGCATTTTACATGTTGGAATTAAGGATGTGTTTTTGAGTGTTGTTATATCCTGTGCTGAGCTAATTTGATACCCTTATACTGTCCATTATTTGAGTTTCTTCCATGCGTTTAACTCCTGCCTTCTTTTGATTTGACCAGATGCTTTGCGTCCTGCAATCCTTTGGTTGTGTTGACTGTTGAACCGTTTTACAAAATATTATATTGGAAAATGAATGTTGAGCTTCAACTTTAGAAACCTCTGAAATTGAGATCCAACACTATCAATTGGGAATCATTCCTTTTAGCATATCAGCACACTTCAAAAGATCTAAATGATACATTACACATATTGTTGTTTTCAGTTTATATCTGGTTGAAGATAACCTATTCTATTAGATTAGTTTGTTGGATAGAAAGATTGATTTTTGTAGGTGTTGATCAGCTTTCCTTGTTTTTATTTATATGAGCTGGTATGCATTTGAAGAATAGTTCATATTCTTTCTTCTGGGTGGCCTTTGGCCTAAGACATATTGTTTCTTGTATGTTGGTGTCATTGCGCATTTTTTCACCTGCATCTTTAAGTTAACATGGTCGCTCCCTTTTTTACCAAAAAGGAAATGAAGTATTATTCTTTTATGCAGTGATTGGATGACTAGTTTTGAACATGATTCTCATTATGCTGCTCCATCGAATGAAACGGTTGGTGATGAGAGCTTTCAAGATGTTGGTGTATCAGGAAACATCTATAGAAGCAACAATGATACTGTGAAAATGGATGATACGGAATTGAGGATGGATCTCACTGATGATTTATTACATATGGTAGGTATTATGGATGTCCTATACAAATTGACTCTTTTATCAATTACTTAGGTGGAAAAACTCAATTCATATAACCCTATCCTCTACAGGTTTTCTCCTTTTTGGACCACATTGATCTTTGTCGTGCAGCAAGGGTTTGTAAGCAATGGAAAGATGCAAGTTCCCATGAAGATTTCTGGCGGTATTTGAATTTTGAGAATAGAATGATATCTGTACAACAATGTGAGTACTGTGCAACTGAGCTTTTTATTTGTTCGAAAACTATCTGGAATTGATTGAAGTAGTGCTTGCAATAACAGTAAAGATATTGAGATTGATTAAGGATTTGAACCGACTACATTGAAATTTTAAAATTGAAAAAAGTTTCAATGAAGGGTAGGCTGCTTGTTAAATATTGTACTCATGAAGGTGCAGTATGGCTTTTATGCAATTGAATAACTTATCACATAGTGCTCATTGGGCATTAGAAATTTCCGCCATAATTTTTAGTCTATATTTCAGCTACATCATTTTAAACAATTTCTTGATGTCAAGAAAGCATAAATTGACTTTTATTGGTTTTTGGTTTTATATTTAGTTGAGGACATGTGCCGGCGATATCCAAATACAACTGGAGTAAATGTTTATGGAACTCCTGCTTTACACCCCCTTGCCATGAAAGCAGTGTGTTCGTTGAGGTAAGAAAGATATTAGCTTAACCTTATGCTTTTGAATTGGTGCGGTCTGAGTTGCCTTTTTTGTGATTGCATCAGAAAACTTCAGGTTTTAACACTGGGTAAAGGTCAGTTGGCCGAGACATTTTTCCAAGCATTGCCGGATTGCCACTTGTTGATGAATTTAAATATTAATGATGCTATGCTTGGTAGTGGCATTCAAGAAATTCCCATTCATCATGATGGATTACGAGAGCTTCAGATAGTTAAATGCCGTGTGCTTCGTATCTCCATAAGGTGCTAATCACGAAGTCTTGTCTCAAAATTTGTATTCACCCATCCAATGTATTAACTGTATTTATTTCCAGGTGTCCGCTTCTTGAAATATTGTCTCTCAAGCGAAGTAGTATGCCTCATGCAGTTCTCAATTGCCCACTTCTACAAAGTCTTGACATAGCTTCATGCCACAAGCTTTCAGATGCTGCAATCCGTTCTGCAGCGACATCATGCCCGCGGTTACAATCTTTGGATTTATCCAATTGTTCATGTGTCAGTGACGAGACTATACGAGAAATAGCTACGGCTTGTGTAAATCTGCATGTTCTTGATGCTTCTTACTGCCCAAACATCTCTCTTGAAGTAAGACCTCTTCCATTTTCTGTCATATATTTTTGTAACAATGGGTGGTTCATATCTTCTGTGTCATCTAACATATGATTGTTCTTTGAAGTCTGTGAGACTTACGATGTTGACAGTTCTTAAGCTTCATAGCTGTGAGGGTATTACATCGGCATCAATGATTGCTATTGCCTCTTGTTATATGCTTGAGGTTTGAGTTAACTTCCTTCCCAAAATTTTACCTTGCCCTATACATAACAGTTAATTTGATTGGATTAATTAGTTGTAATCAAGCATTGCTGATGACATATATGTTTTGGCTTTAGGTTCTTGAGCTTGATAATTGCGGTTTATTAACATCGGTATCTTTAGACCTTGAACGCCTGAAGAACATAAGGCTTGTGCACTGTCGGAAGTATGCTATACTCCTAGACTATAACATTGAAATTTGTTCAGATGACCTATTGCTCATTCTTTCTTTATTTCTTTGTAGGTTTGTTGATTTAAATTTAAGAAGCTGGGTGCTATCAGCAGTTACAGTTTCTAACTGCCCTTCGCTCCAGAGAATTAGTATTGCATCAAATGCACTCAAAGTATTCTTTTTTTTTTTTGTTAAACCAAATGAGACAATTATTTGAAATTGTTGTTGTTGAAATTCTAGAATAATTATTTATTTCTAATTTACCTGCAGAAATTAGTTTTGCAAAAGCAGGAAAGCTTGACAACATTATCACTGCAATGCCATAGTCTGCAAGAATTAGATCTTACTGAATGTGAATCCTTGACGAATGCCATTTGTGAAGTGCTCAGCAGTCATGGAGGTTGTCCTGCACTGCGATCACTAGTTTTGGATAGTTGTGAGGTCCGTCATTGTTTTGCCTTTTTAAACTAATCATTGCTGCTTGATTATTATCAACAGTCATATTTGTCTATGAATGAAATTTTTTCAATTGTTCCTAATCAATAAGTGTTTCATGGGGGATGACTTTCCATGTCCTTTTGGATTTAATTCTGAATTTTGCTGAGGGTTTTTTGTTGGGTAATGTAAAATAAAAGGTGGCTATTGGTTTGATGTGAATTTGGAAAACTCTGAAGCTATACAAAGATCTATGAGTATGTTTGGCCTCTAGAACATGGAAATTATAGGATGTGTGTTTAACTGGCCTTGACTCATTATTTTCTCTTAAACTATCAACAATCTCCCTGCTCTTTCCTGTATAGTACGGCCATTGTAATAATATCTGATTGTATTTATGGCTATTTCTCAGAGTTTAACTGCTGTGAGCCTCTCCAGTAAGACTTTAGTTAGTCTCTCACTTGGCGGTTGCCGTGCAATAACATCTCTTGAGCTCAATTGCCCTTATCTAGAGCATGTGTCATTAGATGGTTGTGATCATCTTGAGAGAGCATCATTTTCACCTGTAAGTTATCTGTGGATGATATTTTTCATTCCATCCTTCATATTTGAATCAAAGTCTCCTTATACCAAATGAATTGACTTTTCTATACATAAGAACTTAATTACCTACGAATCCTTATGTTCTCAGTCTCTGATTTTATATGCTAGTTTAATGAGCAGTTGATAAATTGCTTCTGAATTTAGTATTTCACTTTTGAGGCAGTTTGGGAATTTTTTACAGACATTTTCATTTTTGCTTGATTTGTTCTCCACTTACCATGATAAATCTTTGGCAGGTTGGCCTTAGGTCTTTGAATTTGGGCATATGTCCCAAATTGAATGTGCTCTATGTTGAGGCACCTCAGATGGTTTCACTTGAATTGAAGGGTTGTGGTGTATTGTCTGAAGCAATCATCTATTGCCCTCGGTTAACATCTTTAGATGCATCTTTCTGCAGGTGATTTCATTTGGTACTTCTGTAGGTCACTGTCTATTTTCTATTATTTATCATATTTAATGTGTCTATGAATGCTATCCGCAGCCAACTGAAGGATGAATGCCTCTCTGCTACAACATCTTTGTGCCCACTTATCGAGTCATTGGTTTTGATGTCATGCCCCTCGGTTGGTCCTGATGGACTTTCTTCTTTACGCAGCCTTCCCAACTTGACATACCTTGATTTATCCTACACCTTTTTGGTCAATCTGCAACAAGTTTTTGACTCCTGTTTGTACTTGAAGGTACTTTCTTGTATTTTTTCAAATTTTTCTTCTTTTTCATCAGATAAGTATTCTTAATATGTTAGGTCCAGCAGTTATCTCTACTTCCACTAGTTATGAATTGGTACTAAAATGGTGTTTCTTGGTTTGCTTAGATCAATTATACAGGAACAACATGAGTTCTTCTATATTAATTGAAGGAACCATCAATTTTTTAAACATGCTTTTATTTTCATTGATACTTTCTTTTTTTCTGTAGGTGCTAAAATTGCAAGCATGCAAATATCTTAGTGACACATCACTGGAGCCACTCTACAAAGATGGTGCTCTTCCGGCTCTATATGAACTAGACCTGTCATATGGCACACTTTGCCAGTCGGCAATAGAGGAGCTGCTTGCTGGCTGTATGAACTTAACTCATGTTAGCCTGAATGGTTGTATTAACATGCATGACTTGGACTGGGGCTTTCACAGGCACAAACAATCTGAAATGATCACTGTTTACGAGAATTATGAGGACCAACCCATCCGCCTTCTTGAGAACCTCAACTGTGTTGGCTGCCCAAATATCAAGAAGGTGATTGTTCCTCCTGTGGCAAGGTGTGTCCATTTGTCGTCATTGAACCTTTCACTATCCTCAAACTTGAAGGAAGTTGATATATCATGCTGCAATTTGCTATTTCTTAACTTGAGGTATTTTATCCCACGTTTTAATTTCTGAGGTGTTGCATATGCCTTCCTCCTTAATTTGTTTTAATTGTACAGTATTGTATCCCACTTTTTAATTTCTGAGGTGTTGAATATGCCTTCCTCCTTAATTTGTTTTAATTGTACAGTAATTGCAACTCTCTGGAAATTTTGAAGCTCAACTGCCCAAGACTAACCAGTCTTTTTCTTCAGGTTTGTCTTACTTGATACTACTGTTAATTTCTGTGAAGCTAATAAATGTTTCCGTTTGTAGATCTTTTTTAATACTCACCATCTAATTTTGAATTTCATGTCTGCATTGGCATAGGGATTTTAAAATAGGCCGTAGAAAAGGTATTTTTGTTCCTCTACATTTTCAAGCTAGAAAACGTACTTGAGTCCGGGATACTTTGAGAAAGTATCTTTATTGGATGTACTGATGGAGATTCTAGCATTCAATAGAAGAAATATAAGTCAGAACCCGGGTGTGTTTGTGGATCTCCAGTTTAGATGAGACCTTGTTTTGATAATGGGTGTTTGTTTGTGTCCTCTATGTTGTTTTCACACTATACAAAGTAAAATACTTTTTTCTCCTAAGCATCATATCCACCATGTTCTCTTTTTGATACATCACATCCAAAAGCTAATTTTCATTTGAAATCTCACATCCAAAACCAAAAAGCATCCCCAAAACAGTCCAAAAATACAAAAACAACATCCATAGACAATATTTGTTCTGATTATACCTAAGACAACATAGAGGAAATTTGAAATTGCAGTATGAAAAACCTCATTTTAGTGATGGGAGGTGCCCATTCATGATGTGAACATCAAAGAGATGGTTCATCCCTGAATGCAATTTGGTGGTCTTGATTTGTGATGACAAGCTTTTCCGTCAAGATAACCATTGGTTTGAACTATGTGTATGATATGATTGTTGTGCATACCTGGAGTCCTTGCTTGTGCATTATTCCTTGTAGTAATACATACTATCTGACTTACATCCAGGAATGAAATTATGTGCATTTAACCTAAAGTTCTATACCCAGTATGAAGTCTGAGCGTTCAACTTAGTTACAAATGCCTTTTATGAAAAAAGTAGCCTTTCTTCTATGACCGTTTTAAAAGAGATCTGTGAGATCTTTTCACTTAACTTCTACTGCCCGGTTTAAGAATGAATGTAAATGGGTGAGGGTTACAGGGTTTGAATCCTTCTACTCCATGGCAAGTGATGGATGTTGTTTGCTATTGATGGAAGCTGTGGATTTAATACTATATTGATCTCGATCCCTACTTTCCCAACTCTACTGCGTGTTTGCCTTGGCTGTTTAGTATTTTTGCAGAATTTATTAATTTATCTGGCTCCCACTGGCTGGCTATTTCCATTTTCTAACCTTTTTCTTTGCTCTTACATCATGCACTTCTGGAATTATTAGTCATGTAATGTTGATGAGGAAGTTCTTGTGGCTGCCATTGTGCAATGCAATGTGCTGGAGACACTTGATGTCCGCTTTTGTCCAAAGGTAAGACTACCAGTTGTTACCACTCCTATAACTGTGTTGTGAGTATGATTTCTCTCTTTCTATGGACAGATCTCTCCAACAAGTATGGTTGCATTACGATCAGCTTGTCCAAGTCTGAAACGCATCTTCAGCAGCTTTCTAACAGCTTGACAGCCGCAATTGGTGTATCCCATCAGAGCATGGTTTGCATTTCAATCTTCAACTACCATAGCTACTACCCCTACCATGTATATAACTAATTGTTTGCCTTGGAACTTAAGTGCATTGAACTGCAAAACCATATTCCTGTAAGAAGCAATATCAAATGTGTGTAGTGTGTATCCGGTACGCCGTATTGTTGTGTGGTTAGGTTTTCAGCAACCCGAGTGAAGTTCAGTTCAGTTCAGTTGAGGACACATCTATTGATTTTACTTGACCATTAATAGTGAATTCAATTTATATGGCCAATCTCTTCAATGCTTTACCACAACATATACAGAGGCAACAGGTCGGCTAATCGAATGTGATGCAGCCTGATAAGGTTACATCAAATCAGTGCATTTACTGGTTTCATTTTTCAATTATGGACAGTATGTGCTTCCATTCTTGAATTATTAATACATGTATCTCTGATAGAGATAAAGCAAAAGAATGTGTATATATGTAGCAAGGAATGTCTATATGACATGCACTGTTTGTAATATTTCATATAAAAAATATATGTTATCAATATAATGTTTTGACATATATTTTAAAAAGAAAATTTTGTCGAAAAAAACATATCAAAACAATTCATTCTGTTGTGAAATTCTAGGCTAGGCTATTGAACGGATAAAAAGAGTAAAGATTTGATTCAAATATTATAAGGTAATTTTTAATTAATCTATTAGATATATATGACAAGTGATATGTGGGCTATATTTACATATAAATATATATGTTAGGAAATTTTGTATTATTGCAATATAAAAAAATATATGATATCAAAGAGTTTATTTATAAAATATTAAAAAAAAAAAAAAAAATCTTTCTAAACATAGTCTAAGAATTTGTTTATTTGGACAAATTTAAAAAAAATTAATTTAATTAATATTAAAATAATATATAATTAGATATTTTGTAAAAAAAATGAATTCAATATAAACATGAATTCAGGGTGTAAAGAAACATGCTTAATATAAGGGAGGGATTTAATGCGAATCGGAGTGACGGACTGACGGTGTGGTTCACATCACCACTCGGAAACAGAGGCGCGGCCGGGTCAGGCCGGGCCGGCCACCTTCCTTTCCCTGTTGATTCATTCTCCTCCTTCTTCTTCTTCCTCTTCTGCCCAAACCTGAATCCCTCTTTTCTCGGCTTTAGTTCTCTCTCTCTCTCTCTCTGAAGTCTGAACCCACAGCACAGCACAGGCAGGTGGCTCTTATTTTCTCTTGTCTTGTCTTCTTCATCAATGAATTCAGATTCTCCCTCCTATTCCTATTCCTATTCCTATTCCTATATATACACTCATCACGCCTCCGCCTTTGCTTATTCATATTATTATTCCTATCTGCACTCCCCTTCCATTACCCAAAGCGCCCCTTTCTATGACGATCCCCAACCCGTCTCATTAATTCCATTCAACCCATCTCCATTACTCTTTCATGACCCTCCTAACTCTCCGCCTTCCTATTTCTTGGTTTCAAAATCCAAATTTCGTCGTCTCTCTTCCTTCTTATTACTTCTCAACGGAAGACGGAAACTTTTCTCTTGTTGTTAAACCTAACCTAAGTATTCTTCCCCACATTCTATTTTGAAATTTTGTTTTGGGTTTTATTGTATTTCCTTCCTACAATTTTCTGGGACTCCTGGCTGTCTTACATTCGATTTGGAAGGGTTCTTGAAATTTTCTGGAATGAAGAGAGTGAATGACATCGAGGAGGAGAGGGGAGTTGAAAGCTCGCGGTTAAAGAAACTTAGAATAAATTATTTCGGGAGTTCTTCTGTTGAGAATTGTGGCCCAGTAGCGAGGAGAGACGAGGAAGAAGAGAATGGAGGGAAGGGTTCAGAGCTGGTGGATAAGAATAAGAGTGAGAAACCTTCTGGAATTACTGTTTCCGATAATCTGGATGGTATCGATGAGTTAAAGAATCGTGACCCGGTTTTGTATCGCCGACAAGAACATGATGGCTCAGTGTTTGATCTCAACCTTCCAGCTTCTGGGACTCATGAAGATGGGCTGAACAATGGCTGTTCTGGATATGCTACTGAAAAGCTCATGCGTTGTGAGAAAGAACCAGAGGTAATCAGCATTGCGTCAGATGATAGCGATGATGAGGTGGGAATTGTCGGTTATGGATATGGCTACAGGGAAAAGGGCAAAGCAATAGCTACAGAAATGCCTAATGAGACTACGGAAAATTTGTGCCTTGGGTTGGGTATGGGTAATGCTGCGGCTGTGGGTGAATGTATCTCAAACGGTTGTGATGACAGGAAATATACCAAGGAAGAAAAGGGGAAGACCAGTGTTGATGATCGTTGGCTATCACTTGGAAGCAGTTTAATTGGTTTGGATTTGCTTGACAATGATGATGATGGCGATGTTGATTCTGATACTGATTCTGATGATGATGATGATGACTCATTCAGAGATGTGGAGCCTGCAGAACATGATGGTTTGGGAATGCTGTTTGCTGCAACTCAGGTTTTTGAAAGAAGACTAAGAGAACAAGAAGAAGCATATAGAAGATATTCCGAAGGAATTCGTAAAGAAACTGCTAAAAAATTAGCTCGTTATCACCATTCAGATGGGAATAATAAAAAGGGATCCACTAGTAAAAGACAAGCGTCACCTTCTTTAAGTTCTGTAAAGCAATTAGTAAAATCTACTGACCCCTTTTCCAAAGCTCTTAATATGATCAGACAGAGAAACTCAAAGCAGTCAGCTCAGACGTTGATTGAGTGGAAAACAAGGGAAACAAACCGGCACAAAATAAATATTCAACCCATTGTTCCTTCACTGATAGATCTATCAATAAAAGCACTAGCAGAGAATGCTGAGGGATTAGTTTCACTCAACTTGGTTCCAGATTACCTGTGCAGAAGGCTAATTAACTTGCTGTGTGATATGAGAAAAATGAATGCGGATATACTGGAACTTCTTGTAAAAGGGTGCCCAACTGATGTCAGCGTCAGGGACTGCTCGTGGCTAACTGAAGAGCAGTTTCAGAACATATTTGGGAATTGTCAGACAAAAGATTTGCGGGTAATCTACAACCTTATTTGTTATATGTATTTTTGTGTTATGGCTAATGGGACATAGTCCTTCTTACCTTTGTGTTCATGAGCATCCTGGTTATTCTTACCTTGTGTTACTACTCCAATTGCTGTTCAAATAATTTGTGTTATGTGTCACTTCTCATACCGAAGGTGTCCAAAGGTAATTTCCTTGTCTGTCACTATATACTCCTGAATCCTGGCAGAAGACAGAATTTAAGTTAATAACCTGTTCATTCATAGGGTCTGATATTTCAGATTCTCTGACAATGATTGTGACAAGACTTTTATAAACAGAAAGGTGCAAAATCTCTTATTATTATGCTTGCCAGCAATATTTCAATATTAGAATCATAGATGGATCCAACCTCCAAGTGTTCTCACATTAGAAATATACCTGCTATAGGTTGATCTCCTTGATCTTTTTTTTAATCTCTTTCTGATTAGGCATAGAGTGGCACTGATGGTTCGGAAATGCGTAAGCTGCCATTAATATCATTGTGAAGTTAGTCATTCTATTACTTTCTCTTATTGATAGTTTTAAATATTGGGAGTCTGCTGCTGGTGAGAGAAGGAGAGCTTTCATGACAAGGATTAATATTTTATTTTTTTTGTGTTCCTAACCAAACGTAATCTTTGTGTGAGTATGATAGTGAAGCTAATAATGCATTATGGCTGCAGGTGCTTCGACTTGACCTTTGCGGGCAATGCATGCTTGATTTGGCCTTCAGAGATGTCCTAGCTAAATCCTTGCAGAGTTTTTCTAGTTTGTCTATTTTGTCCCTCAGAGGTGCTTCCCGGTTGTCAGACACCGGGCTTAAGACCCTTGTTATGTCAGCACCTTTACTGCAGTCTCTTAATCTGGGTCAGTGCACCCTTCTGACCTCAGATGCCATCAACTATATAGCTGATTGTTTGGGTTCTAATTTGAAGGAGCTTCATATAGATGACTGCCAGAAAATAAATCCAATGCTGATCCTACCTGCATTTAAGAAGTTACAATATTTGGAGGTGATATCAGTTGCTGGCCTACTTGAAATAACAGATCAATTTGTTAGTGAAATGATTTCTTCATGCGGTCAACATATTAAGGAGATAGATTTATCTAATTGCCTGTAAGTTGATTTGGTTAGCATCTCATATTAATATTTATCATACATGGATCTAACTCTTGTCTATGCTGTGCTGACTACAGGAAACTGACTGATAGCTCTCTCAAAACCATTGGTAGCAGTTGTGCTCAGTTGTGTTCATTAAACATCTCAAACTTGGATGAATTGACTGATCTGGGGATTCAGTATCTGGCCAATGGATGCAAATCAATTAAAACGCTCAAACTTTGCCGCAATTCATTCAGGTTTATAAAAAATTCCCCAACTTCAGTTATACTTGTGTAAATTCTGCTCTATTTGCTGGTTGGATTCTTGAGTCACTGTCAACTGTACTCTGGAATGATCTTTCGTAAACCATAGGAATCTCTTTTTCCAGAAATAACTTGAAAGAAAGGATCAGTTGAACTATCATGATTCTTCGGCTGCGATTTCTGCAATGTGATTGCTAACGATAGGGTTTGCAGTTTGCTAAATTGTGATTGATATCACTCAATTTTGTAATATTTAATGTCTGTACCAGTTCCCCTATAGAAACATCCCATCTTACACTAATTTTTCATTCAAAACATGTCCAACAACTACTTAACCTCAAAACATTAAAAACCAAAAATACGCAAAACCGCATAAAAAAAAAAAAAAAAAAAACTCATTAGTAAACAATTATGCAAGAAAAAATCATGGTGTCAGGCCATCCATGATGATTGTAATAGTTGGAATGTGCAAATTATTTACTTTCTTCAACATTCTCAAGCATACATAGAGATTCTTTCTTTCTGTTCTCCTCAACAGCAGTACTTAATATTGCTTCTCTTTACTTTTTAGTGATGATGCAGTGGCTGCATTTCTAGAATGCTCTGGTGAGTCATTGATAGAGCTGTCACTGAATAATATGAAAGAGGTATTTGCTTTTGCCTTGTTTCAAAACTCATTTTACATAACAATTCATGTAGTTGCAAGTTTCTCGGATACATCCTTGTGATGCTAAATTGGTCTTGTTTGTCAGGTTGGACCGGATTGTGCCATTTCAATTGCTAGATGCCTAAGGAAGTTGGTACGCTTGGATATATCATGGTGCCGCAGGATTAGTGATGATGCTTTTGGTTTGATTGTTGATAATTGCCGGTCACTGAAGCTGGTCAAAGTGTTTGGCTGTCGACAGGTATGCCATGGTCGTACCACTCTCTCTTTCTTTTTCTTTTTTTTTTTTTTATGATGTTTTTGTGAACCCTGAAGGAAATGTGTGGTGAACTAGCATTCTTTGTATGAACCCAACCGAACCTAATCTCGTTCGGGTTGGGGACAAGGACATGCCTTAAGCATCAATGCACATGGATGGCTTATGAATTCCAGAAATTCATTTCTCGCGCTACCTACCTCACTCCCTCCGCGTGCATGCTGTGTACTTTGTGCAGATTACAAACGTGTTCTTGAAAGGGCACTCCAATCCAGTAGTGAAGATAGTTGGGTTAGGCGTGAGCCCGATACTTGATCATATGGACTTGGCGGAACCTGAGGCAATGCTACTCCGCTATTCAGCTCTGCGTGCTTGAATGGAAGCAAGCTTGCTTGGAGGAACTAGGAGATGGAAACTGCTGCTAGCTATACCTGCCTGGCCTGGCGGGCATTCCTATTGTCAATAATAAATATTGCAGAAGATGCTGCTCTAAATATTTTATCCAACAAGCCGATTGCCTCGCCTTGCAGTGGATTTCATTTTGTGTAAACAATCAGTATTTTTGTACTTGGTTCTTTTTGTCTGCTTTCTTTCTCTCTCTAAGGTATTCATGTCATATCATATATGGTGTTCAATGATACATGTGTATAAATAAATAAAAAATTACATATATATATATATATAAAGAGAGAGAGGTGAGGTGAGGTCTACCGAAGAATTGAATCGCCAGTGACGAGATTGATGTTTTGGCTTGCTATTAGGTTTTGGAGAGCTGCACCGAATTGTTTGCTCTGCAGAAAGAGTGTGTGTGGATGAAAAGCAAGCAAGCAGCAGCAGCATAGGATAGTGGGTGGATGAGGTCAGCTGATGATGGCGGAGGAGGCTGCTTTACAGTTGAGAACGAGTGTGAGAATGATTAGCACAAAAACAATGCCGACGGAAGATCCAACGAGCCTGTGAATCCAGTAGGGGTCCAGCCTGTTGAGTCCTCCTCGCTCCAAGTAACCTGAAATTGCTATGGCTATAATGAGAATGAGCAACAACAGTGGAAGGTATGAAGAAGAACAAGTGTAGTAGTAGATGGAGTGGTCTCCTCCTATGTCGGGATGGAGGTCCTCTTCTGCGTCAGGGCCGGGCTTATTGTTATTGTTATTGACGTAAAGGGGAGAGAGGACAGCCACAATTGCCAAGGCTATGGCGAAGAACCTCTTGTCGTGAGGCGAAAGCACCCTGCCCCTCCTCCTCCAACTCCAGGGAATGGCGGCTCCCTGCTCCATTGAAACCAGCCGAGACGAGAGAGAGAGAGGAAGGAAGAAAGGAACAATTAGGAGGATGCAAGCAAGGGATTATTAGGGAAGGGCATTAGGACAGGGATGGATTGGATGCCATTATTGCCTTGCTTTTACCTGCCTGCGGATATGCCGTGGGAACCTCATTCTCATTCCCATTCCCATTCCCATTCCCACTCCCACTCCCACTCCCACTCCCACTCCCTGCCAATTGCCATACCTACCACCACCTAACTAAATTTCACACTTCACTCTACCTTAATTGAATCGACATCAATAAAATAACATAAAACAAATGGGTACACTTTGATTCACGCATTTCATTTCATTTTATTCTAATGTCTGCCAACTGCACGTGTTTTGTTTTGTTCTCAAAATGGGAATTTTGTTCAGCAAGTAATACTTATTCCTAGGAGGAACCCAATATTGTATATGGTTTATGGCTAAATATCAATAATATATTCATTCAGAGTGTGAATAAAATGTCTAAATATCAATAATATATTCATTCAGAATAAACACAAGAGTAAAATTTAGATAATAATAAGTTTGAATGACATAAAAAATATTATTTTTCATCAAAACAAAAATCATAAAAAAAAAACAATCTATAAAAAGGACATTGGCATTGCTTTAGACATTATTTCTTTCTCTTTTTTCCTTTTTTTTTTTTTCTCACATTTTCTCTCCTTCCTCCATCTCTTCTTACTGTAATGCTCTTTCTCATCTTTTCTTTTGAATTTGATCTTTGAGCCATTGTACCATAATTCTCTTTTGCCGCTTTTGTCCGTAAGGAATGTCTTATGATATGGGGTGGATTTATGAGTGTAAGATTATGAGTTTATATCCGAAGCTCCGAATTATCTGCCATATATGATTTGCATAGTGTGATTTGTTTTGCGTACTCTCGAGCAGCGAATTCCTACGTTAAAAAAATAATAATAAATAAAAGTTATATTCAAATTTTGACAAACATTTTTTATATTCCAGTCATTATTGTTGCTCTCAATGATTTATAATATTTTGTTGAAATTATTTTCCAAATATACGAGATTCTATTATTTTACTTCTCATATTTCAAATTCATACCATTTTAAAGAAAATTATATTCTTATTAAAAAAATAGTATTTATAAAATAATAAAATAAGTATTTTAATAATAATTTTATAATTTCTAATAACTAATAATAAAAATTTAAATATATTTAGGGGGTGTATTATTTTATAGAATTTTATACAAATTTTACTATTCACAACAATAAAAAAAAAACTCCAAAACATAAAAATTAAATATTTATTTTTTATTTTTAATATTACAAGTAAAAATTAATTTTACATTCAAAATATTACATCATTCTATTTATGTCACATCCTAACAATAATTCCAATTCAAAATTTTTACTATTCAAATATCATCTCAAAATCTAAAACCCCAACCAAACTCACCCTAGATATTACACTTTCGGGTAGCAGCTGTGGTTCCCACGTCATAAAATATTTATATATATATATATATATTGCAGCCTATATGTTATGAAGAGTTGTTATGGTATGATCGTGAGAATAAATTTTGAGACCTCAAGATCATAAATTAAAACTCATACTAAAATTTAAAATTACAATATTAGAAATATTTAGAAAATCGTTGGTTTGTTTGTTTTAGATATACACATTTTTTTAGAAAAATTAATATATTGTATATTTTGATTATTTTTATTACCTATACAATTTTATTTAAAAAATCTTTCAAATCAAAACTTAAAACAAACAAACATGTAATGTCGTATCACTTATGTGTGATGCAAAAAATAAATAAAATATAATCTCTTTATTTTATTTTTCAATTTATTATAATAGATATATATTTTTAAATACAATGATTTATTTTCATTTAATATTAATTTTTTTATTTTATTATAAAAATAAAAATAAAAAATCGACCTATTGAATTTACTAAAATTACAAAATGACCCACCCCTATGTTAATTCCAATGGTAGGTATGTCTACTCACTTGAGAGTAAATAGGTGATGGGATCTTCAAATAGGGCTATAAATTCGTATTTTCGGGCTTAAGTATGGTATCAATGCCGGAGGTAATATAAAAATTGTCGATCCAAATCCAATCTTATATCCAAACACAACACTTCAGGTCGGATTTAGATTAATTTAATTTAGTTTCAAATTCTTCTAACTTGATATGAAAAAGACTTGAAAATTTTAAAAAATTTAAATTTAACCTAAAAGAATTTATTTTTATTTTTTATATTATAAATTAAAATAATAATAATAATAAATAATTTCAATTCAATGCGAAACACTACCGATTTAATAAGACATGCACAATTTTTTTTAGATGGATCCAATTTTTTACAAACACGAAACTAAAAATTTTCGAGTAGTTTCGAATCGATTTTAATTTTGGCAAGCCTGCATCAAGCAGTTGCACATTTCAAAAAAATTTGAATGAGAACATATGCGGAGTAGATTCAAATATTTTTATTTTATTATATCTTATTTTTAGAAAAACACAATAATAATAATAATAATAATAATACTCCTGTGTGTTATGTTTTCGTTGATTTGATTATTTTGATTTTTGACTCTGTCGACGAAACTCCAACCCCATCGCTTGGGGCGGGAACCTCCCAAAATATATAGAAAATCTCCTCTATCTGGAAGGAAAATTAGAGGGAGTGCAGCAGATTGCTTCCAACTTTGTTCCTTCCTTGTTTCCAAATTCCTTCTTCGCCATCTTTGCCGACCTGGGAAATTACGAGAGACGTTGCTCGCAAAATGGCCCTTAGGCAGGGTTCCAAAGTGTGGGTGGTTGACAAGGATTCCGCCTGGGTTGCAGCTGAAGTTCTTGATTTCGCAGGAAAACAAGTTCAAGTCCTCACTTCTTCCGGAAAAAAGGTTGTCTTGTTGTTAAGCCAAACCAATATTGTTGCTTTTTCCGAGAAAGGTCCAATTTTTAGGTTATTGTTTCGGAACTAAACCGCTGTGATGGGAGTCAATTTATCCTTTGTTTCCAGCGTCTGAGTCGCTGAGTTATGTTTTGGACTAGGTGTTGGTCGTGCCTGATAAATTGCTGCCGCGGGATGCCGAGGGGGACCTTGGAGGAGTGGACGACATGACCAAACTGACGTATTTGAATGAACCTGGCGTTCTTGACAATCTCCAGAGAAGATATGCTCTCAATGAAATATATGTAAGCAAATTATTATTTTACTTTTTGGGCGTGTTCACTGGAACTCAATTAGGGAGTTTTAGTCGTGTCCATGGTTTTACCGCATTTAGTGGACAGGAATTGGTTGTTAACTTCTCCATTCCCTGGTGAGGTAAATGACTAACAAAGTTGGAATCTGCACTCTACAGTTGGTTCAAGTACTTATATATCCAGGTCCGAGGTAGACACTGGTGCTGCTTGTTGAATAGATAGTACCTTGTCACTGGCGAACTAGTCACCCGACCATTGTCTTTGATTCTTGTTGTTGTTGTGCTTGAAGAAGCATGTTCCTTATAGACGTTTCTATACCTTATATGGAAGCACACTTTTACGGGAAAAGTGAACATTTCACTCATGGGAACTTTCACGCCAAACTGTTTTGTGTAATGTTTCACGTAGTAAATTATATTATTCATTAGTTTTTTACTTTTTATTGAAGAAAAATGCTGGTCTATTATTCTAAACTTGGCTTATTGTCTCTCTGTTGCCATCAGACTATATTATAACGTTCTTCACCAATGCTTTGGGTTAGATATAACTCATACTTTCTGTGTTTTACTTTTAGCTTCTGTCTCCGTACCATAACTAGTTTTTTTTCTCTAATGAAGCATGTGATGAGTACCTTTGTTTCTTATTAGTGCATCTATGTTTTGATATAATTGTTGTATAATAAATTTTCCCCTATATTAGAAAATCAATGCACTGAATCAAAGTACACCTTTATCATAATTTGTAGCAACAGTAAGTTTAAAAAGATAATACAGAAGCAAAAGTGGGGAATGGTTACACATATTAGGAATAGTAATTAAAAGTCACGTTGTAAGGATCTGGTTAATTATGTCTCCGACTTAAATTTTTGCATTTTTTGTAAAAAAAATTTCCCCATAAAAAACATGACATTCAACCCTATTTTTCATTTAAGCTATTAAATCAACAACTTATGTTGTATGCAAAACACATCGAACACCTACTTCTGGTTCCATGGTATTGTTGATACTATCCATGTTATTTTAAATTAAACTTGTTTATTGAAATGGTATTGTATTTTTAGGATTTTATTGAGAATTGAAATGTTTAAGGAAATTTTGATTCTCTTAAAAAAAAAACTCCAAAAGCAGTTAAGACTTACGGGCAGACCCAAAGCAGCAAAAAAAGTTTCTTGAAGCACTCCTAAGAAGCCTTTGTTTTTGTTTCCTAAAGAAGAAGTAGTTTAATACACCTGAAAATAGGAGCGCTTATACCTTCATTAAGCTTAATTTAGATGCTGAAAAAAACTTCTGTGTGATTTGCAAATGATCATTATTTGTTTCATATTTAATACTATATATATATTATTTTATATTTTGTTTGTAACTTTTGACATTCTTTGAGCTTTGGTCCATAATTTCTGTACTTATTGAGGTTGATCTACCTCGGGTTTTTCAAGTTTTATTCTTTAAGTTTGGGTGTGTTAGTTTGTGGGTTTGGGTTTGGATTTTTGAATAGCAAAAAGTTGAATTTGAATAGTTGTTTGATGTAATTAAAGAGATGTTGATATGATATCTTGAATGTAAAATAAATTTGTAGTATAATATAAAAAAAGAAAAGTAATTGTTTGATATGATATTTTTAGAGGAAAAAAAGAATCCGAATAGTAAAAATCTGTGGTAAAACCACAAAAAAAATAACCTAAGGAATTTTAAGTTTGAGCATTTTATACATTCCCAGAGTAGGTGCTTAATACTTCTTTGCCTTTTCACTGACATGTGTTTTTTGCCCCTTGTAGACGTACACTGGGAGTATTTTGATTGCAGTCAACCCATTCACAAAGCTTCCTCATTTATACAATATGCATATGATGGAGCAGTACAAGGGAGCACCATTTGGTGAACTGAGTCCCCATGTGTTTGCTGTGGCTGATGCATCTTATAGGTTTGTTGTGTTGAGATTTTTGTGATAATTGGTACAATCAAGCCTGCTTAGGTGCATTCTGATAGTTTATAATAATTGTAATGGTGCAGAGCAATGATGTCCGATGGTTGTAGTCAGTCTATTCTGGTTAGTGGAGAAAGTGGGGCTGGAAAAACTGAGACTACTAAGCTAATAATGCAATATCTCACTTATGTTGGTGGTCGTGCTGCCGATGATGACATAACGGTTGAACAACAAGTTCTGGAGGTAGGATTTTACTTTTTCAATTGTGCCATATAATTAGTTATGTATTTTACTGTTGGTTATCTGGAAAAACTGTATGCTGTGGTATGAACCAGAACATTCGTATTCAATAATATACTTCAGATTCAGAATCATTACATGGTATACTTTTGTCCTACTTCTTAAAAACATTGTTTCATTGAAGAGTAAGATAACTCCCAATTTTCATCATTGTAGTCAAATCCACTTTTGGAAGCATTTGGCAATGCAAGAACCCTCAGAAATGATAATTCAAGGTATTTCTCAATGCTATTTAACTTGGGAATGCTTATATCTGCTAATGATTCTTGTAATATGGTAAAGGATGGCAAGCATTGTTGTTTAATTGTTATTTGGCATTGCTGCTTCTGATCATGATATTTTTTCATCCAATTTGACATTTTATTTCGATATAGTGTTTCCCTGTATATTTTGGATCCATTTAAGGTGTGTTTAACACAGATTTTATAATCCCTTGAAGTAACACACCCTTTGTTTATACGTGTAGCTAGTTAGACATTCAACTAATTTCATTTTTGTTGAAGATAGACAAATTGTTTTGGTAGAAGAGTTGAATTTAAGATCCATGGCTTAGAGTGGTGATATTGGTCTTAAGTCAGCTTTGAAGTATACAATGACCCTTTCTTATTCAAGGAATATAATCATTATATTAATCTGTTCTCACATGATCTTAAAAAAGGTTATCTATTATTTGATAATAATCAGTTGAAATCATTTTAAAGGTTTATGTCTGCAGTAGTGGTCTCAAGGAATCTCTCTGCCTGGGTGTTGTTTACTCATGATGTTAAAAGTTATTGTGTTTGGATGTGTTGATTAATTCTTGTATTTCTGTTATGTCTAAGGTAAGAATGCACCGGGCCAACTTAATCTGATTCAATATGTTATCAGAAAGTGGAAACCTTATGTGTGTTTTGGTTCATGTGTGATTCTTTATTTTATTTGCTTAATTCCCTTCAGTATTGCTTGATGGAAGTATTTTTAAAGCTATACCTATTAGTACTTTTTGGGGTTTAGATGCATAAATTAAAAAATTAATTGTGCTTCCCTGCAGTCGCTTTGGTAAGTTTGTTGAGATCCAGTTTGACCCAAATGGAAGAATTTCAGGAGCAGCGATAAGAACATACCTTCTTGAACGATCTCGTGTTGTTCAAATAACTGACCGTGAGAGAAATTACCACTGTTTCTATCAATTGTGTGCATCCGGAAGGGTAATTTCCAAGTCTGTTGCTCGCTTGCATAATCTCATACATCATGAATCTTCATGCTTCCGTATGTGTGTGTGCTCACAATGTGAAGCAAGTTGATTGAAATCATAAAACTCATATGTTTATTTATTTATTTTTATTGCTTCATTTTGGGGTGTTAAGTTTGCGTTTCTGATATGTTCTTTAGGATGCAGAAAAGTACAATCTAGGCCATCCCAGCGAGTTTCATTACTTGAATCAGAGTAAGACTTATGACTTAGATGGAGTGAGCAATGCTGAAGAATATGCAAAAACGAGAAGGGCAATGGATATTGTCGGCATCAGTGACATTGAGCAGGTTTGTTTACTGTGCATCTGGATTTTGTCTCCTGTTCCTGTTATCTTCTATTTTGTTTTTCTCCCTTATTAATTTCCATTTTCAGGAAGCAATATTTCGAACCTTGGCTGGTATTTTACATCTGGGAAATGTAGAGTTTTCTCCTGGAAAAGAGCATGATTCATCAGTTGTCAAGGATCAGAAGTCTAATATTCATCTGCAGATGGCTGCTGATCTTTTTAGGTGTGCAAGCTGCTTGCAAACCTTTCCTTTGTTCTTTTCTTGTTCATTTATCATCTACTTCATAGCTGTAAATGGTGCGTATGGAGGGCGCACATCGTGCATTCATTTGTTTTTTCTGGTGTGTGAGCCTTTGGTGCTTAGTTGAATGGTGTCTGATTTGTTGTTCCAATTTTTTGATTTGTTTGCATTCTTGATTAGCATTGTTCCTATTGTGTGATTTTTTATATAGATATTTACGATCAGTTTCTGTTGCTTCCTGCTCTTCTTTAATTTCATTAATGGTTTTTAGAATGTCCTGTAGTTCCTCTTTGATATTTCAATTGTGCTAACAATGCTCTTCTTGCAAGCTTGGCTTGTGCATGTTCTTACACTGTTGTAAGCATTTGATTGCTTTACCTCTTAATTCAGATGTGATGTTAATCATCTGATAGCCACACTTACAACACGGTCTATTCAAACTCATGAGGGGATAATTGTCAAAGCTCTGGACTGCAATGCTGCGCTGGCTGGTCGGGATGCTTTGGCAAAGACCATATATTCTCGGCTGTTTGATTGGTCTGTTGAAAATTTATGCATGCTCATTAATTAAACTGTAATATGAGGATAAGGTCTTAATTGTTTCATTATTCCAGGCTTGTTGAGAAGATAAACAAATCTGTCGGACAAGATCATGATTCTAAGATACAGATTGGAGTCCTTGACATTTATGGGTTTGAGTGCTTTAAGGCGAACAGGTAAATGATTATTATATCATTTCCCAATTTAACTTCTTCTTCTTCTTCTTATTTTAATTATTATCATTATTTCCAGAAAATGTTCTGATTCATGAATTCAGTTTACACTATGAAAAACTATGCAGAAATGGACCATTCTAGAAAATGGTGAAAAAGGAACACTAGTAATGTCGACTAGTCCTCTTGGTTTTTGGCTCCATGCCTCCATTCCTATTCATTCAGACAAGTTTAACTTATTATATTTTGGTAAAGAAGCTCAGTGAGTGCAAATGACCTCATTGCTTTTGTATATCCTCTGTTCTTGAAAGTTATCTATAGTATTGGACAAAGTGTGGAGCCAATCATCAATAAAATTGATTTAGACATTAAACTCTTATGCTGGAAGAGCTTTTGATGATGCTCAGATGCTCATAAAATAACTCTCAGTGATTCCTAATCTTTATTGATATAGGTTTTGTTTTTAAGGTTCTAGGCCATCAGCATTATATCTGTGGTACATAATTCAAATTGTGTATCTGGGTTTTGTGATATAATCATGTTTTTTGTTCTGGAAGTTTCACATATCAACTTCATTTTCTTTGCTTGTGAACATCTTTACCTCTGTGCTTGTCAACTAATTGTTGTCCTGCTATCGTTCAAACAGTTTTGAGCAGTTTTGCATTAACTTTGCAAATGAGAAGCTCCAACAACATTTTAATGAGGTCAGATGCTCGTTTTCTTGATATTTTATTCCTCACTCTCTCCGAAGTATGAGGTGGAACAATGATAGTGATGCTAAATTGTATGTCCTTAGGTGTGAGCACTTTGTTTGTTGACAATTTTATTGGGCTTGTTTTCCAGCATGTGTTTAAAATGGAGCAGGAGGAGTATCAAAGAGAAAAAATCCAATGGAGCTATATTGAGTTTATTGACAACCAAGATGTTTTGGATTTGATAGAAAAGGTATTCTCCTGCCCACTTTCTAAATTTTTTAAAGTTGTTTTGGTTTAAATTAACGCATTGGTGATTTCATTTTGCAGAAACCCATAGGAATAATTGCTCTGTTGGATGAAGCTTGGTAGACTCTTGAGTTCTCTTCTGTCATATCATATCTTGCTCTTGTCACTTAATGTCTTAACTTATCATTTATCATGTAGCATGTTTCCCAGATCAACCCATGAAACCTTTGCAAACAAGCTATTTCGGAACTTTCGGTCCCATCCACGTTTAGAGAAAGCCAAGTTTTCTGAAACTGACTTTACTATATCTCATTATGCTGGCAAGGTACATCCTGCATTACAATCTCACAATTGAGATGGTATGATTGTGCTCTATACAGTGGTTATTGCTGGTTATTTACTTTCACTAGCGTTGGTCCTTCTCCAGGTGAACTACCAGACGGACACATTTTTAGAGAAAAACCGGGATTATGTTGTGGTGGAGCATTGTGATTTATTAGCTTCTTCCAGATGCTCTTTTATAGCAGGGCTTTTTCCTCCTTTACCAGAAGAATCTTCTCGATCATCATATAAGTTTTCATCGGTGGCCACTCGATTTAAGGTATCTCTAATTTTTCTACTTTGGAAATTTCTGCGAGCTCTAAAGAAAAAAAGTTGTAAGTTTGAGCAACCAAAATCTTCAGATATTAATTAGGTGGGGCTTGTCCTGTTGGAAGTAATTCCAGCACGTACACTAATTCATTTTATGGAGTGCATAGTTTAATTATTTATTTTTGGTTGCATTTAAGTCATACAATGTTGACGTGCATTGGTAGGTCAAATTTGTACAAACAACAAAGTTAATCAGCTACAATTATGATCTCCGTCTTCTGTCATTATTTTTTATAATCTATTTATATCTTCAGTGCCTATTATTGTGGCTTGCTGTTCGGTTTTGGAGAGCTGTACCGAATTGTTTGTTCTGCAGAAAAGTTGGACATTTTTAATTTCTGCAGCTTACCTGATACTTTGGCATTTCGTAGAGTAATATAAAGTCTCATTTCTACCTAAAGAATTAAGCCAACATTGATGTGGATATTCTTCTAACCTATTCATTATTCATAATTTGTACAGTTCTGCTGGCAATAAGAATGCTGCATTTGTTTATTAAGCTGTCAATATACTGGTTGCTAGCTGAGTGTTTTTGTTACTGTGTTGATATGGATTCTATACAAAGTGATGAGATGGTTTCTTCTATGATATGGAAATATGACTTCTTTGATTGAGTTATCCATGCCGCCCTGTTGGTTTACTAAAATTATATATATGCTTCTGACAAGTGTGTATGCACCCACCATGTACTGGACTGCTCTAGACATTTTTACATTTGAAACTTTGTTTGCAGCAACAACTTCAAGCTCTTATGGAAACCCTCAGTTCAACAGAGCCTCACTACATTCGGTGTGTGAAGCCAAACTCACTAAATAAACCACATAAATTTGAGAATCAGAGCATCCTACACCAGTTGCGATGTGGGGTTAGTACACCAACCCATTTTCCCTTACATGGTTTTCCTGAAGCAAGTTTTTTATTTTTGTACTTCAATCACTCTTTCTACTTGTCATGAAACTGTTTTATTTATTTACTTTTCTGCCGCAAGTTGTCAATTTATATTCCAATTTAATCTGTGAAGGTATCTTTCTTCTGTAACATGCCATTGCTCGATGAATCCGGGTGTCAATCAACTGTTGTTTGGAGCATATTATCTTTGATCTTATTATTGTTAATTTTGTAAATTTATTAATTTGATGAAAAGATCGGATGTATGAATTACGATTGGCTTTTACAATGTGTATGGTTTAGATATGATGAGGCAATGAATGTCTGCCTCTGTCAGTCAATTGATTTGTACCCCTAAATATAAGATATTGATAACTTCCTAAGGTCTAATGTTATGTTCTGATTTTCTTGCAGGGTGTTTTAGAGGCTGTCCGCATAAGTTTGGCTGGATACCCCACACGAAAAACTTATCATGAGTTTGTGGATCGGTTTGGCATACTTGCATTAGATATCATGGATGAATGGTATGGTTGAAATTCTACTCACTCTGTTTATCAAGTTTTCATCTTTTGTAATGTGTTTGTAACTAGATAATGTTTCAGAATGTCAAGGCACTTAATTTTTTTTTTTTTTAATCTCTCTTTTTATTTTTATTTGTTTTTTGTTATAAACTTGACTGCTTTTTATAGTAACTTTTTAAATGATAATGTCAAGAACAACATTAAGATGCTATGGAAATGTGTCATAATAAGATCATCTGTGATGATGAGTAAGCAGCTGATTAGATTTTGGACTAGGATGGACAAAAGGTTGGCTTGTCTAAGGTAGTGTTGTGCACCTATTTTGATCAGCTCTTGTCAATTATATAGCACTTTGGTTGCTTAAGTTTCTTTTCTGTTTTTCTCTTCTAAGACATTGTTTCATATCCTTGTATTCTTTATGCTCATGTTATTTAAATTTCAAGTTCATTTATAAGTTGATTGGGCTTGCTTAGTTGATATGTTCTTTATCATGGCAGTTACTATGATAAAACATTCATTTATAAGTTGATTGGGCTTGCTTAGTTTAATTTGTCCTTTATAATGGCAGTTATGATGACAAAACCATGACTCAGCATATACTGCAGAGATTAAAGCTTGAGAATTTTCAGGTTTGTCATGCTGAAAGTTACTGGTGAACTCTTACATTGGTGTTAGTCGTTACACTATTACCATTTTGTAGCTTATTGAATGCTGTTAGTTGACAAGGTTCAGCTGGTGTTTTACAGTTGGGGAAGTCCAAGGTTTTCCTTAGGGCTGGTCAAATTGGCATATTAGACTCACATCGTGCTGAGGTTTTAGATTTGGCAGCCAAACGTATTCAGGGCCGCCTGCGAACATTTCTCACCCACAGGGATTTTGTTACAAGTCGTGCAGCTGCAATTTCACTGCAAGCCTGTTGCAGAGGTTGTATTCTAAGGCCTGTGTTAGGATTATCAAAAAGTTGCTTTGTCATTTTTGTTGTCTTGTCTACTTTTTGGTATGAGAAATTGATACTGCAAGAGCCACTTGTTTTCTTAGACATCCATCTTTGTAGTGGTTGTTTATAAGTTTGGGTTAGCTCACAGGTGATATGACATGACTATTATTGTATTAGAATAATAATCTGTATCTTGAGAAATTTGTTATTCAGAAGTAATACCCAGTCCAAAATGATGCTGTAAGATTTTGTTGGAAGTTAGTACAGCTAATTTTCATATTGTTCTCTGATTCTAGTCTTTGGACACATTGATTGGGCCTAGATCAAGCATCTGTTGATACGATTCTAATTTTTTGCAGGTCATTTTGCTCGAAAGAAGTTCTCTTCAATGCGGGAGAACGCTGCTGCCATTGTTATTCAGAAATATTTCAGATGGTGGTTTTTCAGGCATGCATATTTGCAGCTCAGTTCAGCTTCTTTATTTATACAAGCTAGCATCCGTGCCTTTTCTACTCGCCAGAAGTTTTTGTATAGGAAGGAACACAGAGCTGCAACTCTTATCCAGGTGAACATATGTGTTTGAATTATTTGCTTATGGAATTAATGGAATGTTGTCCGGTCCACTAATGTATCGCGGTTTACTACTGTTGTTAAGCATCACTAGAACTGCTCCACTTATTTGAAACAAAAATGCTAGTTGCCATGAGTGTATTGAATTATTGTGGGGTTCAAGGAGTTTTCAGTTACATCATTCGGTCATGTTTCCTGTACAAGGGGAGCATAATAGTCAATTGAAAATGGCTGAACTGTTTACTGTAGATTCAATATATTTCTACAGTAGTTTTATGCTAGTGTGCATGTATATGCATGATATACAAGATAATATGGGTATTGTGGATGGAATCTATGTTGTTGCTAAATTATTGGCATTTACACCAGGCTTGTTGGAAGATGTTCAAGGTCCGTTCTCGTTATCGTAATCGTCAGTCAAGCATTATATCAATACAGTGCCTCTGGAGACAAAAGGTTGCAAAGAGAGAACTCAGGAAGCTTAAGAAGGTGATTATATGTTGTCGTGTCACTCACTAGCAGCCTAATTTGATAATTTAATTTTTATTAGTTATATGATTCAGCTGCTGTTTACATTATGGTGGGTATATGACCTTCAGAAATAATAATTTGTTTTTAGACTATGAATTTACACACTTGCATATGTATGGGTATTATGAAAATGTTCTGTAGAGCTTTTACAAAGTTCTGATTTTTAGTATAGATAATTATTGGGTTTTGAATTATCCTTCTTTCTCAATGCAAGACAGGAAAACTTTGTTTGAGAAAAATTGCGTGTTGGAAATTGTCTTGGGGAAGTTTAAAAACAAAGCACATTGGGTTGTGGGCATCAATTTATGATGTATCTTCTATTTGCTATCCCAAGTCTTTGGATGCTCTGTCTAATCTTGATTACTAGTGTTTGGGAGATTCTGCATCGTGCACTTTCAGTCATGATTCCTTTTGTATTCTATACAGGAGGCTAATGAGGCTGGCGCATTGCGATTGGCGAAAGGCAAACTGGAGAAGCAAATAGAGGATCTTACTTGGAGATTGCATTTGGAGAAAAAGATAAGGGTATTATTTATCTTCAAAAACTTATTCATTTTTAGGTTTCTTCTTAATCCCACTTATTGGATCAACTAAAGTAATGCTTATTCCGTCATTATATATTAGCTGAGGCAGCAGGACGTGATTTGTATTGAACGTATTTATGTGGTTTCAGTCATAAATCTATCCATATAGGGTGTGTTTGTTTGGAGGATTTTCCCGAAACTTTACTATTCATTTAATTTTTTCTCCCAAAAAACATCAAATAAAACACCTATTTTTCATATTTTATATTATACTAAAAATTAATTTTACATTCAAAACATCACATCAACATCTATTTATATCACATCATACAACTATTTACGTTCAAAATTTTTGCTATTCAACTCCCAATCCAAAATCCAAACCCTCCAAACAAATACACCTTAAGATTTTTACTATTTCACTGCAAATTTTTCCCCAAAAAATATCAAATCAAATACATATTTTTTATTTTTTATATTCAAAACATCACATCAACACCTATTTATATCACATTATACAACTATTCAAATTCAAACTTTTTACTATTCAAATTTCAACTCAAAATTTAAAGTCCCAACCAAACACACCCATAGAGAAAACATTTGGCCTTGCTCTATTCTGACATGAGTATGATTATTTAATATGAATTTTTTTTTCACCCCCAGAAAGTGAGTTATGGGCACCCCGACTTTTATGGTCTAAAAAGGTTCATATAATCCTGTAAACCTCATGTTGATTCTTGTTGGCGAATTCTTCTTTTGTGCTTGGATGAGTACCCATTTTTTTTACCGTTAGTTATTCGGTCCTGCATGTGCTATACTTGTTGGAGTAACGTTTCCGTTATTTTGTTTGATCTTCAAATATATACATTGTATTTGTTCGTTTGCAACTGGTGAGTCTATATATCCCTTGTGACAGCTTATGATTTTATTTTATATTTTTAACTTTTTAGCATTTTTTCATTCTTGCCAGTACTGAGTTTGTGCATTCTTTGCTCTTTTGTTATGATTTTTACTGAGTTTTTATTTGATTTCCTGTTTGAGTTTCAGGTGTCTAATGATGAGGCTAAACTAGTAGAAGTGTCCAAACTTCAAAAGGCTGTAGAATCTTTGACATTGGAACTAGATGCAGCCAAGCTTGCAACCCTTAACGAGTTCAATAAGAATATGGTTTTACAGAGGCAACTTGAATTGTCAACTAACGAAAGAACTGCACTAGAGAGAGATGTTTTTTCTGTTACTGAATTGAAAAATGAAAATACAATTTTGAAGGTAATTTTCACCATCTTTTTTGCTTGGATGTTCAGCTCTATTGACTTGTCAAAGTGTTAGCTCATTGATTGTTCAGTTGTAATTCTCTCATGAGCATATATAATCTATTCGCCTATACTATTACAAGTGTCTTTCACTTTTGCGTTTCAGTGATTGAATGAGAGGCATATAGTTTCTGGTTTCTGCTGATAAGAATTTTATTTATCGTGTACATTTATTTTATTATATACATGCTAACTTGTTGCAAACAATAATACATCAAGTTTGTTTCATTTTCATTAGAGCATATAGAGTATTGAGCTTACCTTTGACGGTGGGGTATAGATTTTTTGGTTGTCTTTTATGTCTTACTTTGGTAAAGATTTGCTAAGAACTTTTGTAGAGCCTTTCATAACTTGAGGTTTTATTTGGTTTCTGCATTGTTTGGTACATTCCTTCTCTCGGTTAGTCCAGTTGTTTTGGGCATTTCCAGGACCTTTTAATGCTCTTATTACTACTGTATGTGAGATGTCAAACTTGCTTAGTAGATTTCTCACTAGAAACCCGTTGACCCTTTAATTTACTTTGCAGAATTCCCTTAGTGCATTAGCTGAGAAAAACTCTATGCTGGAGGCTGAGCTCTCCCAAGCTAAAGAAGATGCAAGAAGTACCATTGCAAAATTGAAGGATGTTGAAACCACATGTTCACAACTCCAGCTAAATTTGCAAAGGTATTGTAAAAAGACCTTAAAAGATTTATTAGCTCTGCTGTCAGAGAATACTTTCCACAGTACTTTGTCCCTTGTCTAGTGCAAAGAAAAATAAATAAAAAGGTTCAAGAGAAACACCATTCTTTTCACAGTGCCCCGAATCTCAATTTCATATGGAAGTTTTTGTGTTTGATAGTTCATGATATATCTTATTCTTTTGCATCAGTATGCAAGATAAGTTGTCAAATCTAGAGGACGAGAATCATGTTCTTCGCCAAAAGGCATTGAATGTCTCTCCCAATAGTAATGGAGGTGGATATGCCAAACCACTCCCTGAAGTAAGTATTCTTAACTATCTTATATTATATAGTTCTATAAACATAACTGTACAGGTTCATGGACATATAATTTCTGATTCCTCTGGCACCAAATTGAATATTTTTGTTTCTGAATGATCATAGTTTTAATTTGCACCTTTTTTCCCCCTCTCTTCAAGCAGCGGTTTTCTGGAGCACTTCATACCTCTGCTGAACACAAGTCTTATGTAAGTTGGTGTGTGTTTCACCCACCAGGAAATATCTATTTTTCCCATCTGAAATTTTCTTGTGACTTATCCAGGAATCACCTACCCCATCCAAATACATTCGTCCACTGGCTCAAGGATTTTCTGAATCTTACAGAACAAAGTTGGGAATTGAAAGGCATCAGGTACGCTTTCTCATGGATATTTAACACTGCAGCTCTTATAATTCTTTCCACTGGGGCTATTGATTGTATTACTCTATATTTAGCTATTAAGTTGTTTTTCTTTATGTAATAAACTGTTACAGGGAAATCGAGAATTACTTTTGCACTGTATTAAAGAGAATCTAGGCTTCAAGGATGGCAAACCAATCGCGGCCTGTGTCATATACAGATGTCTACTTCATTGGAATGCCTTTGAGTCTGAAAGAACTGTTATATTTGACTTCATAATCGAGAGCATCAATAATGTTTTGGAGGTGATTGCTTCACTGATGTCATAAAAGACAATTACTTGAAATGCAATACTATAATGGTCATCTCATATCCACTGTTCTTTGAACTGTTATTATCTTTTATTGTTATCTGGAAGTTAGTTCCTGTACATGTTCAATATCTAACTACTTGTAAGAATTTATAATTTGTGTTAAAGCTGCATGCATGGTGGCTTTTTTGAGTTATAATTGTTGTTTCAGGCTGGTGATAGGGATGGTGCTTTTCCTTACTGGTTATCCAATGCATCTGCTCTCTTGTGCCTTCTCCAACGGAACTTACGATCAAATGGGTTCCTTACTTCTGGGCATCAATATACGGCAGGCTCTACATTTGTGAATGGAAGGCTACTGCAAGTAAGTTGGGTGTGCTTCGCATGAGTAGTGGTTTTAATTTAGCACTTTGTGTGTAGATGTGGATATTTTCCATGGGCTGATCACCCTGTTACATCTAATTTTATATGATTTTCTCATTATATATATATATATATTTTAGTATCATCGCATTTGGTGTGATTTGATGAATGCATGAAATAATGTGTTCCTCATGATGAAGATGGTCTGCAGAAAGCTGATCAGTTCTCTCATGTGGTCTACGTCATAGTATTATCTTGCTCTCTAATATTTTCTCTTTGCGATTCAACCTATAATCCCAACCTATATTTTCTTCAGCGATTCCTATGTTGCTACCTGAATGCTCTTGCAAGTGCATATAGAAAAAAGTACAAGTATATTGTTACATAAGTGACTAAATCTTTTTCTTAAATAGGGAACAAAGTCTGCTTTAAGACGTATTGGATTAGAAGATGCTTTATCCCATATGGAAGCAAAATTTCCGGCTCTATTGTTCAAACAACAATTGACGGCTTGTGTGGAGAAGATATTTGGCTTGATCCGTGACAATTTGAAGAAGGAAATATCTCCATTACTGGGACAATGCATTCAGGTGGTTTCTTAATCTTTACTCCCTGGCACTTGTATGTGATCTAGATTTAATTGATCAAACTAGGGTGTAAATTGGTTAAGCAGAAAGGGAAAGGAACTGGGCTTGCTGGCTGGTTCTGGTTTTTGGATTTTCTCTAGTGTCTATTTTGTTTCTCTCCATGGGGGCTCTTCACCGGGGTTTAAAAGTTTTCCCTATTTCAAAGAATCAAGCAACTTCTTTGTTCTCCAGATAGTACTTCTTATAAAAACACATTGATCATAATATTCATTGAATGCTAGAGGTCATGGTGTACGACGTTTTGGTTAAGTCTCTTTTTGGTTATAAACATAAGTTCTATCAATGGATTGAAATATCTGAAAACACCCAACCACTGCCACTTCGTGGTGTTTGCTTTTATGAAAGATAAAGCTTGGAATTTTGTTTATTTCTTGTACAACAGCATATTCTTATGTTGTGAATTAAATAGGAACATATCATGCTCTGAATTAGGAAATTTGTGCTGTAAAAAAACCAACCCGTAATTGGGTGATCTTATTTCAATACTAGTGTTTGCTACATCAATACCAAATATTATGCCTTCCGGCACTTCCCATCAAACTGGTTTTTAGTTGTTGAAGCCTAAAACCAGTACAGGGATGCAAAAGTTTGTTTCAAACAAAGCAACTTTCAATCCAGTGCCGAGATCATTGACACCTCTGCCTCCAAATGACCTTGAGGGAGAATGTTCAAATTCTACTTTATTAAAATGAGAGATTTAACGAGTTGGAGTGTCCTTGAGATAGTTTTTCACAACCCTTCAACTGCATTGTTGTGTTGGAAGAATTTTCTCCTGCATGAAACACTTCATAATAGATACTCTAAATTGTCTCAAAACTTTATTCCTAATAATTGCTTATACATTCTTTGTTTTTGAGAAGGCACCAAAAAACCAACGAGTTCATGGTGGAAAGTCAACCAGATCTCCTAGTGGCATTGCTCAACAATTACCAAGTACTGAGTGGGATAGCATCATCAAATTCTTAGACTCATTAATGAGTCGGCTGCAAGAAAACTATGTATGCATGTTTTCTCACTGTGATTTCTTGCATTTTTGTTTGTCATGTCATATGTTGATTGAATGGATACATCTTCAGGTTCCTTCATTTTTCATCAGGAAGCTCATTACACAGGTCTTCTCCTTTATCAACATACAGTTATTTAACAGGTAATTTCTTCATCGTATGGTAGTGTACATCATAGTTCCTGATAAACAATGAGGAAGTCTACACATACTTTTGTGGCAGTCTTCTGCTTAGACGGGAATGCTGCACCTTTTCAAATGGTGAATATGTCAAATCTGGTCTAGCTGAATTGGAAAAATGGATAGTCAATGCAACAGAAGAGGTATCTATGCACGGTTCTTTGACATTTCCTCTTAGAACACACTGAGCTTTATGTTCTTTTAACTGAACTATTGCTGAACGCAGTTTGCTGGAACCTCTTGGCATGAGCTAAACTTCATTAGACAGGCTGTTGGATTTTTGGTATGGCTGGTACTTTTGCTTTGTTCTGTCTGCTAAGTTTGAATTCTTGAACATGTAATTTCTTACATATTATGCTGTTCAATAGGTTATACATCAAAAGAGGAAGAAATCTTTAGAAGAAATAAGACAGGATCTCTGTCCGGTATGACTTATTGTTAACCAGCGGTTATACTATTATGCCCTTACTTTTGCATAACTTCTTTCCTGGAATGGGTGACTGCATGACTAATCTTCTTAGACTAAACTTTTATTCTCTCTCTCTCCCTCTTTCTATATATATATATATATATATATTGGCAACTTTGGCAGAAATTGACTGTAAGACAAATCTATCGGATAAGCACAATGTACTGGGATGATAAATATGGGACTCAAAGTGTCTCAACTGAGGCAAGTATTTTGGATATTTGCATTTTGCTCAGAAATGCTGAATTGTTTCCTTCATATGCAAGTTAATTTGAAGTCTCAGGGGACTGGATAAAGTGCTGAAGCAAGTTAACAAACTTTTTTTTAAACCTGTGTGTTCTGTAAATCTATCTCATGTGGTCTGAGCAGAGAGAGCTAGCCTTCACAACTCATGGACTATGATTTTGGCTGTTATACAGGGAACAGATTGATTATGTTTAGATCCATAAGTTTTATCTTTTGAGTCTTACTGTTTCATTAAGTTGTAAAGATACATAAACATCCTGCCCAATATATGTATATTCATATTTAACATGCCAACTATTATGCAAAGATTCAGTTTTTTTGTTGTGATTTTTTGCAGGTTGTAGCTCAGATGAGAGAGATTGTGAGCAAGGATTCACAAAATCTGTCGTCATCCAATTCATTCTTATTGGATGATGACTTGGGGTAAATTCCTATCTGTATTGAAAATGTGGCAACACAATGATCATACTTCTATTAATGAAAAAAAGCTTGGGTTTCAAGAATGTTTATCTTTTATGATGAGTTGTCAAATCCATACTTGGTGGTGCCTGAGATTCTCAAGGTTCCCTAGGCCCCTAACAATGATATCATGTAGCTGAATGGAATGCTTATTGCTTACTAGTTTATCCCTTGCTTCTATATTGACAATGCCCTTTGTCTCAGTATTTCTGGTAGAGTTGGCAGCATTAGCATGAGTTTTTAGCAGCACACATTTGTGAAAATTTTAACTGTTGCTTAGTGTTATCTAGAAGAAACAAGGTAGAAAAGAAAATGATATTTAACCATCTCAAAAGTTGCAGTAGAATGATCCCTCCATAAATTTGTGCTTTTGATTGCTATCAATTAGAAGTGATGTTTCTTCCTCCACGGATTGTTTATCTCCTCTATTGACTTTCTTGCAGCATTCCATTCACCACAGAAGATGTGTACATGGCAATTCCTGGAATTGACCCTTCGGACATAGAGCTTCCGCAGTTCTTTTCTGAATACCCGTTGGCACAGTTACCAATACCGCCTCCCCAAGTAAATGTTTAGCTATTCATTTTTTATGACATAGCTGTTCATAAAGGTTCTGCTTCAAGTGGGTTGGATTTTTTTGGCGGGTTCCAGTGAGCTGATGGATTGCACTGAAAATGAAAAGAACTAATCATGTTGATCAGTGACGTTAGATCATTATTGGATCACACGGGTAGAAAAGCACAAATGGCTGTACAAAAGATAGGTAGAAAACATACTGGAAATGCTGAACTATTATTTTGTTACATTATTCATATCATGTTGTTAGTGCGATAAGTTGTATGCTCATTTCTAATTCCTTGCAAGTTGAGCATGCATGTGATCTTGATCTTGCCCAAACTATAGTATTATGTCTGCTGCAGTGGCATCAGAAAAACAGGTGCACACATTTGGTACATAATTTGACATTAATGTAATGTAAAGCTTAAGCAAAGCTGGCTTTGTAGCGGAGTCATTGGATTTGGAAATAGTGATGGCAACAGATTGCAAAACAGCTAAAGAGAATGATCTCCAGCTCCAGGCGGGGTGGAATTCTTGATAGAACACAGAGGCAGTAATGATCCATGAGAAGCTTGTTTGGTGGTGGTGTCTGAGAGTGTTACCGATGAATATGAGGCTGCAAGCTGGTAGATTCCGCGCTTTCTCGTGCATGTGCTGTCTGGCTTGGTGATGATGTCTCGCTTTCTCGTGCATGCGCTGTTGGCTTGGTGATGATGTCTTTGATGAAGGATGACAGATAAATATGCTGCTGCTGGTAAACTGGCGAAGGACTTTGATTTGCCATTGTATTGTGGAGCCTTGAGATGCCTCTCCGGTAGGGTGTCGTATCCAATGCAAGGATAAATGCATGTGTGTATTATTACTTGTCACTCAGGTTATTTTGGATTTTGTTAGGAGAAAATGAGAAAAAAAATAAATAAAAAAGACAGATTTTATGTGGTTTGGTAACAGCCAACCAACTTATGTTTCACAGGCAGAAATCAGAGATTTTATTATAATATGGCTAGGAACATAACTATCTATATACTCTAAACTCTAAGCCCACTTGGCAGTAACAGATGAGCCAAAAGGAAACTCGTATCACTTTTCAACAGATTTCAACAGTTGGTTAACCATGAAAAGAGAAGCAATTAACATGAGTTGTTATTTTCTCTATTTTGGGTTGGGTAGCAGCAGATGATCATGTATATTAGTTAGTTGCACCACGCAAACATTTGCTGCATGCTTTGCTTGCTTCTCTTCCATATCCATATATTCAGACTCATCACACTCAACTCTAATTTTAACTACTTTAAAACTAAAATTTGACACATTTACTCACTGTAAGATGTCTGCTGCTGCTACTAAGCCTCGGCTTTCCGCAACAATATATATATATATATTCATCCTTGGATGATGATGATTCATATCGTAACTCAAGTAAATGAATTGGTAATTACACTACACTTTCTTGGTTGTAGGGGCAACAAGGACAATCTCTTGCTGTAGCAAGTAACAAAGAATCATGGCGGAAGCCCTGGTAAAAACTATAGGGCTTCTTGACATAAACTACAGCCCCCTATTGGAATGATCGATCCATCACTTACCACAAGGAAAGAATAAGCCTAGAAACACTGAACTTGCAATCCTTAATCATTTCCACAGGTCCCACAACCTCAATATCTTTCAGCAGTGCAGGTTCCGTACATCAAAAGCATTAAGTAGCCTTAGCCTCAACCTCAGCACGTCCCAATGATGCTAGCTACATTTTTACCAATTTCTTCTTTCGTTTGTTCACATACAGGAACATCACCAATGTACATGCCAAAAAAGGCCCCTGCATATATACATATAATAGCCTGAAAGCTAGCGGTGGAAACAAGTAAACCAACACTTGAGGAAGAAACAGTGTACTTACTGCATAAGTCTATGCTATGGACTGCCCCAAGATTATTCCCACCCACTGTCAAATGAATAAAAACATTCAAATGGTTATATCTGCCATTCAGTGCTTGACATACACCGGTTCTTCGCATATAATCAGACAAAGAACATCTCAAAGTAAAAATATGATCAAAAGCACAGTTATGGTTTTTTTAAGTTTTCAAAATGCCCTCACCTTCAGTAACTAGATGTCCATCAGCTGTTCGACGGAAATTAATTGTTGTTCCCTGAGAAAATTTTGCTTTGTATTAGTTGCACGGTTCCATGAAACACACATGATAAGACAACATGAAATAGAATTATCCATACCACATGTAGGGGAATATCCTTTGAGAAGAGGGTACCGAATGTTTGTAGGCAGCCAAAATCAGTATCAGGATTTGTCTAGAAAAGAGTGATAGTTTGTCACCAACTAGAACCCAACAATATCACTTCAGGAGCAAAAAATTTAGAAGGCTTACTCTTGCTAATCGGACTCTGAGGGCTTTCTCGAAAGCACTACATGAATACATTTATAATATGATTTAGAATGGTTCATATTTCATTAACATGCAGAATTTCAGGAAGACAACTTCTCCCCAGTGGTATTAACATGAATTGGCTTACTCTTTCACGGTATTGATTTTGATCCCATTGCAATTGACAACAAGCCTAAGTGTCATGTTGATATCCTCCCTGCAGCAAGAACAAAAAGGTTTCAGTAAATACAACATTGATATTCTTTCCCAATTTGTTTCAAATGAGACATGATGTGCTTGTTATAAGTGAAGTAAAGACAGCGGTGTTGCTTGCTACAGAAATGTGCATGACACCAAAACGATTTGTGAGAGGCTGGTATTGAAAATATGTAGGGAGTGGAAATAGGCAAGGCGGCCTATTAGGTGTTTACAGCCTGGCATGTATAAGGCCTGGCTCGGCCTGACCTATTTATTTAAAAAATTCGATATAGGCTTATTTTAAAGTCTATTTAATTAATTAGAATAGACTTATGCTTTACAAAATGTTTTTTAGGCCCATCGGATCGGCCTATTTATATATATAATTTTGATTTAATATATAAAATTATTATATATTTATAATTTTTTTTAAAAAAAAAATTTAGTGATTTAACCCAGTATAAAATTGATTGATTATAACTATAATTTTTTTAATAATATTAAATTTTAAAAAGTAAAAAATTAATTATTATATAGACTTTTAAATAGGCTTGTAGGCTACACAGCCTTAAACATAGGCCAAGCTCAGACTGTATAATTTTTTTTATTATAAGCTAATAAGTCAGACTCAGGTCTTAGTTTTTCAAAATAGGTCTGGCCTGTTTAACCAAAGCCTGGCCTGTTTAACCAAAGCCTGGCCTGACCTGGCCTATTTTCATCCCTAAATATATGCAAACATCAAAAACTAAGTAACACGAGAGACAAATTATATTTGTTATAATAAAGCAACTTAAACCAACATCAAGATATTTTAAAAAGTTTTGTGCTTCGATTGCTTCCGCAAAGATAAAATATCCCAGATGAGTGTGGGCATTGTTGTACCCTTGAATGAGCGCTTTATGTATGTAACTATCTTGCATTAATTATTCTAAACATAATCTAACATCCTACACCATGGAATGTGTTGGACAATGTTAGCCGCTTCCAGAGATCCTCAAGAAAAATGGAGTGCACTAACACAGACGATATCACAAGAAAGCCATTTCAATATAAAAACTATTACATTATCCAGAGAAATTTGAAACAAACCTTAGAAGATCCCGATAAAAGTCTTGATTCTTGTACAATTCATCCTCTGGAATGCAACTATACTTTGGACCCAATTTCTCACAGACATCAAAAGGATGAACATCTGGTGAACAATTGCATACATGAATTTGGAGAGTAGATAAAAAGACCAGTGCTAAAAGGATTCAGTGCAAGTAAAAGGACTTACAGAAGCCAAATGCATAGAGTTTCAGAGATTTAATCCTTACTATGGTCATTGTTCTTGAACCAGTTCCAACAAGGACCTGAAGTTGGGGGTGTAGAGTCAAAAGAATCAACCTCCACAAGAAACTTAAGGTCATATACACACAAGCTAAAAAGCATGAGTGAGTGAGAGAGAGAGAGAGAGAGAGAAGTTTATATTTATACATCAAAATTGTTTATATCTTTTATATCTTGCTTATCACAACTGGAAAAGAAACAAGCAGGAATGAAACTGAAAGCTTATATTGGCAACAATATAGCAAACTTAAATTAAACTTGACTTGTTGCAGCTCTATATAGCTACGATTTATGTCAGTTATGCACACGTTTAAGAAATGCCAAAATATTTTATTTCTACAAGGAAAATCATGACCCCTACAAAAGTAAAGACAGCATCAGTTTCCATACATAGGACATGAAAGTAGATGGCTATTCTCTAGGAGACATGGCATTGTCACTCTGGAACGAGTTGTGTATCATTCTCTTTTCTTTCCAGTAATTCCAAGTTATATGGGGCAAGTGATGGAGCTGTATATATAAGGATACACAAAGTGTGATTGATTGAAATAATTTTCATTAAGGATGCACTGTATACATCACCAGGGGATGTCAGTGCTTCCAACTATACTACATTAAGACCATATAAATTAAAGTTGGAAAATAATTATAATACAAATCCAATGACAGTTCCACTAACTTTAAATTGGGCACGCTGACCTCAGGAGTGAATGTTGAACTCCTTTCGTCGCAAATAGAGTTGTCCAATAAAGTAGGGAACTCAATGCCAGTTCTAGGTTCAGTTGTCTTTGACCAAGCTAAATTTTGTAAGTAAAGATCAGTGCAGGGTCCACATCCTCGATTCTCAATCTCACAGGGTCTTTGATCAAGTGATCCCTGTGCTTCCACAGATCCCGCCTCCAATGGAATGGTTAGAATATTCGAAGCACTGAAAACCACACAGAAAGTCAGTGTTATAAGAGAGAAAAGGGAATGCTTGATGCCTGAGTAGAACAGAGAAGTATAATCTTGTTTCCATACACAGATTATGAGATGTTGCTGTGAGAGGGGGAAAAAATGTTTCCTAGCTCATTTATTCAAACAAGAAGCTTACACATTTGTGAATGGCGGTACCATTGCAGCCATTAATGAGAGCACTGGGAACGACTGGAGCCATTCAACCTCCTTCCACATTTGTCCCAGAGCAAAATTAGAAAGCTTACCAGCCAACGGAATGGCAGATATTTCCCTTCTGCACTTCGACTTTCTAAAAAATCCTGTTAAATCACATTTAATAGAAGGTATGTGCTTTACTTGTGTCAAAACATTTGAGCAACTGAATTTTCGGGGTAATTTATGGTTAATATTGAGACTTGATCCCCGCAAAAGCCAGATAACAACGGCACCAGAAAACTTTGACATGCTGCCAAAAGCTTCTTGAATGGCCAAACTTCCGGGCATAAAAAGATATCTTGAATTGTCAACCAAAGAAGTAATATGGGAGAGAAGCGGATCCATAAGAAAAAACCCACTTGAACTGCCATCAGGTTCAATGAAGTACAACCAATCATTTCCCATGGTGAACTATTACTCGCTCTCGGTAGAATTCTTGATATGGCTACGGTTTCTTGCAGTAGTTCATTTGAACCTGAATCTGATAACAGAGCTTAGTCACGTTTAAATGCAACTGGGGAAAGAGTTATCCATCTCAAGCTGAAAATTTGGAGTATTCATATGCACAAACTTATCAGGACAAATATTAAGAAGAGAACGGCACCTCACATAGAGAAATCTCAGCTAATATATATATATATATCCAATTTTGGAAGTAAATGCAAAGAAATAGAAAGATATATATATTACACAGGAAAGTCGAACGCAACTTCGAGTTCATGCATCTTTCCAAAGATAATGGCACCTACACACACACGAAGCAACAATGGTGATGTAATCAACAAAATTTTGACGCGGCACCGGTAATAATTTGGCAAGCACCACGAAACTAGGAAAGAGATGAAATCTTCCAACACAAAATCAGCAGTAGACGTAAAATTGATCAAACGTTGAAGCTAAATTTTCAAAACATTGAACCAGAGAGAAAAGGAAAAAAAGGAAAGTTGGGGTGACTGCCGGCATTGAAATAAAATCCATGGAATCATACGAAGACGCAAAAAAACAAAACAATCGATAGATAGGGCATGCAGATGATTAATTAATGTGTACATTTAGAAAGAAAAATGAATAACAGGCGAATGGGAAAGAAACCTGGGAAGGGAAGGGGCGTGTAAAGGATGGAAGATGAAGGAATGTTTGAGATGGGCAGATCACCTCCTCCTTTACAAGAAAGATCTGACTGATTCTGGAAAGAGAAGGAAAAAAAGAAAACGAAAACGAAAGGGGTTAATTGTTTGTTGGGTCGAGAGGAAAAGAAGAGGAGGCGGCAAGGGAAGGAAAGGAAAGGAATATGCTGACGCTGATGCTGCTGCTGCTGCTGCTGAATGATCTCCCCTCTTTCTCTCTCTCTCGTACGGTTCAATCGAAAAAATAAGTAAATTCTTTTAAAAGACTTTTCCTTGCAAGAAATTCGGTCATTTGAAAAGGCCAAAAAGGGAAACGTTGAAGGGGAGTCGTAGCAGAATAGCCCACCGCTGAATTGATTTGATTTTGATTTGATTTGATTGTTGTAGCCTCTGTATACTGTATGTATGTATCATGTGCGTGGGTGAGTGAATGAATGCAAGCCGACAAATATAATCAGGAAAGAAAGAACGAACAACGAAGAAAGTGTGCGTCTCGGTAATTTAGCTGGGAACCTACCGCATCGCCGGTTCATATCATATCCCAGCCGAACCGAACCGAGAAATGGAATAGAAAGACAGACGACACGACGACCCACAGGGACAGGGAGGTGGGGTTGGTTGAGAAATGCTGAAATGAATGCTGGTTGCCTCTTCATTCATTTACATCACAAATTATCATAACCACACACCACAGACAGCCCCAAAACACATTGCATCATCTTTCAAAGACAACCCTCCCTTCCCTCGACTACAAACTTCAAAAGCTCAAGTATAGAGATAGACTGGATTGGATTGGACTGGACTCATGCCAAATAAAATGTGATTTACACCCACACCCCTTTCATTTACAAACCAGGACGTGAATCTATATCTATGTATGTTTATATGTATATCCAGAGTTTAAAAATAATAATAATAATAACACCAATCAGGGCATGGCATGGCATGGCGTGGCGTGTCTTCCTGTGGAAAATGTTTGCTCAACCCAATATTGTATGAATGAGTATAAGGACCGACCAACGACCATTAACACAACAACTCTATTCAAATGTGTCATCCATCAGCCTGTGGGAGGTGGGAGAGGATCAAATAACAAAATTGCATGCATCTCATTACTCTTCTTCTTCTTCTTCTTCTTCTTAAGGAAGCTACTGCAGCCATTCCTTGCCTAGCCTCTCCGCTGGCTGGTGTCACAAAAGTCCCGCTTCAAATAGATTCCGCCGTCTCAATGTCTCATCCACCAGCTTGAAGGTCTTCTTCACAAGCTTTTGATCCAAGGCTGTGGTTCTGTAGATCTTAAAGACCCGGTCCACCCGATCAGGCGAGGTGCTCTGAAAGTACACTTCCTCAAACTTCTTCTTCACAAACCTGTTGGTTGGGAAACAATAATAATATTAATATAATGGCGGCGGGGCAAGAGAGATTATTTGTAGTAAATGCAGATACAAAACAAATGCCTTCCGGCTAAGTCATCACAGGTGGTCGGTGGTCCTCCTACTTCACACCATAATTCTCAATTCCAGAAGAGGGCTCAAGAAAGTGCTTACTCATACGCATGCTCAATTTCTTGTTTCCCTGTTGAAACCGGTTGGTAGTCCTTGAACCACCCGCATACATTCAGGGGAACCTGCATAAAACAACACTATGATATCCTGATTTCAAGCAAGCTTCAAATGAACGATTAGCAAAATCTTATGATATGCTTACTTTTAAAACCTTCTTTTCAAATAAATCAAATTTGTTCAAAAACAGCATGAACGAGGTTTTCTGCATAGAAGAGAGAAGAAGATGGTGCTTAGCCAGGCATCAGAATCAAAACTAGAACATATAGTCTTCCAGCATTTCATAGATGCAACCTCAAAGCAAGGCTGTTTAAGGACCCACTCAAATAGCTCCTTTGTCTCCATCATTCTGTTCTTGTTATCATCTTCAAAAAGAGTTTGATCGTACCTGGAAAGTGTTGCACCATGTAAAAATAGTATCATAAAAAAATCACCAAACTACTACAAGTATAAATTTAACTGTGACAACCATGACAATGAAATTCTAGACAACTAACTCCATGCCGAATGATGAAAAGGTGGGATATTTTTCAAACTTCAAGAGAATCAGCCATACTCGCTTATAGAAGCACAGAAAATCACAGCCGTAACACCATCAAATAGATGAATCCATTTTCTTCTCTCATTTTTCTGGCCTCCAACATCATAGAGCCGATACACTTCTCCACTTTTTTTGTTCTCTCCAACTGGGCTGCAAACATCTAAACAATTAGACATGCTTCACATTGAACATCATCCGAATCACACCAAGCACTTTCAAGGTTGCTGATGCACATGACATGAAACAGAACACACGCCTAAGACATAAAAATGAAGTTGGAGGAGCATGGAAATGGATTTTCTGGTGCAAGATATAGAGACACCTATCTTATTCTCATTTCCAAAAATGATTGAATCACAGTAAGAAAAGTCGACTAGCATCATGACACAGACTCAATAAACTGTTTCTACACAAGAGGTTTAAAAAGTTGCTGAACTGAAATGAATTGGTTCAAAAATTTTACAGCAAGAAAATGGGATCATTAGTCACCTGAATTGGATTTCTACAACACCAGTTGTTCGAACTCGGGCATAAAGAACATCTTCCTACATCAAAGCAAAAATATTAAAGCAACCGTAACAAAAGTTTCAACTGTTCTCATATAGCAAATGATATTGGAGCATGAGGCAGTAGGAAAGATGATCCAAATAGCAAGTGTTAAATGACTCAAAAACATAGCAGCTTCACAGCACATCAAGACAACCATCCAGAACCACAAAACTTAACTAAGTTGGATTGATGTCTGTTTACATAATAAAAAAAATAAAATATACGGATACGTGAGAAAGCATTAGGAAATAGAGCACTAAAGCTAACCCATTAGAATTGAGTTGAGGCCTGCTAGATTATTAAATAACACAAACAAGTTGGTAGAACAAAGAAATCTAAGATTAATGTCCAAATTTTATAGGGGTTGTAGAGTTAGATTTCTGATTAGTATAAGTCCTTTAGGGTTATATTATTTCTTTATTAATAAAATTAGAAGTACTCAAGTCGAATCACCGGAAAAGAATCTTGAATTTTGATTATTTCATTAAATTCTCTTGGGAAATAAATAATTACTTTGCAAGAACAGTCCAACCACCCAAATTAATAAGGGAGGACGACATGAAATTTAAGATGGTGCTTCGGATTGAAAAGATGTCTGGTGTTATATGCAATACTGTGGAGATACGCCACCCAAAATGTGGTGCCCTGATCTAGCAAGATTAAGAATGCATCATCAGAAGACAGATTATCTCTCTCCCAAAAAGAAGACAGGTTGTCATTTAGGCCTTTTGGCTTGGGATAGGGAAAAGAGCCCTGAAATACAGGTGAGTTTACATTATCAAACTACTTTGAGATCTTATTCAACTCAAAGAGCTACTGAAAGATAGTTTTGAAACTAAAAGATATTGCAGTTGATAGACTGCATTATGAAGTTAGTTGTGTGATATCAAATAACTATAACCATCTCACAATCAAGCAGTCTCACCAATGAAAATTCTATCTACTATTATATAGGAAATAGGAACATATTGGAAGTATGCATAATACTAAATGCAATGGTTTATGCAGTCAGTGGAATATACCATTAGGTTAATTATTCTATATTCATATATGGGAAGAAGGAAGAAGCTCATTCTCAGCATACCTTTGTAGGAACATAGTCTGCATTTGACAATCTCTGCAAATTTTCCATAAAATAATGGGCGCAATCCGGAACCTGAAGTTCATTGCTATGGGAATACGTTTCCTGCCATAACAAAATAAATTTAATTCTATGCAAATAGAATGTGCACCAACCAACTCACACACACAGACACATATGTATGCCATTGAAGACATAATCACTTAATTCTATAACTTTAAGTTTCAGTGAATGAATATTCTAGACCATTCATGCAAAGCACCACTTACTTGTATGGCATCATCTTTCCAAAGTGTTTCAATCTCATGTGCAAGCCCTTTGGTCAGACATGGATAATCCAACCTACCACCAATTTCTGAAAATTTCTCTCCTATCAACTGATGCAAATATATATATACATATATATATATTAATAATAAATAAATAAATAACAAATAAACATGAAAATTGAACGTCAACTTCTGCCCCCTAAAGAAGTCTATTTAGTAAGTTCTTTAATTTTCATTCTTTACACAAGTACTGGCTGCAGACCTTGTTTTCATCAGATATGGTGAACTTTGAGGAGTCTTCTAAGTTTTGAGATAGTTCCTTGGATCCATCATATAATATCTGTAGATGTATTTCAGAATAAATGTTATTCAAACCATTCACTTTAAATATCAATAATAAGGTCATCAGAATATTTCATGCATACAATCAACCAACAGAAATATGAATATTCTATGCAATGCCAAAGGGAAACAAATAAAAAATAAAAAACCAACACACCCTTTCTATATTTCATACTTTTATTGTCTGATAAATATTGGCATGGATGACTGGGATATATCCTCTTAGCTCAGTCTCATCAAATCCACTCTGAAATAAAAGTTTTATCTGCATGATGTTCAAACCACTTTAAGTACGGAGTTGTGTTCAACTGAAGGCATAGATCCATTCACAAATAAACTAACTTGCTTGATAAAGAAAAGAACACAAAATCTTGCCTGCTTGAAAATAGTGGACTTCCCAGAATCCCCAGCACCTGAATCATGAATAGTAAAGATCGGTTCTTAATTATAATATTATTGTGATGAAAAATCCTCAACAAAGTCCTTGACAAGCACCAGGTTTTAAATTCCACATTAAATTGATAGGCAGAGTTCCCTTGATATGATTACCTTCCTAAACTAGCAGCAATCTTTTAATAAAGCTTCATACTTGGCACATTTCCTAATAAATGCACGGCAATGGAAGTTTGGATATAGAAACACCTTTATGGTGGCTTATGCAATCACTTCCAATTTTTTTTTTTGTCTCAAGGATCAATTATAAAGTTAAATTGCTAACAGATGCGTCTCTCCATAAATGATGTAAAATAACGTCTCAAGCAAACCAGAAAATCCAAATACATCTAAAATGGATAATGAAAACTGTAGCCTGCTGGGACAATAAACACATACCAAATTCAGTTTCATGTATTACTGGGACATTAAATGGCCAAAACACCCCGAAAAGAGCGCCATAACAAGTACTAATAAAGGATTATGATTCTCACCAAGTAATAGAAGTTTCTGAATATGCTTCTCTGCCTTTGTTTCTTGCTCGATCTGTCTTTCTATTTCAGCAGTCTGAAAATTTACTCAACATAAAATACACCATACAATGATGGAACAACCACGTCACATATAGCTGAATGGTTGTCAAACTTTGTAAGTTTGAAATAGGAAAAACCTGCTCATTCCCTTCAGAATCAGCTTGATTGTGGCGCTGTCTGCTGCAGAGTAGCCCCATCTTATTGATTTGAGGACACAACAGAAATACCATGTATTCTCAAGGTGTTGCTTAGGATCTATGTGGACCAATCATCTAGGCATTGGTGCTTGGCACCTAACTGTAAGATATTATTGTTTAGCAGCAGAAGAATGAAGATCATACGAGAGACAAAAATCTCAACCAATGATTATGTAGAACTTATTAATATCTATAGGTGAATTTTGTTTTCTTCATGGATTAAAGCCACATGTCAGTAGTCGCAATACAAAGAGTGACAGCACAATATAAAAAGGAGATTCCTGTGCAACGACAAAAGCATACAAAGTGAATAAAGAGCCCAGTATTGGGTAAATCTTCTTCTCAAAAGTTTTTAAGCAATGAAATAATCATACCCCACATACACCAAAAACCTGTACGGGTAACGCAACGCTCAATCACCATAAGCTTTTCTCAGCATGAATATACATACATACAAGAGTATATTCTAGAACATGTAAAGCCCGTTTGAACTAAAGGGAATGCAGCCGTGAAAAGTGCAGGAAGAAACAAACAAACAAACAGAGAAACGAAAGCACTAAGCATATCGTTTTACCTAAATTATATATAGCAACTAGTGAGCCTGCGTTCCTGTCCTGGGCATGTATATAGTCGGTGGGAAGAAAGCGAATGGGCAAACACGGCTTAATACATACCTAGGCCTAGACAAGGAAGGGCGTATGCGAAGCAACAAATTCGGCAACAGGTGTATCGGGGTGAGGGAGTGATAGGATCTAATGTAGGAGAGTTGGTTTTAAAGGGGAGATGGAGATGGAGATGGAGGATCTTTCAGGTGGGTGGATTGAGGATCTGGTAAAAAGAAAAGGTAGAGGAATCAGTGGCGGGTGGATCTGGGGAGCCTCAACCTCAGCCACAGCCCACAGGTGACGGACGCATGGACAGCGGGGTGGCCGCCTAAGAAAACTGGACGCTGCGGCGGAGTGCAGAGGATCAGAGGAGATGCGTCTCTCTCTCTCTCTCTCTGTGTCCGAGGGTGAGCTGAGGGAACTGCTGGGTAGGGGTAGAGGGTTTGGTTTGGTTTCTTGTAGCGCAGTGGTGTTTACTTTTTTGTGCTACTACAGTAGAGTAGAGTAGAAATGGTCGTCGTTGACCAGTCAAACTCAAACCAAACACGGATTTTTATTTTTTACTTACACGGCTGGATTATTTATTTATTTATTGGCATTGTATTCGTTGGCTTAAATACACTAGTATGTATATTGGTAGATATATATTTACTTTGCACAATCGAATTAAACCCACAAATTAAGACTCGGTTTATATATATATATATATACTATTCATTGAGAATAATCTATTAAAAATATATATATTTTTTTCTTTTATAGAAGTCCAACGTGAGAAAACTTGGAAGATAAGAAAAAGTATGCATTTTAATTATTTTATTTGTTGAGGGTGAATGTAAGTGTATTGAATGAATCCTAATCATCATCCAGAGTCAAGACAGGAAGGCTGTAGTTATGACAAGCCCAGCCCAGCCCATATACTATACTATACCAAGTGGAGTACTACATAGTAGTACTAATGTAGTGAACTAAACTTGATTAGTAGACTCGTAGACTTGAGCAGGAGAATTGAAGAGAGATGCAAACAGACTACTAGATCAACGACGTAACATACATATATAACCTATATATTATTATATTTTTTTTATCTATATAAATAATAAGAAAGAAGGCAGTATCAGCCTATCAGGTTCAGGTATCAGGTATGTATGTCATTGCAGCTGGGGCTGTAAGAAGAAGCTGCGGAGAATGAAGTTGAATTTATGCGGATCTTCTAGTTGGGGCACATGTGACGTCTTCTCCATCACTTCCAATTGAGTACTCTCCCCCAGCAGTCTGCAGTACCAATTAATAACAATACATATATAAAGACACAATTGATTGGAGCAACCAACACCAGCACCAGGTCACTCTCAATGACGATCAATAAAATATCTACAAAAAAGAAAGAGCAGGTACGCACTTCTGCAGCTGTCTGGCTCTCTCCAATGGGAATATCCGGTCATGCTCTCCCCACACAATCAACACTTGCTGCAGCAGAAGCAACCCCGCCGTTAATAATTATATTATTATTATTGTAACTAATTGTGAATTGACATACTGTAGGACCATGGATGCCGCCGGTCTTGTTGTAATAGTAGTGATTAATAATGAAGAAGCAATTAATAGGAGGAGTAGAGTATGCATATGTTTGGCTGCCCTGCCCTGCCCGCCCTCCACAGGATCGGAAAGGAAAAGAAAGGAAAGGAGAGAAGACGGACAAGCACCTACCTGTGAGAGTGGAGATAATGGAAGGGGATGGTCGCTCTTTCCCACGCTCAATCCTTTCAGCAGCTGCAGCTTCTCCGCCCTATTTTCGGAGTACAGTTTCTGCAAATCAAAATTACCAATCTGTCAGCTAACGTCTCTAATTAGGATGGAACTCGACCTGATCTCGGATTAATCTGTGCAGCAAGCAAGCAAGCAATGTAATTAATGAATGATAGCTGATCTCCCTCGCTCACTCACGTCGATGAAGTCGTCGAGGAAGAAGGCGGGGATGTAGACAGGGGGCCGCTTGTAGAGGGCGAAGGCGAGCATGGTCCGAAGGCGGCGGCCGGTGGTGGGCAGCAGCAGGTCCTCGATCTTCTCCGCCTGGGCTTTCTTGAGCAGGTCTGCGTTGTCGGTGGCCACCATGTTCACGGCCGAGCTGGCGATCACCACCTTCTCTACCCTCTCCGACCACATGCTCGCCATCCAGTACGCCACAAATCCCCCGTAGCTCGTGCCTACTACCCAGTACCTATATATATATATATATAATACAAGCAAGTATGCATTGGAGAGCGTAATTGAATTAATGCTAGTATATATATCATATAAATCACATAGATGACATATATATTATACCGGCGGAGTCCGAGTTTGTCAAAGAGCTTGACCAAGCAGGCGGCCTGGAAGAGCTCGGATCTCTCGGGGGACTTGGTGTAGGAGTCGCCGAAGAAGAGCAGGTCGGGGGCGTAGACGTTATAAAAGGGGGCGAAGAAGCACATTTGGTGGCGCCATTGCCATATGCTCTCAGGGCCGAACCCATGGATGAGGACCAGGTTAGGTTTGGAATTGGAATTGGAAGAGGTCGCACTCACCGCAGGACCCCAGAAGTGGATGGTGGTGTCGTCGTCGATCGCAACAGTGTGGGAGGAGAGCCCAGCAGCGGCCACAGAGCGGCGGAGGAAGGCCCCGGCGAGGGAGACGATGCTGAGACAGGATGAGCCTGACCCTGAGCCTCCCATATATATATATATTATACAGTACCGGTACTAGTTAGTACTACAGTACCAAGAAGAAAGAAGAAGAAGAAGAAGAAGTGGTGATAAATGAGGGAGTGAATGATAAACAGAAGAAGAAGAATAAGGGGTGGACCGCAGGAGATCAGGACAACGGATGGATGGATGGATGGATCAAAACAAATCACTATATATATATATAGTATCCTTATTTGTGGGGATGGGGATGGGATTGCCTTACTTGAAGCCTGAAGGAGGGGAATTATGAGCCTAATTAGCTAATTAGTTTGTTAGCTAGTGGTATGATCAGCTCAGCAGTAGAAGAAGTAGACACAGACCTTTATTATATTATTATAGTATATATGCAACTTAACTTAACTACATAAGACATCTTGGCCTGTAGTACAAGAGTGACATGAGACTAGTATTATACTATTACCTTATTAAGTCAAATCATGTGGGTCGTATATATATATATATATGTATCAGCCAACCGTATGATTTGACCTGACCTGATCTGATCTTGCTGCAGCTAGCTAGCTGATCATAGAGAGAAGAGGACGCAGCCAGCCACTGTATCTGTATACACATGACTTACTAGTAGTATTATAATGATAGTACTAGTAATCTAATTAACAATTTACTAGGGTATAATTGAATAATCTACCACTGGGCACCACCACCCAAACTAATTAAACTTGTAATAATCAACCACTCAAGTGTGCGCGTGTTTCAACTCTCTATATTAATATATACTGGTTGTTGATTTGATCTGTTCTCCCTCCCCTCCAGGCTCCACCCCTCGATCTTATCTGTGACTAAAAAATATTGTATGGAAAGCATGAATATTTGTATTATTAAAAAAATGCAACAAGTGTTGTGTGGGAGAAGGCAACAGCTTCTTTGCATGGATGGTAATTGGCTGAGTGCCTCCTCCTGCTGCTGCTAATCAATTTCAAGATTATTAGGCTCCACCTGTCTATTTATTCATTTTTTTTCCTTTTTTTTTTTTTTTGTTCACTTTCAATATATTTATTTTGTTATTTTAATTTATCTAATTTCAGTGTATTCAATTTTTTGAATTTAAATTCATGGTATCACCGTTATGAATTGTGTATTTAAATTGATTGCGTGGCAAGTTGTGGTTCAATATTTGTTTTGTCAAAGTTGTGTGATGCTGTGTGGTTCGGTATTGAATAAATAATAATAATACATTAATAATAGGGTTGTGGTATGTAGGTGAGAATTGTGTGATAGCTAGGTGCTAACGTGCATTATTATTAATTAGTATTTATTATTATTATTATTATTATTATTATTATTATTATGATATAGCTGTGGACCCTGATTAAATAAATAGTAAGCATGTTGTGCGTGAGTGTATATAAAATACATAGGACAACTAATTAATTAAGAGAATTGACATTTCAACGTTGTTGTTATTATTATTATTATTATTATATATAGCAGTAGATACATGTTATCAATTTCTTGATTGTTTGTTATTTGAAATGAAATATTAATTTAAAATTTTATTTAAATAATAATTTAATGTAATTTATTTTTTTAAATATATATTTGTATTAAGAATTACACGAACAAATAAATATAAACCAACTCTTATCCATGGTATAAATGTACCCTACATGATACAGACAACCACACAAGACTAGACTAGATTAGATTAGATTAGACTAGACTAGACTTAGATTAGACAGAGCACGGTATATAATTAATAGCAGTAGATATATATGTTAGTAGTAGTAGAATTGGTAATGGTAGGTAGATTGAATTAATTAATGGAGTCCCATTCTGCCTCATCAAGTTTCCAGCCTTCTCCGGCCTACTAAACCCTGGGAGAGACAAATATATATCGAGTACTAATCAGGTTCTTGCAACAGGAAATTCTTATAATGGAAACTCGAGACATGGTTTTCTGACTGACATGACATGTCAAATGAGCAGTTCTTGTTGGACAGTGCTGATATCAATCCTATAGAGTTTTTTAAGCTTCACAATCTCCTGGTTTTGCAGCTGAAAGTCTGGCGGAGGTGTATTTTGCTAATGGAAGTGAATTGAACCTAACAATCGAGATGCTTACTCAGCTTGAGGTATGAACAAATTCTCCGCATGCAGTGGTTGCCTACCTTTTGGTCGATAATGGGAGTTAGTTTTCTGCTTGATATTTCAATTAGCTCAGCATAACTATGATCCCAATGTCATTAACATTAGGGATACTATGTTGTTAGCAAGACATTAATCTGAGCACCACATGTAGTACTGCTGTATGTCGTCATATAAGGGTCAGATGTTCATCTGATTACGTCTTTCTTCCCGAAAGGTCTAGCGACAGGCTATGGATACACCTAATTGTAAGCGTGGAGGAGGAAATTTCACAAGGTACTAGAGGTATATTCTTAGGGGCAAATACAGATGTTTGTGTGTGATCTGTGTATTACAAAAATAGTTAGATTCTCATGAATGAAATGAGCTACTGATAGAAGATCAAATAGCGAAATATATACATATAGTGCGAAGCTATAAAATTAAAGAATGCGATCATACTTGTTCATTTAAATTAAATTCTTGACTTGATGGTACGTGACTTTATCTACAACAAGACTTCAATGACATCCAAATTTAAAACATTATAAGCAAGAAGTAGACATTTCTGATCCAAAATCTGTTAATGAATAGGAAGCGAAATTAAGTTTTGATAATCAATTCTTTTGAAGCACTTTCCACAACGAGTAAAATTTCACATTTAAACAATAAATACAAATTTAAAATTAGGGATGAAGTTACATATGAAGAATTCATATATTGGATTAACTCCAGGAAGACTATAAATCTACGTGGATTAACTCTAGGAAGACTGTAGATCTACATTAAGAAAATGATAATAAAACAGTAATCAAAGCTGTAAATCCGCTAAAAAGCAACTTAAACTGGATGGTTAGGGAGGAGAGAACTCCCTTATAAGATTGAAGCGCTCAAAAATTTCGTCGCTCTTGTTTCTACTGATCACCAATAACTATTAATTTTATTTTATTATTTATTTATTTATTTAATTTTTTTGATAATTTGGAAATTTTCGACTAAACTTAATAGCCTGCAAATTAAGTTGATACAAAACAAATCACATTAGGCGAATCATGTGTGGTAAATAAGACCAGAAAACTTCGGAATTTGAACCATGACCTCGCGATCAAAGACTCATCCCCACACAACCAGGTCACTATTAATTTTATTCATTGCACGATGCATGGTAATGCTGGAAATCTATGTGTTATTTGGTTCTCACAGCATATTGTACTTGGTGCAGCTTCAGGTAGATGGAGGTTTAAATGAAACGCTATATTCGAAGACCTTATCTACTCCGAAGCTTAGTACCTTGGATTTTCCTGCTCTTTCTCTGACAGAAGGCCAAACCGGTATGAGTGCTGCTGATCTTCACCAAAATTCGACTCCTTACCAGTCACGTGGAAAAGAAAGCACATTATCGTACAGATCGAGTTCATCCATTCCGTCTGGTGGAGCTACAGATTTTGCATCTGCAGTAAGAAAAATGGCTTCTCAGGATTCTAGCGTCTGGGAGTATGACAAGGAGTGGTTCTTCAGATGCTAACATTGGATCTACTAGAGGCTCCAAAGTAGTGTCAATCCCATACAGCAGTGGTGGCCACGAAAGGGGCATTTATGGCGATAGATTGCAAAGCTGGGGATCAGCTCAGGATGTACCTTCTGTCTGGCTTGAAACTGGAGAAGCAGTTGGTAATAAATATATTGAGGCTACAATATCTAAAGTTGCTTTTCTGTGGAAAATTATTATGGATGTGCAATTTCTTTGATCTTTTTGAGATGACAGGAAATATGTGTTCTGAAATGCGGGAGGAAGCTCGTACGTGATCATGCACGCATTCGCAATGCATACTTTGAACAGGTATATGTTGCAAGTGACATAATGCGGCTGCTTCAAGAAGAAGATGTTTTATGTGAAGTCCTTGGCCTTCAACTGTCTTATCACGCAGAGAATAGAGAGCACTTGTAATTGCTTTATTTATTTATTATTATTTAAAATAAAATAAAATGTGATGCTTAATATTATAGTAAATGAGAAGGTTTTATCCTATACTACTAGTGTACTTTTTGTCGCTAACAGGGGTCCTACTTTTCGTTGCCTAAGTGTATTCATTGTGCGACTTTTAGGCACGCCAAGCTCACCTTATTGGTAACAAGGCCTTAGCCAAGGAGTTGAGCACGAGCACAGTAAAGGACAGTTGCACAATATGCGGATGAAAGCAGCGCATGGAAAAGCACAGGAATCAATATTTGGGCAGAGGTTCGTTGTTTGTTACATCATTGGTGCTGTAGAAGGTAAGTGCTGGACACCTTGCTGCTGACAATATATGAATATGGTGAAACTAAAAGAAAGACTTGAAACCATGAAAGGTGTCCAAACTATTTAGCTACATGCACTTGTAATTGTAATTGCAATTGCAATTGCAGTTGTACATGTATGTGCTTGTAAGTTGTAACGCCTATGTAAGGTTTAAGGTAATTGAGTTGCCAATTTGGGTTTGTTATGTTATGTTACGGTATACAGGAATCAAGACATGGCAGTGCATGGAAGAGGAGAGAGGATGATTGACCTGCATGGTCTACATGTGAGTGAAGCTATTCATATGCTGAAGCCAGAGTTGGGAGTGCTGAGGAGTGCTGCGCGATGGGCAGAGCAGCGTATGCCGGCTTACATATTTGTGGGGACAGGTCACCACACCAGGGGGTCGAGCACTCCTGCAAGACTCCCAACTGCTATCCAGCGCTACCTCCTGGAGGAGGAGGAGTGTCCGCAGGCTGGCCTGGCCTCCTTGGGGTTGTGATATAATGAAAGAAGAAGAAGAAGAAGAAGGACAAATGTGCTATTATTATATCTGTAAATGAGATGAGATGAGGGGGCAATGGTGTGAAAAAGGAGAATAAGAGGAAATTTCATTGAAATGGGAGGGCTCAAGACGTTTTGTAGCAAGCCAAGCCGTCTGTCATTTTACGTTGGCCTGTGCTTGTAAAATTTTTTTGTTTTGGCTGTTACTGTTAGATATTATGGTTTTTACATAGAGATGGAGGGAGATGTAACTGATAGAATTCATTCCACTAATTGCACACATTTTCATCCTTTCGAAAACAAAAAAAAAATAAAATAAAATTAAAAAATAAAAAAGAAAGAAATTGATATGGGAATCTTTATATTTTCTATAAGCAGCTCTACAAATTATATCAATCATTTGTTGTTTGTTTTTTTTTGTTGAGTGTATTGAATAAACCTTCACAAATTTTATTAAATATGTCAATCATTCTATTCTATCGGACTATCGGAGCGTTTATTGAATAAAGTTTCAAATAGACAGCAACAGGCAGTTGAGAAGGAAAGACAAAAGCGTGCTTGAGTTGAAGGTTAGCGTGCAATACTGCTACAATATTACCTTCCCCATTTCTCGACATTCCCAAGCTCAGGGGCGACCGGCGGCGGCGTGGTCTTTGAAGTACTATCACTTGCCTAATTTATTTCTATGTAATCTCTCTCTCACCCGTCAGCCTCTCCTCCACCTCGTCGCACCCAACCTGTTCGATGAAATGCCTGCGTAACTTCCGACTTGGGTCGCCGATATTCAATGTGCGGTAAAGCGAGGCGAGCTTGAATTGGAATGACGCGTAATCTCATCCGAAGTTTTCTATTTGGAGCAAACCACTTGGCAGTCAGAGGCAATAATGAAGTGAAGCGTGTGATGAGGTTTGCGCATCGGAACTCACATGGAGAAGAATCGCCTGAAGAAGAAGAACAAGAAGAAGAAGGACAGGGGGTTTTACCTTCTGAATGGTACGCCACTGCCTTGTCAAAGATGAAGAAATGGAGCCACTCCATGAAAGATTTGGACTTGGTTGGTGGGAGGCTTGTGAACATCCATAACCATTCAAGAATTTTCGATGCTCAATTGGAGCACAAAATGCATACGTATAAGAGCACTGCTAGGGTCCTCATAGGGCATCCATCAGTGCTGGAAACAACCAGGCAGACCTTGATTGCTTCCAATCCACATTATTCCACCTTCCAGCTTTTCAACAGACACCACCAAAGGGAGGCACTAACTGTGAGTTCCTTGACTAGAGTATCCGACATTTTGAACATCTCTGCCCAGCAAAGGAAGATCGTGAGGCATACAATCTGCCCGCAGGTCACACAACATAGCGTGTGGACCGGTGCACTGGTGGAGATACTATGTGGATTGAAGTCCGATGTTGAAGTTTTGATTGGCCATAAACCAAGCAAGGAGATGAGACTCGCTCAACAAATTCTTGTCGGTTGTCTCAACTTACTCGAACCTTGTGTGTCTTACGACCCTGAGAAAAGTTCATGGATGCGCCTTGCGCCCACAAGGGATGTGAATAGTAATACTAATAATAATACTAACAATTCCGCTGATTCTCCAAAATGGGAAGATGTTCTTGAAATGTCAGTCGATCTTATCAACTGCCTGAGTGAGGAGACGCACTTAACTGTCCCTGTTTTGAAGCTGGAGGCGATGAAAGAGGGGCTGTATCAGATTCGGGATGTTGTGATTGACAAGAAGAAGATGGGATACAAGGAGGCTCGATACCAAGAACACTTGGTGCAGAAGAAGCTTTCCAAGACATTAGGCCATTCATCTCGGTGCTTGTTCACGCTTCTGGTGTACTATCTGTATGGCACTGTTAAGGATATTGATGTAGAGGTTCGCGGTGGCCTGCAGGTGGTGGGTAGTGGAAACAGGTCATGCTTGCACATGGGGAAGATCTTGACGGTGGATGAGGAGAAAGTGGTGTGGAACGGGGTGAGGCAATTGGATAGGGCTCTAAGGCTGTTTAAATTTGTTTGGGAGAGTGCAGGGATGAAGGGGGATTTGGAGCTGCGAGGTCATTTGTGGCATGTTGGAGGAGGACAGGGGGGCAGCAGCAGGTCATTTACATACAGAGGGAACATCTATTTCTTACATGCGATGGGATGGGATTGATTGATTAATCTCTAGCTTAGCTCACTCAGCTACCTTCAACTTCAACTGCATGCATGGCTTGTATTTGTCAAAGATTACATTCAAACTTTCATAGATCTTCGACTTCTGCTCTTCTTCACCTCCAACACAAGGCAAGCAAAAGGAGAATGCGGAGGGCTCGGTCGGTTACAGCCACCCCTTTGCCTTCCAGTAGCGAGAGATCTTCGACTTCTGCTCCACTTCTTCACCTTGATTGATGTCAAAGAAGGTTCCTTGGCACCGCACCTTAAATCTTCAATGTAGACCACTGACGACGACGAAGACGATGATTATTCATTATTTGCTTCCGTACCTGTTACTGTGCTTCTCCCTTTTCTTCTTCGCATCCCTTTTGGTTTTTATCCGTTTCTCTCCCTGAAAAATTCAATCGGCATTTCAGCATATACTGTATATGCTTATGCAACTCCCATTCTGCAGATGACTGAAGTTCCTGATCCGAGAGTCATGATGATCATCTCCTATTCCCCACCCAATTCTATTGTAGCTGTCCTGTTGTTGTCTATCAAATGGGAATATGATTTGCGCTATTCATTGACTTAATAGTAATGATTGGCTTGTTGAGGATATATCATGAGTTGTCCTAATCAATGCATTCGCGGGCAGCACTTTTCTTGTTTATCACATGTGCATTCTGAAATTTGGGACTTTCTTCGTTCGAATTTAATTTACGCATGCATGCATTTATATATATATATATATATATATGTTAATATGTGTATACACAGCAAGCTAAGGCCTTAGGGTACAAATATACACACACGTATAGTGTTAGTATGGTATAATTGGTTCTGGCTTCTAAAGAATTAATTAATGTGGCAGTAGTTTGATAGAATTAGTGTTTTTTCATTTTTCATGAAGGCATGGAGAGTGACGATGAAATAAGAAGAGTGCCGGAGATAGTAGGAGAAGGTGTGTCCAGTACCGTTGGCCTTCAGGCGGCGGTTCTATGACTAGGAGGAGAGCCAGAGGATGAAGCCGGCGGCTGATGATAACTCCAAATAATAGCATATATGTGGGACAATATTCAACATTTGTCCCCTCGATATGATAATCTCGAAAATACACGCAGTATTCAAACCCAATACCGACACTATGACTCTAGTACCATATTAAGAAGGGATTCTTAGCAACGTGGACAATATTCAACAATGTAAATCTAAAAGAAGTCTGCTTGATGACAATGATGTGTAGGTTTTAGTGTTAGCTAGTGCTAGTGTTTGTGCCTGGGTCAGGGTCAGGGTCAGGTGCTATGCTGAGTTATTATTAGGCGGGCCTGCACTGCAGGGGTGGGTTTTGTTCTCAAAATGTCATCTACTTACTAATGCTTCAATGAGATGAGATAGCTATTACTGACCGACGACCATGCACCTAGCTAACTACGAATTGGTGCTTAATTGTGTTTGCACACTGTGAATTAATTAATTGGTGCAGATATTGAAGAACACGACGGCAGAAGGGAGGAAGTAAATTTTGGCATTGGCAGGACTGAAGATGAACCAGTGGCACTGGCACTGACACTGACTGACTCAACTGATTGGTTATTCTTCATTGCAATTTGCACATTCGTCATCCATGCATGTCCAAGAACGTATCTGGATTCCAGTAGTGATGAGCTGAGGTGTGCGTGCGTGCGAGTGGGAGATTAGGGTAGAGATAGACGGTCCACAGGCTAGGCAGGGAGAGGGAGAAAGAGAGAGGCAGTAGAGACTTGTGTAATTGTGTTGTACTGTGAGGTGGTGGTGTTTCTGTTTAGTCTCTTGGCTTTAGCCTTGCCCTGCCTTGCCTTGTAGCATCAAGTAAACGAAACGAGATACTAGTATATGGAAGGGATTGGGATTGGGATTGCCCAACCAACCACTCGTAACTAACATAATAAATAATGAGAGATAAATCATCATGTCAATCTGAATTAGTCTCCCAAAACCGGCCAGGCCAGGCCAGACAGTTAGGCTGTAACAATCCCAATCCCGATTAAAAATAACATTGATTACGTTGCTTCTACCAACTGAATTTTAATAATAATATGGTAATAATGCATCACAATGCACAAAGTAGGGCTGGGAAAGGAGCGACATGAAAATTCCCCATTGTTCTTTACTCCAGTCCAGGTATATAGAGAGAGGTCTATAATAGATATGGGGGAGAGAGAGAGAGAGAGAGAAAAAAAGTATATAACGAAAAGAAAAGCTTAAGGTAGATGCACCGACAGGCATTATTACTGTTAGAGAGGGTCAGTAGCCGTCGGTGGGGTGGGGGCAACCGGCTGCATCCGGTGCGCGTGAGAGAGAGAACAAGAGTATGACGTACGCAATAATAATAATAATAATAATAATAATAACAATAATAATAATGCAATTTTCATTACAGGCTGTTGGCAGCTAGCGAGCGAGCGACTACATACATACATACATAATACATCACCCATATTATGCATATGCCTATGAATAAGGAGGGAACCAAAGCTCCATTTTATCACCGCCATTAGTTAAATGGCCCTCACACCTTCTATAACTATAACAATAACATATATAACTATAACAATAACATATAGGTATGTTTCTTTACCTAAAATTTTCTATATTTTACGTTTTTAAAAAAAAACATATTTTTTTTTCACAAAATATTTTATCAAACATTATTTTAATACCAAACTTAAATAACATTTTATCAAACTTATCAAAAGAAATATACCTATAGGTTCCATGTTATAAAATAATAATAATAATAATAAAAACTATTGTTAGTATTAGTGTTATTATCATTATTATGCAGGACGATATTGATAACACGCTTTCCATTATATACGCAGGCAGACAAACCACTGAATTGTGTACTTAAAAACAATGCCCGTCCCTCTGTCTGTCTAGGGAAGGAAGGGAGGAGGGAGGGAGAGAATCCTAAATATAAAGGCAATTAAAATATCAGCCGGGAAACAATAATGAGCGAGCAAACATACATACAGATATTCCCTCCGTTCGGTTCCTTTCCTTGATGTTGTTTTGTGACAAAGGCGATTAAAACAATACTACAATACAAAGCCCAAACCAAACTAAAATCAAACCTGTCTTTCCTTTTTTTTTTTTTTTTTTTTATGTTATTATTATTATTATTTTTTTAAAACTCATAACTTGTATTAGATGTTATTATTGTTTTGAGAATAATGGTGATTCCTACCGATCAATTTAAATTAGGCAGTACCATTTATACTTCTATATACATATACACTTTTTATTTTCTGCCAACAACAGCAAATCAACCAATTATTACTCACTCATTATTGTGGTCAGGGTTTTATATTTTGACAGAAAACGAATGAGTTGAGCACCGGCAACTGGTTCGGTGGGTCAACAAACAAAAGAAAAGAACCCACAAGTAAAAACACATACAGCCTGTCAATAATAAAATAAAGCCCGGTAAAATGCTATGCTTCATTTATATTAGCTATAGCTAGCACACACTCAACTCAAGGCCAAGGGGCGGCAGGCAGGCATATCATATGGGTACGGCAGATTGATTCATTGACTCTGGCCGAGGATCCATCCATCGATCGATCGATCGATACGTAGGCTCGCTCTGCTCTTCCTCCTCTTCTTCTCATGTCCATCCCCATCCCCAGACACCTCTTCTACTTTTACTAATTCCCGGTGCTCCCAGTATTTGCGATTGAGTTTATCAAATGGAGGCGAATGCGGGAATGGTGGCTGGATCGCACAAGCGGAATGAGCTTGTGAGAATCCGCCATGATTCTGATAGTGCGGTATGTGCCTTTTGTTTCTCTCAACATGCATTTCGTGTGGCTGCTTTTATCTGTACCTGTGCCTCTTGGATCTGAATAGTCTGCAACTGATTTGGCCCGGATCTTTTAGATCTGATCTGTGTGTCTTCGGTTCTAGTAGTGTGGTTGCTCAAGCCTCATTTAGTTCGGCTCGATGCGTAAGCATTAAGAATGGGTGCTTGCTATTTTTTATTTTTACCCCCACTTTGTTCTTGTTGTGTTGTTCTTTGGAATTCAGAATCACACACCATAGATGATACTCACTTTTAGTTTTCCTTGAGATCAGGTAATGCTAACCTGAAGTTGCAAGTTCTAAGATGGATTTTGGCTGTCTCTTTACTGTCGCGCCGTATCTGATTCATGTCTCTATAAGAAAGCATTCTATTTACCCATTCCTGATCTTCTGCTGAAATTGTACCTTTTGTCCTCTTACCATCGCATACTTAACTCTTAATATATGATCCTCATTTGATTGGGATGCCAATGATTTCGATGTAGTTTATTTGTCATCATAACCTCTAGAGCCTCATGACAACAATTTGGGAGTCTTTGTATTGTTTTGCCTGAGATTCTCCATTGATTGTTATGTACATGTTTGTGATGTAGCCAAAGCCGCTGAAGAATCTAAATGGTCAGATATGCCAGATTTGTGGAGATACTGTTGGAGTGGCAGCAAATGGTGATGTCTTTGTTGCTTGCAATGAATGTGCCTTCCCTGTTTGCCGTGCCTGTTATGAATATGAGCGGAAAGATGGAAATCAGTCGTGCCCACAGTGTAAGACTAGGTACAAGAGACACAAAGGTTAGTCTATTTTCCATTTACCCAACCCCCCTTCAAATTCTTTTGTATTGTTTCATCCCTGAATCGTTGTGTGGAAGCAAATTATTTATGTTCATGCATATCTTAGGGAGTCCAAGAGTAGATGGTGATGATGATGAAGATGACATTGATGACTTGGAGAATGAGTTCAATTATTCACAGGGAAAACTTAAAGCTAGATCTCCATGGCAGGGCGATGATGCTGAGCTATCTGCCTCTTCCAGACGTGAATCTCAGCAACCAATTCCTCTCCTTACCCATGGACAGCCAGTAAGCTGTGAATACATTTTTTTTATGGATATTTTTTCATTCTTAAATACAAAACATACTCCACAGTTGTAATTGGCAGTATCAAGTCTTCAGAGATGCTTAAGTTGTTATTTTGAAATTGCCTGTATCATCTGCTGCCCTGGCACTATCGTGCAGAATTTCCAGCCATTACATTTGCTGATACATTTTGATGGCTCATCTTAGTGATCTAGATGCATCCTGTTCATCTCTGTTCCTTTTATTCCTGTTCATGTCCAAAGAAACCTTTAGGGGTGTGTTTGTTTGAAGGATTTTGGAGGATTTCTACTATTCATCCAATTTTTTCCCCCCAAAAACATCACATCAAACACCTATTTTTCATTTTTTATATTATATTAAAAATCAATTTTACATTCAAAACATCACATCAAACCCTATTTATATCACATCATACAACTATTCAAATTCAAAATTTTTACTATTCAAATCCCAATCCAAAATCCAAATCCCCAAACAAACACACCCTAGATAAACCTGCTATCTGATAACAGAATAATACTACTTATCAAATGACTATTTGGTAGAGCATATTGTGACAGATTTCAATGCATTTGCTTTTGTTGTATGTGATTATACTTATATATATACCATCTTAAAAATGAATGGTAGGTTTCTGGTGAGATTGTACCTCCGTCTATACAGGACACACATTCTGTCAGAAGTACCTCAGGACCTTTGGGTCCTGGAGACCGCATTCACTCGCTTCCCTATGTTGACCCACGGCAGCCAGGTAGTAGCTGCTGTATATCTATTTGGCAATATTTACCCTATCTTCGTATTAGGCAAACAATTTATGAATTGTCTTTTGTTGATGCAGTTCCTGTGAGAATAGTTGACCCTTCTAAAGACCTGAATTCGTACGGTCTTGGTAGTGTTGATTGGAAGGAGAGGGTTGAAGGTTGGAAACTGAAACAGGAGAAAAATATGGTGCAAATGAATAGCAAATACAGTGAAGGGAAAGGAGATAATGAAGGCACTGGGTCGAATGGAGAAGAGCTTCAAATGTAAGCTGATAGTCTAAATATACATGAAGCTTGATAAAAGAGTTGATCAGATATTTAGTTATTTTGTACATAGGGAATATAACTCCTTTTCCATGACTAGACTACCATTTCTGCTAGAATATTACATTTGGTCTTCTGCTCATTTGGTTTCCTAGTTGGCCCAATGGTTGAAGTGCTTTTGAATATTATTTCAAAGTTTTGTATCAATGCTTAATACCCTCCAATAATTCATGCATCTTTTACTCAAGGAATTTACAGCATATCATTGCGTTTAGGGATGTCTATCATAAGCGCTGTTTTAAAATGCACATCTTATCGGATACTAATAGCTTGTTTTGGTAATAACAGGGCTGATGATGCTCGACAACCTTTGAGCCGTGTTGTGCCTATTCCTTCTTCGCATCTTACTCCATATCGTGTTGTAATCATTCTCCGATTGATCATCTTGGGATTTTTTTTGCAATATCGTTGTACTCATCCTGTGAAGGATGCTTATCCATTGTGGCTTACATCAGTTATCTGTGAGGTTTGGTTTGCCTTGTCTTGGCTTCTGGATCAGTTTCCAAAATGGTACCCTGTTAACCGAGAGACCTATCTTGATAGGCTTGCATTGAGGTTAGGCAAATGTTTAGTTCTTAACGTGAAGCTTCATTATTGACTTATTTGGATCTTTGAGCTACATTATTTATGTCTTAACATTTTGTTTTGTCTGTACTCAGATATGACAGGGAGGGCGAACCATCCCAGTTAGCGCCTGTTGATGTGTTTGTGAGTACAGTGGATCCCATGAAAGAGCCACCGCTCATAACTGCAAACACTGTGTTGTCCATCCTGGCTGTGGATTATCCGGTTGACAAGGTCTCATGCTATGTTTCGGACGATGGTGCTGCAATGCTGACCTTTGAAGCCCTTTCTGAAACTGCAGAGTTTGCCAGGAAATGGGTACCATTCTGCAAGAAGCACAATATTGAACCTAGGGCTCCTGAGTTTTATTTTGCACAGAAGATAGATTATCTGAAGGACAAAATCCAACCTTCCTTTGTGAAAGAGCGGAGAGCAATGAAGGTAGGTTACAACATTACTAGTTATTAAGCTTCAATTAATTATAGTTGTCTGTTGACCTGGTAGTTTACCTTTTCCCAAATCTGAACACCAAGTACAGTTTGCCAGTAAATTCAGTTGAGTTGGAAACAATTGAAATTTGGAATATAATTGTATTTCAAATATATTTTCCTGCAGAGAGAATATGAAGAATTTAAGGTACGGATAAATGCTCTTGTTGCAAAGGCTCAAAAGATGCCTGAAGAAGGATGGACAATGCAAGATGGAACTTCATGGCCTGGGAACAACACAAGAGATCACCCTGGGATGATACAGGTGCTGTTTCTTGTCTCTCTTCCCCCTCAATGTATGCATGTGTGTGTGTTATAATCTTCTTTTACTTCCACTTGGTTGCAGGTCTTTCTGGGCCACAGTGGGGGCCTTGATACTGACGGAAATGAGCTACCTCGACTGGTATATGTTTCTCGTGAAAAGCGACCTGGATTCCAGCATCACAAAAAGGCTGGAGCTATGAATGCCTTGGTAAGTGATTCCTGTTCCATGAACCAATGGCATCTTAGTAGTCCTTAGCTAACATAGTTGATAAGAGTGTTTTTTAGCAATTTCGAGTAAGTTGGATTTACTGAAGAATTTGCAAATGAGAATGGAATTTGCTATGCTATCTTCTCAACAAAATACAACCTTTTTTTCTCAAGAGAAAGTGGAAGCTGTTTAGTTTGCTAGATTCTACTAATGGCACATTCTATTGCCCTCTGCGTGTTAGTTATTGGCATCACACAACAATAGTACATTTATACAGAATGTTAAACGGGTACAAGTATATGAATGATATATCATATCTTGACTGGTTCTTTAGATCCAGATAAATACAAAGTGATGAATTGGTTTTCATATTACCGGGTTTTTACCCTAACCTTTCTATTTTTTTTCCAAATTTTCAGATTCGTGTCTCTGCTGTCCTAACAAATGGAGCATATCTTTTGAATGTTGATTGCGATCACTACTTCAATAATAGCAAAGCTCTTAAAGAAGCCATGTGCTTTATGATGGATCCTGCATTTGGAAGGAAGACTTGTTATGTTCAGTTCCCCCAGCGTTTTGATGGCATTGACTTGCATGATAGATATGCGAATCGCAACATTGTCTTTTTCGATGTGGGTGCTCTTCTCACCTTTTCTCAGCACTAACTATATCTTGATGTGATTTATGTGATGCACATTGCTGATGTTGTAAATTTATTTTCTTCAGATCAACTTGAAAGGCTTGGATGGTCTTCAGGGTCCTGTCTATGTAGGAACTGGGTGTTGCTTTAACAGGCAAGCCCTATATGGCTATGATCCAGTTCTGACTGAAGAGGATTTGCAACCAAACATTATTGTTAAAAGCTGTTGTGGGACAAGGAAAAAGGGTAGGAGTGCAAACAAAAAGTACAATGATAAGAAGCGTGCAGTCAAAAGGACTGAGTCAACAATCCCAATCTTTAATTCGGAGGATATAGAGGATGGAATAGAAGGTAGATTCTAATATCACTTCCTAGAACTCTTATATATAATTTGAAACTGATATGTTGTTTCTATGCGCCCTTTTCTTTGTAATGCTTCCTATTATGCTTTAACACATGTGCAATGTTCTAAGTGAGATTTTGCATATTTCGACTGGCAGGATACGATGAAGAAAAATCCCTGATTATGTCTCAAAAGAGCTTGGAAAAGAGATTTGGTCAATCTCCCGTCTTCATTGCAGCGACCTTTATGGAACAAGGAGGTATTCCACCATCAACAAATCCTGCTACTCTTTTGAAAGAAGCAATCCATGTCATTAGCTGTGGGTACGAGGATAAGACCGAGTGGGGCAAAGAGGTAATTTTTACTTTCTTTTCATCTATTCGTTCTTTTCAATGCATTCCTATGGAGTCTAGAATGTATGTATATGTCCTTCTATATTAGTAAATTTACTTGCTGAAACTGAATTGTGCCTAAATGAATTATTTGATACAGATTGGGTGGATATATGGGTCTGTCACTGAAGATATTTTAACTGGGTTCAAGATGCACGCCCGAGGATGGATTTCAATTTATTGTATGCCACCTCGCCCGGCGTTCAAAGGGTCTGCTCCAATCAATCTTTCAGATCGTCTGAACCAGGTTCTTCGGTGGGCTCTTGGATCCATTGAAATTCTTCTAAGTAGGCATTGTCCTATATGGTATGGGTACAACGGGAGACTGCAGCTCCTGGAGAGACTCGCGTACATCAACACCATTGTTTATCCGCTCACCTCAATTCCTTTGATTGCATATTGTGTGCTTCCTGCAATATGTCTTCTCACGAACAAATTTATCATTCCTGAGGTATGCATAGCGACGCTCCTTTTTACCATTCAAGGAAGTTTTTTGGATGCAGCATCCATCCTTTCGGCGACTCCCTGTCTGTTGGGTTCCTAATTCCTCCTGTCTTTTGCAGATAAGCAACTTTGCTAGCATGTGGTTTATCCTTCTCTTCGTCTCTATCTTTGCAACTGGCATACTGGAAATGAGGTGGGGAGGTGTGACCGTGGAGGACTGGTGGAGGAATGAACAATTCTGGGTCATTGGTGGAACATCAGCTCATCTGTTTGCCGTCTTCCAAGGTCTCCTGAAGGTGCTTGCTGGCATCGACACCAATTTCACCGTCACGTCAAAAGCATCAGACGATGATGGGGACTTTGCAGAGCTCTACGTGTTCAAATGGACATCCCTGCTGATCCCTCCCACCACGGTGCTCATAGTGAACTTGGTGGGGGTGGTGGCGGGCGTTTCGTATGCAATCAACAGCGGGTACCAGGCTTGGGGCCCTCTGTTTGGGAAACTGTTTTTTGCTATATGGGTCATTGTTCACCTGTATCCATTCCTCAAAGGTTTGATGGGGCGCCAGAATCGCACTCCAACGATCGTCATTGTGTGGTCGATCCTCCTGGCATCCATCTTTTCCCTGCTCTGGGTCCGGATTGATCCCTTTACCTCGAGTGCAACGAGGAGAGCTGCTCAAGGTCAGTGTGGCGTCAACTGCTAACAGGGAGGAGGAGAGGAGAGGAGAGGAGAATCCATGTTTTGCAGCAGCAGCATTGATGCATTGATGTGTGTGTATATAGACAGACAGAGACAGACAGACAGACAGGAAGGAAGGAGAAGTTGGGGCCGATACTGTTATTTTTCTCTACCTAATTAATTTCATATAGTAGGTGGGGGTGCAATGGATAAAGACACTCTCAAAGGGGGGGCTATCTGTCTTCAGACGGTGTTATATATATATATGTGTGTGTGTGTGTGTATGTTGAGACTGCTATTTCGTCTTGATCTGTTTGTTTTTGCTTGTATGTGTGTCTATGTATGTATGTATGTATACTATCACACTGTTCCAGAAGCAGTACCTGTTGGAAGTTTTTGTTCTGTGCTGTGCTGTAGTGCAATGTAGTGAGATGAATGAATCTTGTTGTCTGGCCTGGGTGGTGGTGTGTAACTGTGTATGATAGGAAGATGGCAAGCCACATTTGAACATCTATCCGCTCCATCCAGTCCAGGATCGATTGATTTCAATCACGCGACTACCCACCAAGTGGACTAGTCAGTCAGTCAGCCATCCAGTCCAGGATCGATTGATTTCAACAGTCTTATTTGAAGCATTGGTAGGGGAAGGGAAGGTAAGGGATTATTTATCAGCAACCCAAACAGCAGCAGCACAGGGGCGAACCAACCAACCAACCTACGAGGAACTGAGAGAGAGAGAGAGCAGAAGTTGATTGTGAATCCATTCCAAGTCCTCTAACCTCTCTCTGACTGAGCGCTTACAAAACCACATTATTGACACCCAAGAAACCTTTTTTAAATTAATTAAAAATCACATGCGTGAAGTAGTAGCAGCAGCAGCAGAGAGAGGCAGACAGATATTCTCATCCTCTACCAAAAAGCTTCAATGTCCGCCACCCACGCAAAATTTCAACAATAAAAACAGAAGAAGAAAGCCATGCATCCATGGCTGCTTAGTCAGTCAATGCCAAATGGAGTATTGTCTTGTGTCAGCTTGACCTCTAGTGTCTCGGCTCATCCGTCTCTAGCAGAAAGAAAGACAAACCCGTACGTAGGTAGGTGCCTGCCTGCATTCACTTTCTACCAAAATTTTATTCATTCATTCACTCATCGTCTTCTTTCTCAACCAAAATTCGCTTGCATGCTTCGTAACACATGAAGGATATGCCCGCAGCAGGCACTAGCTTCAAACAGCTCGGCCCAAGCCCTTTGTACAATCCCGGTATCCCTTCCTGCTCGAGTATGCTTGCAAGGGCATGAAGCACGTTCCTGTAAACCTGCCTCCCACTCACAGCCCCGACCTGCATGTGCTTACGAGCCACTTCAAGAGGAAATGTCGCACTGCTGGAGATGGCACCAGCTGCAGATCCAATCAAGAGTGTTTCTATATTCCCAATTCTTTCCTGCTTGAACAGTTTCCTGTACATCTTTCGCAGCGTGTCATACGCACAATAGTTTGTTGCAGCATATGGAATTACCCCAATAAGACTAGGAGTAAGACCTCTGTACAACTCTCCCATACCACCCTCTTGCAATATTTTCACGAATGCATCCAGCATCCCATCATAAACTCCTCTCTGCATCACAGAAAGGAAATCACCCAAGCATTGATAGTTGATACAACTTATTCAAATTCACTGCAAAATGTATGGATGGCTGGGGACACCTACCTGTATCGTCAATCGGGTCTTGACTAACTCAAGGGGGTATGTTACCAACGTCGAGCTGACACCAGCACAAGCTCCAGCAACCAATGAAGGGGGAATAGGCAATTTGGATTGTTCACCAGGTTTTGGTGACAGATGCTTGTTCACAGTGTCATAAGCAAATAACTGTGTAAGCAACCAAACAGAGCTTTTAAGAAATGGTAAGGAGTGGAGGGCGTAAAGAAGAATTAGATTAGCCTAAAAATGTTATGTTAGGCCCCCTTTGGCATTTCATGGATAAGGAGCAGTGTTCAGTACTTCAAGAATGCAACAATGAAGTGAAAAGCTTTCTCTCTCATGCGCTTACTTCTTTATTTCCAGATGGCGTATATATAATTTATAGTACATCCTCTTTTTGGTCAGGAAGTATAAGAACAAGGAGTAGAATCACAAACAAGAAAACTTAAGATAAATCATTAAAGCACTGCTATACTGCCTCTCCACACTACTTGGAATTCTTTTCCCTCTCTCCATGTAAGGTGTCAAAACAGTGACATAAAGGTGGCGTTTACACATTCCAACTCCCACCAGCCAGAAAAACTGGTAAAAAAGAAAAAGAGACGCATTCATAAATTCAAACATTAACTAACAAAATAAAACCACACACAAGATCAGGGATGCAAAAAGAATAGCCTCATGGAGAGTTCCGGTGTAACACATGCACCACAACCTACTACATGGTCACTGGGATCTTTGGAGTTTGGACATCCAATATCCTCATATCATGATAAATCACATGACCATACCAGGATGCTCCAAATAGAAGACATGTGCCCGCATTTACGTGCAAATGTTTTTACAGAACATTCTGAATGTCAGCTAGCATATATATAATTCTCATATAATTGATCACAAATAATAGCAACAACAACAATAAGAAGAAGAACAGCAATAACTAAGCAGCCAAGTCTAATAGAAACGCAAAGATAGAAGCATAAAATCAGCAGGCCAAAGCAGTGAAGATATATATATATATATATATACATATATGCACAGAAGTCATGAATGATAACCAAAACGATAGATGAGAGCCCAGACAAGGTTAGCATAACTAGGGCAGGGCATTCCTTTTACCTCTATGGCTTTGCTGGGTGCAACTCGAATCACATTAACCAAATTTCCCCTAAACAATCCCCTCCACCCCTCAGTGTTCATAATGTTCTGGAACACTTCTGCAGTGGAATGCCCACTGCTTCCCACCATCAAATGTGTCCTAATTGTTTCCAATGGAGCCACTGCCGTCCTTGACACGGCTCCTGCAATCCCGCCGCTAATCAGCCTTCTCAAAGAAGGATTTGAAATCTTAATCTTAATCTTAATCCCACTTTTCTTCTTATTCAGCGCCCCAGCTTCCTCGTCCAGCCCCAAAACCTTGAATCCCTCGGGCAGTGAAATATACTTGACAAGCAAATCAGCGTACGGCAATTTGAATCCGCCATTCTCATTGTTTCCCATTTGACTGACAGACGCAAACAAGCCGCCACCGGGATAAACGTTGCCATCTTGGAGATTCCACTGGAGCCCCAAATTAGAATTTGATAAAATCCCATCGTTCTTAAATTCCAAAGATTGCATTTTTCCTGCCCTACCCATGATTCGAAGAGATCGCCGACAACCAAACCCAAGCAGCTGTGTGTGCTGATTTCTCCGCCTTGTCTCTAAACCAAACCCCTTGATTTCTCCGCCGCTGCCTGTCTTGTCCCTCTTGATAAACAGAGGGAGCGAAGGAGTTAATGATAGTTTTGGGGACGTCGGCAAAGAAAGTAACCTAATACGGTAGGTGACGGATTCTGTTTCCAAGAAGACAGATCCGCTACAAGAAATTTTTTTAAGAAAAGAAAATGTAAAATAATAATAATAATAATAATAATAATAATAATAGTATAGGTCGGACTAGAAATGATGGTCTGGAGACGAGCGGCGTCGTCGTCGTCGTCGGAGGAGATATCGAAAAGAGAAGGGAAACGCCTATTGCTATTGGCCCTCGGGGAAGGCAAGGAAATGCAAGGCCAGGGCAGCCTGCCAGCCCAGTTGGAGCCTGGAGGAGGGAGAGAGAGAGAGAGAGAGGATGGATGGCTTGCGTTGGCTGCTCATTTAACTGAACTAATGGAATGGAATAAATAGTCCAGTGGGCGCATTCCACTGTTACTTATTATTGTATTATTTATTATTTAAAATAATATACCAATTTTATTTGTATCCAAAACAGTTATATGCTGATTTTTGATTTAATCAATATTAACAAGCGTCGTATTATCATAATACTATAAAATAAATAATTACATAATATAATTCATAGAATATATAACAATACAATCTACAGCATATTGAACTTGATTCAACTAAGAGCGTCCCCTCCTTTTATATATGCTTATGCCTGCCTAATGAGACGTGGCATCTTATCTCTAGAGCAACATTGCCATACATTTATACGAAAATTAATATTCGTCTATGACAGTATGGTATCGCTGTTGAGACTTTTAAACTTTTCATTAACCGAATCTATTTTAGTTTTGCGGAAAGGAAACTGAAAACCCAATTCAAATTCATGTTGGTTAACGCTATCTGCACTCGGGAAATACCGGACCGGACTGGACTGGACTTTACTACCAAATATCCAATGCCAATACCACTGTAATCTGTAATCTAATCTAATCTAATCTAATAGTAGAGTATAATCTAATCTGCATTGCCACTCCCCCGATGCCCCGCACAAATTTCTTCAATTAGGCCTGCCTGTCCCCATATTGTCATTCATTCTGAGCCCAAATGTAAAAGTTTAGGGCATGGATGGTGCTACTGCTAGTTCACACCAAGCCAAGCCAAGCCTGCCTGCCCGCCAGCCAAGGCCCAATTTTCGTCTGAGTCGAGTTTGTAGAGCATTCATGATAGCAAGAGTCAAGGGTGCATTTCATTTCCATCAAGATTTTTCAAGTGGCTTATTTGACTCGCCTTCTTTCTGTATGGGGGTAGGTAAGGTTTTACACTCTAGACTCAAGAGTGTAGTAATAACATAGTGTCAGCTTAATAAGCTCAGCTCAGCTAAGGTGGTCGTAGGTCCCTTCAGTCCTGCTGCCGCTGGTGGGATTGAAGAAGACATTTTTGTATTTGCTTGCTTGCTTGCACGCACATGGACCCACCCACCATCACCAACCGCGATACTCTCGATCCTCAACCTCAACTTCCTTCCTGAATCCTGATCACAACACACCGCCTAGTCTATTAATTTATAACTTATTAATGTAATGCTGTTATTTTGATGGTACTAGTAATAAATAATAATACAAGGATCAATAAGCCAAGCCGCTCCAGTGCCACTAAAAATGCACTCCGGATGGGATGGGATGGTGATGGTGAGATCTGAGTGGTTCTTTTTTTCAGTCAAGTTATTGGGCCACTGGGTGGGGTGGGGTGGGTTGGCGGTTGGGTTATGTGGGTTTCAATGTCCAAGTTAGGTCAGGGGAGGAGCAGCAGCAGAAGAAGAAACAGCACCACTATTACAACTACTACTACAACGACAACAACAACAGTTGAAAAGGTCGCCACCACTCTCCTGCCCTCTCCCAGTCCCAACCGACTCATCAGCTCAAAGCCTAAAACAAATTCGCAATCCATATAATAGATTAAGGGATAGATAGCAGCCCCATGATCATGACGACATCTTCCTTCAAAGTCAACGAGAGAGAGAGAGAGAGAGAGAGAGAGAGAGAGAGAGAGAGAGAGAGAATCAAGAAGATTGATTGATTCAAGCCTCAATAACAAACATGCACGCTCAAATCCGCTGCTGCCTATCCACTCAAGCTCTCATTTAATTCAATTGATAGAATAGAGAATCCATCCATCCCCTGCCTGCCTGCCTGCCTGCCTCAAAAGTAGTAGCGGGCCAGTGTTAGTGTTGCATACATGCAATGTTCAATTCTGCATCTCTTCTCTTCTCTTCTGTGCGCACTCCTCACTCCTCACCACCTCCTCTACATAACATAACATAACAAAACATAAACATATCCTTGCATAAATCCACTGCCTTCCCTTCCCTTCCCTTCCTTTAAAAACCAACAAAATAAATCCTCCTGACACAATGTAACAAGTGCAATCCTCAAATGCCCACAGTCGATCAGGAGAAATAAACAAATAAATAAATGTATACAAAGAGAGGAGGAGCGTGTAAAACAGGAGTGTGATGCGATGGTAATGTAATGTAACAGGGAGAAGAAGAAACTGGAGGATCCAAATGCAATGGGCGCAGTGCTAATTTTGACTCCTAATGATGATAACAGTAGTATTACATAATGTGATGCTGCGAGCAAGAAATGAGGATCTCGGTCAGAAAGAAACATCAAGGATAGCAGGCAGTAAATGAATCTGCTGCACCCATCGCCGCAGCACCCCGAGATCCAGCACCGTACACCAATGTCAACCCCAACCAAAACCCAGATTTCCTCCTGGCCTTTATTATTACTGTTACTATAAGTATTATTATTATCATAATTATTTTTGTTCCAATTGAGACTGGGAACCTGACCTGATCTCTAGTTACGATTGGGCGTCTCCCTTCCTCCCCATTCCAATTCCAATTCCAATTCCATCCCCACCTTCCCTTTCCCTTGCCTCCAACATCTTCCCCGATTCCTCCTCATCCGAAGGCTGTGATGATTTCTTCTGTGCTTCCTTAGCCTTCAGAGCTTGCAGCTTGGTGTGATTATAATAGGCAACGCCCAGGAACGCCAATCCGTACCCGAACAAGTTCAACGGCGTCACCGTATCCTTGATCACGGACCAGGAAAACGCAATCAAGAGCCAATCTTTGACCACACCGGCGACGTTCATGGTCAGAGCAGAAGTCTTCCCCACCAACAAGAACACCGCCAGGTTCAAGGCGAAGGCGCAGAGGGAGTTGGTCCCGAAAATGGCGAGATCGAACTGAACCCCCGCGATCTGCTGCTTCAAGACGGGGTACTCCACGAGCAGCCACGGAATGGAGAGAAACGCCAGGCAGCTCGGGGCCACGTAGTAGAGCGAGGTGATGGGGTTGAGACTGATCCCTTTGGATGTCAGCAAAATCTGAATCATGACCAGCCTGGTGGCCTCGAAGGCGACCGCGCCGAGTTGCAGGAAGACCCCCCAAGAGTCGTACTTGGCCTCGCCGTAGGCCGCGATGGCCACCCCGAGCGAGATGGCCATCATGTTGGACATGGTGTTGGCCTTGTAGCTGTCCTTCCCGAGGAGGATCCCGATGGAGTAGACAGCGACGGGCATGAGGGCCTTGAGCATTTGGATGAAGGAGACGGAGAGGTAGATGTAGGCGGAGTTGGAGAGCCAGAGGGAGAGGGAGTAGAGGGCGCCGATGGGGACGACGGAGGAGAGGTAGACGCGGCGGGTGAGGGCGGCGGGCTCGACGAGCCGGAAGATGCGGACGGCGGCGAAGGCGAGGGAGGAGCAGAAGGCCATGTGGATCATGGTGAGGGAGATGGGGAAGGGCCAGTTGTAGAGCTTCTTGTCGAGGATGTACTTGTTGTAGACGATGACGGTGAAGGAGAGAAAGATCCAGATGGCGACGTAGGCATAGGAGAGGAGGATCTTCTTGAGCACCCCATCGGAGAGCGCTCCCCCGGCTTGGCCCATTTGGAATTCGGAGGAGGAGGGAATGGGAGAGTACAGCAAGTACGGCGGCGGGATCTGTGCTTTGCTTTGCTTGGGCGAAGAAGAAGAAGAAGAAGGAAGAGGGGGAGGGGTCGTACTCGTGGCGTGCACCGCCGCGAGGGAGAGGGATGTACGGGCTGGTGCTGGGACTGACCACCGATGCTTATTATATAAAAAAACTACAAGTAGACTTACCTGTACTGGGCACCCGGGCAGCCGGGTCAGGTCAACCGTGTTGGTGAGTGAGGTTTTCAAAGTTTGGAGACCTGGGCTGGCTGCGGGCAGGGGCAGATTTGAGATTTGGCAGAGGGAGGGAGGGAGGGGGGTGAGACGGTGAGAGCTGGGAACTAATTAACTAATTAGAGAGCAAGTACCGGTTAGGTTAGTGAGCATGTGCACCGCGCACACTATACTTGAAGAGAGGGCGGATGGATGGATATACAATACAGCTCATTGATTGTTAATGGTTGCACAGGCAGGGAAGCTTGAAGGCAGACATGGGGCAGACGTTATTATATTTGAATGTTAAGATGGATCGATGGGACTTGGTTGGTAAGATGAGCTTCCTCATATATATATATATATATATATATATAGAGAGAGAGAGAGAGAGAGGGAGAGGGGAGGGGGAGGAGGGAGTTGTGGTTTGCCCCTTTGGATCTGTCTACCTCTCTCTCTGTCGTGACCGCCATGACTACTACTTCAGCTTGTTGGAAGAAGAAAGAAGAAAATGAAGATACTAGTTCATGTGTTGGGTGCAAGTGTGACCATAGCACGAGATCCATGCCCAAATGTGTCTCTTTCCTTCCTCTCTTCCTACGCATGCATATCTATTGTGGGTGTGGGTGTGTGGGGGTGTGCGGTTTATTATAGACAAAGAGGAGGAAGAAGATATAGATAATGAATGGAAGGCCGAGAGGAGAGGAGAGGATGTGCTGTGTGCTGTTCCCAATCCCCATCCTCCTATAATCTCATCTGGTTTGGCTCACAAATACTAAATATCTCAAGAAAGCTGGCTGGCTGGCTTCTCCTGCTGCCCTGCCATCTCCCAGCTCCCCATTCTCATGCCCGCCCCACTCAGTCCATGACCATGTCCATCAGGCTGCTTGCTTGCTATAATAAGTACATATCCATTCACCCATTTCTTCTTCTTCTTCTTCTTCTGTTGTTCTCCCTCCCTTCCTACTACTTCCCACGCAGTAGTCTGTCCATCCATCCTCTAGTTCCAGTCACAAATGCATTCCACTGCTCCAGGCTTCCATTAGGCAGGCAGGCACGCATATTTCATACACAAGGAGTTGAGTAGTAGCTGCCGCCAACTGTGCCTAATCCAGCTAACTGCTCCTTCTCACCTGACCTGACATCATCACTCAAACTACTCAATCTCAAGCATTTTCACCAAATCATCATCCTCCTCTACTCTCAATTTGATCCCAATATTGATGAGACTTGCAACTGCAACTGCATAAGATAATCCACAGTACCAGCCAGCATCGATGATTCCAATATGGTTCTGGTATGGTTCTTATATATGATGCCCATTGACTACTGCAATGTGCTCTCTACTAAAATGGGGTATAAACACAAAGCCAGTTAGTTGCAAGATATAAGCTCTTGTGAAGTGCCGCTGATGATACAAATAGGGTGTGAAAAGGGAAGTAATAGCAGGGAGAAAAAGCACAGGTAGTAGCAGCACTAGCATGAAGATCACCACCCATGATATAAAACCAAAAGAAACAAAAAAACTGGAGCAACTCCTCCTCTTGCTCTCCGGTCTTTCTTCAAATGAATGATCTAGGATGGCACTGCATATATCAACACAATGGGCGTAAGCAATCACCATAAGGATCAAGACTAAAGGGAATTGCATAGATCCAAAAAAAAATAAAAATAACTCAATACAAAAGACAAGGCAGCTACTAGTCTGGAAATTGAATTAGATTTATGCTAGCAACAACGTATTAGCATCAGAGCAGAACAAAATACAAACTACACCAGTAAACATTTAAACTTTACTGGAGAAAAAACTGTAATTCATGCATGTGCTTTAGAGGAAAATAGAGCAACCTCAGCCGTCACAAAGGAGCCCGCATAGAAACCACAAGTTTCATGTAAACATATATATAATCGGCATTCACAAATTTGAAGAACGAAAATGGCCCTGGTACTTTATACAAGAGCACTTAAATAACCATCATATACAGCAGGGACTAAAACCAGAATCAACTCATATTCATATGCACTCACTCATGATCTTAACAGGCACATGCAATACCACCTCATAAAGAGCCTGCATACAAACTTACTGTAGGTGGATGTATCAATCTGCTCAGGAAGCTCTTTAATATCGACTTCAAACCTCTCCTGAACCTGCAAAGCAAAGAGGAAATATCATAGAAACATGTAGAGCATCAGAAGGCAACAATCTGCATTTCGCAAACGCAATGAATTTACCAAACCTGATTAAGCATATCTGAATCTGATGCAGAAGAAACAAATGTGATTGCAAGTCCTTTGGTGCCGAATCTTCCAGCTCTGCCAACCTAAAACATGGATGATAAAAAATTGGATAATAAAATCAAGTAATTACTTGATCATCAATCATCACCCACCCTTTACATCAAATTACCAAAATGCAATGAGAAAGCTTACCCGATGAAGATAAGTGTCTGCAGAGTCCGGCATATCATAGTTAATCACAATGTTAAATCTCTCAATGTCAATTCCTCTGCCAACCAAATCTGTTGCAACTAGGATCCTTTTATGTCCCTCCTTGAATCCCTTGTACTGCGTCAACCTTCAGTGCAAGATACAGTACATCAGACACAAGATAATAGCTCATTCTTCTTACTTGGAAAAGAAACTACACACAAAAAGTCAAGTGTCTGCCAAAATCTACATGATTCCATTCCTTCGTAGCAACAAGCACTCAGTGTAGATTCCCAATATCTGACACTATGATCAGGCTAACAGTTTGCATGGAACATTTGTGCATCCTTACAAAATTCACTGTCTGTGCCCGTCCTGTCAATGGAATAATAAACACACATTTAACAGAAATGACCAACTAACCTTTCTTATTGGGACATGCCAGAGTGAATGCAAATGGATGGAAAATTACACTCCACGAGCAACCTGTTCAGCTCAGTAGCTCTACTGACACTTTTGACAAAGATAACCACTTGATTAAAATCCAATGCATCAAGTAGATCATTCAGCTTCCGATTTTTCTCCAGCTCAGTCAATTTGATGTAGTGCTGTCATGAGTGTACATCAAGTAATCAAAATTTAGCTTAACGGATAAAAGGACCAATAAAGGGAACAAGAATGCCACAATCAAACCTGCACAAGCCCATGAAGGGTTAGCTTGGCCTCATCATCAACATAAATTTCCATAGGCTGAAAGGAAGAAATATCACAGTAAAGCATATTAGGAGCCTTCTGAAGCTATTTTTTATCCAGTATGAAATGATTTGACTGGCCACAAGGACCACTTGGAGTTCAGGTCCAGCTGTATCATCTCATTGAAGCACTTTAACCAACCAACAACCCTTACATCTGAAATTAAAATTAAAATGACAAAAGTGACAGCTTAGAAGACCAGACCACCACCACCACCCCCACCCCCCTAAACTGACATCTTAGAAAGCCAGACCCCCCTCCCTTGAACCACTCTCCCATAAAAAGACGAAAAATAACATAAATACTGGACAGTAAGAACTCAAACAGCTTCATATGCTTGCCTACTGAATCTTTCAAATGAACCACCATTATTCTCAGCTGGATTGGTAACTAACATGGCAGGCACACTGCGGATCAACCACTTGTATAGTGTTGTTGCTTGCGAAATTCTGGAATAATGAAACATGGAAGACTTCGAAAATTCAAGAACTGGCCACAGAACATTACATCTTGCATAAATTTCTATTTCTTGCAGACCGGTCGAATCTCCTTGCTAAGTGTAGCCGAAAACATCATAACTTGCTTGTCATGTGGAGTCATCTTGAAAATCTCTTGAACATCTCTTCTCATATCTGATCCCACAGACAACTTGTGAGCATGGATGACATAGGGTTCATATGCCATGCAACAACGGATAATTTGGAACACTTACCAAGAGCTTCAAGCATTTTGTCACACTCATCCAAAATAAAATGCCTCACATTTCTTAATGAGAAGTCCTTTCTCTTGTCAGAGCAAGTATTCTTCCAGGTGTACCAACAACAATGTGAGGACACTCATTCTTTAGAAGTTCTTTGTGAATTTTTATGTTTACACCGCCATAGAAAACAGCAACTTTCACCTCTTATAAATATGTGCTAAACCTTTCAAATTCGTGACAAATCTGCAGAAGAGACAGCCATTCAGACACATTTAACTAGAGGACTAACAGATCAACAGTTGCAGTAGGTAACAAAAGACTGAGATATCGTGAGGCTGTAAGAAGCAATTTATCAAGTATATAGTGGTGTCTGGTCGCAATACATACCTGGTAAGCTAATCCCCTTGTATGACATAGAACCAGGGCAGCAACTTGCCCCGATATAGGTTCAATCTGCTGAAGTGTTGAAAGAACAAACACAGCTGTTTTCCCCATACCAGATTTTGCTTGGCAGATAACATCCATTCCCAGAATAGCTTGAGGAATGCACTCATGCTGAACTGGTGAAGAACCAAAGAAATTTGATCCAAGAAACCCTCAATTTCAATTAAAAAAGGTTTTACCATTGAACTCTCCAGGGTAGAGTGGTAACAGCGATTTACATGAGAATAGTAAGAACCCTAACTGCTGTCAGTCACAATCACGAGTATTTTTTGATAAACATAAACAGAATAGATGGATTTTGCCAACTTATAGAGCCAAAACAGAAATACGTGGTTTACCATGATTAGAGAGAAACACATGCCTGTAATATATAAAACTGTTTATTTTGTTTTCAAAGAGGATATATGATACCAGGTCATTGGCTCTTAACAAATAATATAATTATTTTCATCCAGTAAATGAACCATGGAATGAGCTATAAGACATGATAACGAATTGAGCTCATAAAATAACTGCAATTGTCTTGCTTTCAGATGGATGTTCAAATCCAGAGTCCACAATAGCTCGAAGAAGCTCTGGCTTTAAACGGAAGTCTCTGAATCCTGAACTGTGGATCCCAACATAACCCCTGCACCCAAATGATATCAATCCGTTTAGTTATTGCCTGCCACAAAGAACTACTCTCCCTACTCTCCGTATCAGTACAGTTTTTTTATATGCAAGCACGATTCATGAATATTAAAGTAACAAACAGTTAACTATAATAAGCATCACAATTGAACATCTCAGTCGACGGGCGGCTTCAATACTGTGTTTAAACATATGCAGGTCACAAAATAGAATTAAAAGGTAGTTAGAACTAGTGGATCTACTTAGAACGACGAAAAAACGTGATGCATATGCCACACTGTTCCCAGGTGAGTAACCAGTGTAAGGAGCAAATTGGAGAAATAAATGGAAAATTTATTACTTCTCGACAGCCTCGCTGTTAACCTTGGCACCGACTGAATCGGGGGCTTTCTCGTCTTCTTCCTCGTAGTCAAGAAGCTCCTCTTCATACGCATCACTGTCCTTCACCTCAGCCATTTGTTTACTGCTGGAATGGATCCGCGAACAAGAGTCAAGCCAGCCTCGGAGTGGCTGACAAATTAAGGCGTTAAAAAGTTGGAGGCGTTGAATTTTACGATCCTGAATAATTGGAAGTCTGTAACGGATTAGGGTTCGGCTGCTGGTTAGGTGAAATAAGAATGAAGAAAGTTGGGGAGGGGAGAGTTGTGGCAGGGATCGGGATTTGCGACAGGGATAGGGATAGGGTTTCCAACGGGACGGGACGAGACGAAGAGCGAGAGGAGCCGCTTCCGGGAGGGTAAAAACACAATCAGTTTTCAGTCCTTATATCACAATTATTATCGCTTCTGGTTCATCAAAAAAATTCTATTAATTTTGATCCAATTAAAACCAAATTTACCAATTTCAGCCCTGACGGGAACTAAATACGTGTATATTAGCTTAAATATGACTGTGTCGAAGGATTTAAAAGAGTGACTAACAATTCAGACAGTCAATACTCCACACAGTATTGTCAACACAATCATTTACTATTTATATTATCGTATTTTAAATTATGTTCACGATTCCCATACATATGTATATTATTTATAAAAATTAAGTAAAATTTTATATCATACAATTAAATAAAAAAATTATTTATATAATTAACAAGGCCAATGCTTAGAACCTTTGTTTGGAAGATTATATTGTTCAGTGAAGCAAGGATCACAGTTTTCTGATTTAAAGAAAAACCTTCCAATTTATGGAAGGCCTTGTAGCAGTTGCTAAGAACTTCACCCTGGTGATGTTCGGATTTTGGAGGCAATTGATGTCCCACAGCTGAGCTGCATCATCTCTATGATTGTGCGTCTCTGTCTTGTCTTTCCTCAGAAGGGTGTGATAGAATGAAGCTTCTGGGAGTGACCTTGTTTTGTTACTTGGGATGACAATCTCATTCCCCCAAGCAAGAGAAGTTGGTATCCCATGGAATATGCAGCTGGAGAAGTCAAACAGCTCTTCCGTGGAGGTGGAGTTCGACACTACACTACACTACACTCGGCAATGACCTGAACTACTAAAACCGGCACCTTGTAATTATAGTCAATATCCAAATATAGTGGCAAGAAAAAGGGGGGAGTTGAAGGGGAGAGATTGAAGCATGCATTGCGTATAGCAGCACCCTGAGGAAGGAGTTCGGGAAAGTCACAACTTGGTGTCCTCCGCCACTCAACCCTCCAAAACTACATCAGCAGCAGTATGTATACAAACAATTATAATCTTAAAGGCTCTCTGCCTGTCTCTTCATCTTGGTCCATGCATCTTCTAAATATTGCCCATTAATGAATTTATATCCCCCCTAATTTGAGTTTAATTTTACAAGAATAAACAGTTAGCATCTGTGCTATCAGTTAGTTCATGACGATTTATATAAAACATGTCTTGGCTGAGCTAACTAACAATCACAAGAATATCCAACTCAATCGAAACAACCTGTCATCCAACAATATATAGGCATTAGAATTACAGCTATCGGTGAAGTCAAATTCCATCATCATCCACAAGACTCTAAACAGGATTGGTTAAGAAGCAGATAGATGGGTGGCTGGCTGGCTGGCTGGAAACTTTAGTGTTTCAAAACCTTTATATGAATTCTGCATTCTATAAATTTCACAGTTGCCCCTCAGGCATCATCCTCATCATATCTCCATCCATATTGCACCTGTGTTAACGAGTTTGACATAGGCTTCTGCAAAGTCTTTGAAAAACAGCCCTTCATCATTAGCATATTTTGTGATCCATCTGTGGCTCGGGAACAGATCAGAATCAATACATTTTGAGTAGGATTTTTCAGGAAATTATCATGATTAAATTATCGCTGAGAATTTCAACTTGGCATATTCATTTCCAACACACAATCATCCTATACACACACACACACACACACAACTAATCATAGTAAGTTTCAACAGTCTGTACAGTTCTTTGGAAAATCGTATACCTGATGCATTCACTATCCTCAGCAAGGGCCCTGTCTGAAGGCAGTCCAATCATGCCAGACATCCCGCCTACACAAATGAAAAAAAATAAATTAGATGCAAGATTGTCCAATGTTTATGTAACATGTAACTAACTGAACTGGGATATTTGGAGTGCTAAGTGATATATGCTTGTAGCCGATCCCAGAGATTTATGTTGCACAAGTGAAATAAATTGACACAAGGAATTATCATCACCAGAAGATGACCATGGCTTCTCTAGAAGCACCCTGTAGTAAGAATTATCAAAGACAGTTGGATTTCCGAAGCCTTTGCTACCTAGAGTGTGAGCTCCAGATAATGCAACAAGTTCCTGGATTCTGTTCCATCCAAGATCAAAATCTCATCAGAGTCAGCACAATGCTGTAAGCATATTCAACATTGTAAACATCCCAGAACACTCTCAATGAATATAATAACAAGAAAAAAGCAAGCATGCATCCATTTAAAATGCATGATCAAGAGGATAATGGACTGGTAAATAGAAACTTGAAATCAGATATTAATACTCACGAGAACCCTTTCTTTTTGAAAAATTGCTTCATGGTAGAAGCATCCAAGGATTCCTGAGGAAGCCTCCCATCAGGATCGGGCACTCTGAGAGCCAAAAGATGGTTTCCAAAATTATTTCTTTTGCATTTCTTTTGAAGTAAATACTTAAATAGTCTCAAGAGATTACAAAGAAGTACAAAAAATAAAAAAGGAAAAAAAAAAATTCAAGATCTAATAATTTACTTTGCATCTATTCTTCCCAGCTGAACAGGTATCTTTGGACCCCCGCATATCTCAACAGCCTCTGCTCCAGCCACAGCTATCAAGTCTGCCCAAGACACTAGGAAACGCCAACAGAAGAGTTAATGGCAGGTCGTAGCCGCTGGAGCCAGTTTGTTTGCATGATCCTATTATGGAAAAATACCGGGGTTCACAGTATCTGTCTGCCCTTTCGCTTTCTCCAGAACCTGACAACAACGAAGCTACTGAAATTCAAGGTTGCGCAAGATAGTTGGTACCAACAAAAGTCCAAACTTGATAGAGCATAAAACAGCTAGGAGCCATACAGCAACATGGGTGAGTTTATTGACTATCCAGAAACAAAATTTAAGCTATAATGATCCATGTTTCTTGAGTGGAAGAACCTTGCCTTCAGTGATTTATCAAGACCCATGTTTTCTGGCCTTTCCAGTTCATAAACAATAGAGCCATTCATACCTCCTGCAATGATGACATTGGATTATCCAAAAAACCAAAGAGCTCATCATAACAAATAAAGAGAGGAGAGTAAATGGCTGGCACAAGTGAATCACATAGCTTGTGTTCTTCTGTGGGTTGAGGGTACCATTACTTTTTTTTTTTTTTTATATCAAACAACTATTCAAATTCAACTTTTTACTATTAAAAATCCAAATCCAAAATCTCAAACCCACAAACAAACACACCCATAGGATTTTAATCAAGAGAAAAGAGAATGAAGGTTTCAGTTTAGGTCAAGGGGTTGCAGATCTGGAAATAGAGTAGACCTAGAATGTGTGTACAATTTCCATACAAGAAATCTGTTCTCCTAACGAGAGTTCATTCTCCAAGTTGTACTCAAGAGACCACCTTCCTAGTAATAAAGTCGGAGACTTTTGCTTTCTCCACCAATTTCTCAGTCGCACTTATTCCACTAACTTCCAACATTAGTTCTCATATATGCATGCACTCAAGGTTAGTATTCACATTTCCGTAGTGCAGTGTAGTGCCCCCAACTCAAGCAAACTTCTCAATCAGTTTGACGATATAGTATGTTATTATTTCTATTTTTTTAATTTTTTATTCTTTTATTTTTCCAACAGAATTTGAAAGATTTAGAATGATTAATCATTCATACGTATCAAACCAAACGATAGTAAAAAATTAAGAACAAACAAGAAGTGCAACAAATTGAAACTAAATTATAGAAAATAAAAGAAAATTATAATTTCATTGAGATATGTGACTGATCTACAATGATACATCAACTACTATCAACAAAAGCTAAACGTTGTCTTTGAACCGACAAGTTTCTAATCTATTGATGGAGTGATGCAAATATTTAATTTAATTAATTAGTTTAATAATATGCTATTTTAGATTTGAACAATTTTGTGAGTTTTTAACAAAATTATCAACAAAATCCAAGATTTTAAAAAATCAAGATTTTTTATTCGAAAATAAGCCGTTATCCAATTCAAATCCAATATTTCTCTAGAGCCTATATCCGCGTACTTCCACCTGTCTTGGAACCAAATGCTGTCAGACTAGACCTCGGAACGGTTGTCTGAACCAAAATGGAAACGTTTGTCGGACTCACATCGAAATCATTATGGGAACCGAAGTTAAAATATTTCTTCTAGAACAAAAATAATTTTTGGAACCAAAGCCAAAATACCAAAATATTTATTTGGAACAAAGAATCTTTATTAGGACAAGGCCTTAATATTTATCTGGAACATATTTGTTGGAATAAAGCAAAAATATTTATTTGCAACCAGAATATTTTGTTGGGACCAGACCCAAAATATTTCTTTGGAACTAAAATTAAAATATTTTTCTCAAATCAACTCTTGCATTTTTATTTGAACCAACTTTCAGATAGACTTTAAGATAATCTTTGAAATAAAAAATTTTATCGGAACGAACCTTTATATTTTTTGAAATGTTTCGGAAACCAAAATCTTATGGGAAATCAATTAATACTTTTTCAGGTAACATAAGCCTCCCTTAGGCTTTTAGAGGATTGGTCACCATTGAAATGCCTAAACGCCTTAACTATTTGATGTGTCTGAACAATTAATATTTTGTGTAACGGACAATAAAATTTATTGTTTCATTCTACCGTAAATGTTTCTTCAGGCTATTTTCTGACACAGTGGTCATTCGTGATCGAGAGCATATGCAATGATTTTTATACCAAAAGCCTCTAATGCATGATGTAGCACCGACATGTTCACATTTATTTTCTTGCTTGAACAAGCCCAACAGTTAAATTAACATTAGAGATTATGGGATGGCTTGAAAGTGGCTTGGACTGCACCAAGCAAAGCTACCGTTCCTGTCATTTATTAGCCTCTAAAGGAAGGTTATTGCATATTATTTTTGTGTTACAAAAGCTTCTATAGCAATAGAAGCTTTCTAAATCATCATTATTGTATATGCTCTCAAAGCCTTAATATCCAATTCTCCATGGCATTCACTCTATCACCCATGGTGTTATGACTTATGACCGTGAGCTGAACGAACTAGTGTTTTAACTGCAAAATAGGCATTGACTTATAGGAAGAAAGTAAATACTGTAAATATAACTACAAGACTCTAGCAAGGTTGGAACATTATAGTATTCTTTCTTAGATGCAAATCATACAACTAAACAGAAGACGGATTGGTTTCACTCTCACAAGATACCTGTTTTGTCATCCATGTCAAAAGTTCCAGCATCATGAAATACCAAACGAAGAAAACCAGGAGCCTTGCCCTTGGATAATACCTTCCTGATTTCTTCTCGCAACAAAGAATTTTCACTAGCCAAAAAAAGTTTGATGTTAGTAATGCTCTGAGTAGATTTCTGAATGCCGCAAATGATAGCACTTGGATAAGAAGAGAATCGCGCCATAATATTAGCATCAATTAATTTGTACGCTCAAACAATCATGATTGCGTGGCTTTAATTTCAAAATTAGAGAAAGTCATTATTGATTTCAGGGCTAAGAGAAAAGAGAGTCAAAATGGAGAACAACACAAACAATATCACAGTGGAGAATAAAGTGGAAAGCGTGAGGCTGGAGGCTTACTCAGTAGCAGAGGCCAAACTTGAGAAAGGTACAAGGAAAGAGGCTGTGGCTATGGACACTAGCGCTCGCCTTCCAAGTAATGGAGAGGGAGACGGAGACGGAACAGGGGCAGGAGAAGCGCAGATGATGACAGAATGGCGCCTTCCTCCTTGGAGATTGGGCGGCGGATAGTCTCTGACTCGACGGTTGGGAGCAGCATCGGCTTTGAAGAAGAAGGGTGCACGACCCGGAACCAGAAGGGAGGAGGGATCCCAGGCGCTTGTGGCGCTCCTCATCCTTGCCAACCTAAGCTATGGCTATGGTAGGGTTTTGGCGCCAGCGAGAGGTGTCTAATACTCCTTCCATTCCTCCCTTCCGTTACATAACAGTTAACAGTAAAGCGTAGTGGCACGATATGTTTTTCAATGAAAGGGTAAACAGACAAGCCCAGGCCGGCAAATCTCAGTAAATAAATAATGTATAGCAGATGACTTCAGGGGTAGGAAATTTGAATTCATAATAATTCACTGAAAGGGAATTTGAGAAGACGATCTTTTGTATTTTTACCAAAGAATTTATTACTGTACATCACTATATATACATATATATATATATGTTCTGACAGAAATAACAAAAAAATATAATTTTCAATAAATTATTGTAACTTGACAATGGGCTACAAATGAAAGAAACATAATACAAAAGCAACTCATGAAACAACCTAATTACCTAACCTTCATCTTTTTTCTCACCTTTTTCCTTCCCTCGGTTCCAATTCATTCTGTAGCATTCAACTTTTAATGCTTTATTGTTCTTCAATTCTTGACACATTTTCTTCAAATCAAGCATGATCATGCACAATTTGGAGCGCAAATTTTTGAACATTGGACTGCATAAGTTCTTAGTGAATATGTTAGCAATTTGAGATTTGCTTCTAATATGAACCAAAGATATGAAACACCGGATTACGAGCAATCTCAATATGTTTTGTTCTTTCAATTTGACAATTTCTTTGCTTCTGACAAAATGACATGCAATCTCAATATGTTTTGTTCTTTCATGGAACACCGGATTACGAGCTATATGCAATGCTGATAAATTGTCACAGTGCAATGGAATAGACTGTGACACAGTCACCTTCAATGAATTCATAAGATAGAAAATCCAAAGCAGCTCGCTTGTTGGTGCTCATACTCCTATACTCGGCTTCTGTTGATGAGATGCTTACCGTAGACTGCCTCTTAGCTTTCCAAGAGATAAGATTAGATCCAAGGAACACACAATAACCAGTGATCGATTTTCTTGAGTCAGGGTATGTACTCCAATCTGCATCACAATAGGCTTCCAACTGAAATGAAGATGTTGAATCAAATGCCAAGCTGTGATTCATGGTTCCCTTAAGATATCTTAGTAAGTGTGTTGCTGCCCTCCAATGAGTGATAGTAGGTTCACTCATGAATTGACTCAACTGTTGTGTGGCAAAAGTTACATCCGGTCTAGAGAAGTTCAAATACAACAACCTTCCAATTAATCTACAGTACCTTGATGCATCAGCAAGAGGTTCACCATCTTTAGCAGAGAGCTTCAAACCAGTAGACAAAGGAGTGGCTGTGGATTTGGCTTCTAACACATTCATATCATCAAGGATATCAAAAATATACTGTCTTTGAGTCAAAATCATCACATTTGGTAGTAACTTTATTTCCAATCCAAGAAAGTAGTTGGCCTCTCCCAAATCCTTGATTGTAAAAGCTTAGTGAAGATATAATTTGACTTTATCAATGAGTTTTGGTGAGGATCATGTCAGCAGGATGTTATCCACATAAACAGTTAAAACCAAAATGTCTGCACCAATATACTTGAAGAACAGACAATGATCATGGGGGATTTTTCAAAAAACCAAACTGTAAGACCTTATCAACAAGAGTTTTATACCACACACGTGGTGCCTGTTTGAGTCCATAGAGAGACTTCTTTAATCTACACACTTGATCTGAAGCAGAGTAACCAGGTGGTGGCTTAAGACATAGTTCTTCCTCCAAAGCTCCATGTAAGAAAGCATTATTCACATCAATTTGTTGAATTCTCCATTCTCTTGCAACTGCAACGGCTAAAACCAATCTTACAGTGACACTTTTGGCCACAGGTGCAAAACATTTGTCAAAATCTACTCCATGAACTTGTAAGTATCCCTTTGCAACAAGCCTAGCCTTACACCTGTTGATGGTTCCATCCTTATTTCTTTTTGTTCTAAATATTCATTTGCATCCAATTGCTTTCATTCCGTGTGGTAGAGTGGTTAATTCCCATGTCTCATTAGCTTCAAGGGCCTTAATTTCCTCATTCATTGCCTCAACCCAATGTGGTTTTTCTGCAGCTTCAGTATAAGTAAGAGGTTCTTCACCTGCATCTTCGGGAGTGTCATGAACACAAACATAATCTTTCATCTAGCATGGCTTTCTTTTGGCTCTATGAGGTCTGTCAAACTCCTCTGAAGTAGTTTGTGTAGGATTGAGAGATGCTGGTGGTATGTATTTTTCATCAATATTTTGGAAGTCCCCCACATTTGAGCTATCAGTGGGAATTGATGCAGTCAACGAGTTGTTCCCTTGTGCTGCCTCTGTGTTTTCAATATTTATGCCTGGTGACAAATTATTAGGTGTGTGAGGGACACTTTGGTTCTTTCCCACAGTAGGCAGTGTATGACATTGTGGCATCTCAAGGTTGCAGTTGGATCTATCTTCAAAACCAGGGAAGACATCCTCATAGAAGATGACATCCCTAGTTATTAGAACCTTATTTCTTTCGATGTCCAAGACTTTATAACCCTTTGATCCTTGTTCACACCCCACAAATATGCATTTTGCTGCTCTCTTCCCAAGCTTTGACCTGTAAGGATTAGTATTCAGGGCAAAACAAAGACATCCAAAAACTCTCAAGTGGTCTATATTTGGTTGAGTACTATGCAACACTTGATAGGGACATTTCCACTCGATCACTGGAGTAGGAAGAAAATTTATAAGATATGTTGTTGTCAAAAGTGTTTCCCCCCAAAAAGATGTAGGCAAATTGGAATGCAACAACAATGATCTCATCACAGTCAAAAGATGTTGATGCTTTCTTTCCACCATTCAATTTTGTTGTGGATGGTAAGGTCAGGTCTTTTCATGCATAATTCCATTTTCATGCAGTAGGTTCTGAAAACACTGACTTAGAAATTCTGCACCATTGTCTGTCCTCACCTTTCTTACCTTAGTTTTGAACTGATTTTCAACAAGCTTTAGGAAAATAGTAAAGATTTTCAGTGCTTGTGACTTTGATTTCATTAAGTAAGTCCAAATTGCTCTGCTATTATCATCCACCACAGTTAAAAAATATCTACTTCCATTACAGAAAGGAAAATTATACGGCCCCCAAATATTCAAGTGAAGCAAGTCAAAGCAACATGAAGCATATGAATTACTTTCAATAAAAGACAACTTCCTTTGTTTAGCAAAGTGACATGTATCACAAGGTTTATTAACTGCAACAAAATTAGAAGCATAAGGCATGTGTATTAGCACTTTATTGGACGGATGTCCTAGTTTGTGATGCCAAGGAAACTCCTTTTCTGCAGCGAGCACCTTCAAAGAAGATTCACGCAGTAGATGGTATAAGTTCCCATTGAGTTTTCCCTTTCAAACATCAGTTTTACTTCTCTGGTCCTGAATCAAGCATTCATTAGCTCTTAAACTCAAAGATAGATTAGAATCCAAATATAATCTAGGCACTTATATGAGACAATATTTGAAATCAGGGATGAGATAAGCATTATAAATAATGATGGAATCATTCAACATAATATTTCCTGTATGTGTTGCAGTTTGCACTGTTCCATTAGGCAAGTGTATCCTCACAGGTTTCTTCAAAATATTCAAGAACTTAAAGTGCATAGGGTTGTTGCTAATATGACATGTTGCCCAGAGTCCAATATCCAAGAATAAGTTATATTGGTATAAAAAAACACATTTAAACACCTTTTACCTGAGTGATCAACCTCTAGCATATTGAGGTGATCAAGAGGTGATTTCACTCTGTCAAAGGCCTTTTGAATCTCTTTTTGAATTAATTATATGAGTGCACCAGAATTCCAAGCAGCATTTCCAGTTAGTTTCTCCTCTTCAATTTGGAGTGTGGTCTCAACATACTGATTTGAAGAGCCAACTCCGTGTTCTATTTTCTTTTTCTCTTGAATTGTCTTAAACCAATCAGGAGTTCCATGTAATTTAAAGCATGTCTCCTTAGTGTGCCCAGTCTTCTTGCAGTGCTCACACATCAGCCCTCTTTTGTCAATTTTCTTCTTGTCAAAAGGCTTGAGGGTTGGCCTGTGGGAGCTGATGAGGACAGTTGGATTGGTATCATGAACAAGGCCATGAATCTCTTTTTGTTTTTCAGCACTACAGAGCATTCCATAGATTTTGTTAAGTGAAGGAAGTGGATCTTGCATGAGAACTTGAGTCCTAACTGCATCAAATGTTTCATTCAGCCCCATAAGGAAGTCCATTATATCCTGCCGATGAATGTACTTCTCCACTTCCTTCCTTTCTTTAGGAATAGGTGCCAAACAATACAATTCATCCTTTAGTTTCTTAATTTTAGTGAAGTAAGAGGCTATACTCGTGTTACCTTGGGTTAAACTTGAGATTTCCCTTTTTAGTTGATAGATGAGAGGACCATTACACTGCCCATATCTCTCTTTGAGTATGTTCAACAGTTCATGACTTGAGTTTACATAACCAAAAGCATCTGTTAGCTGTGGAGAAATAAAGTTGAGCAGGAGAATCATGTTATCAGTTCTCCTCCAAATGGCTGATTAGGCTTTTGAATTTCTCCAGTAATGAAGCCTTCTTTGTCCTTAGCTGCAAGTGACCGTATTATGCCACAGCTCCAAATCAAATAGTTTGAGTCATTGAGTAATGGGGTCACCAGACTCATCCTTGGATGATCAGAATGAGGAAGTTCCAAATATGCCATTGATGAGGCAGTAGCGTTACCAGGGATGAAGTTTGATGAAGCACCAGATATGGGGGAATCAGTTGCCATTGCAACACTGAGATCACAATCTCACATAGAGGATGAAAGGGAAATAAGATCGAAGTAATGCCAGGATAATTCAAGGCTCTGATACCATGAAGGGAATTTGGGAATATGATCTTCTGTATTTTCACCAAAGAATTCATTTACAGTACATCAATATATACATATGTTCGGACAAAAATAACAAACAGAATCTAAAATCCCTAACAAACTATTGTAACTTGAGCTTAAATTAATAGACAATGGACTACAAATGAAAGAAATATAATACAAAAGAAGCCCATGAAACAACCCAATTACCTAACCTCCATCTTCTTTCTCACCTTCTTCCTTCCCTCGGTTCCAATTCATTCTGTAGCATTCACCTTCTAATGCTCCATTGTTCTTCAATTCTTGACACAGTGCAATGGAATAGGTTGTGACACAAGTCACCTTCAATGAATTCAGAAAAGATAGGAAATCCAAAGGAGCTCGCTTGTTGTTGTGCTCATACTCCTATACTCGGCTTCTGTTGATGAAATGCTTACCGTAGACTGCTCATGCTCCTATACTTAAGGGGTCAGAAATTTGAATTCATAATAATTCATCGAAAGTTTGAATCCATAATAATAATTAATATAAGCGTAACAAATTGTGGTTCATAATAATAATTCATCGAAAATTTGAACCCATAATAATAATTAATATAGACGTAACAAATTGTGGTTCATAATAATAATTCATCGAAAATTTGAACTCATAATAATAATAATTAATATAGACGTAACAGATTGTGGTATAACATCTCACCTCATGACCGTCTATTTATAATCAATACCACATAATCATGATTGATATAGGTGCAACATATTGTGGTATAACATCTCACCTCGTGACCGTCTATTTGTAATCAATATCAAACATAATTGAAACAATGATGGCACTCAAAACCTACTTTGCCGTTGGTGTGTTTCTTTCGATGAATTTGAAAAAAATTTGGTTTGAATTTGATATAAAAATAACGTTTAATAGAATATTTTATCAAAAAAAATATATGACAAATACAAAATTTAAATAGTAAAATTAGAGAGTAAAAAAAACAAACATTAAATTATCCACTGCATTAACTATCCACTTTCTTTCCCCAAGTTGCACTTTAATTCAAAGTCTTGCTATTTTATTATTGTTCTTGTTCAAGCCCTTATTTCTCTTTTCTTTCTCTAGTTTTTTTTTTTTTGGCAAAAATCTCAAATTGAGGCTGCAATGGTGAAGGACGATTTGTATATTATAGTGCCGAGTTATTTCCAATCCTCTGTTTTTGGGGATTTGATGAAATCTCCGGTCATTTTATGCACCAGAGTTACCTATGACTGGAGTAGCATCCAATCCAAAGCATTACTGCTTGGCCGGCAGCAGACGGACTGGCTTTCCCTTCATCTTACACACGACAGGCAGACAGAAGCCGACCAGCAGACTGACTGAGTGACTTGAGGGTTTCAAATTTGGCAGACCGCCCCACCCACCCACCCGCCCGCCAATGTCTGCAGGGCAGCAGCTACCAGAGTTGTAGCCAGGAAGAACAACCCCCCACGCACAATCAATCAATATCCAATTGGCCGGCCTTCCTTCCTTGCTTGCTTCCTTCCTTCCTTCACCTAGCCTGCTAGCTAGCTGCTACATTTTTTGAGAATGGCAAAGGGTCCAAGCAGCCCACGAATTCCTCCCCTCCCCACCGGGAGGAGCTTGCTTGATGAGCGACCATCCTTTCCCATCTTTTAGGGGCACTGCTGCTGGAGAAGAACCCAGACGCAAGGTTAAATCACACTCCTTGTCTGAAGTGCTGCTGCGTTCGTGAAAGCCGCCGCCGCCTCCTGCTGCACAAGCCGCCGCCGCCGCTACATGATTATTATTACTACTGGAGGAAAGCCTTTGGTTGCCCATAGACGTAAGCTGCGGGGAATGAAAGTTCCAATTAGGCTCCGAGGAACTACCGAGCAGTTTTGGGTCATGCAGCAGCGGATATATTTGTACGTCCCTTGGATTGGAATCCATGATCAAGAAGTTGTTGCCATGGGAGGGGGAGGAGTAGCCGTTGGGAGCATTTCTTGCCTTGACACTAGAATCGTCGCCGCCTGTCCTCAAGCAGGAGGGATGGAGGGAGTCCATTGATGCTGCATGATGGAGGGCATCGACGATAGTGGGAGTGGGAGTGGGTTTGGCAGGAACAGGAACAGGAACAGGAATAGAAGAAGCTGAGGTGTAGGCGTAGGTAGCCGCCTGCTGCTGCATCTTGATGGTTTCAGGCTGCCTACTCATCAGGTAATTATTATGTCCATGTCCTGGACACTCGTTATGCTGGCTTCTTGATGATCTTCTCGGAGTGCATCCCAGATGCAGCGCAGCTGTAAGTAACAGCAGTCAGCACAGCACAGCACAGCAGCCACCGCAAAATCAATTGAATTTTAATTTTCCAGTCCATGCCAAGTAAAAAAATACCAGTAGTAAATAAAAGCCTGATTGATTTCTCCATGACCAAAGCTACCACCATGCACCATTCATTCTCCAGTCAGTCAGAGCAAAGAGCAAAGAGCAAAGGTTACCTTCAATGCAAGGCTGCAGCAGAATTAGTTGCCCAGTTTCAGTGCTCCCATCCCTTCGTATTATCACGTCGATCGCATCCTTTACTCTCTTCCAAAGTGTTTTGAGGTCTGAATACTCATCCTGTCGAAGAAGGGAATGACACAACCGACGTACATACACACATACATACGTACGTACGTACCTCTGAGTTGGCTTTGGAATATATGATTTCCTCAGCTTTCAAGACAACAATGGGGAGCTTCTCTTGCCACTCCCGGTTCTTTCTGGTGGATGGGCAGTGAGCTTCATTGGCAATCCTAACCAAGCATCCCGAATACAACAGTTATTGTGCACCGGCACTGCGGCAGTATAGTAGTAGTAGTAGTAGCAGCAGCAGCAGTAGTAGTAGCAGTCAGGGGGGGGGGGGGGGGGGGGGAAAGGAGGAGTGGGGTGCTCACTCACCTGAAAATTTCTTGAATGAGAGAACCCCTAATGGGTTGGTGTCTATCGCTGTGCCACGCTCTTCTGACGCACTCATAAGGCCTTGAGCCTGCTGGTCTTGGCATCTTTAGCTTAGCTTAGCTTAGCTTAGCTTCTTCAACAACGCATAAATAGCACACGAAGATAGATATAGAGGTAGATAGAAGAATGCTCCTCCACGGAGACCCTTGCAGTGTAGTGTAGTGGAGTGTAGTGTGCGCTTCAACAACAAAGAGAAGAGAGAAGAGAAGAGAAGAGAAGAGGGAGAGATGGAGGGACACGGAAAAAGCAAGGCAAGGCAAGGCAGGCGATGAGTAAAGACTAATGGTGATGATGGCATTGGGGGGCCGGCCGGCCTGCCTGACGAGGGGGCTGCGCTGGGGGACTCGCTATAATAATAATGATAACGATAATGATGATAATATTAGTCCTGGCATTAGTACTGAGTACCATACAGAGCAGACAGTAGTAGAGAGGGATTAGAGAGGTACGTATGTATGTGACACGAGTGCTACTGCTGCTCCTTGCTTCTGATCAGTTGAGTCATACTCATACTAGTGTCTGTCTGTCTGTGCAGCACGCTCATCGATCATCATCATCATCATTATCATCATCATCCATCCTCTTTATTTGTCACTGTCGGCGGCCATTCCATTCAATTTCCGCACTCCCACCCCACCCCACCCCACCCCACCGCGTTCACTCTCACTCTCACTCCGCACGCTGTCATCACTTCTAACCACACAATCACACACACTTGAACATGATATGCTGCTGTATACAGACGGTATTTATATATATATATATATATGTATATATACTCCAATTCTATCATTCTCCTCTCTCCCCCATCCACATATCATCCGTCTCCACCGATTTGTCTTCGATATAATTTAATTACTCCAACATTTTGTAGCTGTCCATCCGTGTCCATACCAACTCAACACTGTACAAGTTGAAGAATGGCATGGCTGGCATGCATGCCAGTTAAACTAAGACGATGGCGATTGATTGGCAATATATGGCTTCTGATGTCTGATCCATGGTGGATTTCGCCGACAGATAGACAGCACCCCACCCCATGGATCTGGTCTGGCTCGCTCGCTCCAATGAAGCTGCAAATTACACAGATTGACCCGACCCACGCAGTTTTCAGGTCCATCTTGAAATTTGCAAAATCAACCCTCGTTTGTTTTATATGATGATCAGTGATCGAACCCACACCACATGGTTGATGGTTGGTTGATCTTGCTCACGGACGGATTGAATGGCCTACTTGGGCTATATTATTAGACATATATATATATATATATATATAGATTCATGCTATTAATCCATTTATTAATCAATGCTCGGCTTGGCTTGGGGGCATTGAAAAACTATTTCCAAACCCCTTCTTAGGCCAAAATTTGTAATAGTATTAAATGCTAACAGCACATACGTATACATACAGAAAATGCATAATAAAGATATAATTTACACAGACAAACTATAAATATATTATATAATTCATATAATATAATTGCAAACAACACATAATATGATAGATATATAGACATACAATAGGTAAATTATACACAGTATAACATGAACCAACAACAACATAGACTATCTTTAATTTTAACACAAAACTTATATTATATAGGACACCTAATGCATTTATTTACCGTGGTATATGATACTCCTTCCGTTTCAATACAATAGTCTTGTTTACCATTTTTGTCTGTTTCAGTACAATAGTCTTGTTTACTATTTTTGTCTATCCCAAAACAATAGTCTTATTTCCATAAATAACCATATCACCATAAAACTATCCATACTTTTTCATTTTTATTACACAATTGCCACTACTTTTTATACTAATACACAATTACCAACTACCAATATAATATCAATGTTCCTTAAATGTCACGCGCAACCCAATTGAGACTATAGTTATGGGACGGAGGATGTATATTTTTTCCAATTCACATAATTTTTTTTTGTCTTACATAATTTATTCTTTTATTTTTTAAAAAAATATAATTATACATTTAATTACATTTTGAATTTTATAATTTATAATTATTTTTAATAATATACTTTTTAATTATTTACTAATTATATTTTATTTAAATTTTTATAAACACATTAATACTGAAAGGAAAGTAAATACTATTCCGTCCGACTCTAATGATCTCGTTTATTTTTTACCTTTATTTTTGCATGGTAGTACAAACTAAAAATATTTGTATAAAAAATAAATGTAACCATTAAAGGTGGACGAATCGTTTTACACGTGGAAGTGCAAATTTTCGTCGGCACCATAACCATATAATACTATGAAGGTTGTTATGTGGCGACTTTTTTGGCACTGACAATGACAAGGGCAATGACATCTTCAATTTTATCTTTATACTCTAGACAGCTGAACAGGCATGTAATGTAAGGCAACTCACACTCGCATGTATATAAATTAGGATGTCTCATCTCATATGCAACGTTTTATGTACGGGCATCCAACCACAGACTGGCAGCACGGAACCCTGCTATATAGAAATAAGTATATTATATTTTTTTATGTTACTAGAATATATATTGTATATTATATTATTAGGTATTATCATTATTGTATTCTTAGCTTTGTATATTTATACCAACCGGATCTAATCAACACCTAAACCGGACTGTATATATATATATATAGACGAACAAATAAATATCTATTTCTGATCCTAACTCACTTGCATGCATGCTTCTTAGATCTCCATGTGATCATCTCTGGTTTCTGCAAACAAATCGAAACAACAAGGAGGAGGCATGTATATATATATATATATATCCATCTATCACAGAGGCATATATCCTCTCCCTCTACCCTTCCTTAATTTCTTGCATACATATATATGCCTTCCTTCGTTCACCTGTCTGTCTACCTGTCAGGAGGATAGAGCGCCTCCCCTGCCCCGGTCCCTCACTAGGACAGACGGACGGACGAACACGCTTCAACCTCTACGAAGAGCACAGTCATAACACCCAAAAAACAAACGATTTCACATTAATACTTGCTTCAACACCAGTCCAGTCATACAGCTTGTTCGACCCTTCATAACAAGCAACACTTGATCGAGTTCGTTCAGCCCCCCCACCCCAAGCAACAATAAGTGTTTGTTCGGGTGAGAGCTAAAAACACAAATTCTCAACACTACTTTCCAACAAGAGAAGATGCGACACACTGCTGGGAATGATGCCCCAGTCACTTCTGGTTTTAAAAAATATTCAAAGCAATGCAATGCAAATCTCAAATTTCTCTCAATCCAGAATACCAACATATATCTGTGTGTGAGGGTGTGTGGAACTCGACTCGGGAGTGAGTCCGGAGCACAAAAGAGAGAACCTGAGGAAAAATGCTAGGAGGAAGTTGCTGCGAGTATATACTTCTTCTTCTTGGGGGCACGGCACAAGAGAAGAGGACCGCAAAATGGTATCCAGAACATCAATCACTTCAAACAAGATGGGAGTGTCGGCCCATGGCAAACAAAAGCCACAACAACATAAATGATCACCAGGAGAAGGAAGATCAGCGCAACCCTGCCAAAAACCACATCCTAGTTCAGAAACAAATATGCCACGTATGCAGATGTAGTTGTGATCTAGATTGCAATGCTCAAAAATGTGAGCTGCTGGATCCTCCCAAGTTATGCAGGTGTGCAGAGAAACATATTTCAACAGTATCCCACAACAGAGATCTATAATGTAAGATTGATCCTTCAAAACCAGAGTGCTCCATAATTTCAAGGGTGGTTTTCAATTCCAAACCAACTTACATTAGTTTTACGTTTCTCCACCACACCGTGTTTCTGAAACGCCGAGCTTGCCTTCTGAAGCGAAAAGTGTTGCCTTGCATATTGGCAGTTTTGTCAACCAACAATTCTAGCCGATCACCTCTCTCTAAAACTTTGTCAATATTCTCAATCATGACATTTCGCACCTACAGTAACAGCCCATTAGTTTTTTGCATTGTATATATATACATATATATGGCATAGCAAAAGCAGTAAAAATTAAAGATCCAACATTACAAAAATTAGTGCAACCAATTTAGAATCAAAATTAAGATGGAGGCTCTAATTTATTATCTCTAACAAACCAATCAGTAAAATAAGTGAAAGAAATGAATACATTTGACCACCACAAACGGACGGCCGGCGTATGAACTGGAGGAAAAGCTGCAAAGAATCTCAACACTGGGACATTCTGAAACCATATCTACTACATAATACATAAGGGGAAATGATTCAACAACAGAAAGAAGCCAATCATTTGGCAGAAATCACCTGGCTCATTTCACCTCTAAGCCGGTTTATCCTGTCAGCATTTGGATCATTTGAGTAATACTCCATTTGCTGGCTAAGGACCCTTGAAAATTCATCATTCATGGCATACGCTTGTGCGGACAAAACAGCCCTGCCATATGTCCTGACAAATCTTTGATGAATTTCTTCAAGAAATGCAAATGGAATTCTCCCTACAACATGTCAAATTAAAATGGAAGGATGTAGTCAAGCACAAATTATGCTACTAGGGGATATTGTTATAATGAATCATTGTATCAGCCAAGCCAGCAAAACATAACTCAAAACACTACTTCCAAAACATTTCTTCAATGGCTACTCTGAACATGATATTGTCTTGTTTAAATTATTAAGAGCGAGTCAACAGTGTTGAGGCTTGTCAAAGGAGTTCCCCAATGATTTTAAGAGTGGGTGAGCATAACATTAAAACATGAACAAAACCTGGTCTTTGTATCAGTACATGTACAAGGCAACATAGCGAGATAGCCTCCATCGCATCGCATCCGGGAATATAATATCCGTAATAGCTTCACAAGTCACAAATAGCAAGCTTAACTCAAATGCGAATAATATCCCAACCTAACCAAACTAAACCTAATTCCGAACCCATCTCAGCCCAATCCGCAAAAGAAGTTATCTTTTCAGATCCACAAGATAAAAAGATCGCATCAGTAAATCAACGCATATGAATGATATCACACGAAATTGAATTCTCCAAAATAGAAAATGCTGAATTACGAATATCGAGTTTAATCCACAACTAAATCAAAAAACCAATCAAAATTAGTTGAAATAAAAGTGATGGCGATTGAAAAAACAACTACTCGTGGTATACAATTGTAAAAAAGAAAAGGCATAAGCAAGGAGAAGGGAATTGGATGTAAAAGAGTAGGAAAGAGCATACTTCCGGCTGTGTCGTCGGCCATACATAGAACGGTAAGACCATCGGTGCGTTTGACGTGGAAAATGTAGCGATCCTGGGAGTAGGAAGCATTTGTGTCATTAGTTCCAGGGATCTTCTCGAGAATTTGTCGGGCGATTGCATTCGCGGTGGTGGAGGTAGCGCTGAATTCCGCCAGGACCACCGAGCCACGCGCCACTAGGGCGTACAGTATCGCCATCCCACGCCTCCACGGGATCGATCTCTTTCTCTTCCTGCCTGCCTGCCTCCCCTCTCTCTTTCTCTCTCCTCTCTGGAATGACGTCGTTCCTTCCCTCTTTAGACTTGGTAATATACAAAAATCAATTCCCATCACTGCTAATTTTCAAGATTAATCATCACCCATCCATCCCCATCCATCCGCGGGACCACTACTACTACTACTATTATTATTATTATTATTATTATTATTATTATTGCATGTACCAATTTATTTTATTTTATTTTATTTTCTGTTATAATAATTAATATTTAAATATTAAAATATTAAAAATAAATAGAAAAATTAGTAATTTGACGGATAAAGTATTATCTACAAAAATCAAGATATATCTATAATTATTTGCATATATAATAGGCACTAAAAATGAATATTTAAATTCAATTAAATATTATATATTTTTGAAAACAATAAAATTTTAATAAAATAAAGATATAGTATTATATTATACATATATATTACTCCCTTCGTCTCAATACAATAGTATTATTTATCAATTATTAATGCAAAATTCGTGTACAATGGAAGATATGTATATATATATAAAGTCATATTAATATCTTTAAAAATAAAATGATATAAAAATATTGATATGAAAGAAAATGGCAGAATCAAATCATTGTAATAATGGAAAACATCTGACAAAAAAGAAAATTTAATAAAAAAATATTTCTTGACCAATCGAAAAGCCACGTGGCTTTGCCCGAAAAGAAAACCAAGTCTACCCATCCTTAATAAATAGGGTCACTGTCAAACCATTGGACACACAGAAATTCTTTCAAAGACTCAACCAAATGGATAAGTTTTTGAATTCTCTTTTAAATATAACTTTATGTTCTTTGTGTCATTCGAATTCTTTTTCGTCGAAAAGTCTTCAATTTTAACAAATGATCAAATATTGATTGACAAATCAATTAATTAATATTTTTTTGTTGTATGTCCAAGCCGAATAAAAGATCAAAGCTTCAAATCCCATTGAATGATCCGACGAAATAAAATATAAAAAAAAAGAAAAAAAGAAGAAGTCATCCGAGTTCATCATAACGCTTCAAGATGTTCTTCGTCAAAAGCATTAACCCGACCTTCTTTGATTTAAAAATTAAAAGGATACGCGATGAAAAAATATTATGGATTACCAAATCCGTCTCTACGAAGATTAAATCGTCAAATTTATCAAAAAAAACATCAAATTTAAAATCGACGATCAAATTTATTTTTATAAAGATCAAATTCCTTAAAAATTTGGCAAAGTCAAATTAAATGGCAAATCCCTCCGAGTCTTCCGAAGAAGCCATGCAAATATGAAAAGTTATATAAAAGAGAATATAAAGAAAATATACTTTTTAAAGTAAAAATTAAAAATTATAATTTGAGTAAAATTATTACTAAAATTTATGATTAAAATAAAATTACTATAGATAATAAGTTGAAAATAGCTTTGTAACTCCCTTAAATCAAGTACAATTTAATTTAAATGGACAAATATAATGGACAAATATGATCATAAATATATATTCCATTATTACATTCATTATCACTAACAGCTGCCGCTTGCCCATTACACATTTTATTTATGTCATTTCTTATTATGAATATATGTTCCGATGATTATTTCTGTCATTTGGGAGTATGAATACATGTTCCATTGTTATACTTCATCATACGTTCACCATTCATCATCGCCCATTCTATTCCACCGTTACTGCTTTCTTTAAATTACTGCACAGCTCGTCCGTTCCACCATTAATGCTTTCTTTAAATTTTTGCATGTCTCTGTATTTGACTCGCTCGTCTAATTTCTCTAGATAAGATTTGGAAGCGGGGATGGGATTGAACCATGACTTGGCTGTCACGAGTTCACCATGCTTACCGCCCATCCGTACAGCAGAGGGGACGAAACTACTGCTTCAGTTCTCTCACGTACGTACCAATTGTACAGAGTGCGAAACTTGATTTCTTTCTTAATTTCGTCGATCCATGTATGTACGCACGTGCACGCGTGCTGTGTAGGGGGTGGGTATCTCAATATTATAATCAATCAATCAAGCATTGGCGTTGGCGTTGAGATTGAGATTCAATCGTCTAAGCCACACCGAGTGCAAAATCATGTGAAACATGTCAAATCTCTTGGCCGGCTGGTTCAGAACAAAATGCCGCCTCACCGCTCTCAAGCCTTCTCTCAGCCTCAGGTACTCGTCCTCCGACACCGCCACCAGTATCTCCCTCAGCCGCGGGATATCCCACACATCAACCCGCAGCGAGAATGCCTCCCACCGCAGCACGTCGCTGAACGGCAGCACGTAGTGGCTTGACAGCACCACGGGGACGCACTCCGCATAGACTGCCTCCACAATTCTGGGGCTGGCCACTTCGTATCCGCTCGGGCACAAACAGAACTTGGACCGCAGCATCCAGTTATAGTAATCCTCGCCCGCGGGCAGGTCGTATTCATAAACCCGGATGTCGGGGTCTTTTCCCTTCCAGTACTGGAGAAGGATTGGCCTGATGGGGCCGTGCATCCCACCGGAGAAGAACGCCAGGTAGGGCCTGGAGGACATATTGGACGGCGGCGGAGGAGAGGCCAGCTTGGGGTTTACAACGCCGCCGTAAAGATGTATCTCTGGCAGGCTAACATCCTTCTGTGGGTTGAATCCTTCTGAGGAATTAGCATTGCACAAGACACGGATGGAAGTGTTGTACAGGAACGCGTTTCCTTGTGTTGCATGAGGTCCCTGGAACAATTAATTAATTAATCAATCAATTAATTAAAGCAGACGAACTTATAACGTAACTACACTGATCAGCTAGCTCAGCATCAAATTAAGTATAGGAGAGCCATCAATCAATGGCTTCTTATATATAAATAATAAACATAACATATACTGTTGTCCCCTATAAACAATTACTTGTATCTATTAAAAGGACAAAAGCGAAACATATATATAATACACACACAAATATATATATAGATATATATCTGTAGTATGCTCACCCAGTCGTGACAAGAAAGCATGAAGTGGTCAGCCCCTTGAGTTCTATTCCAGAAGGGATGTTTTGTGGAGATGAGCTGTACATAATCGGATACCAATTCCTGGAGTCTGGTAACATTATACACATGGGGGGTTAAGAGATACTTGACCATCCATGTTATGCTATATGGCATGAAGTAAACGTGAGCGTATTGTGCATTGGTTGTCTTAAACCTAGTATTTCCATGCTCCATCTCATGTATGAACCTTCCTTCACTACTATAGATGTCTTTGCATGGCCCATCATGCACTATTGGTGGTTCCCCTTCTTGATATACATAAACTTTGAAATTTCTTTCCATTTCCCTGTAACTCCTGTGGAACATATGTGATTGTTAATGTAATTTGTTAAAATATGCATGATCGATGAATATAATGCCCGATCAATGCAGATTAATTTTTAGTATTCATCATCTCTTCATAAGAATAAACATTCGGAAGATACATCAGCTTCTAATTAGCTAGCTAGGGAGTGCTGGAGGATGGGAGATCATCCATGGAGGTTCTTTAATCTTCTACTAGAACAAGGAAGCATGCAAAAGGATATTAATGGGATTGGGATGCATCATCTCATACATTAAACGCAGGCAAGACTTCTTCATTAAAGATGCTCTTATATGTAGATTATTATGAGACAATGATTGCAAGATTACAAGATAAGAGATGGTTTCACTGTACATGTTACACAGGCAGTATCTAAGAGTAAAATGCCGTCTAAACTAGGTAGCATTATCTCTCTCTTGCGCGCGCAAACACACACACACAGATATATATATACATATATATACTTTTAGCAAATCCCAGACGAGGAAATTAACATAAACTATTCCTAATCCCTAAGCAAGAAATATACTGAATTCTTATTATAGGAGCGAACATGCATAACTCGAGATTTTATATTAAGTCACGCTTTAATAATAATAATAATAATAAGGAACTTTGTTTCTACACAAGTATGGGAAATTAATGCTCCAAGAATAGGGGGGGAAGAATTCTATTTTGTTAGCATCACATGCAGCTATGGCAATGGTTTATGCTTCTCTAATTTCAATATATATATATAAATTGTCAAGTCGAAATTTCATCGGCTAGCACTCTTTCTAGGGAAACTTTCTCGAGAAGTAAATAGAAGGGGCAACTAATATATATTGTAAAAAGGAGATAGAGCAATTCACGAGCAATGCCCGATGCAAAAAAAGTAATGAGTAATAGAAGCATCGATCGATTTCAGTGCTTTGGAAGATTGAAAAAAAAAAAAAAAAAGGGAAAACTAGAGAGTGGAGGAAACAATGAGTGTGCGCACTAGCTAGGAACCCCATGCTTTAGGTGTAAGACTCGCCCACCTAGCTAGATCTTTAAGATATCCAACACCCATTCAGTAAAAATGTCACATGTGCTCTCTCTTCGAATAGCGCTTTAACTATTAATTAAGCTAAGAAGATAAATTAATAAATTAGTTAGTTTCCTAATCCATTGATCGATGGGCAGCCAGCTTCATTACTTATATAAAAAAAAAAAAAAAAGAGTGCCTGCGTGCGTGCAATGTTCAAGCCACTTAAAACGATCGAGTATATGACTTGTGCGTACGAGTGTTTTACAAACTTCCAGGCAATCATTGAGAAAACAACCTAATTGACATATTTATTTGATCAGCCCAAGTTACCCCCTCTTCCTTCTCTTCTCACTATAAAATTAGCTATTATATCAGAATCTTAGATCCAATTATAAGCGAGGTTGCTTACTGAAGAAATTCGCCGGGGTTGCCATATATTGCCGACCACGATAAAATGCCATTACTTCCTATCACTGATATGCTTCGGTTGGTAGCTGCTTTCCTAATTGCTGCTCTTGCTCGAGCTAATCCCTGCTCCAGCAGTTTATTATCTGTTCTCCTCTGCAATTTTCATGTTTAATCAAACATCATCATGTAATCAATAGACCATGCTGTCAATCAACAGCTTGTTTACAGGACAGTTACAACAAATTCACATGCAACTTGAGCCTCTTCTGATGATGAACCCAAAATTGGCAGGTAAAAATTGTGCCACACTTAACAGAGACCTTATAACTCTAATGCAGACACCCAGAGATAACTGATAACTACTTACGTTCTATTCAATAAATGTTCAGGACCGCATGAATTAAAAGGTTAAAGATCCTTAGTCTTAATTTATGAATTAATATCACCTGTGTAGTTGTTGTATTTATTGAATCAAACAGACTCAGTAGATTTGCCTAGCAGCCGATGAACAGAAGACTTCAACACGTATGTATATACAAGCTTCAGTAAATATCATTAGTGGATTGAATATAAAGAAGGGGGCGAGCATCACAGCACAGATACGTAGATTACATCGATCATTAATTAATTAAGTCCTAATTCAAATATATATCTATATATATAGGCCGTGTGTGAGATAGCGGTACTTACACGGGCGGTGGGCATGAATTTGGAGGAGAATTGCGAAGCAGCAGCAGGTGCAGCTTTGGAATCATGTGGAGCAGAGAGAAATTGGAAACTTGGTATATTGAGTTGGGTTTGGGATCCATTAGCTTTATGGGAGAAATATCCGAGAAGTGAAACGACGGCAATGGAAGCTGCGAAAATGGCAGAGATGAGAAAGATGGAACGTGTTAATTCGGCGCCGCTCTTCATCATCACCTTAATTCTGGGCAGGATAGGATAGGATAGGATCGGATCGGATCTTCACAAAATTAGCTACAACAACAAGTTAAAGTTATGATGAGGAGGAGGAGGAGGAGAGGCGGTTATATGGAAGGCGGGGGAATTAAAAAGAGAATATGGGTGGCGTGGCGGGCCGGGCCGGGGGAATGGGGGATTTAATTACGCTTTGGACCTCCTTCTCCTCCTCCTGCTGCTGCTGGTGGATACTCCTTCAGTCTCAACTTATACTGCTATTACTACTGTATTTGTATTGTATTGTATTGTATCGTATCGTAAGAGTTTCATACTTCATACCGTCCCTCCCTCTCCCTCCCAACCTGTGTCTGTCCGTGTGCTGTTCTTCTGTATATATATACATACATATACCTATATATATAAAGATTCCGCCAGGATAGATGGATGGATAGATCCTCTTGCCCTGCCCCCTCTGCGTGCGTGCGTGCCTGCTGTTAATGGTTTTTTAGCGCTAGTTTTGGCAAGTAAAATGTAATCAATGAGCTGTAATTTTTTTATATTTTTTTATTTGGAAAGCAAATCAATTTAGATTTAAAATGTTTTTTTTGTCAGATAATTTTAATAATTTTTTTTTAAATATGAAAAATTATATAAATAATATAAAAATAATTAATATATGTAATTTATTAATAGGAAAAAAATTATTTTTAGTCCAAATATAACTAAAATTCATCGATTTTGATTTTGGTCTCAATATAAAAATTTTATTAATTTTGGTCTCAATATAATCAAAACTTATTATTTTTCGTCTCAATATAACCAAAACTCATCATTTTTTATCCCAATATAAAATTTTTATCAATTTAGTCTCAATATAACAAAAACTCATCATTTTTTTTGTCTCAATATAATTAAACCTTATCTTTTTTGGTCTCACAGTTAACAAACCGACGAAAAATGCTGACGTGAAAAGAAATCAAACCTTATATTTCTATTTGAAGAAATTACACAATCTTGCAAGTCCACGTCAGCATTTTCCGTAGATTTGTTGACGGTGGAACCAAAAAAAATAAAGTTTGATTATATTGCGACAAAAAATTATAAGTTTTGATTATATTGGGACTAAAATTGATAAAAAGTTTATATTGAAACCAAAGATGATAGTTTTGGTTATATTGAGACAAAAAATTGATGAGTTTTGGTTATATTGAAACCAAAATTGATAAAATTTCTATATTGAGACCAAAATTAATGAATTTTGGTTATATTGGAACCAAAAATAATTTTTTCCCTTATTAATATTTTTTTAAAAAAACATGTCTATATATATTTGTTAAAAGAACATAGTTATTTGAAATATTTTTTAATTTTTATTTTGTATTTTTAATATTATTAAAATAAAAATAACTATTAATATAAAAAGTAGTAAATACTTAAAGATAATATTTTATAAAAAAAAGTAAGTACATTAAAAATACAATGTTACGTTGGATTTCTCGTCATTGATAATATATAAATATCTATATATATAAACTATTAAAATTTTATGATTTTAAAAAATAGATGTTAGTATATAATTGATATTATTTCATTATAAATTTTTAATTTTTAAAATGATAATTTAATGTATTACTATTTTAATAAGTATTACTTAGACTTTAAAAAAATATTAATATATATTCTATCATTCAAAATATAGTTTAATTTGTTATTAATATTTTTTCGAAATTTTATAATTTCTTATATTTTTAAATAATTGTAAAAATTATTATTTATATGTATTAATCGTGTGATGGTTATTCAAATATGCACCTGTTAAAAATATGTTGATATATTTAAACATGATTTGATTGATAGTTAAAAAATAACAGAAAAATTATAATTGATTAATCTTAGAATAGAATCAAAATGGATTAAAAAATTTCATTTAAGACTACAATTGATTAATGTCATTTAGATTGGACTACTAATAATACTCTCTTCTTTAATAATCTATTAAATTTTTTCAATACGTTAATTTTTAATCTAACATTACAAATACCCTTCTCATTTATAATATATTTACACAAATATACAGGTTAGTTGAGTCATTTTACATTTATTTATAATATATCATAATATAATATTAATATTTTTAAATTTTCATGAAAAAACAAATTGATAAATAAATATAAGACGGAGGTGAATATGCTTTTTTATTTTTTTATTTAAATATTTTCAATATATAATAATTTAAAAGGTTTATTTGATTTTCAATTTCAGTATATTCAATTTTATTTCGAATATTTATTTGAATTTTTTATATATAAGAATTTTTATTTTTTATGGATATATTTTTTTATACTAAATATAAAAATTTATATAAATAATATAAAAAATACTCTATCCTCTCTCCGTTTCAAATCAAGAATAACATTTGAGTTCAGCAAGAAATTTTAAGTGAGAGATTTAAATATGATAATTTTAAAATTATGTCATAGGATACAAAAGTGCATATATATATTATTGGAGTGATGTTATGAGATGAATCGTAGGGTAGATATTATGTATAATTAATTATTATTATTATTTTTTTATGACATAGAAACCCGCAACCGCTGTCCGAAAGTGCGCATTGGGCAAACCCCCGGCCGGACCTAATTAATTATTTTCTATTTTATAAATATTGAAGAGTGTTTAAAACATACAATAAAAAAACATTGCACGTGTTTGAGATATATTAAAAAAAATGTTAAAAAAATTACAGAGTATTTGAGATAGAGTGGATGAATGTATTTTCATATTATATATGAAAAATTGTGTCAATAATATAAAAAAAAAATAATATTTTGTGTTAAATTATTGAATGTGTTTAAATTATGTTTATTTGTAAAAATTGGATTTTAAATATTACTCTCAATACCAGATATTTTGTTCGTTTTACTGTAGACACGAGAATTTATGAGGAATATAATTAGTAAATAATTTAAAATATAATAGTAAAAATAAATATTGTATAATAAAAATAATTATATATTAGAATTAAGATAACTAATTATTATAATTGAAATTAAAAAAATATATAAATTAAATTTTTAGAAATGAGATTAAAGTGCATACTTTTTTTTCCAAGACAAAATAAGTATGACGGACGGAAATAAGAAAGTGAATATGAGAAATGGAACGGATGGAGTATATTGAATGTAATAATTAAATTTTAATAGAATAATATTGAATTAATATGATGTTTGTATAAATGTTATTTTTAATTTATAATATAAATAATTTTAATAATAATATTTTATTATTAGAAAATAATCATTTGTTTGTAAAATTTTAATTTTTTTCAAAAATATCAAATTAAATACTATATATTTTTTTAATTTTTTATATTAAAATTTTATTTACATTAAAAATCACATTGTCTCTTTCACATTAAACTATTAATTAAATTCAAATTTGTAATTTTCTAAATCTAAACTCAAAATAAAATAATAATAATAATTAATTAATTAATAATAATAAAGTATAATAGTATTTTTCAATTGTATTAAAAGTATTGTTAATATTAAAATAAATTTTATATATAATTAAAAATTTAAAATATGTTTTAAAAATTATATCATAATAAATAATATACTCCCTCCGTCCCGCAAGGGTGGCGTTTGCTGGATTACAGTAAAAAAGACAAAAATACTCTTATTAATATGGTATAATATAAAAGTAATGACAAATAGTATTTATTATGTGAACTATGCAGTACAATTATGTGAACTATGCAGTACAATTACTAAATTAACAAAATGGTAACTTTGTTTTGGAATGGACAGGGAGAGTATATAATATTGATATTATTTTAGAAAAATAATATTTACTATAATAGTTATAATTAATATAAATTAATTTTATAAAAAAATAATTAAATTTAATTCTTTTTAAAAAATAATAATACTATTATAATATGTAATATATAATTAATTAAATTAATTTATATTTATTAAATACATTTTAATTTATAATAATAATTATTATTATAAAGCCCAAATCCACGTGGATTGGCATAATCCACACTGCCGCCGCCGCTCTTTGGCTTCTTACGTGGTTCTTCTACTTTTACGTTGCGCAGCTGCCTTACTCATGGAGACGAATTCCGCTGCCGCCTTCTGGTGAGTTTGCTTTTTTTTTTTCTTCTTCTAATTTTTTCCCTCTCTGATTCTTTCTCTGCTCGGTACTTCCAACGTATATCAAGGAAATCGAATTTAATTTTAACATTTTTGTTCTCCCTTTTTGCATTTTTTTATATTGCAGTTTCTCCCACAGGTGGTAGACGGCGCCGCTATTTCATTGTTTTTTAGAGCATGTACAATAAACAAAATTTAGAGGTCTTCTTTATCGTGTGAGGCTTTTAATTTCAAATTTCAAAAAAAAAAAATCACATAATGAAATAGATTTGAAAGTCCAAAAAACAGCATTCATGCTATCTACGCTTCCGACACGTTCTAGTAATTCATTCCGTCTATCTGCTTAAGATGTGGGATCAAACATCTGTCCATTTTTCGGATGACGAAAAGAAAAAGCGAGGGTATTCTCTTTATGCTGACCATGAATCTAGCTGGGTTACTGAGAGGAAATCATTGGTGAAATTTAGGCCTTTAAATATTATTTGTCCTAAAATGCGTACCTTGTTTTGGATTCCTATGGTTGCGATTCGGAAGATGTGATCCCTTCTTATTTCTTTTCCAGCAACGTGGTTTGCTGGCTCATGTTTTATAACGTTTACCTTCCATTTGGTTTAGAATGCACTGTTATTGGTAGATGGAGTATCTCCTTCCTGTATGTACAGGAAAATATGAAACAAATTTAATTTGTACAGACCGGCAGCTTACTAACAATATTACTATACTCTGAGAGACTATGATATTAGCTTTGTGAAATTTTAGCTAAAACTATCAGAGGAGCTTGATGGGTGGCTTAGAGCATCGGGCATTGCTAAATCTCCCGAAGTGAGAGGTGTAATTGCACCGTGAGTCCTTACATACACTATAACTCTTGAAAATAAAGTAAATGTTGAAAGGCCGTAACACATTACTTGTGTCTGGTGGTTTGCTACTCTTTAGTCATGCAGGTTATTCATATTCCGGACGAGCTGCAGCCTACGCATTTGGGAACATCGACCCAGCAAACATGTGGGTTTTACCTAACATACTCAGATTTTGCCTGGTTTTATAGTGACTCGTATGTGCATTTTTCAAGTTTTTTCTTTACCCTTGTTGTATAAAGAGGTCATTTTGCAGCTCAAGGGTTTTCCTCCTTGGCCCATCACATCACCATTACAGTCCAAGATGTGGACTTTCAAAAGCCACAATGTACAAGACGCCACTAGGTGATCTACCTATTGATCAAGAAGGTATAATTGCGCTCTTTGGATATTTCGGCAATACCTTTTTGTTTGCACTAGATCAAATCAAATGTCCTCTTACTTTCATCTCCTTGAATTCAGTTTTCTTGAAGTATTATCTTTGTCTTATAACATAGTATTAGTAAATCTCTATAGGTGTGTTTACTTATAAGATTTTATTACGAATTTACTATTTCAACTTTCTTTTCTTTTCAAAAACATCAAATCAAACATTCAATTTTTATTTATTTTATTATACTAAAATCTAATTTTACATTCAAAACATCACATCAATACATATTTATATAACATCAAACAACTATTTCAATTCAGAATTTTACTATTCAAAATCAAAAATCAAAATCAAAACATCACAGGTAAACACACCCTATGTTATCTATAATTTATTATGATAATGTTGCACATGGCTTCAGTTTTTAGATTTGACTAAAATGTATCACTGTGTACTACTTTGGGAAGGTAGATGAACTGCTTTAAGTGGTTTCTAAATGTTACATTACAGCCCGAATGAGTTGGATGATTTGAAAAGGTTAAATTGTCTCTTGGTAAGCAGGAATATATAATGGGGTGGAGCATTTTGTATGAGCAAGTAATAGGTTTTCTGACTTTTCTTTGACCTTTTTCCGGTAAATGAGGAGCTTAAAGCTACTGGGAAGTTTGAATTAATGGATCTTCAGGTTGATGAGGCTGAACACAGCATGGAAATGCATCTACCATACCTTGTTAAAGTATTTAATGGGTATGACCGTATGAGTGAACAATTGTTTCATTTTATTCTAATTTTTTTTTTTTTAATTACTCTTATGTTAGAGAAGTTGATGCAGATATACTGTGAAGATTGTGCCTATTTTGGTTTGCTCACTTAGCGCTGAAAGTGAAGCTACTTATGGTCAATTATTAGCTAAATATGTGGATTATCCTACCAATTTCTTTTCTTTGTCTTCAGATTTTTGTCACTGGGGTGCACGGTATGTAGTTTTCTTGATTATTGTTATGACAGTAATCACCATTGGTTGTGTTATCATTATTATGATTATTTTGTATTCAGTGCCATTACTTGCTTAAACTTAATATCCATTGATTTTCTGTTACATTTTACTTCATTATAAATGCTTCCATTTTTGCAATTTTTTCTACTGGAAAGTTTCATGTGTGTCCATGCTTATTGTTGTTAATTCAAGTTTAATGGCAAGTGATATCACTACTTATCACATGTTTCTGATTTAATGTTCATATGCTATAAGTAAGATCTACTACCACAAAAGAAAAGAGGGAAAAGGAAACATACAATTAGATTTCTGAGCAGAATATAATATGTGTCATGCTTAAATGTCGGGTAGCAAAGGGAGTAATGTGTTATCAGTAAGCATGTCAAAGAGCTCAGCTACATTGGTGTTGTTCGAAGCATTTTTTCCTGCTTTTTTCTTTATGCATATTCATGCAATTGTTGCTGTGAAGGTGAACTCATTATGAGAATTATAAATTACTCTCAGCAGGAACTCCTGGTGATGTATTTGGTTAGTTGGATATGTGTATAACAATGTTTTATTGAAAAATCTTATTTGTTCTCCAGGTTCAAGTACACGAGCTTTGATAGAAAGCATGGAGCCATCTATGAGGCCATTGAGGAAATGGATAAGATGGGAATGAAATTAATAGAAACAGGAGATCCAGATGCATTTAAGCAGTACCTTACAGAGACACAAAATACTATTTGTGGGCGACATCCTATCAGTGTTTTCCTCCATGTAAATATTTTGCTCTCTCCACTATTTGTGCGTGTATTCATTTATTATATTATTACTATCATTTTATTTATTTATTTATTATTTTGGTTGAGAAGAAGTATCCTTGCTTTGAAATGACTCAGTAATACAAAGAACAAATTGTTAAATTGATGAAATTCCGCCTTCCTGGTGTGCTTCATTTGGAAACTTGAAACTCCGCTCAAAATCAATTTTTCCTATTATTTTTAAATACTCTCATTAAGATCTTGTTGTTTTGATTGATAGGCCATTTGTTATCAACTTATTTCCATTTTCAAATAAATTCATTTAGGTGTAGGGAAATGCCATTGTTTTCTATATTGTAACACTATAGTCTGCCTGCAGCATTACTGGAAAAGGTATACTTATATTGTAGGCACCCCTGCTGCTGCTGCTGCCAATAATAGATATCTACATGAGCTTTCTGAGAATGTCGATGTTATTTATACAATAATTGGGTAGGCTGGTGTCTGGGACTACTGGGGGATATCTTCACTTAAACATTATAATACTCACTCTCTAGGGATTGGAGGGATGGTTGTGGTTGTGTGCATCTTTTGAGTTTTACTAACTGCGCCCCGTGTTTTTGCCAAATTGCTCCAGATGTTGAAGAATTGCTCGACCAAGATAAAAATAGGATTCCTTCAATATGAGCAGTCTAGCCAGTGCACATCAATGAGGGACAGCAGTGTAAGTTATGCATCTGCCGCCCAAGACTGTGAGTTGATGCTACCTGCCTACTTCCATTAAAAAGAAAAGGTATCAGCTGAGTGTGGTATCCGTTATGCCACTTCCCTCCTTCCTTAGCAATGGTTATTTATTTTTCTGTCCTTTTTTAAGAAGTGTGGATATCTTTTGGCTTGGGCAACAATTACAGGTTTATTTTGTTTATGTTTTCGATGTGTGTGTGTGTTGCTGTAGCTTGGTTTTACCTTTGTTTAACCGGTCCATGGAAGTGTTCAATAAAAGAACATTTGATTTTGTACTTGAGAGAAATTTTATATTTATTCTATCAATATTGATGGTATTTAAACAGTAAAGACTAAACGAAAAACTAAAGAGAAATATATTAATAAAATAATGGACATTATATATTCATCAATAATTAAAAAAAAAACATCATATCTTGTTGGTGCAGTTTTAAATTAATCAAATGATATAATCCTAAACCAATTGATAAATATTTTTAATAATATATTTTTAATTATTTATTAATTATACTATTTCTAAATTCTACACGGATTGAAAAATAGGTAAAAATGACCCAACGACAGCAAAGACCCCAAGATTCATCCAAACCGAAATGTTCATCACACAAACTCGCAAAATCGATATTTGCAATTAGAATAGACAATCTCACTGCTCATCTACAACGGATCTAATAATGTAACTAACCACCAACAAGAATAGTTGGACCTAAAACGAAATCGACTGAGAAGAACCATTAAAATCCTCACAAACCACTGAGAAGAGGAAGGTGTGGTAGAATGAATGGACGAATACAGCAACAGTGCATAATTAAAGACCATCAGTCACAATTAAAATCTTCCATGACAGACATAATTTAATCTCGCAGATGATGGCTCGGGTTGGGTTGCATGTCTAGTTTCATTTATGGATTGAGTTTGATAATGAATGAGGCCTCAACAGATTATAGTGCAAAACTCAGAACCCTCTATTGTTTTGGTCTATTACACTTTAATATATATATATATATATATATATATGTAGAATTATGATAGCCAAACGGTACGTGTTGATAATGGACTATATTTATATTTGAGTTTTGGCTGATGTTGTCCACAGGTGGTCCATCAATGTATGAATTCTGGTTGTATTTGTAGCCTATTTATTATGAAACAAGTGATCTATTTGTTGCACTCATGTTGATCAATCCGGCGTATCCCAGAAAGGAATATCATTTTTCGAGGATTTCATTTAGTTGAATTAGTAGATTTTATGGGATTTGATTGAGAGATATAGATTTATTTAGAATGATATTTTTCATATATGTTGTTCTTATCTTGTATGCTGATGAGGTGATGAATCGGTTAATCAGAATATATATAGCGGGAAGATTTGGGGAGAATGATCACATAGAAAAATCTTGGGGTAACGATCATCTCGACATGAGAAAAAGAGAGTAGGCAAGATTGAGGGTATAGATAGCTAGTTGAACAACCTTAGGAAGAGGATGTGAGTGCTCTAGAGGTAACATTTAGTACAACTCTATTGTAAGTTTGATTTGTTCTTGATGAATAGTGATATTGTCTGAGTTGGTACTCCCAGACGTAGGTCTTTGATGGCCGAGCTGACTTAAAAATCATTTATTTTTCAATTACAGTATATATGAGTGGTTTGAATTTTTCACGAACAATATAACTTTGTGATGCTCAAATTTCTTCCGTGAAAATCTGGTGCAATTTTGTGCTATTAAATATTTAAAGCGTTTAGGACCAACACAAACTATGCAAATGAGCGGAGCTTTTCATGTTTGACTTCACTTTTTTAAGGACTTAAGCTCGGTTATTCGTTCGTTAAAAGATACAGACTGAATTTTTTTTTAACTTGGTTTGTTTAGTAAATTTTTTATTCGTGTTCAATTTAGTTTGTTTAGTTTAACGAACAAATTCTTAACAACTAAATCAAATTGTAATTGGACCCTTTTATCATTTGACCCGCAACTGAAATATTGTTTTAAAAATAATTTCGTAAGAAAAAAATTAACGTTTTTTAGTCTTTCGGCCCCAGAATGCAGTGCTTGCCAGATAACATGTGAAAAATCTACTTATAATTTTATTTTCTTAAAAAATTGATGTATAAAAAATAATTATTATGTATTTTAAAAATCTATATATTATTTTTATTTTTAAAAAATAAAATAAAATACATCAATATAATATTTTATTTTTAAAAAAAATACATAAATTTTAAAAAATAAAAGATAAATAAATTTTTCACGTGTCCGTTAGGTGGTGTGCCATGAAGCTGAAAAACTTAAAGTACACAAATTTTTCATGACTATTTGAAGACAATTTCCAAAAAAAAAAAAGGTTTATCCTACCTTTTTTTATATCTCTAACATAATATGTATATATATATATATATCAATACAAAAACACAAAATAACCGCTCTCGAAATATCCTAAAAAAAATCCTTCCAAGAGTAATACTGGACTTTGTCCCCGCATAACAGCACAAAATCTTTGCAACTTATTTTTCCTTTTAAGATATACTACCAACTCAGTGCATATGTAATACGGAGAGAAGCAATCAAAAGTCAAAACCCCTCCCAATTCCAAACTTCATCCGTGCATTTTTATACCAAGAAGTTAACTCAGTGCACAACCAGAGCTGCAGAAGGAATCAAAACTTCAAAAAACTAATCCTGTCAACTGCAAACCACTCATGTTTGAGGCTGTATGCATTGGAATGAGATGACCAAGTAAATCACTCAAAATGGCAGTATTTTGAATGTCAAACTAGACAGCCGAACCAACGGAAATTCATTTCTAGGACCACACCCACACTCCCGTGAACAAACAAGGAATGCAGCGCAGGACAATCCCACCAAGTAGAGCATATCCATGCACTAACTTACTTGTCAGAAATTGAAAAAATATATATTTATATATTATATAATATATACACACAAAGACGTGAAACAGAAACGGGCCACGTATTTGAACCTAATGCAATGGGTAACATCTCTACTTCGCAATACAATGAAATGCATTTCAATTTCAAGTACTACTTATATGATTTCATTGCATTTCAACTAGAGAGCAAGCAACATCAATGAATACAAAATCAGTTAGAAATAAATGTCACTTTCGCATAAAAGAACTACTTTTACAATGAGGGCTTGCTAGTCCATCAAATATAATAACAAGGCTTAGTACTCTAAGGAGGGGGTTCCTAGACTATTCTCTGGAACCAGGACCATATAAGTGCCATGAACAGTGATCAAGAGAACCTAGTGATGCTGTTGGCACTTGAACAATGCCAATAGCATGACAAAAAGCTAAAGATACCTTCCTCCATGGGTTGAGCAAGATCTCTTTCCCGCTTGTACAGAACTCTAACAAACTCATCTGAACTTAAACTTCCATCTTTATTTACATCAAATACATGGAAGATAACATCAACCACATTGTCAGTCAGAGATATTCCGCACACCTGTAGGCCAGCACAACTTATCAAGAAACAATTAAGGTCTACTATAATTGCACAGAGAGAAGAAATAATGTGAAGTGAAAACAGCACACAATCTCGTACTTGGTGAGCAGCTCGTTGAAGATCATTTCTTGTCAGCAGTCCGTTTATTTCTCCAAAACTGAAAATTGCCAGAGAGAAGGGCTGCAGTTTTATTCGAACCTCAGCAAAATTCTTGAATTCTTCAGGTGAAATACGAATGCTAGCAAGGCTTGGCTCCATATCTAAATCATCAACCCGATCAAGCAGCCTATTCAAGTGTTTCAGATCGGCAGAGGCAACCATCGATAGTGCAAAATCTTTCACAGATATGCTTCCTTGTGATTTATAATCATAATGAGCAAACTCCAACTTCACCATCTGCAATGCATCAAAAGATAAATAATCAGTACAACTTAACAGAATTGAATTAAGTAATTTTACGCTCACAGAACTGCCACAATGTAATTCAATTTTTTTCATGACATTACCATAGCTACAAAGATGAATAGCACCAATGGCAAATATAAAATTGCAGTAACAATAAGACCACACATACTTGCAACATTTGCTTTGGAAAAATAAAAACTCAATTGCCAAAATGAATACAGATGAAGACCGCACTCTTACATAAGTACTGGGTAATCTTCTCATGATCTATGAACTTTTCTGTTCAATGCCTGGTAGGACTTGAACACACATTCAAAATAAAATCAAGATAGACTACTGAGCAGATCAAAGGATAATGAAGTAACATGAGAGAATGAGAAAGCAACCATGCATGTATCTCGTAAAAAACAATTAAAGATTGGCTGAAAAAGTATATATTTACATATATCACGAGGAATCTTTATATAGAGTACATATGGCCTTTTCTAGAAATTAAAAGGTTAACTATATAGCAAGTATATCAAATCATACCGTATCAAATTATAAAAAATAAATAAATAAATAAATAAAAAGAAAACAAAGGCTTTGTTTAGATAAGAGTTTTGAAAATTTTGAAGTTTTGGAGAACTTTGTAAAAAGTAAAAAGTTATATTTGATGTGATGTTTTATGATATTAAATAAGTATTTGATGTGATAGTTTGTGAGAGGAAATAAATACTCCCTCTTGCACCAACTCTATACATGTTTTTATTTTTTGTTTTGTCTACAAAAAAATATGCACTTTCTATTTATAAGTAAATAACTCTTATATATTACTTAATCTATACCATTCAATATTAGACTTATTTACAAATATGACACAACTATTTGCACACTCAATTTATAAAAAAAATTCTCATTTCATTGACTCGCTTATACTTTTCAAAATATTCTTTACTATATGCACAATCAACCAATATAGTACCATATTCGTTAAAACTCGTGTTTAACTCGAATGAGCATATATATTTGATGGACGGAGTGAGTATTTGATTTGATTTTTTCTTTTTTAAAAAATTGATAATTAAATAGTGACAAAACTTCCAAAACGTATGTAAACAAAGCCAAAATATTTATATATGCTAACTCTCCAGAAGCGCATAGATTAAGGGTGAGTAAAGTATCCGAAATTTGAATATTTGATCCGAAAAATTTTGGTTTGAATTTTCCGATCAGTTCGGATCGGATATTTAATAAATTTTGGATTTTAAATCAGTTCAAATCGATATATTAAAATTCCGAACCAATCCAAAATTCGAAATATAATATACTAATATATTTTATTATTTTATATATTTAATATTATAATAAAAATATAAAATAAAAATAAAATATAGAATTTTGAAAAAAAATATTAGATTTTTTTAAGAGTTTTTGGTTTGGTTTGAATTTTCTAATTGGGGTAATTCGGTTCAATTTGGATTGAATTTTTTTAAAAAAAAATCAGATTTGCCAAACCCAACCTGACAATATTTTATGGAATAAACTGTTATGGAGTTGGTTAAAGTAAGAACTATATTAGTAAATGGAGAAGCACCGTACTCAGTTAGGATAATTATTATTTTATTTTTTATTATTTCTTTTATTAATTTATTTACTGTTTAATTGTTAATTACAAGTCTTGGGCTTGGCCCATAAGTCCGTCTATATATAGGACGCATCTAGTTCATGTTAGGGTAGGCGGTCATTATTTGAGCGAATTGGTTTTTTTCTGTGATACTCGATTTCCATTTATTCGAATAAATTCTCTCTTTGATAACTATAAGTCAAAACAATTGGTCCGATCTGTCGGATCTTCTGCTGACGGAATCATGCCCATCTCCAATCAACAACGATTCGAGCTATTGGAAGCAATCGTTGGAGAAATACAAGAGTTAAACCAGATCCGCCAGGATCTTTCCACCAAGCTCAAGACTTTGGGAGAACAAAACACGAATCAGATGGTTTCACTACGGTAGGAGTTGCTTGCAGCGATCAAAACAACGCTCGGCAGCGTCAGCGCCGCCGCTGACGCCACTGCGTCAGTGGCTTAGCCACCGACTCATTTCCCGACGCTCTCAGCGCCGCCGCCCATGGCGCAGCATCCACTCGCACCGGATTCTCAACCGTTGGGGGGGTTGACCCCCCGCCACGTAGCTTCGCCACCCCGCTCCTTTCAGAAGTCAGACTACCACCGTTTGACGGGACGGAGCCTATTGGTTGGATCGCTCGTGTTGAGCAACAATTTGAACTTCACCAGGTGCAAACAGAACTCAAGGTAGCATTAGCGCGCATCACCATTGGGGGTACAACGTTGCACTAGTCTCGATGGCAACAGTTTCGCCATCCAACCGCTACTTGGGCGGAGTTTTTCCGAGCCCTAGTACTTCGTTTTGATGATCGTTACATAGGGAGTTCCTACAAGCGCCTTGCCACACTTCGGAGAAAAAGGGAGTTGATCAGTATATCAACGAGTTTATCCAACTGGCGACACAGGTGCCAGGCTTATCTGATGAGCATTACCTTGGATACTTTATGGGGGGATTGTACCAGAACATCCGCAATCGTCTGAGGACACTAGAGCCCAAAGATTTGGACTCATCTATCCAGATCAGATTGGACCTCCGGTAGGTCCCTCTAGTCTTGGAAATGGCATCGGGAGCAGTAGACCAAGCACGGAAAACTCCACTGGCGGACACTTGGTGGCTTCGGACCAGTCCTCGGTGCGAGTTCCTTTCCGGAAACTGAGTCGTGAAGAGTATCACGAGTGTTAGTCTAAGCAACTTTGTTACCGTTGTAAGGAGCCTTATACACCATTGCATCAGTGTGCGAGCAAGTCCCTTCGAACTTGTGTGATGGACCCAAACACGAATTGGGTGGCCGAGCTCAAAGAGATGGATGAGGTCGAAGGGTGGACAAAATATGAGATCAGATCCACGGAGCTCGAGCATATGGCGGTAGAGACGACAAGCTCATTCCTCAAGCTTTGATACATTGGCGCGGACTAATGTGCAAGGACTCGACTTGGGTTGATGAAGAGTAATTGCGCTTCTAGTTTCCTGTCTTCCGCCTTGAGGACAAAGCGGTTTTCAAGAGGGATGGAATTACTATGGAGTTGGGTAAAGTCAAGGTCTATATTAGAAAAGGGAGTAGCACCGTACTCACTTACGATAATTATTATTTTATTTCTTATTATTTCTCTTATTAATTTATTTACTATTTAATTGTAAATTATGAGTCTTGGGTTTGGCCCATAAGTCCGCCTATATATAGGGCTCATCTAGGTCATGTTAGGGTAGCTAGTCATTATTTTGGTTTTGGTTAGATAGCGAATTGTTTTTCCTCTGTGGTACTCTATTTCCATTGATTCGAATAAATTCTCTCTTTGATAACCCTAAGTTATAACATAAACCACTAGAAACATAAACCTCTTTGATAACCCTAAGTTATACTCTATTACGTCGACTAGTTGATCAACACTTTTGATGTAAGAAATCTTTATTTTACCAATCACATTTATCTTTGATCTAGTTTATATCGAGTTCAACATGCTTAGTCCGATCAATTTTGTAGATGATTATTCTATTTGCAATAGCTACATTTTTATCTATGAAAAGCAGCATAGGTTTTTATGAACCAAACCTAGTTCACCTAAAAGGAATTTTAACCAAGTAAACTCTATAATTGCATGATTAAAGGCCAGGTACTTAGCTTCCGCACTAGACAATGACACCATATTTTGGTTCTTGTTTCTCCAAGTCACTAGTTTTTCCCCAACAAATGATATATAACCTAAATGGACTTCATGTCCAACTTGGATTCGACAAAATTTGAATTTGTATAACCAAAACACGTCTAAATTGTCGTGCTTAGAGAATATTACTCCTTTGGCAGGAGATGGCTTAAGAAAGCCAAAATTCAATCCACAGCATTCATGTGTTGGTCATTAGGATAGTGCATGACCTGATCACTATACTAAGAGTGTTCTTTTATCATATTTCCTCAAATTTTTACTATTCATCAATAAAATTTCTTCCAAAAATATCAAATCAAACATCTAATTTTTATTTTTTATCTTAAATTAAAAATCAAATTTACATTCAAAATATCATATAACATTTATTTATATTACATTATACAACTATTCCAATTCAAAATTTTTACTATTCAAATTCCAATGAAAAATCCAAACCCCTAACCAAACACAGGTTGTAATTTGATCTAAATAGATACTTAAACCATGATTCCACTGAACAGGAATATCCATAGGTTGGTAAACATAGTTCCTAGTTTCGGCAAAGAGAAACTTCTTTCAATAGAGAAGTTTATGCTTTAAGATACATCAATGCCCAAGATGTATCTTAGAGCTCCTAATTTCATTATTTAAAATTCCCTGGAGAAATAGTTTTGAAGCTTCCATGGCTTATTGTTATAACCATTTACCACCCATGACAACCATATCAGCAACATTAATAACAAAGTAATAACATCATCAACCATCTTATAAAACCAACCAACCAACCATGACAATCATATCATCAACATAAATAATAACATAGGAATAACATCATCAACCTTCTTATAAAACTAACCACCCATGACAATCATATCATCAACATGAATAATAACATAGTAATATCATCCTTCTTATAAAACTACGTTTGGCTTTTCATAGATTGCTTGGAACCATTATTTTTTATAGAGTAGCTAAGTCTCCCAACCATGCTTTTGGAATTTGTATAAGTCTATATATATATACGTAAGGCCTTATCCATTTTACAATTTTTGGTATAAACCTAGGATGATCCTAATTGTTAAGTGTAGGCTTCTTTAGGGTAGTTAACCCTAATGGGCTTAGGAGTTCGGGCCCAATTGTGATTAATCCTAAACTTAGTCTTTAAATACCTCTCTTGTATTTGTAAAATCTGTGCTACCTCACACTGAAGTAATAAAAAAAGCTTTTTGGTTGCCCC